GGGATACCCATGAAGAAATGCCGGCTTCTTCGAGCAACTCGTCTCGTCGTACTCGATCCAACTCTGACGCCACTCTGAGTGACAAAGAAGAAACCATTCATGAAGCAAAAGAACAAAGCTTGGTATCAAAGCCGCCTGGTGAGCAAGTGCAAAACAAAACGAGAACAGAAATGCTTACCTCACTTAGCTAAACGCACAAAAACCTCGGGTGATGCGAAAGGCAAAAAGAAGGAAACGGGGATCCAACAAAACAACAATAGCGACACTGAAATGGCTGGTGAGGAAGGATTCGAACTAGTCGGAGAGGATGTTGGGCAGGGCAATTGAATGGTAGCCATCTGAATAAGTCATTTGACCTTAGTCACTCGTTTAGCCACCAATACACACATTCCTTTAAACATCGACTGCGAGAACAACTACTTGCTGGTCTGTCTTCTAAATCGAACACGTGACTTTGACACCGTGGAAGCACATTGGTCAGCGACACCGGACATTAATTTTCTTCTGCCTTCGTCGTACCCTACACAAAAAAGGAACCCTCTTTTACATGAACCACAGGAGTCAGCATCAGGCTCACGTGATCAAGCAACTCGACTTGTTGAACCACACGGTACGACATTATCATACTTCCACGACCAACTCCCGCATTGTGCTATAGTGGTCCCCTTGACCCTCATCTTCCGTCAACCGAGGACGTATTAAAGGTAGAACAACACTAGGAACAGTCAACACCGCCGGTCTCGGAAATCTAACATGCGAAGTCAAGCATCCTTGTGGATCTTGGGCCACTTTGTACAACCGAACAACGCGTTCAGCCCCCAAAATCCAAGCCTGATGAGTGATATTCAGATGCTAAAACGTCAATACACACACCACACTCACTGTATTCCACACCCGTCCTCCCAAATCAGGGGTGTCCTCTCGGAAAATTGACGCTGAACACCGTAGAAGAGCTCCGGGCACCAAGACCTCACAGTCCATTGGCGCATAAGGGACATCTCTATCCATCTCAGGCAAGTGATTGTTGGCAGTCCATATCGCACGGCGCTGATATCGCTATCGTCAGTGAACAAGCAACACACAGCTCAAATTACCAAGATGGTCTGCCGATCTACGTGCAAGACAATGTAATCATTTTCCCCTCTTGCGTCAAATTGAACACAAGAATAAGTTTGCAACGGAACCTACTCCCTAAACGTCAGTTGTGTTTTGCTCTGTGCGATCAAAGCTAAGACTCACCCGAAAAACTTGTTTGAAAGTAGCTTGCAACTCATCTAGGAATATAACGGTGCGACGAAAATGGATCCTTGAAAAAACCAAAAGGAGCCGACAACAGAAGAGTCTGAAAGTAAACTAAGATCAGCTCCTTCTTCAAAGGCTTTAACGCACGTAGAACGAGTCCCCTGTATTGATGACCGATTCCAGTTGACCGAAAAACTCCAACAAAAAGGCACCATTGTCGTTTCTCTATCCGTCGCAATTCGCTGGAGATAGGTGAGATCGACAGGATGTTTCCAAGCCCCAGATCTAAATCTTCAGCTAGTGTAAAGGGATTATCAAACTGGGTGAGGAATGTCGCCATGTAATGAGTCGCTTCGGCACCACACTCACTGAATGAAGTTTATATAGCCAAGGGCACGAGATTTTCATTCCAAATAGATTCTCAAAGTTGACATCGAAGGGAAAAAGAAGCGTCATCTGCTGTCCTCATTCTCCCTCCAATCCATCAAACATTAGGACCGAACTTGATTGGTTGCTTGGAGCAATACATCCGACGAACGAGTCGCGCGCGGAGCAACCAGAACTACACCTCAGTAATGTCACTTCAAACACCGAACCCACTTACCGTTTCCCACCCCTCCCCTTCGTAGACTTGGCGATCCTCTCTGACAACTAAGCACTCGACATGAACCAAGGCCCCCTTCTCCAAAACAGGACAATCTTTAGAAGCAACAGGTATGAAGGAGGAATGGTCATAGTCCAATTTGGTCTGCAATAACTCAAACTTACACATCTACAGCCAAATCAACGGAAACTCACTTGCAACGCTTCTCTATCATCGATGACAACAACAGCCTTCGACACCTCCGCAAAATCCTCAATGTAGCAATAATGGACGCATTGACTGAACTAAAGGAAGTAAGAAAACCGACCAACGCATACGCACTACTCACATGCACAAAAGATTCCGGAGATTCAACCATTTGCTGAAGGTTAATCAGGGTGCGCTCGAAAGAATCTTCGAATGGCCCTTCAGGTTGAGCAAGCACAATAGTCTACAAAGTACACCGTTAGAAGGTTTGGAATGAAACTGAAGAGGCTGACCTTTAATCTCCTGTTGTGCACATTTGCCCCGACATATGTGATACGCCCAACAAAGCTCAAGAGGTATGGTTCGGATAGGGGTGAATTATCATCAACCACATATCGAATTTCAGACTGCCCTGCGTGAACAACGGTGTCTTCCTCAAGAACAAGTTGAGGATGAAACGCAGTATGAAGAGGAGGAAGAGGATTGCCAAATGACACCATGGGATCCATGGCTACCAGTAAATTAACAAACTCATCCAGTCTTTCTTAAATAACAACGCTTTTACATGATGATACATAATTGGTCTGACCACAATCGTTCTGCAGTATGATAAACCCCTCTTCTTCACGTACATGAATTCCACCCAATGAGAGTAGAGTAAGTTGACAAGGGAGGTGCGAGGGATTGAGACTGCGCATGCTCCCATGAAAAAAACTGATCATCAGGAATCCCAGCATTCATTTCACCCACATAGTATCCGTGGAAGCCCCCGATGTCACCCAATAACGTAGGACGAGAAACCGGTCCGTAGCCCAGAGGTGGGAAAGAGGGCGTATACCCAAGTGTCCACTTGACCTGCGTTATCGTGAATATATTGTCCAATGAAAACAATCCAGTTAAAACCTCCAAGTTTTCCCAGGCTTCCGAGGAAACAGATCCCGCAGCCGATAAGAAATCATCGACGAAGGCGAAATTTTCTCTTGCTGAATTCCTTCGAGCCCTCTTACGGGTCACAGACGTCTTGGAAACTCCTTCCTTGAGTTGAAGATTGACGTGCACCGCTTCGCCTATCGGAGAATTGATGCCTAGCTCAATTAAACTGCCATCTTGACTGTCGTGGGACTGAACACGTCAATAAGCTGATGAAGCTGATTACATAAACTGCACGCACGATAGGCAGACTTGAATTCTCAACAGAACTAACAAAGCAGCGGTCGACTGGAGGGGGAAACCAATGAATCACTTCGGCAAAAGGCTGCTGATCAATTCGCCCAAATACCAGTAAACGGTACCGCATAATCCAACCTACAAAAAAAAAGACAATGAACAGAGAAGTCAATAAAAACTAATGAAAACAACGCGCTTACCGCACTGACGACCTTCGAATTGCCTTTTGAGACGCTTAGGAATTTGGGGTGCCTTGTAACACCACAGGAAATGGCCAGCGTTGCTGATCCTTGCTCCATCCGCCGCAAAAGCAAAACCCGAAGTAACAGTATGGTGTACCTCTGATTTGTCACCTCGGGCAACGTCGATTGACAATAACTCGAGCTTCACTGGCGAAAAGAATCTTCAAATCTTCATCACCCAGAGATTTGTTGAACGACTTCGTGAAATCCCCGTCAGCCGTTAGAAACACATACTCCTCTTCTTCCTTCCTCTCGACCTCAGACGAAAAGGTGAGCGTCAAATTCAATGTCTGGTAAGCATCCGCAGGCAACGAAGGGATTACGACGACGCCATTGAGTTGAGGGCGCACGAAATCCAAAAGCCAGGGAGGAACACAACGTTGCACTGTAGAGGACGCCACATTGTTTCGACATAAAATGCACTGCACTGTGCCCGAAGAAGTCCATGAGCATTAGCACCAACTTGGAATAACAGAGACCTACACCAGGGAGCAACTGCCGTAGTCCGGAGTTGCCCGACAAGAACAGAAATGTCGCGACAATTTCTGACCTCGTTCAAACGACTGAACAAAAAATGAGACACATATTGGTTTCGTGTAATGCGAATCCAATCGCCCTTCAAAGCACAACTGGCAGACCCTTCCAAGTGTGCGATGATACCTACGAGAATCAGCAACACAAGACAACAAGATGAGCAAGTAAACCAAACCTTGCAATACAGCAACAATCCTACGAAGGTATAAGAAACGAGTTCTCATCGTCCATTGATACTCACGCCAAAAACGACCACGGAGATTCTCCTTCCATGGTAACCTTAGATATAGCTCGTTCCCCCCATCCACACGCAGCGTAAACCGATTGTATCTGGCAAACCACAAGATTTAGTGTACAAAGTTGCAACAAAACCCAAAACCAAAAGACATACCTGCTCATCGGTGTAAAACATGCGAGGATCTTTGGTACTCGCCACCACAGCCAGGACACAAGGAGTAGCAGTCATTCTCGGCCAATCGATAAGCAAAGACAAAAAACAAGTCGAAAGACAATGACGGGGCTGAGGAAACAGCGTCTCCCTGCTTTCCTAAATGGTCAATTGATTGAGGTAGAGAGTCACCTACGAATCAAACCCCGTCACAATTTGGACGCTAAATTTATCTTACACTACCTGTGCTCACTTTTCAATCAAGATGAAAGCATACTAAGAAAAGGCTTCCAGCGAGAAAAAAACAAACAACAAGGCAAGTTTAATGGAGCGTGGTGAAGACCAGACATAGAAGGAAGATCACAAGAACCAAGGTAATCCTAGAACAAAGAATAGATGGTCAACAAGGCAATAACATCAATATCAAAATCACACGTGAACCGTGACACTAAAGCAAGGTTTTCGTCTCAGGCACACGTGCCAGAGGCCCTTGTAATACAAGGCATCCACTTTTTCCAAAACATAGAATGTATATACAAGCAATTGAACTCTATATACAAAGAGTAATGATACACAATTGAACTCTTTTACAAAACATAGAATGTATATACAAGCAATAACAATACACATTAAAGCATCAGTTCAAATTCTCCGCGCAATGAGAGCGTCTTTTGACCCAATTCCAGGTCACGCACTTCGGATGTTGTTTTAGTATCCCTTTTTGCAGGTCCTGGGTTTCAACAACAACCCAATCATACGAATCAATATCAGTCGTCCGGGAATTTAGACGCTCGACTGCTTTCACGATGCTAGCACCCATAGCTAAAACGGTGTCCGGGATGCATTCCAGTGGATTATCCTGTTCAAACTTGAGCATCACGTTACAAACACAAAAAAGCACCCACAGTCTTAGACTGTGAGAAGATTCCAGTTCCCACACAGAGAATCGATTTGCCGCTGAATGGCTTGAAAGCTGTTGGAAGATCCCACAGACGACTGACATCGTACGCGAGGCTGCTCGTCGCAACGAACTGGCTGTACGTGAAATGTTTCCCATCGACAGCATGGGACAACGACCCTCCTGGGAGGAGAAACCTACTCCAATCTTCGGGAAACTCGTCCTAAACAATGTCAAACCAAACATCAACGGCCGTCAGAACATGTGTACCTCTTCGATAGAGTGGTCAATTACATCGATATCCAGACAGGGGATACCAAGCGCCAGTGCAAACAGATACTTCGGGGTGCGAGTAGCAGCGGCAGCCAGCAGGAAGATACGATTGCTCTCGCCGCAAGTCACGGAAACATCTTGTGATTTCAGAGTAAACTTAGACTGATTTGCGTCCCTTGTTTCCGTTCCCGTTGCAATAATTGCGTTCCATTTATCCACAACGGTGCCTCCACCACCTTGAATCTTGCGGCTATGTTGCGTTTTATAGGGCTCATCAAAGTGGGATAGGCAGAACGTGATCTGGTCGAACGGTTTACCAACAACTTTTATCTGTCCAACTGAGGCGGTGCTCGATGTAGGTGGAGGGATTACGACATCTTGGGCCTCCAGTCGCCGGTCGTCGCCCCAAGAAGCTACGACTCCTTTCGTGATCCATAACTCGGACACGTCAATGTCGTCGACAAGATTATCCTTGTTGAATTTGACCTTGACCGTAGGGAAGTTGGAGACATTCAGTACTTCGAGTTTTCCCCCGGCCCCGCCACCTTTGAGTGCAGCCTTATCGCCAGGGCGTAATTCAAAGCGGCGTATCTTGGAAAGTTTCATCCACTCGTCCGTGCCATCATCGAATCGGACTGCATAGGAACTTCCGGATTTGGTTACAACACGACCTGGGTAGTAATTCCCCTGCTGCCATTGAGCGAAGACACGCACACCGCCGGGCTCTGACAAGTTCCCGCGCGTGCCGCCGCGTATTCGCCTAGAATGACGACGAGCAGTAGAGTCCGGTGGTGCACTTTCCCGTTTTGGGCCCTTGGAACGACGGGCAGCAGACCCTTCTGTTTTCGTTTGGCGCTTGCGTTTACGGCCGGAAGGACCTGGGTCCGCATATTCTTCCTCATCCGCGACTGTTTCTGTTGCGAGAGTCTCGCCATCGGTTTCGGGTGCCTCGTCGCTCTTTGTACCACCTTTTCTGCGACTGCGGACGCTTGACGCTTTGGCGGCCGGCTTCGCCTTGGGGCGGCTGCGTTTTCGGGGCTGGACAGGCTGCTGAAAATAAGCAACATTAAAATTTATGAGTGGGGCGGGACAGACCTTGGGAGGCTCGTCTTCGTCCTCCTCTTCTTCTTGTTTCAGACTTTGGATATCCGGAATTGGTGGCTTAGCTTCGACAGCATCAATAATGCGGTCAGGTTCGGTTTCATTATCTGAGTGGGCGGCGGTGTGTTGTAGAACAGCATCCATTTTTGGCCAGTCCACTCTGTCGGCATCAGTTACGAGCTGGGTTTCTTGCCAGTCAGGACTCGGAGGAAAATTCGTTTGACGCTGGTCGCGGTGCGCGTAGCGCTGACGTTTGTCGGAATCGAGAGAGTCTAACAGCGATCGCGGTTGCCCAATTGGAACATCAAGTGGAACAGGGTTCTTGGGTGGAGAGGAAGGGGGAGGAGGGTCGACAATTTGAGTGGCGACTATTGGGGTTGCCACAATCTGGGTTTCGACAATCTGTGTTGGCTCCAAATCCTCTTCTGGTGACTCTGGTCGGATGCCATCTTCGCTTGGCGTCCGTCGAGCATCCGGTGGGGTGAAATTTGTGTAGAGGTCGATGCAGAGAGCTGCATCCTGGCTGCTTTCAGGGAGCGGTGCGGGGTATTGGAAGGAATGCGACTGCGACTGCGACTGCGCCTGTGATTCGTCGTCTTCGTCCATTGGAAGCGGGGAAAGGAGGCCGTCAGAGGCTGAGGGTGTCGGCGTCGAGGCAACGAGAATGGTGCCCTGGCCCATGAGCTTTCTTTTGTCAAACGGTGGACATTCGTCGTGAGGGAGAGTGGGTGGTAGGCGGTTGTTAAGCTACAATAAAGTGAGCTTGAATGACAAGGACTCCACAAAGCGACAAACAGCACCTTTGTTGTCGCGTTTAGTGCGGGATCACTGCTTTCAGGGCTCTGGGTAGTTGCTAAACCGTGGTAGTGGTACTGAGGAACAATTCCGTTATTAGCCGAATGGTCAGACACGTCGTTCGACGCGTCTAAAACATCAGTAGAAGTGGGAGATATATCAGGAACCGCCCTTTTGAGGGCACTTTGTACGATTACGGAGGCCTGTGAGTCGGCCATCGAACGTCAACTGATGAGATGGGGGCCAAAATACATTGAAGCACGGGATCAGCTTCTCTTGTCCCAGACGGCCATCTCATCTCGCTGTGCTGCCCACCCTTCGTCATGCCCCCCTCTCGAATTCTCAAACCGAATCGCCGCCGGATTCCGTCTTTTCCGGCTACCACACTGCTTCCTCTTCCAAATCGCCTAGCCCGCAAGAACAGAAAAGCTACCCCCACATCTGAGTTGACTCATGAACAAATCGAATATCTCGTCGCGGAGGCCAACGCCAAGACTGAGCAGCGAAGCAAGCCGTGGACCGCCGTTCCCAATCCCATTCCGGACACCGGCATCAACACCGTGAACCAACATGCCGAGCTCAAGCATATCAGTTCTGTGTCTGAAGCGTCCATCTCGTCTAGCGTTTTCACGACTTCCACCTTCTCGCAGAGCTCTCCGATATCGTCTGCGTCTACTGGCCTCATATACCATCCTTCTTCGACCACCATCAACCAGCTCATTGCCTCAAGACAAACTCCCCAAGCCCTGCAATCGTCTATCCCTCCGATGCCAACCAAGTCTGCGGCACCTATTCCTCCTTCTACTCATCGGCTCTCCGGAGTAGCCATCTCGCTGATTGCCGTCGCGGGTGTTTGTCTTCTGGTCGGCGTATTCTTTCTGTTCAAAGTTTGTCTTCGACCCACTCGTGCTCCCCGACCTGTCCCATCGCGTCCCATACTTGATCCATCATTGGCTGATGACGACATCTTTCAACCAAAGCTGGAAGACTCGCCAGTGTTCGGCGGGAAAGAAAGGATGTCAGAACGACCCAGCAATGCCGGTCTATTTCAATGGACACAGTATACGGCCCCGAAGGAAAAGACGATGACGCTGGGCAATGATGACGAGAAGTCTCGGTTCGACGAGACACGCGTTTCTCAAATCTCTGCGGCCTCTGAATACCCAGCCCCCATTCAACAAGTGCAGAATGTCCTCAATCGAGCAGCCCACCGCATCTCTAGTGCCTCCGCCTCATTCTATCCAACCTCTCAAGCTCAATTGGTGACATCTTTCACGGCAGACGGACAATCAGTTATCGAGCGTATCAATCCAAAGATTCTTCAACGCAGCAGAAGCAGTACGGTTGGCGAGAGAAGCCGTAGAGATTTGAGCCAGACGAAAACTTCGCGATATTCATATGGATTTGCTTACGATGGAGCTGAGGTGGCCTCTCCTAAATTGCCAATGCAAAGTCCAGCCATCCCTACCCCTCAAGGTCGAACACGAATCATGTCTTCGTATTATGCTCATCCACGGACTTCCCATGCACAGCCGACCGGAAAGGTTCATGAACCCAAAACTGCTTCCTCTGCGACAACACCCATAACGACTGTTCCAGTATCCCCTCAATCAACGCTATATCCAGATGATTCGCTAAGCATGGTTGAAGCCAGGCGCAATCGAATCCCTCGTCGTACTCCGACTGCCAACGCCAATGCACGCGTTAGCCGTGTTTTTGGACGAGAGGATTCGCGTGGGGTCATCGCTTCTCCGACCGTCGATGCGACAGCAGCGTTGGGTAACCTGATGCTGATGGACTTTGGGGGAACAAAACAGAGTGGTCTGAACGCTACTTTGTCGTCCTCGTCCTCGTCTGCTAACACTAAATCGATGGCTCGTAGTGACGATAAACCACCCCGAGTTCCTTCCCCACCGCCGTTACCCTCTTTAGCACAAATGAGCTGGGAGCATTCTAATCCAGAAGGTTATGCGGACTATCGCAGCCCGACCTACAGTATCTATAATTTGTACGGAAAATAGAAGCTTCAATTGAGACGCAAGCCGTAATCATTGACATTGGGCGCGTGACATCTGATTTTTCAGGTTGGGTCCAGCCTTCGACCTGTGCTCGGTGTGTTCATTGCCATGTACTCGTCCCGACCTTCCGCTATCCACCTCAATATCTCTAATGACCACCATGGCGCTGATGACGACCTTGGTCTTGCTAACGACGCACCCATAACACCCACAGTCCCTTCTCTGTGGGGGATACCCCTCAAATACCTGTCGTATGTCGAGTTCATTGCATCTTCTTATGTCGCTCATATTCCTCATAGACTGGTCACTTTAGCGGTCCAGAACTCACTGCTCACCGTCATCATGCACTATTCACGAGTGTCTGCCACCCCAGACCATGCATATTCACCAGCAACAGCGGTGTTGACAACCGAGATCCTCAAAGGGTCCATCTCCCTTCTTATTGCGTTCTCTCGCATAGAGCCCTCCGAGCCTTCACGGATAAAACGGCTGGTCTCCGATGTATTTAGCCCAGATTGTTGGAAGCTTTCGATACCCGCTATTCTCTACGGTGCGTTATTTAAGCTTTTACACCCATATATATACTGAATCAGCCCAAGTCATCCAAAACAACCTCCAGTTTGTCGCAGTCTCGAATCTACAGGCAGCCACATTCCAAGTCAGCTACCAAATGAAAATATTGACGACCGCCGGATTCTCTGTCCTGCTTTTGCGCAAAAAGCTCACTTCTCCACAATGGGTTGCACTCCTCTTCCTGGCAATCGGTGTCGGAGTCGTCCAGATCCAGGCGGGCGGCGCTCAACTTCTTGAGGATGGTGCTTCGCGGGATCATGCCATGAATCCGATCAAAGGATTTCTTGCCGTCGCGACAGCGTGTACCACTTCCGGGCTTGCTGGCGTATACTTCGAAATGGTCTTGAAGAACTCGCAGACGGATTTGTGGGTGCGCAACGTGCAGTTGTCCCTCTTCTCTCTGCTCCCAGCCCTGGCGCCGGTGTTCTACCTGTATGCCGCAGAACCCCAGAACGGTTGGATAGCCACACTTTTCCGCAATTTTGGAGGCTGGGCATGGGCCACTGTGTCGGTGCAGGTTTTCGGAGGACTGTTGACCGCCTTGGTGATCAAATATTCCGACAATATCCTCAAAGGCTTCGCTACCAGTCTGAGCATTGTCATTTCCTTCATGGCATCAGTTGCTCTGTTCAACTTCCAAATCACCTTCACCTTCCTTGTCGGCTCTGCCATTGTTTTGGTCGCAACTTGGTTGTATAACCATCAACCAAAACGTGCGGAGTCGATCTCGTGGGCCATGGGATGGCCAGAGAAGTGGAGGTCAGCCAGCTCGCTGCGTTCGCCAGCAGCGACACCCGCCCACTTTTCGTCAATCGCAAGTTCAAGATCTTCATCGGCACTTTCGCTGAATTCTCTCGCTAAACCCATGGCGGAAGATAGCAAGGATTCTTTACTATTCTCCCGATAATAATATCAAACTTAGCACTAATGTAATGCATACCCAAACATACCCTCTTTTCACGATCCATATGTTTGCGCAGATACCGATACCCACAATCCTTTGTCACGCAGCACGTGCTGTTCGTCACGTTAACCCCTCTCCGTTTTCCCTCCATCCATGCGAGTGCTAGGCGATGTCATCGACCTATCCTCATCCCCAGAGCCAGTGCATAGGTATCCAATTAGCAAGCCTATTGAACTGAATGACTCGGACGACGAGCATCATGCCACCCAGTCTCGTCGTCGCGACAACAATAAGCCAGTTGACGCGGTTTCTGGCTATGTCGCCCAGGTTCTGGAGGTGAATACATCAGTTGCTGATATCGTGGTATACATGTTTCTGTAGGTCATTCCAGACGTTGATCCACCGCACCTAGAGGGTCTTGTGCGACAGCAGTTGCTCAATGCTCCCGAAAACGTGCTAGAGTCGGTACTCCACATTCTGTTCGAGGACCCGACATACCCGAAGTCAGACAAGAAAGGCAAGCGAAAGCGCGTTGAAGAAGACGATAATCCCCGCAACAAGCCCAAGGCCAAAATAGACTACGCATCCCAAGATCGGCCGTATAATGGTGGTGTTCATTACCCGCAACTGGCTATAGAACAATTGATGGCCGACTTCCCTCTTATTCCTAAGCCTTACCTCCGACAAACTCTTTTGGCGCATCACTCATTGTATGCACCTACCCACATTTTCCTAAAGTCGCTGCGCGACGGAGAGCTTCCGTATACCCCCAAAACTATTCCGTCACGGCCGGCGAAGGGTAAGCAAAAGGCATTGCAAGACGCAGAGTTTACGCTGGAAAGAGAGTGGGTTGTCTCGTGGGGGGAGAACCCAAGGACTGCATCGGTTCCCATTCCAGAAGAAGATGAAGCATGCGACGATGGTTTGGAATGTGGTTGCTGCTTCTCAGACTATGCATTTGTCCGTCTGCCATTCAACCCATTCTTTCCTGCAATTTACATCCTTTTTAGGAAAAGATGATTCAGTGTCCAGACGGTCATCTATTTTGTGCTCCTTGTATGACCCAGTATGCAGAAACGCTACTGGGCTCGCATGATATCCGGATTGTGTGTATGGATCAGAGTGGTTGTAAACTTCTCTTTCCAATCGACCAGCTCCGGCGCTTTTTGGTAGCATGTTTTCGACTAAGGGATATGGAAGCTAATGTCTCCTACACAGACACCGAAACTCCTCGAACTTTATGAGCGTGTCAAACAAAATAAAGAAGTCGCCGCGGCAGGCCTTGAAGGTCTTGAAGAATGCCCGTTCTGTGAATTCAAGTGTGTTATCGAGAATGAGCAAGAGAAACTCTTCAACTGCAGAAATGACGATTGTGGGGCAGTAACGTAGGCTTTCTACCTTGATCTTGCGCCGGCTCACCATAAGCAACCAGCTGCAGGCAATGTAAACAGCTGGATCATTTGCCGAAAAGCTGCAAAGGTGAGCTTCTTACCTCCAAGCTATCATAAACTGACTATGGCCCCAGAGGTAGAAGAAGACAAGAAGCGGGAAGGCCGACATCACATTGAGGAGGCCATGACCCGAGCACTAATGCGAAATTGCCCGCGATGTCAGAAAGGTCCGTCGTCCTTTTTGCGGAGGTCAACTTTTTGAGCTATGCTAGCGTTCGTGAAAGATGCAGGTTGTAACAAGATGATATGTCCAGGATGCAACGCCATGTCTTGCTACGTCTGTCGGAAGCTAATAACTGGCTACGAACATTTTGCTTCTGTGCGTCTCTCAGTGACCTACTTTATTTTGCATTGACTAGTTAGATGCCTGGGCAACCTGTAGCTGCTGGCTCTAGCAAATCTGGTCGTTGTCCTTTGTGGGATACCGTCGAGCAACGACACGCAGATGAGGTTTGTGCTTTTCGAGCAGTCAACTTCGAATCATGTCTCACCTCTGCTCAGGTAAAAGCTGCTGCAGACCAGGCTCGAGAAGCTTATAAGAGAGACAATCCTGATGCAGATGATCAAGACCTCCAGGTTGATCTGCCTGTTGCGCCTCCACCTCTACCTCAGCCTCAACTCCAACCTATGGCGCATCAACCTTATTTGGCAAATCCTTTTCTCGTCAATCTCCAAAATGCCAATGCACTTTACCAAGAACAAATACAACGTCTCCTCGGGGTACATCAGGCGCGAATGCCCATCCCTGCATTCCATTTACCTCCCGCACCAGCGTTCCATTTGCCCCCCGCACCACACGTCCCTGTTGCCCCACCAAGGCGTCCACGTGCTGCGCGTGGCCGACGTCGATGATAGATGCCACATACCTAGTACATTCGTTTGCCACAAGCTTCAAATTAGTTCAAGCTTCAAATGTGTATCTATTACTCGTACGGTGTAAATGGACTTCTACGATATGCAGGTGACTGGATCACAGTCGGGAGGGTTTTGGCTAGTTGCGCAGTACCAGCTGGGAATGGAAGGTCGTCAACGCCAGTTGGAAGGACTTTCTCATAGAGTCCTTTGGCCTGATTGTGCTGGCTGGGCGCTAACATCTTTTTCTTTGCGTCCGTGACCAATACATGAGCGTCGTCAAAACCAGGAACTGCGCCTTTGACGAATATCAGGTCAAGGTTTGTGTCAACGCGAACCACAGGCAGGTTTTGGACAGTTATTCTCTTGCCTCCAAGTCGGCCTGGCATTTTCTTGCCAGGAAAGACGCGACCGGGATCCTAATACAAAGGTCAGATGACCGCACAAATTGAACTCGCGATTTACCTGGTGCTGACCAGTGGAACCTATTGAGCGATGTGATATTGAAGCACCATGACTGGCTTGACCACCACCAAAGTTCCATCGTTTCATGCCGCCAGCGAAGCCCTTGCCAATGCTGCGAGATGGGAAAGTTATTGGGAGTTTCTTCGACCAAAAGGTACAATGGCGCACCTATTGGCAACGACATCTACGAATTGCCCAGGGACAAAGTGAATAGCAGATAGTTGCGTCCCTACAAAAATTGAGAGTTTGTGCAGTCAAAACGACCATTACTTACCAACGGGCACATGCGCGTCGGGAGACACCGGAAACTCCTTCACAATCCGCTTTGGCGGCACACCAGCTTTGTTAAAATGGCCAAGCATCTGGTTTGTTTCGTTCTTTGCTGGCTTGTCTGACGCGCCAACTTGTACTGCATGGTATTCTGTGCGGTCTGCGCGTTTCGTTGTTATATTCGCGGTGACTTGGCAGTTTTCAATCTGTACAGAAGAAGCTTGAGAAGGCTGGTGTTGACTGAGGAAACGATCTTGCCTGCAGAACAGTGACTGGTATTCGTGCGCCTTGGTCCGTCCAGAGAGCAGTCATCCCTCGTTTCCTTGCAATGAGGCCCGTTCGTATCGAGTTTGGTGTCCATTTAGCAGTCGTGGCGGCGGCCGGCGAAGAGGTGTGTATTCGACGCGACCATATTTTGAACATGTGGGCAAAAAGGAAGGAAGGAAAGTGTGATTCAAGTTGCAACTTGCTCCGACTCCACTTTCTACGTTCTGTCTGTTACCTACTCTACAACGACACTGGACTCAAGGGGTCGGTCCCGACATCCTCTGAATGGATGGATCAAGGTGCTACTTGCGCTATATTCGAGTCTGATTATTTACGCGCGTTGAAGGCACGGAACCCAGGCATTCCACGATGCTCTTCGCCGTTAGCTTCATTCCCTCCTCCTCTTCTCCACGCTCAGTCGAACAGGAAATAAATCGATAATATGCGCCCTTTCCGCGTCCTACATTTCCACCTTTGCTGGCTATCCTTTAGACTCCCTCAAGTCAAGGTAGGCCAACCTGACCCTGCTGCCAAAACTCATGCGGGTGAAGGCTGCAATTAGTGAAAACCCACATGAGTGTCCCAAGGCTGGCGACGATTGTATTTCGTGAAGAAGGCGTGAGTCTATCGACGTCCGTTTATGATCTGTGGAATAAGACCTCTTTGGCAGATTGTAGGTTTCTACCGAGGGCTTTGGATTCCTCTAGTCACCATAAGCTTTGTTCGTGAGTGCTTTAGCACTGTTTACCTCCTCGTCTTATTGCTCCAGGTGCCGCAAGCTTTACGATATACACAGAAACAAAAGAGTATTGTCGCGTTCACGACTATCTTAATCGAGACCGTGTTCTCGATGCCGCTATTGTTGGTGGTATTGGAGGCGCTATGTCAGGCTCCTTGATCTCATTTGGAAGTGCTCGTATGTTGAAAACAGAGCCCTGAACAGCAAATATCACTCATACTTGAACAGCGTTTGAACTCGTCAAGGTTCGCAGACAGCTTGAGTACTCGATCGCTGCCAGTAAAGGCGTGCACATCGTCAAAGTCAGTTTATACCCGCGACCATCCTCTTCGTGGTGTTCATTCCCCATCCAGCCGCCTGGTACTGCCGCCGCAGTCAAGTTGGTGATGCTAAATTAACACTGGGGCATTCCATTCAACGCAAGCAGAGAAATCTTCAAAACAAATGGCATCTCCGGTCTCTATTCCGGTTTCCGTCTCCATTTCGGTGAACATCCCAAGTTACTCGCCTCTGTTGACCTGAACCTTGTTAGCTCGCGATACTCTGGGAACAGCATTATACTTCTTGGAAGCAAGTCGCTTCTTGTCATTCTATCATGCACGCTAAAATTATGGTAGTATGATGGTGCTAGACATATCCTAGGCAGGAATCGGTATGTGAACACAGGAATGCCCTTGCAAGACTGATTCATTATCAGGTTGGGCGAGCAAGGCGAAACCCCGTCCTGGTTACCAATCCCCTCCTCGTTGGTCCCCTTTGTTTGTGGCTCCTTGTCCGGGGTGTGTTAATGTTACAACGTTAACGGAAATGCCCGCTCTGATGGAACTATAAGGTTACCTCGTGGGCATTGATCTACCCGCTAGACGTGTAAGGCAGCGGATATGAACGCTTCAATCGGAATTTGACGCATCTTAGGGTGAAGACCAAAGTGCAACAGCGCGCACTAGCCGGAGAACGATATCGAGGTGTCTGGGAAACCCTACGGCGACTTGTCCGAGGTATCCACCTCAAGTAATTGATCGGTCTGTTGCTTACTCTACCCAGGACCAGACCCGAATCATCCAAAAACGATTATTGCGGGATGTGCCCGAATATATCGAGGACTAGGAATCAGCGCTTTGCGGAGTATCACGACCCATGGGCTGTTGTGGACGCTCTATGATTTGACAGCAGATTGGATCGACAACCTCCCCGACAGATAGTTGTGGCATTTATAATACTCATTTTGTACCCACATTAACAGTAAAGCAGAAGTCAAAGTAATTTTCCCCGCTATCTAAGCGCCCGTCGGCGGTCACGGCAATCGGTCACACAACGGATCATAAACTTGGTTTTGTCTGCCAATGACCCCGTCTGTCAGCGAATTGCTGGGGTACTGCAGCATAGGCTGCTGGCTCGGCGCACAACTTCCGTATGTCCTCAATTTCCGAACAACGCCCAAATATTTACTGTGGATGCTAGACAGATTTTGACCAACATCCAGCTTCAGTCGTGTGAGGGACTTGCACTGCCGTTTCTCGCGAATTGGTTTCTTGGTGCGTCATCCACAACTTATTCGACCCGTTAATGAGCCATTTTCAGGCGACGCTTCCAATCTACTTGGCTGTTTGCTCACAGGGCAGCTAGCCTTCCAGGTGCGAATTGATAAGTGGAGGTGGTTGTAGGCTAATGTGATCTAGACATGGCTGGCTGGCTATTTTGTGTCTGTCGACGTTGTCCTAGTTGCTCAATATCTGTACTATGAGCGCTCCCGTCCCACTAAAATATTCGGTCGCCAGCGAGTTGGCTCTACGTCGGACCGACATTATCGCACACTGTCCACTGTTGCAGCCAACGTTTCTGGAGCAGCGGCTGTCTTGGCTGCTCAACAACACGAATCAATGCGCAGGAGTGTAGACCAGTTGTCTGCAAGTCGGGTCTCCGACGAACTTGACGAGTCTGCTCTAGCTGCCATGGCAGATAGCATTCAGTCTGAAGGAATGCCCCCTCGAAAACGCGTTTCATGGAGTACCGAGCGATATGGAAGACGTGGCGGGAGTGTTGGACGGACCCCAGTCAGCCGTAGCGCCTTCTTACCGCGACTAACTCCTGCAGACGATAATGACATTGATCGCGGTCGGTCACTCCAACGCGAAGCAACTTTGGATGCCCCTCCTCCAGAAAGTGCACCGGAAACGCAAAGACGGCCATCACGAGCCAGTCGAAGGGGAGCAAACTTGGTCTTCCTCAGTATATTCGCATTGTATAGCATCGGCTCATGGACAGCAAGCAAGCAGACGAGAGATTTGCAACAGAGCGGTGAGCCAATAGGACGCGTTATTGGCTCCGTTCCTGTGGCTTTCGTCTCTTCAAAACCATCATCTATAAAACCGACGACACCTGCAACCCATGTCTGGATGGAAGATCTTCCGCCAGGGTCCCCGCCCCATCATGAACCCATTCCCAGCGACGACCCGTTCGACGAACTCGTACTGGGACGTATATTTGCGTGGCTATGCACCACGGTTTGCAATATTCATCTTCCCCCGGATTTCGTTCATTCGGTCCTTAGTTATATCTTACCTCCCGATTGCCGCAGATCTGGAAAAATGTACGCGTCTGACTAGTTTTCAATTTCGCACGCTCACTTTGTCTAGTTTGTCAGAAAATCTGTTGAGGTGAGCTGATAACGTACTTGGAGCCCACTAATAATCGAGGGATACAGGGGTTATCAATGTACCTCTTCATCTTTGCTTTCCTCGGCAATACCTTCTATGTTCTCTCTATCATGACATCAGAGAAGGCGCATGCGCCGCCTCCGGTGTCGACAGAGTTCTTACGGGAAAGCCTTCCGTACGTGGTTGTTTCCAACTTCTCTCAGAGCTGACTGTGGTAGATATTTGTTGGGAAGTGGCGGAACACTAATGTTTGATGTTACGATCGTGAGTCAGTCATTGATCTACAGGAAACCGAAGCGTAGGGTGAGAACCGAGGAGGAGGGCGGATTACTGGCTGGGGAAGTGAGATAGAAAGTTTTTTGCCCCATAGAGTGTAACAATGGACTTTGTTTGATGTGATCGGATTGATGTGTGATCGCGTCACGTCACGTCACACGGCTCTCACAGTCCATCAGCAAACACAATAAACGCACTCCCGCTCGGGCCTTGAGCAGAAACAATAGAGGCCAAAATGAACCCATCCACTCTTCCTTCCTTACCGCCATCCCCTCCTCCTCCATGGCCACCCTTAACGACCGCGATGCCTCCCCACGCTCCTCAATATCTAGCGAAAAGCTACCCCAACACATCCCTCCACCAGTTCCTCAAATGCGTACCCCATCCCTGCGATTACTATTCTCACAAATATCTCCGAGGCACCGACTCCTTCTTCTCGTTCCCGCAATCGCCTCTTCCCTCATCGCTGGTGCAATTGCGCCCTTCATGACACTCGTCATTGGTCAGGCATTCGATGCATTCGCCAGGTTTCCCCGCACACCGAATCCACCACAGTCAGCAAAAGACACTCTTCTTCACTCGATGGCTATTGCCGCATTTGAGCTGATCGGCCTGGCTGTGGGCTCTGTCGTCCTCAGCAGCGTTATGAGCAGTCTTTGGATATGGACTGGCGAGCAGAACGTCCGCGCTGTCCGACGAAGGGTATATAGTGCAGTCACACAGAAGGATATGGTGTGGTTTGACACGAAATTGGGGACCGAAGGCACTGTTCAAGCTACAGACGAGGAACATGGTCCTCTCGGTGCTGGTGGTCTCATGGCAAAGTTTGCTAGGTCAGTCTTCTTCTCGTGAATGACAATACCACTCACTCAATTGCTTTATCAGAGAAACCGACGAAGTGCGCGAGGCTTCTTCCCTTGCTGCAGGTCGAATCATCCAATTTTTGACCACCTGCATTACTTGCCTCGTCCTTGGGTTCGCCCGATCTTGGGCTCTGACGCTTGTGATTCTGTCGGCAGTTCCCATTCTCGTCGTCATTCAGACACTGTCACAAATAATCGCGGGCCCATTGCTCAATGTCGAACGATCAACTACCGCGACCGCTGCTACCCATGTTGACCGTGCTGTCTCTGCCATTAGTACGGTCAAAGCCTTCAACGCTCAGACCTACGAGCAATCCAATCTTGGTGCTGCATTGGATCGTATGACCATAGCTACCAAGAAGCTCAATGGTGTCTGGAGCATGACCTCTGGTCTTGCTCAGTTCGTCATGATGGGCATGTTTGTCCAAGGTCCGTAATTTTTTGGTGTGTGTGTGTGGCTTATCTCATAGTTCGTCAGGTTTCTGGTTTGGCAGCAAACTCGTCAGGGATGGCAAAATTAGCCCCGGCGATGTTATGGCTGTCTTTTGGGCCTGCTTAATCGCAACAACCAACCTCCAAATGTGCATTCCCCAATTCATCATTCTTGCCAAAGGCAAATTCTCAATGGTTTCTCTTCTTACGCTTATCGACAATGACGACGACGACTTCGGCGACGTCCCACTCAATTCTGACTACAAGACTCAGTCCACACGCTCCTTTCATAAACGCACCAATCGTAATCTTCGCAAAATTCGTCCAGTTAAATGCGCTGGTGAATTCGCCCTTCATAACATTTCCTTCGCATATCCTTCCCGCCCTGGCGTTCCTGTTCTCCAGGACGTCACACTCTTCCTTCCTGCCCACGAAACTACCTTTATCGTAGGCGGCTCCGGCTCTGGAAAATCCACTATCGCCCACCTTCTTCTCGGCTTGTATGCGCCTCAGGCGGGCCAAATACAACTTGATGATCAGGACATCAAATTTATCGACGAGAAATGGCGCAGGCAGCATGTTGCTGGCGTTGAACAAGGGTGCATCCTATTCGATATGAGCGTGCACGACAACGTCGCTCTCGGTGCGGGTGGACGGTCGGTTACTCGAGACGAGGTCAAACAAGCCTGCATCAGTGCCTTGATGCACGAGTTCGTTCGCGATCTACCAGACGCATACGACACTCTGCTTGGCACTAATGGAGCTAGTCTCAGTGGTGGACAGAAGCAGCGGTTAGCCATTGCGCGAGCGTATTTGCGCGATCCCACTGTTTTGATTCTTGGTAGGCATATTCAACATCGTCTTGAAGTTTGAAACTAATGTGGTTATAGATGAAGCAACTTCTGCCCTTGACCCTACTTCTCGTATTTTGGTTTTTGAAGCCATCAAGCGCTGGCGCAGGAACAAGACGACCATTGTCATCACACATGATTTGTCGCAAATTGGATCCAGCGATTTCGTCTATGTCCTCAGAAATGGCAACGTCGTCGAACAAGGCTATCGATATGATCTCGAGGCAGCGACCGGGGAATTCAGCTCCATGCTGACCACACAAGCCGCGACTGGTGGCTACCTCCCAGCAAAGGATGTCTCGGATTTGTCTCATCCAGTCGTTGAGCGAGTGTATACGCCCATTCCAGAGGAGAATGGCACGCAGGAGTCAGGTCCACCCTCGGGCATTGCTCTCACAACCACTTTCGGCAATTGGATGTTCGATGTCGTCGCCGACCTCACCACAACTGGTCCTCAACCATTTCCAGCTGCAGTCATTCGCAATGAACAACCCCGCGAAGCTGTGGTTCCAGTGAATTTTCCCACTCATCAACGCCGCCCCTCAAGCGTATATGAGCCACCGTTGCTACCATCCCCTGTTGTGACCTCGACAACACGTCGCTTCAGTCTGCAGTTTACACCAACATCTGCGACCTTCTCCTTCAATTCAACGTCTCCGCTTATTGAAGACGATGTGGACACCGAGAAGGAGGTCCGCGATCTGGAACGCAGGGGAACTCGTGCCTCGTCTCGACGACGTCAACCAAGGCGACTCACCTCCAATCGTATTCGCTCTCGCTGGGACGACAAGAAAATGCTTCCGATGACGGATGTCAAAGTCACACTCCCCAATGACCATGATCCCGAAGAACCTCCTCCAGCTCAGACCTCAGCCTGGCAACTTGTGCGAGACGTTTACCCCAGCGTCCCATACAAGCCACTAGTTCTTCTCGGTGTGCTATTCTGTCTCATCAGTGGGGCTATGACACCCATATTCTCATATCTTCTGTCACGCCTCTTCTACGAGGTTGCCATTGGCGCAAAGCATACCGCCCTCATCAACAAATACGGTGCAATCGTACTCGGTACCGCTGCTCTTGACGGAATTTTCATTGGCCTCAAATATTTTGTCATGGAGACAACATCTGTTGCCTGGATTACCCGTCTACGCAAAGCATGCTTCAGTAAAGTTCTTGCGCAGGATAAAAAGTGGTTCGACAAAACAGGGAACTCACCAGTCCGCCTCGTCCAAGTACTTATCAAAGATGGTGACGATGCACGAAATCTGATCGCCGTTGTCCTTGGCCAGCTTGCTGTCGTAACGAGCATGCTTGGGGTCGGTTTAATTTGGGCCCTCGTCAAAGGATGGCAACTTACCCTCGTCGGTTTTGCTATCGCTCCGGTTTTTGCTGTTGCTATGGCAGTACAAACTGGGCTTGTTGCGAAGTGCGAGTTGCGGAACAAGCGTGCCCGAGAGGAAGTCGCTCAAGGCTACTACAATGTGCGTCTTTTCACTTGAATTCAATGTATTCTACTCACTGAACTCTCCCAGGCCATCTTGAATGTTCGTGGAATTCGCGCGATGGGCTTTGAGCCTGTTTTCCAAAAGCAGTTCGAGGCTGCGTCTGACAAGGCTTTAACGACTGGTGTCAAAGGAGCTTTCGTCGAAGGTTGCACGTATGGAGTCGCAAGCGGCCTGATCTATCTGGCGGAAGCACTCCTCTTCTACGTCGGCGCCGTCCTTATTGCCCAAGGAACCTACTCTTATCTCCAGATGGTGCAAGTCATGAACCTTGTGGTGTTCACAGTGACGATAGGCTCTCAGCTTATGGCATTTAGTGAGTTTTGAACGATCTACGAAATCTCTTGACTGACCATTATATCAGCTCAGCGAATTGCAAAGTCGGTCGCAGCTACTCGCGACTTGAATCGTTTGGCACTTCTCTCCACTCAAACCGACGAATCCGTTGGTGTTCTCTGCCCACCGTTGGATGGCAACATCACGTTCCAAAACGTGAAATTCGCCTACCCGGAGCGCGCTGATGTACCTGTCCTCAAATCAACGCAGCTTGAAATCGGCGATGGAGAATGTGTCGCGATCGTTGGTGCTTCTGGGTCTGGGAAATCAACTATTGCTGCTCTTCTTCAACGACTATACGAGCCTCAAGGAGGCAAGATTTTCATTGGTTTGCACGAGCTGCAGTCAACGAGTGTCACTCACCTCCGACACAACGTATCGGTGGTCAGCCAGAATCCCAACCTTTTCGACGCCACCATTGCAGAGAACATTTCATATGGCAACAACGAGATGACTTTCGCTGACGTTCGACGTGCTGCCCAAGCCGCCAATGTCCATGACTTTGTCATGTCGTTGCCTCAGGGATACGACACTATGGTTGGAGAGAATGCCGCTCTGATTTCTGGTGGCCAAGCTCAGCGGCTATCAATTGCTCGTGCCCTTGCACGTCCATCCAAGATTCTAATTCTGGACGAATGCACTTCAGCTCTCGATCCCGCCAACCAAGCCATCGTCCTCGACACAATTCGCCGCGCCAAAGTTGGTCGAACAACAATTATGGTCACGCACAAGCTGCCGGTCATGCAAATGTGTGATCGTATTCTCGTTGTTCACGAAGGCCGAATTGTTGAGCATGGAAGCTATGATCAACTTATGCTCCGCAAGGGTGTCTTTGCTCAACTTGCCAGCGGCGGAGAATGGGAGTAATTATCTCTTCTCGGCTCTTTTTTCTTTGCTTATTACTCACCTAACTCCGTACCCTTACGCTTCTTTCACTATTTTGACGACCTCGTCAAGCATTTTTTATGAATCACGAACTCCTCATTTTGTAGTCTACGCACGCATTTTGACTGATGAACTGTATTTCTACCACATCTCTCATGAATAGAATGACCGCGATTTCCTCTCGAACTTGACTTGGGCAACCTGTGTGCACGTGACACCGAATATCTGTAGTTCTCAACTGCCATCATGTCCGCCAGTAGCTCGGGCGTCTCTCAGAGTCAGAGAGACTCTGATCGCGTTCTGGCACAAAATCTAAGGCATCAGGTCTTGAGCGAGTTCCATGCATGGAAAATCGAACACATATTGAAGCCTGCAAAAGAAGAGTTGGAGGCGCGATTCCCATCGGAACTGGAACACGAGAAATTCTTGAGCGTCTCGTCCTGGAGTCGAACCCAAGCCTCCGCTCGCTGGCACGACCCCCCACACGACGACAATGTTATAATTTACCACGACTTGCTCGGAAACAGCCCTCCGCAGCGTATCGATGTTGCATTCATCGAAGCGGGCAGGCCTGCGAGGGGAGAAGAATATATTCCTTGCCCACCGTATCGATACTGTGCTCCGATTTCTGCTAGCTTTAACGCCGAGGTGGACAGTAATTCATCTGCTCAGTATATACCATTTCCCGATGACGGGACATTCCCGCTGGACGGGTATCTGGCGACGTTCAAAAACTGCGACTGGCTTTCTCAAGGACGCGATGGTAAATTTTCCACTGTAACGCCGAATCCAGACGGTATGTTCAAGTTGGCAACAAACTCGTTCTTATTGCTGCAGATGAGCTCATAACGTACGAAACCATCCGGCGGCTTCACTACGACCACGGCTTCACAGAAGAAGACATCAATACCGTCCTCAAAACTGTGGACGGCATGGGAGGAAGACCTCTCCGCTGGGGATTTGAAAACGGGTTGTACTCTGACGAAAGTGGTTTTTTGTGGGAATCGAGTCAACGGTGAGTGCTTGTGCTCTATGCGACCTGCACACGCATGAAACGTCTTTTGAGGGATATTCCGAACATCATCTGGGCTGATGGCCACGAAACCGCGACTGCCCCACGCCTTCCGCCCGACTTCGGCGGAAACGTGCCGTGTGCTGACCAGGACCTGATCGCTCGGCTGAATAGGAATGGCAAGAAATTCTGCCCGAATCTCAACTGCATAATGCACTGCTGCCGAATTCATAGTCGCCCTCTTGTTTTCTATCGCAGACTTGAACCAGCTAACTTGCCCTTTCAGTCTCGCACGATTGGGAGGAATTCGCGCAGCCATTTTATGAAAATATTCCTCAGCTCACGAGCCGGGATCTTGTTGTCCAGAAACAGCAGGCAGACAACTCTGGGCCCTGTGGTGACAAATGCTTTCTGTATGCGCTGGATCAACGCGAAGATGTCGATATGGTCAGCAATACTGAGTATCACTACTGTCCACTGAAGCTTCCAGGATATCGAGGAAGCAAGTGAGGGACGAGCCCTGGTCCAAGGCCTTCTTAAATTGCAACCCGACCTGTGTCCTTGCGATCTTGCGACCATCGCTGGGGTTGACTGCGACCAGGTGAGAAGCCAGCTAACAATTTAAAAAACTGTTAAATTGCGATGCTGTAGGCGTTTCATATCCGTCAGGCGTTCGTCAGCGATAAAGATGTTTCCTTGTCTCAGTTCTCGCCGCCACACACACCAAACACTGGCAGAAATAAGAACAAGCATCGAGTGCCAGAACGTATGTACTACTGCGCCGCTTACACCCGTCGTTTTGATTCACCGCAAAAGCAATGGGCGAGGCCACCCGCAGCATTCAAGTTTCATAGTGAGTCGAGCGCCGGCGGTCCGCTGCACTCCGGCTCTAAACGTGTGTCCTACTTTCTTTGGCAGCCAGAGTCCCTGCAACCATTTTGGCGAGTGCGGCGCTGCTGGCTCGAATTGCTCGTGTTTTGAAGCTAAGGTTTATTGCGGAAGAACGTGCGAATGCCCGCCAACTTGTTCAACTTGTTTCTTTTGGTGTGATGGGGCTGTTTTTTGACATGAACGCAGGTCTGCATCGCTGGCCCGGATGCAACTATACCTGCGCGAAACGGGGACATTGCGGGCTACCACCCATCAAAACAGTGGGCAAGGCGGCCTCCACAGTGTGTGCCTGCCGCGGAGCTCAGAAGGAGTGTGATCCGGAGCTATGCACGGGATGCGACGCAAAGTTGGCTCATAATAGGTCTAAGACGGCATACGACTTATCGACCCCAGGAATTACAAACCGAAAAGGGCAAAACAAAGACAATTCTGCGAAAACATGGAGGTCCAGCGTGGAGCATGCAAGGTAACTTGACGTCATTCATGAATACTAGTAGTCACCTCTCGTAGCCAGTCATCGTAAAGACGTCGAAATATGGCTACGGCGCTTTTGCAGAAAGAAACATCAACGCTGGAGATCTTATCGGTGGTGCGCTAACAATTTATGAAAACAAGCAAACTGATGTCATATTTGTCAGATTATCCTGGCGAATTAATCCACGACCAGCACATGCGCTCGGAGCATAGGTATATAGCAGGCTCCGTCTCGTTTATTCTGGTGCTCAAGTCATAGCAGAGGTATACTTTCAACGCACATGGGAACCAATTATCTCTTTGCATTGGGAACTGGCGTGGTGGTGGACGCACTGTCCATCGGAAATCCGACACGCTTCCTCAACGATCCAAAGCCCCGAGCGGCCAACTGTGTAGCAGGAGGTCGGCCATCATATGTTATTAGATGGAAGCATTTCTGACTATTATGACAGAAGTGGTCGTCAATGGTCAACGGCAAATTGTGATCCATGCAAGTGAGCAGAGACTTGAACCCGGTTGGGGACTACACTGAGTTAATTTCTAGCCAAACAGATCCGGAAGGGTGCGGAGCTCACTTTGTCATATGGCGAGGGGTACTGGAACGGTAGCGTATAACGGCTTTGAGGATCATCAAGGACTCTATATTCGTTGTATTTGTAGTCATAGACAGCAACTTTGCTGGTCAAGATTTGTCAGCCATCCTTCTGTCTGTCAGGAATTAAATTTTGGCCATAATGCAACCATGTAAAGCTGAGAGAAAACAAATGACTGAGATGAGAGTAGAGAAACCGCGCCAAGAGGATGCTCGTGTTTATTGATGATGATGTTGTGTGTTGAAGCAAAGAACGTGCGTCGCGCTGTTTGTGTGGAGCCAGATAGAAGCTATTGATCTGATACCTTCCCGACGCCCGTCCAGTTCGCGTCTTCTTTTACCTCTCCCCACTATGAGCGAAGAAAAGGTTCATGACCGCGTCGACGACGGCGAGAAGGTCGAAGCTGCCGACAACAGCAGCGTCTCAGCATTGATTTCCAAGGCTCGCCAGGAGGGTTTGAAGCCGATTTTTCTCGCAAAGTAGGTCCTTTGTTTACTTTTCTGGACTATTTGACGCGTTTGCTCCAGAGTCGAAGTGCTCAACCACGCGATTGCTGAATGCGGAATGGGCCGGTACGTGTCTTGGCGGCCATGCGACGTATGTTCATGCCAGTAACGACAATAGATACCAAGTACGTGTCTTGCTTTTGAGGGTTTCGTGCGTTGAATTCGTCAAAGTGGGAACTATTCTTCACGGCTGGTGAGAGTCATTGTCAGAGTTGGTGAACTGTGACACTCACGCTTTGAAGGCTTCGGGTGCGTGCCATAACCTCTTCCTTGTCTCGATGCCTTCATTTTGCTCTCAGCTGGTTCGCAGACAGTGAGTGACACGCTACTTTCAATTTGGAATCACTCAGCCCATATACCAGACCTATGGCTGCAAGCTATCGCCATCCTCATGCCCTCTATCGCCAACCAAGTTCGTTCCCAACAGCATAGTGCTCGGACCACTTACAATGCTCAGCACAACTTCCCTGACTACTCGAGCAACATCCGCATGGCTACGTTTGCCTTGTACGTCGGTTTAATCTGTGGGGTAAGGGTCTTATCGTCGCATATACGCCATTCACACCTTCTATAGGCGACTTTCTGGGGTACCGACTGCCGAAATTACTGCTTGCTCATGGACTAACGCCGCAAAAGGCATGACCTGTGATGTTATTGGCCGGCGTACGGCTTGGAATGCGACACTGTTCATTTCTGGAATTTTTGGTATTGCGTGCGTCCATTTGTCCTCCATTTGCTTGTAGCTTATCCATGTTCAAGCGCTGGGGCCTCACCGAACTTTGTAACATTGGGCGGCAAGTACTTTTAGACGTTTTCCGAGTGACACTCATGATTTTTTTTAGCTATGTTGGCGCTCATCGGTGCGATCTGCGAGTTTCTTCAAAATTCTGTCTAATCCGCCATAGGATTTGGGGTAGGAGGAAATCTTCCCGTCGACGGAGCGCTGTTCTTGGAATTCCTTCCAGGTCCATATCAGTATCTCCTCACCCTGCTGTCAGTCTGGTGGGCAATTGGCCAAGTTGTTGGCTCACTTATCTCTTGGGTTTTCCTTGCGAAGTATGGCTAATGATCTTGCTCTCCTTGAAAATACTGAAACTGTTAGATTTTCCTGCAACGCAGATCTTATTGGTACTCTGGTCAATGGCGCGGTATATCGGTGCGACAACACAAATAACAACGGCTGGCGATGTAGGTTTATTCCCTGACTTTCTACTCGGTCACAACTTCATTGTCTCCAGATTCATACTATACCATGGGTGCACTCATGGTTGTCATGGGCGTCTTCCGATTTTTCTGCTTCCCGATGGATGAATCACCAAAGTTCCTCCTCAGTCAGTTTACTGCTGTTTTGCTCGGGGCCTCTTCCTAAATCTCTGCCAGGTATCGGGCGCGATCAGGAAGCCGTTGATGTCATTCACCGTATCGCGAAAAAGAACAAAGTCAAATCCAACCTCACTGTGCAACACCTCCTCGATGCCGCAACTCCATATCTTGAGCCAGGATCTGAAATGCCCCAAGTCAAATTCACGACATGGGGTCTGCTTGTCAATGGCCTGTCTGTGGTTCTCCTTCGCAGCTATGGTGTCAATTTATTGATGATATTCTCAGAGAGCATCTCAGTTTCGATAATGTCCGCGGTCTTTTTGCTACGCCGCGACTAGCCTACTCGTCCAGTCTGATCATTTTCATTTGTATGGATTTCTTTGGTTGTCAAGAGCCACCTTCATCTTGACCCTCCTGATAGATGGTGCACTTGGACTGGCGTATCCACTTTTCAACGCATTCTTGTATTCACCCTTTTCTTCTCTCAGTTCGTCGTTCTGATGTTGCGCACAGGGGAGCATATTTGTCCAGCCGTGAAAAGGACACGGGAAATACTGGGATCGATGCAACATATTGTGCGACCACGATTTCACATATCGACCAAGACTGACTAAAATTCAAGCTGCCTACACCTACCAGGCAGCATGCGGAGTGGGTGGCTCTATACTAGCCGCTGCAATGGTTCAATGGTCCCGGACTGGTCGTAAATTTTCAATGGCGTGAGTCGCATTCCTCACCCTTGTGTGCATTCTATGCATCTCATCCACGACAATAGCATATTCACCATCCTCTCTGGCGTGTTCCTGTTTGCACTCACGTTCGTGCACATTGTTGTTACAGAAATTTGCTTACCTTGCCATGTCAGGGCTGCTCGCACGTCCGTTCAAGTGAATGCACTCGTCTCCATTGCGAGTTTCTGGGAGAACGCCTTTTACGGAGTGCGTTGAGTTCTCGGCTGATTTGTTTGTCCGACCCTTTGTAGGTTCTGTATGGCTATGCGCCTGAGGTATTCCCAACCCCTCGCCGCGGCACAGGCGATGCATTTGCGGCTGCCTCAAGTCGTGTCACCGGTCTCTTCGCTCCCAGTCAGTCTTTCTACTCCATGCGTATCCTCTCGGAAGCCGATATAGTTTCCTAGTCATTGCGGTGTACAGTAATGCGGGAAAAACTCCGAACGGGTGAGTCCCTCACCCCAGACCCATCCGTTCCGTTGCTGAGTGAATTCTTTTCAAGCCCGGTTTACGCCAGTGCTGCCATCTTCATCTTTACCGGGCTGACGATGCTCGGACTTCCCATAGAGACCGTGGGGGTTACAGCGTATGAGCTCCTTTTTGCTGCGAATGCCATTTAAGCGACATCTAGACTGTAAACAAAAAACTCACGAACGCGATCACGTGATGATGTACCGACAAGGTACCGCACGATCACGAGAGGCTTCCAACGGAGTCACGGAATGTTCTTCCTGATTCGAAATATACGAGCCATAACGAATCTCAAGCTACTTATCAGAACTGGAAAGGAGCTTGAATAAAACTTTATCGATGTGTTTGAGATTCTGTTCTGAGAATTGGGCGTTCGCCCTCGACAAAGTCACTCACACGGAACTGCTTGAATCTACGGATTACAGAAAGCATAAAGTAAAAGTCTTTAGTCGCTGTCGATCATAATAGCATCGTCATCATCGTCCACACCAAAATCTGGCGTTGGGCTTCTCTCCCTCTGCTGAACTTTGGGTGGTCCTCTTTGTGGAACCCGCGGGACTCTCGCGCCGCCTGCTCCGACAGGCCCGAGATCGCGGGGAACAGAGGCCCCAAGAGTGTTGCCTTGGCCCACGGTGGACGCCCAAGTGGGTGTCTGAGATGTGCTTTGCGCTTTCTCTTTCTCCTTGCCTTTGGCCGTGGTTGATTGGCGACCGTTCAGGGTATTTCCACTGCCTCCGAAGGAAGCATTCTGTTCACCCAATCAGACGCGAAAGGTAAATCAGTTATCATACACACCTCTGGAGAAGGAGAAGAAGGTTGTGCAGGCTCAGGAGGAGGGACATAGGTCGCAACATTGAAGCCAAAGAAAAGTTGGCCGAATGGTAAATTCAGCGCCGCAGGCACTTTGACATCGCTTTCGAGAGTTTCATTGTTTACGATTCGATGTTGGCTATCAGCTCAAGTTAGGTGGATTATTCGAAATGACGAGAAGACATACTCGGTGCGATAAATCCTGCTCGATTCCACGACAGCCTCGGCCTGACGCACAGAAATGCCCTTGCCTTTGGTCTTCCTTCCCGCAAGTGTTTCTCCCTTCCCTTTGAAGCTCTCCCACTTGTCGCCATCTTTGCTGACACCGGCGTTCGTGGAAGGCCCTGCGAACCCGCCTCCAAGCGACGAAGCTGGCCGAGATGATCCGGGAGAAGAGGAATCGAGGTCAATCTTGAGTTTGGAGGCCATCGTTGGCGGCGGAGCAGCTTTTGGCCGCTCTGGCTCGACATAACCCACGGGAGTAGCAAAATCGACCTCGAGATCGGTGTCGTGGATATTGATTCCCTCCCCGCCTGGCTTGGTCTCCATAACGAGCAGGCCAAACACGATGCTGTTGTATTTGATTTCTATTATGTCCCCTTGAGTCAGAGTCGAGAAGTTTCGCATGGCTTGTTCTAAGCTATAAGTTTATTAGGAAGGGAAGAATACCACAATAAGGATAGCTTACACTGCCTTGGGGTCGGAGAGATGGATGAAGTGAACGCTCTGCGCCTGGAACTTGACGAACTTGCCCTTCTCGAGTTCAGCCCCCGAAATCCTGATTGGGTCACCCTCATTTAGCCTGAGGGACTTCATCATCCAGTACGGGAGATGCACGGATCCTTCATCGGCAATAAATTCGAGCACACCCGCATAGGTCGACGCTGCTGAGTTGGCTGGATTGCGCAGCTTGAAAATCCAAGGCGATGGCATGTCCGACGCGGTAAGATTGGCTAGTGCAGAGGGGGGCATGATGACTTGAAGTCGAGTTAGACAAGCATTGACCAAGAAACGGACACGCACTCTTGCCGCCATAAGAGACGTTGTCGCGTTCCTTGCCAGGCAGCATCGCGACGCTATATGCCCTCAGGTATTCCTGCAAGGAGTTCAAGATTCCCCGGAGCACGAGATGTAATCACCACTGACATCGTAAGGACCACCTCGACCAGCAGCAAAGCCACTTGAGATAACTAGAGTCAGAATGCGGATGATATGGAGTTGGAGAAACTGACCCCGCGGCCGCGCCAAGATGCGAGAGGAAGTTCTGGTGACCACTGAACTGGAGAAGTGTGAGTCCCAGTTGAAATTTTGTCAGTGGACACTCACAAAGGTCATGGTGGGTGCCGCGTAATGAGAAGTGTGACGCCCGAGTCACGCTCACGCGTCTTGACACTCGAAAAATGGCCACCAAATCTAAGGCCGCGTCTGGCGCCAATGCATCTTTCAACGACAAGGTCTTGCTTTCTCTACGGCGCATACCCAGTCCTTTGACGCGTTGCTGATAGGGAAAGCCGATGGAACTCCGGCTCTCGAATATGGTTGCGGCTAAGGGCAAGTTATCGAACATGCGAAAATTCGAGTTGGATTCAATTTTCGTTTAGCTATTAGCGACGCAGTCAGGACCTCTCTGGGCCCTCGCGGGATGGACAAGATGGTGTGTGACAGCATCTGCTTTATGGTCGTCTGTTTATTTCGCCTCAGATCCAAACGTCCAAGGGGGAGGTCATCATCACTAACGATGGTGCAACGATACTCAAGAGCATCCAAGCGCTCCATCCGGCCGCAAAAATGGCAAGCGCGGTCTCCCAGACGAGCTTTGCAGATTTAACTGGTTTATCAGCTCGTCGATCTCTCTGCCGCCCAAGATGTAGAAGCTGGAGATGGAACCACCTCCGTTGTCGTGCTTGCCGGTAGCTTCTTGGGCGCCGCTGAGAAGCTGCTGCAAAAAGGCATCCACCCCAGTGTCATCGCCGATTCTTTCCTCAAAGCCTCACCAAAGGCTGTCGAGTTCCTAACAGAATTATCGACACCAGTGAATTTGAACGATGAGCAAAGTCTACTGCGAGCAGCCAGCACTTCTCTAAACTCTAAGGTGGATTCCGTCTTCCTCCTACTTATTTTTCATACTCACTTTCCTTCTCCAGATAGTTTCCCAATATTCATCCACCCTTGCACCCATTGCCGTCGCTGCGGTAACACGACTGGTCACGCCAACATCGTCCAATGTCGACCTTCGCGATATTCGTGTTGTTAAAAAAGTGGGCGGCACTATTGAAGACACGGAACTCGTCGAAGGGGTCGTGCTCAACCAGAATGTCATTGTGTCAGCGGGCGGCCCGACGCGGATGGAGAAAGCCAAAATCGCAATCATACAATTTCAGCTGAGCGCGCCTAAACCGGACGTAAGAAAATCCATTCCATATTTCCGGTCTTTTCACTCATTTGACTAGATGGACAACACCGTTGTGATCAACGACTACCGGCAAATGGACAAAGTCATCAAGGAGGGCCGACAGTACCTCCTCAACATGTGTAAAAAAGATCAAGAAGGCCAACTGCAATGTCCTTTTGATCCAAAAGTCGATTTTGCGTGACGCAGTCGACGACACATCCCTCAATTTCCTGAAGCGTCTCAATATCCTCGCTGTCAAGGACGTGGAGCGCGACGAGATCGAGTTCCTATCCAAAAGCCTTGGGTGCAAACCCATTGCTGATATCGACGCGTTCACGGAGGACAAGCTGGGATACGCCGATCTCGTGGAAGAGGCTTCACAGTCGGATGTCAAAGTTGTGAAAATAACTGGCATCAAGAACCGCGGGCGGACGGTCAGCATTCTCGCTATGGGAAGCAACAATCTGGTCGTCGAAGAGTGCGATCGGAGTTTGCATGATGCGCTTTGCGTTGTGCGCTGTTTAGTCAAGAAACGGTGAGGGTTACGCTAGATACCTTTGACACTTGGAACTCATGCAAATCAGAGCACTCATCTGTGGTGGCGGTGCCCCTGAAATCCATGTTTCAAGGCAACTCTCACAATATGCACAATCGTTGAAGGGAATGGAAGCATACTGCTTCCAAGCCTACGCCGACGCACTGGAAGTCATCCCCACTACTCTGGCCGAAAATGCTGGGCTCAATCCCATCGCTATCGTGACTGAGTTGAGGAACAGACATGCTCTCGGAGAGAGAACAGCTGGTATCAACGTTCGCAAGGTAGTTTTCTAGTGTTTAATTCTCGCAATGCCTGACGTCTAACTAGGGTCTTATATCGAACATCCTGGAGGAAAACGTAGTACAGCCGCTGTTGGTGTCGACGAGTGCGATTGAGCTGGCGACGGAGACGGTGTGTCTGCTGCTGAAGATTGACGATTACGTACAAGCAAGGTAGTAGATTAGACGGCATCAAAAAACACTTTACATCATGCCCAAACGAAGTGAACCCGACGCGTCAAGCTCAAGGGCGCCTCCCCAAAAAGAAAACGCGATTTGTGGACCCCTCTGAGGACCCGGCCAACTTTGAAGAGCAGGTTGAGTCGAGTCTGGAGCAGCGGTCCCGCAAAGGACGGGTGAAGAATGAGGGATATGATTCTGATTCGAGCGACGATGGGGAAGGGGTGGTGCTCAGTCGGCGGAAAGACGAAGACGAAGATGACGACATGTTTGCTGTTGGGAAGGAGGACAGCAAAGGGGAGGAGGGAAAGAAGAAGAAGGAGGAGCAGTATCTGAGGCTGGGGGACATTGACGGCCAGGTGTTCGGCGACTCTGGCTCAGATCACGCCTCGATCAGCAGCGAAGAGGACGAGCCAGAAGACGAAGACGATGCGGAGAGAAGAAAGAAGGCGGGGATGGGATTCGAGATGTCGTCATTCAACATGCGGGACGAAATGGAGGAGGGCAAATTCACAGAAGACGGCAGCTATGTGCGGACATTCGACCCTCATGGCACCCACGACCGCTGGATGGAGGGCGTCGATGACCGCGAAATAAAACAGGCCAGGCGGCGGAAGCGGAGGCAGGAAAAGGAGCAGAAAGAGAAGATAAAGGCGGAAGAAAAGGAAATCCAAGAAAGCGGCGGCATCGACGCGCTCAACCTCCAATTACTCGCGATGCTCAACAAAGGCGAGACCGTACTGGAAGCCCTCCAGAGGCTTGGTGTCGAGGCCAAAAAGGCGGGCAAAAAGTTTGTTTCATTAATTCACTGTGAAATAAATCTTGCTGAAAGTTTCGCCAGAGCTGGCAAATCCAAAGCAGCAGACGCCGACAAATCCAAGACGACACCAATCGAAACCATGACCCATCTGGCATCCACCATCATGTCCCTTGGAGACACAGACATCTACTCCAAAACTTACGAGGAACTCGTCCGCGCAGTCCGTTCCTCAAATCTCGTCGACGCCAATTGGATACCCCCGTCCAACGACAAAACATATGAATACAAATGGCGAGAAGGAAACGAAACCTTCGGGCCATTCGGCAAAGATGACTTACTCTCATGGTTCAAAGCGTCGTATTTTGGGTCAGTGGGAGAAAAAGTCCAGGTTCGGGAAGCAGGCGGGGAATGGGGCAGCTGGGACGATTTCTTTGACTGAATGTACAACTAGTTGAAGTGCGAAATGTACTGGAAAACAAAGGAAACCTCAGGCTGGTCGACCTCGGCGCGCAATAGGTCGTCGTGGTTATTCTTGAGTTCGGCATTCGTGAAATGGTTCCATCTAGGAGAGTTCTGAGCAAAACCATCCAAACCGTAAGGAAATCCATACGTGCTTGCATCTCCATAGAGCATGGCCGGCGCCTTCAAAACCTGTTTACCGTCCTTGCAGCGCTTGCATTTAAACGTCTGATGTGTGTCCGAAAGCGTCTCCTCGTTGAAAAGGAAAAGCTTCCGTAAAGCATCGACGGAGAAATGGCGCTCGGTGTCCTCTTTCTCGTCAACCACTGCCGACGACAGAGCTTGCTTGCTGGCCTGCCGTTGGAAGATCTTCTCCTCGATAGTCCCAGTCGAGATAAAGCGATAAACGAAGCCTGGAGGTCATCAACACTCAAAATCGAAACATGAGTAAAATGCGCCAACACTCTTTCTTCTGCCCGTCACGCCAGACCCGGGCCAGCGCTTGCTGATCAGCAGCGGGGTTCCAATCTACAAACTTGTCAGCGTCTCGGGATGAACGAAACCGGCCTGCTTACCAGGATCGAACAAAATAAGACGGTTCGCGCCGATCAAATTGATACCGCACCCACCAGCCTTGCTGCTGAGCAGAAAAACGAACTCTTTGCCCTCCGGATCATTGAACAGGTCCACCATCTTCTGCCGTTTCCCGATCGACAGCGAGCCATCGAGCCTGAAGTAGCCGTATCTTGATACCGAGCCATAGTCAGGCGTGCTTGGTCTTGTTGAGAAGCGCTTACTTTTTACTCCGACATAGTTTTTCGAAGAGATCCAGGGTTTGCGTGTAATTGCTGATCAGCACGATCTTGTCGTTCGTTTGCGTACGCAGTTGATGCAAAAACCTGGTACCTCCAGGTAAACATACGGATTTGCCCTCGAGGAAACAAAGTACCTTTCCAGGACCATAAATTTACCCCCCCATTCGCTTCGAATTGGCTGGGTTCTACCACTTTTGTTGTTGGCCTCAGCGCCGCCGCGAGGGAAGTCCTCTGGAAGCAGCGGATCGCATCCGTGCAGATCCGCAGGCAAGTTAAGCAACTCAGGATGGTTGCACAGTTTCTTCAAAACGTTTATCGCTTTCAATGGTTGCGAGTCTTTACCCCTGAGCAGTGCTTGAATTTCGGGCGACCGAATAAAAAGACGATATAGTTGCAGCTGAAGATCGGATAGTTTGCAGAAGACGACCTGCTCGTATTTAACGGGCACTAAGGAAGAGTTAGCTGCGGTTGTGTTTTGAGTGAATTTGCGACTGACAGTATTTCGAGAGCAAGTCATTTGTTCTGCGAATGATGAACTTGGTGACCAGCCCGCCGAGTTCCTTCAGTTTCTTCTCGCTCTGTTCCTTGACAGCGTCCGTCGCATCGGAGTCTCTCCCCCGGATAATGGCGTTCTCGAAATTCTTCCGAAAGTCATTCTTGGATCCCAAGAAATTCGGGTTTGCAAAATTGAGGAGCGAGAAGTACTCGGTGAGGTCGTTCTACAGGGAGTCAGAAAAGTATAAGAACCTTGGGGAAACCGACCTGGATAGGTGTCCCAGTGAGAATAACCCTCCGTTTGACGTCGATTTGGTTGAGTGAGGTAAAAGTGAGGGAATCTAAGCTTACTCAGCGATCAGCCCGCCAATAACGATCAACACGAACCAGAGTTCTTCAGTCTGTGCCCTTCATCGCAGAGCATAAGCCCGACGGTACAATTAGCAAGATAAGGAGTCATCGTCCTCAAAGTTTCATACGATACTATCATGACTGTGGAATGTTGAGCTGCATAATCTCAAGGAAGCTGTCGCATTACCTGGTTGCGTAACGTTTCTTCCTCTTGCCGCCACCCACATAGCGACCTTCTCGAGCATATCACGCTTGGTTCCCTTCCCATCGACGGCGAGAGCAGAAATTGCATCAGGTCCAAGCCATTTCACTGTCGAGATCAAATAGGTATCATTTTCTTTAGCAGCGGTAGACTCAGACGTACCTAGTTCGTTGGCCCAGTTCTTTACCAAACTGGAGGGACAGACAATGATGCATTTTTCGATGGAGGGTTTGCCGCTGTGAGGCGATTGCTTGAGCAGGGTCCATAACAGTGCAATGCACTGTAGCGTTTTACCGAGACCCATTTCATCTGCCATGATGCAGCCATAGAGATTGTCGGCGAGCATTCCGGTCGTGCATTTGTACAAAAACTATCAAGGTCAGCCAAACTCTCGGCGAAAGATGCGACAAACCTTGACACCCTCCACCTGATGTGGACGGAGGACTTTGCTCAATCGAGGATCGATGACGACGGGCACTTTGGGGGCTTGCTTCTTGTCTTTCGTCTCTCCCAGCATTTGTCGTAGGCTTTTATGCGGATTGAACATGCCCGCCGTCTTGGCCCGTGCTTCCTCTGCAGCCTTCTCTTTCGCTTCCTCCTTCTCCCGCTCTCGCTTTTCCTCGTCAGTTTCTCTGTCGTCGATTGTTGGGTCATAAAGTACGATTGCGTGGCCATCCATTGGGTCATGCAACGGCCGCGGTATGATTCGAACCGGCGGACGAATTCCGAGCGCGACATTCGTCGGGATATGAGTGATGACTTTGCCGTCCTTGGTCATTTCTGGCATGGAGAATCGGCGGGCGCTAAGCTGTTGGAACGGTGTCGCCTTGAACACAGGATATTGCTTCACAGCGGCAAGGAGCGCTTCTTCGTTGTGATAATTTCCGTCTTTATCCCTGTCGTCCTTCTTCTTCTTCTTGCTCGGCCCATTCTCGTCCTCGTCGTCACCATCCCCGCCATCTTGTCCCTTGTACGACACACGTTTCCGCTTGCGCTGAGGTTGCGGTCGTTCAGCGAGAAAGGTGGGGGCTTTGAAGGGCTTGTTGACTCGTGTGCTTTCGATGGGCCGTACAGGCTTTCCGTCGCTCGTTGTCGGTGTCCGTTTAAGCATATGCCACCAAGGAAAAGAAATATTAGACGCGTAGTTGTAGTAAACAAGTCGCTGAGTCACGCTCTGCACGAGATCGCGCGGACTTGGGAGCACAGCCACATCACAAACCATGTCTTCTCTCCTCATCTCAGCATTTGCGCCATTCCCGACTCTTTCGCTCAGCGTCGACTCGGGCACCCTAATAGGCGACGTGCCAGCTCTTCTTCATGACCGTTATCCCCTCCTTCCCGAAAATGTTGTCCTCTCTACGCACTGTGGTGTTGTCGACCTGAACACACCAGTCTCCTCTCTACACATCGACGGCAGCTCCTTTGTGACCCTGCGCCTCACCCCTCGTCTTCTGGGTGGAAAGGGTGGGTTTGGTTCGCAGCTTCGGGCGGCTGGGGGGCGGATGAGCAGCCAGAAAACGAACAACAACGATTCCTGTCGAGATCTCAGTGGTCGGCGGCTAAACACTATAAAGGAGGCAAAGAAGTGTGTGCTGATTTTTTACTATCCGCCGGTCAACTCATATCACTTTGTAGGCTCGTCGAGTATCTTGAGGCTGAGCCAGAGCGGCTGAAGGCTAAGGCTGAAGCAGAGAAAGCAAAGCTCGAAGCTCTGGAACGTAAGCTAGGCATTGAGCCAAAGAAATCCGAGCCGGGCTCTTCCAAGTCCACGGATCCTCCTGTGCTCGCTGGAAAGAAGCATCGGTTTGACGATACCGAGTACTTGGAGCAAAGTCAAGATCTCGTTGACGGGGTAAAGAATGCGGTTTCTGCAGGTGTGTCTTTCCCTTTATACACTTTCTTCATTGCCTTATTCCGCTCTAGCACTGCTCAAAAAGAAAAAGAAAGCAAAACTAACGCATCCCACCACTACCAAACCCGAATCACCGCCTGTTGTAACTCCCACTCCTGCTGCGGTCGAAGCAATCGGTGCATGACTAGTCATTACTTCGTACTTACTTTGTACTTTGTACACGACAATCTACCATTTACTAGCGGATTCTATGACTTCTACATAAGCGACGTCGTTCTCGATAACCAATTCAGAGAGGTAGATGCTGCTCGAGAAAGCCAATAGTGCTGCAGGGAGGTTGAGCCGAGGAACCAGAGCTTCTGAGGAGCCGAAAGCCATAAATTGACTTCCCACCATCATCGTGAACTATAAGACACACATTGAGTTGAATGTTCAAAGAGCGGTTAACTAGTCACCATTTCTCCCTCCGCTAGTCTGGACTGAAACCTTTGGAAATGTGCAGCTTGCTCCGGCGTCGCATTTGAGCCTAGTTCAGCCCGCGCTGATGAATTCCCAGTTCGAACTGTGTCGAGTAGCTTCTGAGCATTGCGTGGATTGAAAAATTGTCCAGTGATGGGCTGGCCGTCTTGTGAAGGGAAAGATTCACTTGGGTTCAGAAGAGTCACGGGGAGCACGATGTTGGTATCAAGCTTCAGAGAGAATGTTTTGCTTGATTATAGAGGTCAATAAATTGCAAGAAAGGATAACAAGACATACGAATCGCAACTCGAAGACGGAACCATAGACGATCCAAAGCCACTTTGAAAACGCTCAACGATCGGAAAACAAGAACTGATATAGACGAACAGGGGGCCAAAGATAGTGGAACGCCTCCAATTTGTTGGTGGGGTTGGATGTGGAACAGTGGAAGAGGAGGGGAATAAACTGTTCTTGGCTGCTGCAATGCTATACCAGGATGAGAGAATAGCATCACATCAACGATACAACGCACTTTTGTTGCAGAGTAACTTCCGGCGAGGGAGGGGGAACATCTTCTTCAAAATCATCTAGCCCATCTGCAGCCTTGGGATCGATCCCGCTGAGCTCATGGAGATTGTCAATTTCTTCAGGTTGGTCTGTAGGCTGTTGGGTTCTTTGAACTGTTTTGAGGTTGCCTTTCTCGGCACGCAATATGGAACTAGGAACATTTGGCGCAGTTGCAGCGGAAGAACGTCCTTTACGTTCAGAACGTCTTGGAGTCTGAGAACCATTGGACGGGCCAGCAGTCGGTCCCGATTTGTCGATAGCCTTGACACGCTTGGCTGCAATACCGTTGTCCATGGTTGCGAAATCATCGACCATCTTAACGAGAGGGTTGGCAGCTCTGGTTTTATGGCTGGGCGCCTTCTCTTTCTTTTCTGTTTTGGGCACTGGGGGCATCGGTACATCCTCCTCTTCAACGACAGTCGGTTCGTCATCTGCGTCGATAGGCGGCCGCTCGCCTTCAGAAGCAGCAGAGGGAGAAGGAGGTACTTCATCGTTTGGTGAGGGACTCCGTACAGGTTTACGACGAGTAGAGCGTGTCGAAATGGACTGTGTCAATTTCGGCGGGCCACGAGGTGTCCGAGGGCCTGAGCTACGCGCCACGGGTGCAGAAGCGGATTCTTCTATGGATTCAACTCGTCCTCGCTTGGTTGGTTTCCTTTCCGAACTTGAAGGTTCAGCGATTTCCGGTGAATCCCTTCGCCTCTTGTTTGCTTTGGTTTCCCTTGCTGAATTGGAAGTAGATGCCGATTCCCCTTTTCCTTTCAATTTAGGACGGCCACGACCTATAATGCCACCTTAGATGCAAAACACGAAATAATTGCCACCACGCACGAGCTGGGGTTGGGGTGAATATCTCTCCGACCGTAAATTGTGTCATATTCTGGTAATCCCGTCCGTCCAAGTCCAACTTAGCCCAAAAAGAGTCCACTAGCCCCTCAGAGCCAACGAAAGAACCGATAGGCTCCCAGCTGCAACAACGATTGGACAACTGAACACAGAAACATGAGAACATACGTATTCTGCGAGACAGGGTATCCTTTCCACTATTGAGTGGCTTCAGCTAAGCAGAATGGTAAAACAGCGTTGGACCCCGACCTTGACATCGTACTCCCAGAACTGTTTTTTCTGCTTGCGCACGACTTTAGCCCCGTGGATCGCTTCTGGGGGACGATTAGCAAGTTAACGGCGACAAAGCTCCGTCCGCACCGACTTCGAATTCGTCTGCCATGATCCTGTTCTGTTATGGAACCTGGCTTCACCAGCTTCACGACCAAGGCTGGGGAGGTTGTTCTAAACAAGAATATGTGTCACGTCACGACACGCGCTGTGTCACAACTCGACGAGAGCCGACCTCGACGATGCCGGAGGGCCACTCTTTTTTACCTCGGTTTGCCTTAACCAATGGCAATAATGCTCCGTTAAATAGAGCTATATAGGATCCAGTCAGTATTTTACAGCGTCTTCGATGTTACTTTTGGGCCCAAAGTCGTCTACCAGGTCCGCCAGCTACCTTCGATCTGGTCACTGTTGATGACAATAGGTTCCTGAAGGGCTTATAGCGACTGGAATTGCGCCATCCGACCCTCAGGTTCCAACACTTGCCTCACGCAACTCAAGCTCCTCCTTGGTTTCCCCCAGTCTACCTTCTCCTCAAAAACGCCCGTCAAGCACAACCTTGTTCAACTTCGACGACATTTCGAAATATGTGATTCCGCAAAGTCAATTATGTGGTCGTCTAGTCACTTGCTCGACCAAAGGCCATCGCATCATTGGCTTTCCTGTCCAACTCTCTGGTCCGAAGTATCAGAGGAACTATCTGCGATATAACTTGTGCTTCGTTTTCAACCGTGATGCCGACCTAAGCTGTTATGAACCCAGTATGGGCCTTGGAATCTTCCCCCTGCCGTGCTCACTTTCTACTTAGTTGTGCGGAAAGTCAGTCGTGTGTTGACAGCTTGCGAGGAAGAGTCGGAATTCCTATCCTCCCCCAAAACATCCCCAGCAATCCACGCCATTTTGGAACAACTATATGAAGATCTCAATTCTTATTCCGAGACCTCTATCCCTATTGACCGATTCAACTCCATCGAACTCAAGATCTTTCCCTTCTACCCTAACCCACCTCAGGTCAAGGACTGGATGGTGCCGCTAGCCCTTATCAACTTATCCAAGCGAATTGAACCCAACTGGGATCTGACTATGGTCAAAGTGAGCTACAAGTTTACCGGGTTTCTCCCCTTGATCATCGCCAGGTCTGTCGACATATCGACGGAGTAAACCACATCAGTCGTATTGCCCACTTGGCCGACTGCGATCTCTCGTTGACTCGCATAGCCATCTCACATTTATTGCAAGTTAACCTCGCCACTTGAATGCACTAACTTGAGTTTCTCAAGATACTATCAAGTAATCATGACCATTGACATATTCCAATACTCCAACATGTACACTTTACGTGCCAGCGTCCAAAGTCTCGCCACTGAAGCCGACGTAAAGCAGGAATGTGCTGCTTATGTGACCAAGCCGGGTTGGTTAAACGTTCACAAAGCCAAAGTAGTCTTACTCTCTACTAGGTCACCAGTTACCGGACTGGCCACAACTATTGCATTTGTATTCGCGGCTCAAGCAGGGGAAAACCGTTTTTGAATGGATGGAAAGTCATCAAGTTCAATCGTTAGGAATCGACGTTCGGCGATTTATCAGTTTTGGGGTAATCAAGGTAGGGAGCACAATATTAGAGGAGCTGCGTCATGCTTATCATCCCAAACAAAGGGATTCCTTCGACGAGTGCATCGGTGGCCAATTTTACTTCCCCCAGAACCCATCGCTAAGAAGACGGAGCCTGTTGTCCAAGGCCGGACGAGGATTAATAGCCTTTCGGGGTATTCTCCGCTGCCTTCAACCCCTCCAGTCGAACCATCTTCCCTTTTAAGAGGAAGGACACCACAAAACACGCCCATCATTCCAACTATCAGTCCTGACTTGATATCCTCAAGTATTCCCAATGCACGTGCCCCAATTGTCACTCCAAATCGTACCCGTCGACCGAGCGCGGCAGAGGCAATTCTTGAACAACTGCGTCATCGTGATATCCAAAAGTCGGGTCGGGGAGCTAGAACATCATGGATTCATTATATGAATGAGTCTGAGATGACGGTCTCTGAGGAATCGCCAGTTGCTGTCCAACGCAGTGGAGGCTCCGATTCACGACGTCAGTCACTCAGTACTCTTCCCATCAACCCACCGCCATCACCAGTTCAAACCAAAGCGACCTTGGTGCGACCGCAATCAACAAGCTCACCAGCCCGGCCTCCTCCAATCGAAGGCTGGTCAAGTATACCATATCCCAAGGCCCTTCCTCCGCTCTTGGATGGAGAACATCACACCGATGAGCTTGCTGTTCTATTTGAAGCCGGTTGGCCATTGCTTCAACACTGGTTGACAATGATTGGTGGTGGTGATGGGCCTACAGACATGGGGCGTGTAGTTATTGTTTATCGATGAACTATTGGATACATTTCGTCTGCAGAGAGGTTCTAAAGCAATGTACAAAACAAAGGCGATCAGGTATAACTGATTCGCAAGGAGAGACTGAACGGTAAGCTGCGAGAAGTGACAGTGATTTCGCCTCCTGCTGCGACCAAATCTTGAACTTTCTTGGTTAAGTTGGGGCGCGTGGCCGCTTCCAGGTCTGGCGGTGCTTGCAGATAAATCTGTGTCGAGTCGCTGGACAATGAGGGCTTCTTGATTTGACTAAGAATGGAATTAGTTTATAGCAAGAGTAGACGGCTTGAAACGAGACATACACATCTTGCCTCTCGATAAGGAGTTCGATCAGTTGTTCAACCGTCATTTCAGAGCTGATCGGGAGGTCGAGAGAGCTACCACCGCAAACAGGACAGTCGTCGCGCTTTTCGTGCTCGAAAGTATATGAGTAGACCCCGTCGGTGCCGATTAACATGAAATAGTTGTTGAGGAACGCAGCAGAGCTCGTCGCGATCTTGAACGCCTCATTGCAGCATGACGCTTGGTGTGGGTCAGTCTATTGAACCAGATAGAGAAAGGTTTGCAAACCAGCGATGATCGCGTTGGTTGATGCGATTGCAGGAATAATATTTTTTACAACTCCTTGAGTGAGAGACCAAGTGACACCCTCAATGTTGAATTCTTTTGCACGGGCGGAGGCTAGATTATATAACCAGGTAATGTGTTCGGGGTCATCATTGTCCAACTTCTTGTCGGCTGCAACCCATATGAGTGGGGATCAACAAACAGAAGAAGCGCTCACGGCCATGAATACGAGGCCACTCCAAGACAGACGCCCATTCGATGCAGTGCTCTGGTTGTCGGGGGGTGTTGGCAATTGTGCAAATAGGGAAGGCGGTGGGCTTGTTCAGCATGTCGAGAGAGCACTCATAACAGGAGGTGATTGTGGGCAGGATGACTCGTGCTTGACCACGGAAACCCTCAGTTCCTCCATCTATCAGAGGCTTCAGACTCTCTGGGTTCTCCGGATCGACTAAGTTGACAAGAGTGGCGCTCATCCATCGGCGAGCTTCAACCGAGTCAAGACCGCAGATGACCAGGTTGAACTGGAGGTAATAATCGTCGCCTTTATCCTGGATTTTGCCATAGTATCTTGGAAGAGTGAGTATTTATCGGACAGAAAGTTGTGCGACACACGGTGTGACTTGTACGCCCGGGACGCGATTCATGATGAACTCGGCCGCGACAATTGCTTTGGGTCGTCCAACATCCTTTGGTCTACCAGTCATTCAGCTTGGGATGACCCACAGTCAGAAGAGTGACAAACCTGAAAAGGAACTGGCGATTGAGATTGCTAATGTCGATGGTGTCCATGTCGATGACATGGATGTCTTTGAATCCAGTTAACGCGAGATTGGCTAGAATTTCACAACCCAGGCCACCGGCGCCGATGACGAGGATCTTGGCCTTTGTTCGCAAGAACTCTTTAACCTGAGGAAGTGAATATGAGCATGGATGAAGCAGACGAGAAATAAACGCGTTACACCGTCGCCTGCTAGAAAGTCGGGGTCGGTACGGGGCCCGGGCTTCTCCAATATTTGGTCTATATCATAGTAGCGGTCCTACGCGAAAAATAAGCCCTCGATTCAGGCGAAGAAAGCTCAGCTCGGCTCACAGGCCAGTCGGTGCTTGTGGTCGCCATGATTGTTCGAATACAAGTCAAGCCCTGTCAAGTTGGTCAGCCTGACACAGCAAGCTCGGCTGTCACGAAATTTTGGCTAATGCTCATCCAGTTCAGTGGGCACCAACACCTCCGACTTCGTTTAGTCCTTTCAATCCTCAGCGGAAAACCAGTTCGTATCGACAAAATCCGATCCGATGACAAAAATCCTGGCCTACGAGGTGAGAATTTAGCTCGGAAAAGTTTTGGTGGTTGACCGCGACTTTAGACTTCGAAATAAGCCTCCTTCGTCTGTTAGAAAAAGTTACCAACGGAACAGTAATCGAGATATCTGTTACTGGTACTTACTCCTCCTCCAACATCTCTGTGTGCTCAGTTCCATCGAGGTACTGCCCTTCTCCTCAAGCCCGGTATCATATCTGGCGGACCCATAACTCATGACTGCCCATTGTCGCGCTCTGTGGGCTATTTCCTCGAGCCCATAGTCATGCTCGCCCCCTTTTCGAAAAAGCCATTCCAACTCACGCTCCGAGGAATCACGACTGACGACCAGGATCTTTCGGTCTGTTTACCCAAGCGTTCAATTATCCTAGGCTGATAAAACACAGGTCGATCTATTCAGAACTGTAACATTGCCACATCTTCTCCCTTTCGGAGTCTCGGATGGACTCGAGCTGCGGGTAAGCCTACGATTACTTGCTATATTTGAGGTGTCATTAAAGAACCCAGATCAACAAACGCGGCGCTCCACCGGCAGGAGGAGGAGAGGTCCAATTCTTGTGTCCAGTTGTGAAACAGGTCAAGACACTCAACTTCGTCGAACCTGGTAAAATCAACCGAATACGTGGAATTGCGTATGTCCAGCTCGCTTTCCTATTGACAGTTACTGAGATTTCCTAGTCATGCTGTCCGTGTTAGTCCCCAGTTCTCCAATCGCATGATTGAAGCCTCTCGGTCTATCCTCAATCGCTACATCCCCGACATATACCTTTACTCTGATGTTTACAAGGGCGAGGAAAGCGGCAAGTACGTGCAACGTTTGCATCGGTCTCAGAGTTAATCATGATCGCGTAGGTCCCCTGGGTACGCATTGAGTTTGCTCGCTGAGTCGACTACATCTGTTCTATACTGCGCCGAAGCAACATCCCAACCCGGGGTCGCGCCAGAAGATATTGCGTTGCAAGCCACACGAGCCCTTCTCGCTGAGATAGAGCGAGGAGGATGCGTAGACCGCCAACACCAGACTCTAGTGCTACTCATGATGGTCCTTGGAAGTGAGGATGTAGGGCGGTGCCGCATGGGCGCACCAACCTCGCGAACGTTTGTCAGTCCTTTCTTGACAACGTTCCACTGACGTCTATTCCAGAATTCAATTCCTGCGCGATGTCCGGACCTTCTTTGGGACTTCTTTCAAAATTGTAGCTGCAGATGCCTCAGACAAGGAGTCTTCTCAACTCTTATATTCTTGTTATGGTACAGGCTACGTTAACGCTAATAGGACGCTTGCTTGAATTATTTGTACACACTGCATCTACACCTTGTATAATTCAGTTTCTGTAGCAAAACCTCGGGAGACCTACGAGATCTAGACATGTCGATGACCGAGAAAGAGCAACGTCGCACAAAGACCTCCTAGGGCAAAGGTACCGATGAACGGAATCAGGTCGCCAACATGAGAAAGCTGCAGGGAAATTTTGGAGGCTCGAGAATGATTCGAAAAGAAGTTCTGAGGTGAAGGTACTGTGTTCTTTTCCCAGCCTTCGTCGAGTAGTTTGGTTATGGCAGCATCGTCCAGTTTTGTCAAGTCGTCGATCTCCCAAGTATTGCAAACTTCCGACATCCACTTCATTCTACGACGACCCAGTGGACCTCCCACGCCTGGAGAACGCTCTTTGAGCTGCGCTCGCAAGACTCCGACCCGATCGATAGCCTCCCCTTCGCTCCCTGATAAGGCAGCTTGAATTTTCTTCTTCATCAATGCAGCCATACGAGGACCGTTTCCATTGGTCGAAATCATAATTTGCAAAGGGCCGTCACGGATTTGAGCGCCGAAGTAGAAGTCGCAAAGGTCTGGGATATCTGCAGCATTGACGGCTATGCGAGCTTTGCGGCACATCTCGCAAATTTCGCGCGAGCGGTTGGCGTCGTCAAGGGCAGTGAGAACCATGTCCATTTTGTGTATTTCGGCGGGGCCAGAGAAGCGGCGATCATAGTAAGTGATTCGGGAGGGGGTGGAGGTCGATGAGCTCTTTTGTGCGGGAATGTAAGCCTTTGAGAGGAGCTAGCAGCGTAATATGTGCATCGGTAGCGAGAACAGATTCGATTCTTTGACAAGCCACCTCGCCACCTCCGACTATGAGCACATTCTTGTCTTTGAGTTGCCATGCGATGAGCAGTGAGCCGCCTGTCTGCGAGAGAGTAGGTTTACTCATGGAAGCTTGAAGCAAGTGCGTGGGAAAATATCGGAAATCACTGGGCCGAGAACTGAAGATCAACGCTCCTACTTACACCTCTGACAGCCATGAATGCGTGCACTATCGATTTGTACTACCTCCCAGCTTGGCAGCTTGCCGTGCTAGCAAACAATCTCACGGAGAAAATCTCAGCCTCTGAAGCGGAGATGCAAAGGCTCAGCTTGGCTGAAAAGGAGGCCGCTCAACGTAAATGTGCACAATGGTATCGGGAGCGTGCTGAGGTGAGAATCATTTTATCGACTATGAAGCGCTCATTTGTAATAAGCTACATGAAATATATGGTATCACCGCGAATTCCACTACCCCAAAACGCTGACCAGTCGTAGAAATTGTCTCGGCGAAAGAGATGTGGAAGGTGTTCGACCCCCCACCAACTTCGTGGGTTGAAAAGCTGGTGGAGCGTTGGTTTCCCTCCAACCCAAAGGACAAGATCGTTTGAATATGTCGACGCTTGCTCAACAGTTTGTGTACTTTATTATTATTATTATTTTAGTTACATGTCGTGTACTTGGTCAAGAAATCGTAGAAATAAACATAAACCTGTCGCTCTACTTAAAGGCGAAGATAAAAATGTCTTTCAGTAGGCTCGAATAACTTGATCGCATTTGTGACTACCCCAAGACTGCTTTCTTCCGAACTTCGTCTTCTTCTTCAACTTGTTGCAATACCCGGCCTCGGCCTCATACATCGAAAATGGCACAAAAGGCGAAGGGAGACATCAATAAAGCCGGTTGGGAGTCAACCGATTTTCCTGTGCTCTGTGAGACGTGTATGTGGCCTCAAAACGGGTGGAAAAAAAGGCTAATTGAAGTAGGTCTTGGCGACAATCCATTCATTCGCATGTCTAAGCAAGATTTCGGCCGTTCTTGTGGTACTTGTGCGCGGCCATTCACCGTTTTTCGCTGGAATCCCGGAGCTGGTATGCGATTCAAGAATACCGTCATCTGCCAAACCTGCGCCAAGGTGAAGAACGTCTGCCAGACCTGCTTACTCGATCTTGAGTACGGTCTTCCCACCCAAGTCCGCGATATGGCGCTTGGAGTCACAAACGAAGCCCCGACAAGCGACATAAATCGAGAATATTATGCGCAAAATATGGAGTCTAAGGTGAGTGCATGTCTGTGCTCCCACGCTACGAAAGCTGATCTGAACGTTAGCTTCAAGCTGGTAGTACTGGCATCCAGGGTTCTGGGCCAACTCGCTCGCAGTCCGCTGGCAAAGAAATGCTAAAGCAACTCGCTCGAACCGACCCATATTACAAACGTAACCGGCCACATATCTGCTCCTTCTTTGTCAAGGGCGAATGTAACCGTGGAGCCGAATGCCCTTTCAGACATGAAATGCCCGTTGGTGACCAGCACCAGAATATAGAGAAAAACATCCAAGACCGCTATCATGGCAGGGAGGATCCTGTTGCGCAGCGAATAATGTCCACACATGCAGAAAGCCAAGGACTAAAACCTCCAGATGATACAACTATCGTATGACAGTTCATTTTGACCTTGCAATTTCGCTGACTCGAGGCTTCAGACGAGCCTTTTCCTTCCTTCAGTACCTGCGACTTCGACCGAACAAAGCATACGAACATCTGTGTTCCAGTCACTGTCATCTGTTGACCCAGCCGAAGTCAAATCTATTGTGCATGTCGCAAAGACCAAGTAAGACTCCTCTTCCTCTTGTTTACTGTCTGGAGCTGAATCGGTACAAACCTCCAGATGCGCATTTGTAAATTTCAAGCAACGGTCTACGGCGGAGGCTGCAGCATATGCATGGTCAAATGGGCTGGATATCGATGGAGAGCGGGTCACTGTGCGTTGGGGACGAGGGAAGAAAAAGGCAGCCGATATAACTCCTGTACCAACACCGCTAGTAGTTGTGACATAGTTGTTTCCTTCCGTTATTAAGCTTGTATCTACAGCCGTGTAATAAAGAGTAATAATCATAAACCTCGCCCGAAACTCACACGACAACGCCACCCATAACCACAGCACCCAGCCAAACGGCGAATGGTAGCACATCCATACCGGAGCCAACAGCTCGGCCCAAGTTGACGATGCCTGGACCGGCTTGTGATCCAATTAGGTTCCAGGCGATGCTATAAAACACTGAATACTTACGACAGAAACCCGAAAGACCCCACCCTACACCAAAGATCGCGGAACCGACAACGAGTTTAGTATCAACCTGACTATTCTTGGGGATGGACCAAGCCCCACCAAGCCGAGGTATTTCGGAGCCACGGGCGTATCGGTAGAGGATAATGCAGGAAGGCAAGGCACCGAAGGCTAAAAACGCGAGTGATGGATCAAATGCTTCGTGCCCAGGAAGAAGCAAGAAGTCGATGACCTTCTGTGCCTCGGTCAGGCTGGAGAGGCGCAGGGCTAACGCGAATTCGAAGCCAGTCGCAAGACTGGCAAGCAGGCGAAACTTAGCGTGAATAGAGTTATCTTGACGTGAAATCTAGAAAAGATTAGTGGGGCAGCAGGAGTGATGGCAGATTACTGACTGAGAAATAGAGGGCGGCGGACGTCAAGAGGGGTATTGTTTGGAGTGCTAAGAGTGTCGAGCCTGTCGCATCCAGAGTCCAGTCTAGCGAAGATCGGGAGCCGCGCTGGTGTTTCGCGTGAACGATGTGGGAGGTGATCGCGCCGGTGCAGAAAAAGATGGTTGTGGCGACAGCAGAGCTTGTGTTGAAGGGTCAGACGGTTGACATATGGGGTCAACAGGCGCTCTACCGAGGGGAAAAACGCGAAAGTCCCGCCAACATATGACCAGATGTGCAGCCATTGGCCATCTTGAATGTCTTGTTAAGCTCGGACCGAGTCAGAGTCGACAGATGATACCTTGGTGCCTACGCCGACCAACAATCCTGAGATAACAAGAGAGAGCGAACCCATATCAATGCGGTCTAAGCTCGGGCCTTCCACCAGACCAACCACTACGCCACCCAGGAGTAAGCCGGCAGTGGAGGCAATGGCTTCTAGATTGCCGCGAAAAGAGCGATGAAGAAAGCCGGAAATTCCAAAGACATTGCTGCAAACGATGACGCGACATTGGACGGGTAATAAGTGTGATTGCCTACCCATTCAGCGTCAAGAGTGCATGCAAGGGGAGGCTCAGACCAAGACCACCGAGAAAGGACTGTAGCGGACGGGCCATGCCCACGAATGGGAGCGCGGATCAGTTAAATACGACGCGTTCAGGCGGCTGACAAGCTATGGGCATGACCGCTCCATAAGCTCCAAATGTCACATGGTCATTCCACAGATAACGAGTCTTCAAAAGACCCTTCTACATCGCTCTGGACTACTCGCTCTTCGACAATCCCGGGAGCAGCACTTACCAAGAGTGATTTGCCAATCATCGTACGCCAGCGGGTATGTCCGTCCACTTCGCACAAAACGTTCTCTACACCTAATACGTCAACAGACTGCATACCGGCAACTCCCCATGACACGCTCGACAGTCGACACAGGACAGCCAGGACGTAATCGTCTTGCGAGTAACCGTTGACCAATCTCCCTGAGACGAGTCGTCGCATACTAGTCCAAGCGGCTATGTCATCTGAAGGAGCTGGAGTTCCGAATAGGTAGACGTCTTGAACCAAATGCAAAGTTTCAGATGGAGGCAGCGATGCAAGGTATTTGAGCGCCTCCATGATAACCAAGGCTCCTATATAGGGGTGAAATTAGTTACCTCGACGCATTGACATGGGCCAAATGAACCAAGAGAATAGCCGGTTAAAGAGATAGGCCTATGACCAAAGACGCGTTTCTCGAGGAGAGAACCGAGGACTGCACCAACTTTGATAGCCAGGGCCTGCGAGTTCATCCAATCATTGTCTGCAGAGTTAATACGTTGGGCCATCGGGTGGGATTAATACTCACCCATGATTTCACCGAACTTGAGTAGGGCGACAGGAGCGAGGGAAGCCATGAGAGTAGCGAATACTGTGCGTTTGAGAACTTCGACTCGCAGATAACGTATTGCATTAGTTTTGACCAATGTTGTGAGAGCATTTGACAAGGATTCTAACAGTTCAACCTCCTATGGCATAATTCAGAATTTCGACCTTTTAGATCGTTTGGTTCAAAGTTACCCATTGCAAGGCAAACGTATCGTCGCCATCCGCATCGAATATGGTCCATGGCGCAATGACATCCTCCTTGGAAGTCAACCAGCCACTTACACACAACCGCACGGCCAGTGCCTCGTGCTCTTTCGGTGGATGAACAGGGACGATATCCAGATCTTTCACCTCCCTCGTATGTCGGCGAACCATGCTGGACGTTGTGTGCCCTCCGTAAACACCAAAAAGGGCACCACATATTACAGTAGAACCTGGCAAATTAACTTCAGTACCGGAGTCCGAATGACAATAGAAAGATTAGTACTTGCGAGAGCAGTCGCGAGTAGACCGGCTGCCGTCCCGCCCACACCAAGGATACCGAGCACTGTGCCAACACTAGCGCCAACGAGAGGAGCCGCAAGCCCGCCGGTGACCCCAACAAGCTCTTAGATCGTCAATGCCAGAATGAAACATGTTGGTGTAATTCATACCACGCCGCCGGCAACGGCAGCCAGCCCTACGCCAGCCATCCTCAACAGTTTTCCCTGCTGCGAATGCTTTTCCCTGGTCGCTTCTACTATCTTTTTTGTTTCTTCAATTGCACGCTGAGGATTTTTGAGCGCGGCTACAATCAGCCGTTCATCTAGGGACCCAAAGGTGGATAAAAACGAGCGAGTAAGGGCTGAGAATTCTTTGGTGTTGGCGATGTTCAAGAAAGCAAGAGCGTTGAGAAAGCGATTCATTATTTCTGGGGGTGGAAGGCGAAGATGTGCAGTAGCGGTATCGGTCAAGGGGTCGAGTTCGGGGCAGTGGCCGCCGCCTGGTTCACCACAGATGACGAAGGCAACTTCGATGAGACCTTGAGCCCATTGTTGTATACTCGTTTCATGCGCGTGGCGAGCTTCTGGACTCAGAGTCTGGTCTTGTGAGGAGTACAGAAAGAGGGTGTTGCGAAAGGATGCGAGGCGGCGAAATAAATGGGTGAAGATCGTTTCCCGCTCATGTTCGCTGAGCCCTTGCGGGGGAGTAAGTCGACTCAGATCGAGATCCATGGTTTAGATCCTATTATTCCGTGAATTCCTGTATTCCAATAGTACGTCATGGTTACATGCCGCTGCAGCGACCGAGTCAAAGGCTGATTCAGCACGTGACACAAGTCCTTCATGGCAAAACCCGAACTTGCCCAGATACAACTATGGCGCCATCTCCTTTCTTGTGTTGACTGCTGACCGGTCAGCTCTCCCTCGTCGCGACAAGGGCCAGGTGCCCAACAACACCCCAATGAAAAACAGGCTACAGGTCGTCTTCCATTAAGCCACTGTTTCCCTCCATTTCATCGACGCCCTCTGGGTCTAACACAGTCACCGCCACCGGCATTGACACATCCAACCCAAAAAAGACGGTGCCTCGAAATGCATAAGTAAAAGGATCTGAGGAAATCTACACTCGAGTATCCAGAAGAAAGTAACCTGCGTCGACTTGTGCTCCAGTAGATGTTGGGCAAGGTGAAATTTGTTGGCAATTCGCAAACAAGGGAACGGCAAATGGTAAATCACTGGCGTCAGACTCTGCCTCAGAGCGCAACAAGTCCTTCAGATAATACCTCTAGCTACACGATGTTCCGTCTCACAGAATGCATCCAACAATCAGCTCAGCTGTGCAGTACTAGTGACGACCTGTTGAAAGTGGCAACCACTCTTTTACGTGTAAAGTCAGACTCTTTACGTCTTGTCTCAAAGCCATCGCCTTCTCTCCAGCTACGACGGTCCTATGGCAACTCCAACCACCGAGAACTTCGACAACGTCGAGAACGTCGACAATGGCGCTCAGAATCTCGTTTTCAACCAGCTGATGCAGTTCCACGCCATTTCGACCATCGACAAGATATTAGGGCCAGACTGGCGGAAGATGTTGCAAGAGTCGCTTGGTTTCGATAGCCTCGTCGCGCAGCCGCTAATCCCTGGACCAAATGGAAGAAGACGGAAGAAAATCATTGGCAACTTTTCAAAGCATTCATTTACACAGCTACCACTACTAACCTAGGTCTTGTCAACGGCCGTGCTTCACCTCGCCTGAGGCGATATGCCGCCTGGGTGACACCACTTGCTGCGACGGAGTTCGTTGCCTTTTGTGGATATCTTATTCTCTAGTATCCCTTCTTCTGCCATCGCACGTACTCCTGTTGTCACGCCAAATTTCTCTCCAAGTACATTCAAACAGTCTTGTCCTTTGATTTGAGAAACCACCTATCCACCAGCTTATCGATCCACGTAGTCGGTGGAGGATCGGATTTTTTCCTCCACTCTTTCGCTAAGACAATCGCTGTGACGGGTCAGCGTTATTAACACACAGTAGAGCTCGAAGTGGTACCACATATTTCTTGTATCTTATGATAAATGAGCGCCCCATAGGTAAATAAATCTTGTCTGACTCTCACCTCAGCACGCTCTCGATACCATTCTTTACATTGACTTTCAGCAGCCTCCCTTTCAGCAGCAGTCAAGTCAGGACTCTGCATTTCCACTTCAGTTGTCGCGATTTTCTCTGTAAGACTTTTGGCCCGCGCGACGAGCTGCCAGGATGAGAGGTAGTACAAATCGAGATTGGAGGCATTCATAGCGTCAAAGGCAGGTTATGTGACCCGTTATGTGTCACATACTCTCCGATGGCGCGTGAGAGCATTGGTTGCATCCCCATCCGCGTCCGTGTATCTCCTAGGACTCAGGAGATTCCGCGACGCTTCCCTTTGGGCCGACATAGGTCGTCTGCTCGCCAGCCGTGGTTGTTTGGCTTGGGATTGAAACCAAGCCCCGCTTATCATCCAGCTGCTCGTACACCGTGTGTGGGGATGCGAACGAAACTTGAAGCTCAGATGGTCGTCCCATGTCGGTGTCAACCAAGTGTCAACAGATGGTGAAACTGTACAATACCATTATTTGCATTTGCTTTGAGCAGCCTCCTTTTCAGCAACGGGCAAATCAGGACTCTGCATTTCCGCTTCAGCTGTTGCGATTTTTTCTGTGAGGCTGTTGACTATTAATAACACCGAGATTTGCCATGGAGTAAAAACCGAGAGTGTCTGCATTCATGACCGTCAGAAGTACTATACTAGCCTTCAAGTAGGTTTTAAGACCTCCTCAATCGCATAGCCACATTCTCATCGAACCAGTGGAATCGTGGTTTGTTCAGCATTGGAGGTGACAAAGATTCCATAGGGAGTGTAGCTGTTCGATATCGCCGGCCAAGTTAGACTAGTGCTAGGGCTCTTCTTTCTTGTAGACTACTTAAGTATTTGAGTTGGACGGACGACTGGGGTGTGGTGGTGACTGCGGAAGAGACATGGTGACATCACACAGCATTTCCCTCTCCCTTCCACCTTGCTTCCACCCAACTTGTTTGATTATTATGGCTTACAACGACCCGTACGCTGGCCGGTACGGTGGACAACAGCAGTACGGAGGCCAAGGCCAGCAACAACAACACTATGGGCAATATAACGAACCAGTCGAGTACAATCCATATGGCGGCGCGCCACCACACGCGACCTATGACAACGGCGGCTACGACAACTACAACAACTACGGCGGAAGATATACCGACGAGCCACAGCAATTCAGGCAAGGGTCATATGCTGACGAACCGCATCAGCAGTATCCTCAACGACAACCCTCTAATCGAAGCTATACGAACTCCGCCCCACCGCCCATTGCCCCAGCGAAGAGCATAGACGAGACGAGTAGATTTGAAGCAGGGGAGTTCACGCCGACACCGCGGGGTCCAAAGTGCGTTGCGTCATTTCATCGGGTGTCTGGGAGTACTTATGACCTCAAAGAACAGCCAGCAACCTGAGGCAGTATCGTCAGGATTTCCAGGGAAACCTTTGGAAGAAGGTATGATATCAGCTTATTGGACATGTTTTGGAGCTTATTGGCTCCCTAGGGCGGACGGGGCAGCTGTTGTTTTAGATTCTTCTGTTGCTTTTTCTTCAGTGCCATCTTTCTCATCGTTGCTATCCTGCTTGCTCTTGTTCTGGTGTGTTTCCAACCATCCCACGCGCTTTTGCTAATCCAACCCAGTGGCTCCGACCGCCAAGCATCACCTTCGGGACTGTCGCACCAATGACGTCGACAGGATCAACAGTGCGCGGTGTTCTCAAATGTCTGCTTGTGTTGACAAGTATAGATCCAAGCTTCGAACGATGGGATAAAGATTGCTATGGGAGTGAACATCACTGTACAAAACCCCAATTACTTTGCCGTCAACTTCAACAAAATCACAGCAGACGTCAGTTAACATCCAGTTCAAAGAGAACACAAGCTTAATGACGCCTCAGATCCTGTACCCTATTGACGGCCAGCCGGACACCGACGTTGGTGGCGGTACCGCATCCGACATTAGCATTGCCTCCAACAAAGAGACAAACTTCACGTTCCCGTTCGCGATTGACTACAAGACCTCCTCAGACCCAAGCAACAAGATTCTGCTCGATATTGCTACCCGATGCGGAATACTGGGTGGCGCCAAGTCGTCGCTCACTGTGCGCTACAAGATCAAGCTGGGCATCATGTTTGCCTTCATCCCGCTCTCACCGACCATCTCCAACTCGTTTACCTTTACTTGCCCTCTGAGCGCATCGGACCTCTCGGTGAGTCGTCTTGTCCTGTCAACCCGTCCGCTGATGTCTTCTAGGGGTTGCTTGGTGGCGCTGGGGCGCTTATCGGTGCTGCGAATGGCGCTGGCCGCACTGGTGCTTAACGGACTTATGACAACGGACATTTATCATAATGCTGTATCCCTACCATAACCTACACACATTTGCTACTCGCCTACGGCGTGGGCCCGCGCCAGGGAATGAGGCCTTCTGCCTTGAGCTCTTCGACCTGAACTCTTTCACGAAGCATTTTACCAGCATCAACGGGCTGGTGGTCAGATCTGTCTAAATTGCGCCAGGGTAAAGTCTGCAATGCCCCGCCATCTGAGAGGCCTAGGCTATCTGAGAAATGGCGGTTTATGTTCTGCGAAAGCCTGACGAGACGGATGTTGGGTCGCTCCGTGACGAAAGTGTAAAGCCAGACAGCGTCTTTGGCTAAAAGAGTGTCGAGACAGACGCAGCGAAGTTTGGGATAGACCGCTTCGATGTTGTCAAGTGGTAGGCTTGCTCGGGAGGCAGGGATCATCTTGTTCAGTGGGTGTATAATACGATGATGTGCCTTGGGTTCGTCGCGGAAATTGATAGACCGTGTTCGCGACAGCCGAGCTTTGGGGGACCGATCTGCTTGTTGTTCTAATGGTAAAAGATATTCAGCGTAAGAATGAATAAGGTGGAGCTCCTCGATGGTACCGAGTGACCGCAGATACGATGCATTTTGGATGGCAGGGTCACGTGAGACAATGGTCAAGCCCACGAGCCGCAAGGTGCGTAAGTTGGAAAAGCAGCTCGCGTGAAAAGTTGCCGCAAGATCGGGGATTATGGAACCGACCAGCTCGAGGTATTCGACGTTCGGCAAACGCAGAAAAGAGAGGAGACTATGACAGGGATTGAACTGGTTAGACGGTGGGGGGTGGGCAAAGCTCAGTGCAAGAGCCTTGAGTGAAGGCATTTGGATTGGAGGAAATGTTGATGTTTGTGGGTCCACCAATAAGCGAATGTTCGGGAGAACGAGTTGCACGAGCAGCGGCGACGCGGTGGCCATCGCCTCGAAGTCTGCATAAGAGGTACGTAATCCTTTGAGGTCCAGCGACCGCAGTCCCACGAATGGTACCGGCGATCTTACGCCATGAAGACGGAGCGAGGAAAGTGCGGGAGTCGAAATAAGTATCCCGTCGTGTGGGGCAGTCATGCTGATACTTCGGGTATCGTCACAGACCAGCTCCAGGTTGGAAAGACGGGGGGCTCTCTGGGCATTTTCCAAAAGAGCAAACACTTCTCCGGCGTTGGTCTGGTCTACGGCAAAGACGGACAACGAGCGGAGGCGTTGTATGTGTTGAGCAATGAGAAGCATTATTTTGGAAACGAGAGCCATGTTGGGCGGGCTCGGAAGATGGAGAACGACATCAAAGAGACACGACTTTGATCGTTCAAGGCAGAAAGACGTCCACGAAACAGCATCGTTGTTGTTAATCGAGCAGAACGGGTAGACGCTGGTCCACAAGTCTGGGTACTCAAGCGCCGCAGTTCTCCAGCACCGATTAACGGCTTTGTAGGGGATTAGGAGGTGACAGCCTTCAGACGCCCCGCATTTAAAGATTTGGGCAAGCAGTTCAGTCGGTAGAGTGTCCATATCGCGGTCGAGAACAAGAATCGTTAATGAGTCACGGTCAGGTGATCTCAAATGGCCTCGGATGCTCTCCTCCAATTCCGCGAGTCCATCTCTCAGTTTTCCTTCACCCCTTCAAAGCACTCAACTGATAGGAACGGGGACAACGGTATCTCGTCGCCGAGACGTTCCAAGGACCTCAAAAGACCGTCGAGTACCCCTGCCCTAGCTAGCAGTTCGCCAAAGAAGAGAAAGAAGAGAGCGTATGCGCCTCCAGAGACCTATGCAAATCTACGTCAAGTCAACGACTACCTCAGAGAAGATTTAGACGGTAATACCTCTGCAACTCTGTTGGGTTTTCGCTCACAGGTCGACAGTGGTGTTTTGTGGGATCAAGTAGCGTTGTCGTTGTGGCACCGAATCTTCTTTCACCGTCTGCTTAGTCCTGGACGAAAAAGCGCTGAATCAGGTCATCATTATGGGAATCCTTCGAATCACTTCTGGTGGTGTCTTCATGCTTCAGGTGTGTCGAAGTCCAGCTCCGTTAAGGACAATATCATCGTCCTTTCAGGATTTACTGACGCCAAAATATCGCCAAACGACGATTGGAGTCTCCCAGAGCGGTTCTCTCTCGGCCTAGTCAGTCAGAATTATTCCAGTTCCCCTTATCCTGCTAAGACCTTCGAAGACTAACCTCGTGGACCGTCCAACCGCTGAGCAAACCGAACTCTCTACGGCTGAGCAGCTTGCCAGCGTTCCTATCTTTCTTGAGAAGATAGCCCGATATCGACCCTGCGTTGTTGTCTTTGTTGGTATCAGCATCGCAAAGGCAGTCGAGACTAAACTAGGTGTAGTAAGTCTCAAATCCGAGTCCTGAAGTGACATGATCATCGTAGATGCATACTGCCACCCAGTCCTGGGGGATGAGGTCATTCAAACTAGTTCACCCAAACCCCTCGAAGTTTGCAGAGACAATTTTCTTCGCAGCACCAAGTACTTCTGGTTTGGTCACACATTTCAAGGTCGTTCTTCATTCTTCAACCCAATTGCACAACACCGCTGACATTTTCTCAGCGTCCAGAGAAAGGGAGAATATTCGGCGAAGCACGGAAGCTCGTCGAGGATCTGAAAGCAGGGAATATCTCCACAGCCAACATGACCGTCGTAAAACCTCACCAAATCGCTCCGCCGCCCAAATTCGATCTCGATTTGTCAACTTTACTCACACTTCCCGAGTCACTGGTGGTCAAGGAGGAGAAAGAAGAAAGCGCGCTAATACAATAACAATGTGAGCAATATATGATACACGTACACGACAAAATCTATTCTTCCATTTCGTCTCCGCTGTCGTCGTCACTGTCGCTGTCTTCACCCTCAGCCACCTCAATGGGATCCAAACTGATGTCGTGGTCTGCGCCGAGGTACGAGTCGCAAATGACATAGAGCTTCAGCGAGTGTGTGCCCTTGGGAAGCGTGATTTCGAGCTTGACCGCCAGACTCTTGTTCACAGTGACACGCTTGATAGCAAGCAGCTTGCGTGTACTCGAGTCGCCAACCACAAGCCACCAGTTGGCAAGCTTCTTCGTGGGATAGAATGGCGCAATCACATCCTGGTCGCCCGCCTCGTCATCTTCATCGACATCTCTGGATAGCGCGACTTGCAAAACGATAGGCGCCCCAGCAGTATAGTCGCCTTTCACCAGCTCGTGCGACACATCAAGTGTTGGATAGGAGTTGACGAACACCGCAACATCTTTCCTGAACAGGATTCTCAGCAAGGAAAACGTAACGGGGGACAACGTACATCTGGGCGGATGTCATTTGCAGCAGTTTGCTGCGAGTGTCGTCTTCCATCTCCATGACGTCGTAGACGGACTCGATGCCAGCCTCCTTGCAGCGCGAAACGACCTGCACAAGTTGAGTATGGTATAACGAAAGCAATAGAAAACATACATCGGGCTCGAAGTGTGGTATCTGTTTCAACGGCGAGTCCGTTTCCCACACTGCCTGGACACACATTTGCGAGAGATCCATTGCGCCAAGTGCACTCAACCAGGCATTGGACGACATAACGTCAACACATGCGGAGAGAAGGTTGAGCACTTTTTCAAGTACCAGCGCCTGATCTGCAGAAAGATCTGGTGGCAATTGGATACGAGAGAAGTGTGCTTGGAGTAATAAGAAAGTCTTGAAGTGCGGAGCTTCGAAGTCGGCCTTCTCCAGTTTGACTGGAACGCGGTCGTAGATTCGACGAAGTAGCGCTTCTTCGTGACGGCGGATGGGGATACTCTCGAATTCGGCAGACGAAGACACAACTTCGAGGATTCCTTTGAGTTTCGTGCGCTCCTTCAACGACAACGTGTAAACCTCGATGGTGACGTCTGCGAATAACTTAGCTTATGAACGGAAGGACCAGAGGAAAACTCACATGAGATGTTGTAGTAGGCAGCAATCATACCAAGGTTGAGCGCGGACACATCCATCTCGTCCTCGATGGAAATTGACTTCGAATTCACAAGGTCGTTCAGCGTGTTTTCGACCATCTCGGACAGATGGTCGGACAAGTGTTGATGGCTGACATTGTGGAGATTATAGTAGTTTGGATTTTGCGTCATGCGTCGATAGAAATATGTCCACGTCAGAATGTCCTACAAGAGAGAATAAATGAAGAGAATGCATAAAATAGAAACAAAGGGGACGAACCATCGCGTCCTGCTTGTTCTCAATCGTTTTGACCGCGATTTCAGCAAGGAAGTAGTCGTGCAAGTAGTGGGTTGGGAGATGCGACTCGATTGGCAAACCCTCGGCGAGGAATTTCTTGTAGAATTCCTTCCTCGTTTGTTGGCACATGAGCACACAGCGACTGCGCTCGTCTTCGAGAGGCCGACAGGCGCGGCCCATCATTTGCAGGACGTCCATGACAGGGTAGTCGATATATCGATGCTCTCTGCCTTCGTAGGACTGCACGCCCATGATAATGACGAGGTAACTCGCTACTGGGAGACTCCAGGCTGTGTCCTGAAAAGATATCAGATTAAGCCGAGTTGAAAAATGCAAGTATTCACCCTTGAAGCTACCAAGACTTGAATGGCACCAGCCTCGAATAACCGCTGCATGATACGCTTATCTTGCTTGGTCAGAGCTTCATGGTAGTATCCGATACCGTGTTTCAAACATTCAACCAGCTCGCGGTCGGTGATGTTATCGAGATGTGGCGTCAAAACAGAGATGTCGTCAACGTTTAAGAAGCGGTCAGGCTTATCGTCAGCAGCACAGTGGGTGAGGAGGTCGTCAACGGTGAGGCGGCACTGGCGACGTGAAGGTACAAACACGATGACCGGCTTCGTGGGTGAGTATTCAACGATTGCGAGGTAAGCTGGTTTCGACATGGCGATCATGAGTGAGGGGAAATGTGGGATGGTGAATGACTGGATATGAATATCCATATCGAGTGGACGAGCACTACAATGATGTCAAATGGAATGTATAAGCATGAGTTTGAACTGACCTTGGTGAGAAGTTGAAGATGGCGTGTGAAGGCGCAGCTATCCATTCACCCAGGTCTCGTGCATTGGCAAGAGAGACACCACAAGCGACAATGCGGGTTTTGTTTTCCGTTTGCTCGACGACGTAACGCGTGCGAGAGATAACGACCTCGTACGTGGGCCCAACTTCACCACCGACTAGCTGAACCTCGTCGGCGATGAGTAGTCCAATGTTCTGAACGTTTTTTCGTTGACGCCATCGTCGAGATATAACGTCCCACTATCAAGTGGATTAGTAGGTGGATCAAATCGATCAAAGGACTGACCTGTGTCGGTGTGCAAACAATTACATCGCCCTTCTCCAATAAGCGCAGGTCCGCGCTGGTCTCCCCAGTGAGACTCACAATCTCCTTCCCACCCTGCACACGTGAAAACTTATCCTGCCACTCTCGAACACGCATATCAACCATCTCTTGATACGGTTCAATGCAGATTGCGCGTTGTTGTTCTCGTTTACTCCAAAGTCGTAATAGAGCAAATTCGGCGCAAATAGTCTTGCCGCTACCCGTAGGGGCGCCTATGAAAACATTCTCGTCCGTGGTATAGAGGGCTTGGAACACTTGGGTCTGAATTTTGTTGAAGGTCTTGAGAGAGGAAGAATATATAGCTTCGAACTCTTTGTTGTGGAGGGCCGACAAAGGTAAAGCTTGCAGATCGAGGAGTGGCGTTGGTGGAGGGAATTTTTCGGGGAGAATGAGATGTTTGAACGAGATTGGCAAGCGAGTTTCTGCATGTAGCCAACGATCTGAGATAACGGAGATGTAGTAGTTGGGGGGCACGGGCTCGAACATAGGCACAGTCAGTGTCACGTTGTGCTCGTCCTCGGCATAACGTTGACGCAGGATGAACGAGTCATGGAAGAGGATGATTTCGCCGTCCACATCTTCGACCATGATGATGAAGGTTTCAGCGCCACCATGGATCTTCTCGTCCCATCTGAAATCGGGGATTATGGACAGGTCAATCCGAAGAAGCGAGCGGGTGATTGGCTGAACTTGTGCTTGCAATCTGACAGGATATTAGGGTGACTACAAGAGACGAATGACAAGAATTACTGAAGCTTTGGGAAGTTATGCACAAGTCGATGCACCAGTCGACCCGCATTAGGGATACCGATGAGCTCTCCAATTTCCGGTGGTGTCTGCCGTTCGATAAGAATAAAATAGTGTGAAGTAGTCATGATGAACTTACCAAGTCGAAATAGCGATACCAAGGCTGCATGAGAGTGAGCAGATAAATCACGTCAGATGATATCAACCCACGAATTGCTTTCCCTCCGCCTTTCGAATAATATCTGACTGCACACCTTTGAATTGTCGCAAGGGAGTCATGGAGCCCCACCTAGCCAATCGGTCAGAACGAAAAAAGAGCGGAAAAAATCTAAGCACTGACATGCGCTTTTCGACCATTTTACAGAGGTCCAAGGCTGCCCTGGCAGGAACGGCCCAACCGCGCTTCAAACAGATCTCAAACATAGCGCGCAATATACTGCACAGGAATCAGACTTAGGTTGGACGATTAAAAAAGTGCCTACCGCCCCGCAGATTGTTGCACAAAAACCATATCCGCAACGAGCACAAAGCCTACCATGTCGAATATCAGTATCGCGGGACAAGCGAATGTTTTTTGCTTACCGTCCAGTTTCAACTGCGAGATGTACGCCTGCAAAAGAACGTTAATCTTCGCAGCAGGCTCTTCGACACTTTCTTTGACAGGAATCGGGACCCTCTCGAGAAGTTTCGCCAGCTCCAGTTTTTCCTCTTGTCGAACGGGAAGAAGCTTGAATTCATTTGACAAGGCGAAGACCCGGAAAAGTTCGAGGGTCGACATCGTTGGCCGCAGATGTTGGTTGTACGTCATCATCGAGTTGTAGGTCACGTAGTAATGTGACGCGATGCGACCAAGCTCAGTGCTCTGGAACCGGCCTGAGGACCGTTCGTACTTGAGCAGCTGACATTTCTCCAACAGGACGGCGGCAGAATGGACAATGTCGGCTCGCTTTTGGATCAACCCGACATCGTCGTCTTGGTAGTCAACCCCGACACCATACAGCCCTGGGGATTTCAGCATGCGAACATAACTTGAAGGATGTTTTAGTTAATGCAAACAACATTTTAAAAAACTCACAGATAGGTGTAGCCGATCCACTGGACCGCTTCGTCTCGGTTTCTGATCGTTCCGAGGACTATTTCTGCATTGAGGTTGTCCGCCAGCTTAGAGACGAATTGCGACTCGATCGGGAGCTGCTGATTCAACAGACTCAAGTAATATTGCAGCTCGGAGTGGTTGGTAATGATGATGCCCTCGCCGTACGTGTCGTATTGTGGTCGACCAGCACGCCCAAGCATTTGGAGCACATCTTGAGAAGAGAGTTCGACCCAACGCCCTTTCTCAGGGTTGTATATTTGGGTGCCCTTGATGATGACAGTATGCGCCGGCAAGTTGACCCCCCAAGCAAGCGTTGCAGTACAAACAAGAACCTGCAACGATCCATCGGCGAACAGCTCCTCGACAAGTCCACGGTCTTCTCGAGACATTCCGGCATGGTGAATACCAAAACCAAAAGGAAGGAGGTCGCGCAAATTGCTGTCCTTGACGTTGTTGGCCTCCTCGGTCAAAATTTCGCGGACGGCAGCGTCAGGTTTGACAAATTGGGTGATTGTTTCCTTCTCGACGGCCATATCGCGCAAAAACTTGGCCGTCTTTGCGGTTTCTTTGCGAGAATGCACGAAGACCAGGGTTTGGTTTTTACCCGCTTGATCCAGCACCTTCTCGTAGCAGACCTCGTTGGTGATCTGGTATCGCTTGATCGCCTTCTTCTCTGTGACACCAATGAATTGTTGTTGCAGTCCACAAGGTCTGTAGGTCGAATCGAAGTAGAAAAGACCCTTCTTGTCGTCGACACGCAGGAAGGTGGCGACATCCTGATAATTGGGAAGAGTGGCAGACAACCCCACAAGGCGGACGTACTCAGAGGTCTGCTCCATCCTTCGAATAGTTCGAGCGATGATGCTCTCCAAAACAGGTCCTCGTTCGTCGTGAAGTAGGTGGATTTCGTCGATGATAATGAGTCGCACGAGATTCGTATAGCTGGTATCCGTGCTCTTCCGTGTAATGACGTCCCACTTTTCGGGCGTCGTGACGATAATTTGAGTCTCCGCAATTTGTTGTTTCGTCATTTGCGAGTCTCCGGTCAATTCTCCAACGGTGATGCCGAAAACCTTCAACCTCGACGAGAAGTTGCCGACCATCTCCTGCACCAGCGCCTTCATCGGGGCGATGTAAACGATTTTGAAGGCATCGAGGTCGAATTTTCCCGTCTCCTCGTCGCGGTGTTTGCCGAGTTCGTTGAGGATGGTGAGCATAGCGACATTCGTCTAGGAAGGACATGAGGAACAATATCTATTGAAATCGCAAAAAACAAACCTTTCCAGCACCAGTCGGGGCACAAAGTAAGATCGGCTCGTCCGTCCCAAATGCAATGGGATAAAGTTTGCTTTGGACGGGATTGAGGCGTGGGACAGTGAAGGCGGGTTGAGCCCAAGTAGGCATGCTCGTAATGGGTACCAAATCCGTGTCGGGAATGGCTTTCTTTTTGGGAGCGGGAACGTGGATTTCCTCGTAACCCTTCCTGGCGCGTTTGAAAGAGCCTTCTGGTAGCTTGCATTTCTTGTTGGACATGAGATGACCGCCCTGGCTGAATATCATACTCTCCAGGTCCACGGTCCGTTTCGGTTGCAGAGTTGAACCAGGGGCTAGAGTGGCGGTCTTGGGCACGTCGTGTTTCTGTTCATCGACGTCCATAGCATCGGACGGCTTGGATTTGCCAGCCTGACGATCCCCCGAAAGCTCGCGAAGAATCCAACCCACGCCCCTTTCCCTCATCGCAACCTCCACATTAACCCGCTCATCGGCATCACTTCGCATGAGCTTTGTGCACCAGACGATGACATCGCGATTCTTGAGGAATCTGGTTGTGATATGGAAGCTTTGATATTCGAAGAGCTCGATCAGTTGGTTCTCGCAGTCGCGCAAACTCGACTCGGAGCCGAGGATCGAGAGAACGGAGGTTGTTTTCTCGGCAGCGGTGACTGGGTCAGGGTAGATTTCTGCAACTTGACGTTGGACCCAGAATGCGTCGATGGCGTGAGGGGAAACGATATCTTTGTCGGACTTGGTCTTTTTGCTTTGGGCAGACTCGCCTCCAATAACAAGCTCGTCCGAATCCTCTGCTTGTTCTACAGGGCCATCGTCTGCTTCCTTTTCTTCGTCGTCTGAGTCATCTCCAATGTCGAACCGTTCTTCTTCGTCATCGTCCTGCTGCTCCTCCTCATCGAACACAACCGCGACTCCAACCTCGTCATCCAGTTCCATATTTTTGACGTCGGGGTCCCCCGAGGTCTCATCTTCGGCGCCGTAGTCGGTAATTTTTTTCGAAAGACTAACAAGCTGCGAGAATTGCTCGTTGTTCACACTGACTGAAAGAATTTCTTCAATCTCGCGCTTTTTGTCGAAATCCTTCAGGTTCTCGTTTTTGAGCGTTTCGAGTACCATGTCGGCAGCACTCCGAACGACGTCTTGCGCCTGGTCTCCGAGGGACGTATGGACAGACGACAGGATGAGTTCGTAGACTTCGCGCGTTTCGGCTGTCCTGGGTCGATAAGTGAGGCCCTCCACATCCTGGGTTGCCTCGATAATGTCGGTGTACCCAAACCCAGCGGCCTCTGTCTTTCGTTTGGCAGGCTGCTTCTCAGACGCATCTTGGCGGTCTGAAGCCTTCTTTTTCTTCTTCTCGAGGTCCTTGGGCGTTTCGCGCTGAACGTGGGAGCCCATATCGCGAGGATTAATACGACCAACGAGTGAAGTTGGTGCACCATCTGGCTCCTTGTCGCGACGAGGGAGAGCTGACCGGTCAGCAGTCAACACAAGAGAGGATATGGCGCCATAGTTGTATCCGGACAAGTCCGGTTTCTTGCCCTGCCCTGCCATGAAGGAGTAGCCAACAATGAGTTGGTTGGCGAAGGAAAAGTTTAGCGCGTTATGTCACGAGCTGAAACAGCCTTTGACTCCGCAACCTGCGTCGCTCGACCGTGTTTTGAATACAAGAATCCACAGAACAAGGAAAATCCAAGCAATGTATCCCTAAGTCGACTGATTCCCCCCCCACAAGGGCTCAACAAACTAGAACTGGTTCATTTCGCCGCCTCGCGTCCTTTCGCTAACTCACCCTGCTCCTTCCTTCCTTGTCTCGGAACCATACTCTGACGCGCACGCTGGCCACCGACTAATGGGATTTCCCCCTGTTATATGTGGTTTAAATCGACTGGTCAGCTCCAACGGCGCAGGTTCAAGAGAAAGTAGCTCATGGCCGAAGGGATCCTCAACCTCCCATTGTTTGCTCGTAACTAGGGCATTCACTCATACCCCTGCTACATCTAGCTGACTTTCAACGTACTGAGGTGGGCCGCGTGAAGTGTTCTTATTGAATCGGCAAAGCCTTCTCCATCGATACCTTTGGACGATATCATGTCAGTGCCGTTCGCGTCTAAAACCCACAGAGTGGGGGAATGCCCGAGTGTGAGTGGTATAGAAAGCTTCGGCAGACATTATCTAGCATCCGTATCTTGTGGCCACGCCAAGAGCCCATCTCGGCCACAATTTACGAAAAAGATGCAACGAAGCCCCAATGTATCTTCTCGCAGTTGGTGGGTGCTCATCTACCCTATCAGATACATACGATACTAATTTTTGCATCTGCTCTCAGGCGTTGGACATTTCAACAATCTGGGCCGCCCGTCTGTTCAGGGGCCACGACATGGAGGGTTCGTGATCAACACAGCCCCCACCGACTTGCCTCAGTTCCCTCATGAATACGTCAAATTTGGAACTCTACTATGTCCCAGCCCGGCAACTTGTCTTACGGATTGAAGCATACACGAAGAAGATCACAGCCTGTGAGGCGGATATGGAGAGAGATGACTTGACGGCTGAGGAGAGGGAGACTGCTGAAAGAAACTGTGCCGAATGGTATCGTGAGCGTGCTCAGGTGGGCGTTATGAAACTCGTTACTCTGCACCCCTTATCGTTGACTAGTTACAAGAAGTATGCGGTCAGTGCTTGCTAGCTGGAGCTTTGCCGCTGTTAGTTATACTGATATGCTGCAGTCGTCGTGTTGGGGAGGGAGGATCTGAAATACTTCAACCCTCCGCCGACTCCGTGGGTGATCAAGTTCTTAGAGCGCTGGTTTCCTTCCGGTTCAAAGGATAAAACAGTCTAAAGGTTTCTATGCATTGTCTGTGCTGACAAACTGTTGCTTGACGATTGCTCTGGAATGTGCGCGTGAAGGAAGTGTCATAAAAATGTAATAATTCGGTACTTGTTCAACTTTTCAAAATTGTGCTTTGAAGGTCAGAATTGAAGTGTGTGTGCAACATACGACAGCTCGAGTTCCCGCACAATCCCTATGAGGTAAGCTATCGCGGAAAGGGAGGTCAAGCGCGCTGGGAATCGGGCCGCACCTCACACGAGTTTTTTATTTGTTTGAGACTCTCACAATACTAGAGCAAGATGTGGCCGACCCAGTCATTGTCATCTATATAATGGCCTTCGAAGACGTATTCGTCACACCATCCCCGCAACCAAATGGAAGCTAGGTTATTCTGGCGAGTATCCTTTCCCTCATCGTCATTATTCTCAGAGGCAAGCATATGCATATACTGTAAGAAAAAGTGGCGGACAAGAAATGACGTCATCGACTATCTTACGAAACTAAGTGCTTTGGATGGGCAGCTCGTCTCATCTTGCTTGAGATTGCTGCCATGTTCATGTTACTTACCAAAAACTTGAATCGGGTAAAAATACAGTCAACAGTTTTATAGACCTCAGTTCATGGTCTAAAATACGAAACTTGCACACACTGATACTAGTAGGCCCAAGTCACATTTATCCAAATCCACCTGGGACAAATGGCGCTCGTTGTGCCCCCCTCATACTCCCACCATGCCCATGCGATGTCGAAGTACCATCTAACGAAAACCGCTGCGGTGCGCCACTGGCTGTTGCCGGCGCAAACCGTTGTTGGTCGGCCATAGGCGGTGCAAATCGTTGGGCTGGTGGGAGCGATCGATTATTCGCATTTCCTCGTCGGGCGGACATCGGCACTTGTCCTCTGTTCGTTATTTGCGGCGTTGGAGGCGGTCCCATATTTCGTGCTTTGGGGGCGAAAGGCTGATTCTGCATTTGCGTCAGAGGGGGCTTAGATCGGGCATTATTATCCGAAGGTGCGGCGCTTTGAGCAGGCTTGAATCTTGGCTGTACTTGGGGAGCCGATTGCGAGTCAATGTTCTGTTTTGCGCGACGTGGAGCAGCTTGAGCATAGGACAGCGGTTGAGTATGGTGTTGGGCAGGGGGAGCTGCATATGCGTATTTGCTGAGGGAAAAGTGAGTAAACAACCGCACTAATCAAAATCAACGCACTCTTTGAATCGGCTAGATCCCGGCCGTTCATGACTTGGCACAGCTCGAGGTCGGTTTGATGATAGACTAGGAGGTTGCTGGCCAGGTGGTAGAGTGAGACGGTCAGGGCCTTGAGGCGTATGATTAGAATGGGAACTCGACGTTGCTGGTCGATATCTGACTCTGGCTAAGCATCTACGTTAACGACTGTCAAAAGTTACACACCGATCAGAGCCGAGCATGGGACGTTTTCCATTGGAGTTGACAAAGTCCGCAGGTCCTCCGCCATCTGAATGCGGTTGATAGCCAAGTTGTTCACGAAATTGAGCATTCTCGTGTGATAGCATTTCGTTGGTTCTTCAAAAAAGGTTGTAGGTTAGACGACCGAAGTCGTGCCAGAGAAAAAAATAATGCCTTCTCAGCTCGGAGACATCGCGCTTGAGACGGTCGATGAGAGTTTTATGTTGCTGCTGCCGTGACTTATAGTATCTGATCTGGTATGCCATGGTCTCTTGCTGAAACTATAGGCCGTGTTAAACAGATAATGAGGATAGCTGCAAGTACTTTGGCGGCATAGGCAACAGCATCGAGGGCATGCGGAATGGAGCGAAACCAATCAGACATCGGGGCCTCCATCTGAAAATCGTCGAGTAAGATTAGTTCAACTTTATCACGGCCTACTCACCTGAGGTTGCAATGGGACGAGCTGAATACCTGCAGACCCACATTGTGCGCAACTTTGGTCTGCGTCTGGCCGCGTATCCTCTTAGTAGTTTCCTAGTATGAAGAGAGACGACGCACTGAGATGGGAGTTACAAATAACATGCCCACACTCGGTGAGCCAAAAAGGAACATTAGAGCCGGAGTCTGACGCGAAGGGAAGTTGGCAACGCGAGCATGCGACGAACTCCCAGTAATTGAACTCGGCCGGATCGACGTTAGACATGAACCTTCCACAGTTTCCTGAAATTCTTCCGCCCGCCTACACCTGAGAACGAAGAGCAACGATCTTGAAACTTGAGCAGCTTGAGCAGGGAGCAGAAAGAGAGCAACTTGAAGTGTGACCGCTGCTGTCACACGACGACCTTCACTTCATTCCGCACTGCGATGTCGGGAAGCGGAGCACGAGAAAATGTGTTTGCGACTCGGATGGCGCTTACGAACACCAAACTACGTCTCAAGGGTGCCCAAACGGGCCATTCCCTCCTCGCCAAGAAACGCGATGCACTGACAACCCGCTTCCGTGCGATCTTGAAGAAAGTGGACGAGGTATACCTCCAGTTCAACTACTTTAATGCGGAATAATCTAGGAGTAGGCGAAGCGGAAGATGGGCCGAGTTATGCAATTGGCCTCGTTCTCGATGGCAGAAGTCACCTACGCGACAGGAGATATTGCATATCTGGTGCAGGAGCAGGCTAAGCAGGCCGCATTTAAGGTCAAAGCGAAGCAGGAGAATGTCTCTGGTGTTGTTATTCCTGCATTCGAAGTAGATCGAGTTGCTGGCTCTGGTGCGTCACTTGAACTCCGCAACCTATATCTGTTCATGTGCTCAATTAAGACTTCAATCTCACTGGTCTTGGTCGCGGAGGACAACAGGTCTTGAAAGCGAAGGAGGTTTATGCAAAGGCCATTGAAACACTCGTCGAACTGGCATCGCTACAAACTGCTTTCATGATCTTGGATGATGTTATCCGTGCAACAAATCGACGAGTAAACGCTATCGAACATGTCGTCATTCCTCGACTCGAGAATACCATCAAGTACATTCTCAGTGAACTTGACGAGATGGATCGAGAGGAGTTCTTCAGGTTGGTCTGCTAAAACTAATTTGCACGAGTTTGTTAACTGGTTGGTAGGCTGAAAAAGGTGCAAGGAAAGAAGAAGAAAGACAAGGCTGCGCGAGAAGGGAAGGACCCGGACGCCACAGAACAGCAACCGCCAGAGTTTGAAGACTTTAGTGAGGAAGGAGGGGATTTGTTGAGTAGTAAGGACGCAGATGTGATTTTCTAGATGGACTTTCTTTGTACGATACCCACGCAATAGTAATCTCAGCATTCGATGAAGAGAACATGGCATATCGGACAGACATGAATACATGGGTGTTGAGTTTTTTGTGCGAATATCCTCACTGGAATAAGCGTCAGTAAGATGTGGACCACAGTAAAAAAAATCGAACGCACCTCCACCATCTCAGCATCGTCTGCCGCTGCCGATTTCTTCCGGTCTTTGCGGTCAAGGATAGCCCGACTACGAAACAGTGAGCTTCATTATCAGGAATAGGAAAAGACAGCACTAACCGGTCCTTGTCAAGCTTGATGGTGGTAATGACGACGTTACTGGGGTGGACACCGATGGGAGCAGTAGCGCCGTTTGACTTGTCTCGCTGTACACGGTCGACGTGAATGACCCATTTCTTGCGATACACCTGCGTGACTTTTCCCTCCCGACCTTTGTACTTGCCCCGTACAATCCTGACCTCGTCGTCTTTGCGAATGGGAAGCGAACGAGCCTGGATTTAAATGGGCAAAAGCTCCTCGGGTACAACAGACGACGCACGTTATATTTGCCTCGCAGTTCTTTTGAAAGTGCAGAGGACATTATTTTGCGGCGGATAGAGGAGGGGGCGTCGAAATGGGCCTTGCGGGACTTGCGCCGGGAGGAGGATACATCTGAGTTCGTTTGAGACCCCAGCAGCACGATTGGAGACGAGCAGCATACCGCGATTGAGTTTCATGGCGTCTTGAGGAATTCGAGGGATGTGACAAGGCCTCACGTGCTCACTGCTCAGTTGAGCCATTGATGGCCGATAATCAAGCCGGAAACTCGGAATATTCGGCTTGATGCATCCGTGACACTTATGTCAGACACCACCAAGGTCAAATCTTCGAGACTCAAGTTCAAGGGCGAGAAACACGCCAAGCGGAAACGAGAGCATACCGACGACCAACGCCCACGCAAGCAACGCAAGGAGGACGACCGTGCAGATGAAGATTGGGTTCAGCCCGAGAATCCCAGTGAACTGAGAGGACCGACATTCATTTACCATCCCTCTGACCCGTTGCCCTGCACTATAACCTATAACTCCACCACTGCGAAGCTTGTTATATCAAATCTTGACGCCAGTGACGAACCAATACTCACTCGAACGCCCACCGACGTGTCCCAAGTCTGGGTGCTGACTCGTGTCGCTGGCTCTCCGACCATAAACATCCGGACCGGCACTGGCGAGGGAAAATTTCTTTCTTCAGATGCTCATGGCCTTATATCAGCCGACCGCGACGCCCGTGGCCCACAAGAAGAGTGGACGCCGGTTGTTCTGCCAGACGGAATGGTTGCTTTCATGAATGTTTACGAGAAATACCTCAGCGTCGACGAGGTGGCAGGCGGAGCTGTGGTCTTGCGTGCAGACAGTGAGGAAGTCGGCTTCCGGGAACGGTTCTGGGTCAAGATCCAGTACAAGTACAAGAAGGAAGCTCACGAAGAGGAGAAACAGAAAACGCTAAAGGATGCAGTTGATCCTGTTTCCATTGATGAAGTTGCTTCAAAGTGAGGACTCTCGATTTTCCCTGCTTTCTTGTTCAAACAATGTTCTTAGCAAAACATTTCAAGCTTGGGGCGCGGGACGAAGCGTTGTGTCTGAAGCTGATAAGAAAGAGGTATTATGGTGTTCAGAGACCCGTGGTGTTGCTTATGCGTTGACTAGCTAAAACGTGCCAAGAAAGAAGGAAGGCTGGCTGAAGCCATGCTGGATCGTCGGGCAAAGCTCAAAAGGTTCGTGGGTGCTTCTGATGGTTTTGCCATTTCTGACTTGAAGGTCCAGCGATCGGTTTTGCTAGTGTATTTGTAGATTGTATCCAAAATGTAGCTTTACAACGGAGTGACTTTTTATTACCTTGAGGATCAGAATTATATTCTAGCGGATCCATTCAAAACTACATGGAGGAAGAGCAGGAAATGTGTGAGGAGAGGATGTGTGTGAATCATTAAAGGTCGTCGTCTTCCTCCGGAAGAGGAACTGCTTCAGCCTACAAACATTCCTATCAGCGGGAAAGACCGAAACAAACAATTCAGAACGCGCCTCTTTCAGTTGCTGGTTGTAAAGTTCCATCAATGCAGCATCAACAGCAACTTCAGCGGGAGCCAGAGCCGGTGCGGCGACAAATTCGAGTGAAGGGTTTCTGAAAGATGAAACTTAGTCCATGTTTTACCGATAACATAAACAGACAACGCACCCAACGAGCTTACGCCCGAGCCAGAGGAAAGGTTTCTCAAAGTTGTAGTTGGACTTCGCGGAAATCTCGAAGTATTGCAAGTTTTTCTTGCGATGGAAGGTCACGGCACTAGTCTTCACTTTCCGCTCCTGTTATTTTGTTAGCGAAAACTCGCTGCAGCATGAATATGAAAGGAGTCACCTTGACATCAACTTTGTTGCCGCAAAGGACGATGGGAATGTTTTCGCAGACGCGCTCGAGATCACGATGCCAGTTGGGGACGTTCTTGTAGGTGATGCGGGCTGTAACGTCGAACATGATGATACCACATTGGCCTTGGATGTAGTAACCATCTCGCAGACCACCAAACTTCTCTTGGCCAGCTGTGTCCCAGACGTTGAAACAGACCGTGCCGAAGTTGGTGGAGAAGGCAAGAGGGTGGACCTCGACACCAAGGGTAGCTTTTTTGAAAGTGAGGAGGCGTTGGAGGGCGATGAACGACACGGCATACCGATGTACTTCTTTTCGAACTCGCCCGTCAAGTGGCGCTAGAAAAGTCGGTCGATTAGAACGCGATCTGCGCGAAGATACGCAGGAAAGAGCATACTTTGACAAAGGTCGTCTTTCCAGTTCCGCCATCGCCGACTGGATGTTAGATGGATCGCGAGAACCAAGCACCACACGGGAAATTGAAAGAGATTGAAAAAATTGATGAGATGAAAGAGAGGGGATCGGTGGTAAGCAAATGCTAAGTGAGGTAAGAGTAAATGGTGCCCACCGAGAACAAGCTTGAAAGTCGCGACTTGGTCATTGGAGGAGGACATGGTGGGTCGCAAGGAAAACGAGTGTTGTGTGACGCCACGAGTCACACAGCTTGTTGACTACTTAAATATCCAAGTACGGTTCCGCCGTCTTATCTGTGACTCTGCGATGGCTGAATGGCCTCCCCATCGATTCAAAGCTGTCCAGATCCACTGCAAACCCAAAAGAAGTTGAGGACACTGAGTAACATTGGTCGAACCGAGCGGTTGATGGATTTTGGCGTGGATGGCCTGTCGCCACATGGCAAAATAACTTGAAAGGCTCGAATTTCGCCGCTCTGACTGTTGAATCAGCCCCAACGTACTCACCTCAAATGCTCAATTGACGCTGAGGCCCTTTTAGCCGAGCCTGCTTCAGTCGGCATCTCGGCGCGAAAACTATAAATGTACCCACCCACGAACAAATCACGGCCCCCCGACGGTTTATTCCCTGAACCTTCATGTCCACCCCAATTCAACAGGATACAGTCACCCCAACTGAGGCTCCCGCAAAGGAGGAGAAAGCCAAACCTGGCGCGTCATGGAAGGCTGGCGAGACGCAAACTCTTCCCAAAAACAACCTCCCAATCGTGAATGCCAATTGTTAGATACCATCCGACTCTTCGTAATACATCCTCAGGTGTTTCTTGCGCTTACTTTGACGACCTTCCTTGTGAGTTAGCCAACTTTTTTGCCTTGTCTTGGCTATGACGCCATGATTTCCAGGCTGCAATGGATCAAGTATGTGTTGCACCATCCAAATCTTGTGGATCCCTGTTGTCCTGAATCGCGGCCCCAATAGACGATCGTTGCGACCGCCCTACCAACAATTGTTTCGCAACTCGGAGGAGGGAAGGAATATGCGTAAGCTGCCTTTGTTGCAAGTTCACGACCAAGTTATTTCAACGTATACGTTAGCTGGGTTGGAAGGTGTCTCGCTTCATTGGACTCGCTTTGTATCCTCTGAACTGGACTAGCTCTTACATGCTGGGTTCTGCGGCTTTATCACCGCTATATGGTAAACTTTCGGGTGCGTTAACTTGCCCAATGACCTAAGATCATATCGTGAATGCGCACGAGCAGATATCTTTGGTACGTAATATTTCACGACATTGTTTGTCTTAGCTAATGCTCCCTCACTCCAGGTCGGAAACCTTTACTTTACTCCTGCATCGTCACTTTCCTTGTTCGTGAGACGTTGATTTGTCTCTACTCTCTCCCACAGACGTGTGTTGCAGATCGGATCGGCGCTCTGTGGTGCTGCACAGAATATGACATGGCTTGTGGTTGTGCGTGTGGTGCAGGGGATGGGCGGAGGAGGCATCATCCAACTATTAAGTGTCTGCTAGTCAAAACGGACATTTTCTCATCGGGATGCTTAGGTCAACATCACGATTGGTGATATCGTTTCACTAGAAGAGTAGGTGTTTTCGTACAGTGCCCACAACGCATCTCACAAACTACAGTCGAGGAAAATTTGTAGGTCTTTTGGGTGAGTCGACATACTTACGTGAACAGTTTGATCTCAGTTACTATACCAGGTGCAACGTGGGGTATAGCATCGGTAGTTGGGTATACTTCTTGCCTTCCGCATTAAATATCTGTTGACGACTCGTGTAGGCCTTTGATGGGAGGCGTAAGCCACTTGTTTCCTCGCCGAAACCTTCTCAGTCGTCGCAGGCTCTCACCGAGAAGGTCTCCTGGAGATGGTGTTTTTGGATAAATCTGTAAGCCCAGCAGAAATATTAGCTCTTGATCTGACCTGGGATCAGACCTACAGGTGGTTTAGCCGGCGGCCTGCTCTTTTTCTTCCTCAACTTGAATCCTCGACCGCTCAAGTCGTTCAGCCAGCACAACGCCGAGTTTGACTATGTTGGCCTGGTCCTCGTAGTCGTTGGCGTTGTCTGCGTGCTTCTTGGGTTCAATTTCAGTGAAACAAGCTGTTCGCGAAATCCGTAGCTTGGCTTGACCTTATCTCACAGTTCTCAGGGACATCGCCACAAACCATCGCATTACTCGTCCTTGGATTTGTGCTACTATTCGTATATGCCGTTTACGAGTGCTACACCACCAAAAGCCCTATCATCCCCCCACGACTGTTCAAGGCCAGTTTTCTTTTCACGCTTAGCTGTCGATCGCTGAGAGCAGGCCAGACACGAACTACAGCAATAATTCTAACGACAACCCTCTTACACGCTTTAGCATTCTTCTCTGGCGCATACTATCTTCCTCTTTATTTCCAGGTACTCGGTGCGTCTGCGACTGGTGCTGGTGTCAGGTACGATACTATTCGAGCTCTGAGTAGAACACTGACTTGCGCAGGATGCTGCCCTTCTCCCTTGGAGGCGCACTAGTATCCGCACTATCCGGCCAGGTTGTCTCCGCTCTGAAGGCATACCGCCCCGTTTTGTTCTTCGCTTGGCCTGTCATGACGCTGGGTATTTTCTTTGTGTTTCTTGTTATCCGGCTCAGAGCCGTGACAGGCTATGGACTCATGACCACGTTTGACGAGAAATCCGGCGCGTGAGTCGAGGCGTGTTGTACATGCTGTGCGATTCTCAGTTATCTCCAGAGCCAAGGAGGCGATATTTCCGCTGATTGCCGCGTTGGGTGTTGGTTGTTTGTGTAAGTTATTGCTCTGGAAAACTGTAGGCAAAACTAATGCATCTATAGTCCAGGTATATTTTCCCTTTGGAATTACTTTTCCACAAATATCTAACATCGGGGAAAGGCTCCCCTGATTGGACTACAAGCAGCCATGCCGCTGAAGGACATGGCTACATCCACCGCGAGCTACACGTTCATCCGGTACGCCTCAAGGCCTCTTCCCTTCGCGGCACTAACCTCTCACCAGAACACTAGGTTCGTAGTTTGCATCACGATGACTTCAATTGAGTCCGACTTTTCGAAGGCGCGACTATTGCGATCGCGATGGGGCAGGTTATCATTACGAGCGTAAGATGGTGTCCTACCGAATAATCTTAACTCATAATTTCAGACTCTGAGGAATAAAATTGCCCACCTACCGAACATGACTCAGTCGATTGATACCTCGGCCGCGACGCTGAGCCAAAATGTGCTCAAGCTGAAGGAGATCCCGGAGCCGTTGCGCACAGAGCTGATACACGCATATGCGCGGTCTATTTCGCGGGTTTGGTGCGTTCTTTCTTCCGAAAGGCGGCCGCCGAGATAGTACTGATTTGTTACCAAGGCTGGTTATTGTGCCGATTGTTGGTGCAGGGACGATTATGAGTATGTTCCAGTCCGTCAGCGAATTTCTAGGATGATAATCGGTATAGCATTTTTCATTCGACGATACACGCTTGCGCGGACGGTAGTTCGGAGTGGGGAACAGGAGAAGAAGGCGACGGATGTTGAAAAGGGCGAGGCATCAGCGGAAGAAACGAAGGACGAAACGGGGAACGAGGAGGAACGCGGGTCGACAGAGAAGGGGCCGGGCAAGAGCGATAGTGCAGTCTAGAACATATACATAGAGCGAGGAAATGATGGAGGGTATGATGACCGATGTCACGTGTGAGTCCGAAGCGCCTCCCAATTCCTCCAGTCTCCACACCAGCGAAAGACCTCCTCCCACATGCCCTCTGAAAACCTGTGTACGCTCACACGTGCCGACGAGAGTGCGCAGCGCAAGTTTTGCTCGTCGTGCAACTGCCAGGTCGACCTCGAAAGCGATACCCCCCAACCATTGGCTGACGGGCCTGTTTGTGAACGGTGTCGGGCCCATGTCCTGGCTGCCCTCAATGTTATCCTGCCCCCCGTAAGGAAGCAGCGGCCGTGCGAAGAAGCTGTTATCCCCGTCGTCGAACTGCCCAGTCCCTCCTATCGCCCGCCAGTGGCGGTGTACTCCAAACCAACGCCCCAGCCCCAGCCCCCTCAACTCCAGCCTGTTCCCCCGTTTAAAGGCGACCCCCTACTCGACATCACCCGCCTGCGAGTGAGAGCGCAGGCCCACCACTGTCTTCACCCCGGCGCTAGCTTCCAGGGCACGCAGAAGAGTGGGCGCAACAGCTATGATGTGAATGTAACTATCGTGGTGGGTCTTTCTTCTTATAACTTGTCTTGTTGGACAGAAGCTGACATCTCCGCAAGGACGTGGACTTTGCATCTTCCTTTTTATGCGGATACCTCCGCATTCGCGGACTTACGGACGACTGGCCCGAGCTGACGACGTACTTCGATGCGGAGATAATTGGCCCTCGGTATGGCTTCCTCACGCAAAACTGGGGCGCGACAGAGCAGGCGGACATGGTGCATTGGTCGCGCTTCCCCGCCTTCCGTCATGTCAAGAGCGACCTCAAGAAGCCCCATCTCACCATGCCCGACCGGGACAGGGGCGCTGTCTTCATGCGCTGGAAAGAGCGCTTCCTTGTCCCCGACCACCGTGTGCAAGATATCAACGGCGCCAGCTTTGCAGGTGAACTAGGCTTATTTCTTATCATCAATAACTAACTTGAAGATAGGTTTCTACTACGTCTGCGTGGATTTCAACCCGCCAGTCCAGTCTGAGCCAGAAGAGGACAACGAAGGCGATGAGTCGACACAGCCAACGAAAGCGAAAGCCAGGCGTGACTCGAGTATCCGTCGGGCTGCGTCCAGTGGCCCCAGGCCAGCCCTGATGAGTGGATTCTATTTCCACCAAAACTCTGAGCCGTGCGTGTTTCTTCCTTCTAAACACGTTGTTTGTCCGTGGCTGACTGACATGTCCATCGGCAGGTACCAGCAGCTGACGCTGCATCACACGCCCGAGCGTGCCAGCTCGACATTCGAGTTCCGTTAACTTTTGTTGTTGCTATACTTCGTTTTCTCTCTCTTCTTTTCTTGTTTGCTGTACCTAGCCATACCTGCTGTCTGTAATATACTCTGAACTCAGCTCACGGACAATAATGCTCTGGTGCACATGGGCGATCATTTGATGGCATTTGGGTTTGGGAGGGCTCTTCTTCACCCGCCACGACCTTGTCCTCCGCCCGCTCGCCCCCCCTGCCTGCTGACCCCCGCTGTCGCTAGCATGTCCGCACACAGCAGCTCGTCAGCCAACCTAGTCGGCATACACTACCGCGTCGGGAAAAAAATCGGGGAAGGGTCATTTGGCGTCATATTTGAGGGTGAGGAGGGCTATCATTTGCTGTTATTGGGGGCTTACCACAGTTTGAAGGCACGAATCTACTCAACAGCCAGACGGTCGCTATCAAGTTTGTGCGTCGATCCCCGCCCCCCCCTGCTGGTGGACATAATGTTGACTCTGGGTTGGATAAATAGGAACCACGGAAGGCGGAGGCGCCACAGCTGCGCGACGAGTGTCGCTCCTACCGCATTCTTGCTGGATGCAGTGCGTTGTTTTGGCTACTGGGGGACTACTGGCTGACTGGCCAAACAGCGGGCATTCCGCAGATATACCACTTTGGGCAGGAGGGCCTACACAACATCCTCGTGATCGACCTGCTGGGGCCGAGCCTGGAGGACCTCTTCGACATGTGCGGCCGCAAGTTCTCCATCAAGACGGTCTGCATGGCTGCTCGGCAAATGGTCCGTGCGCTCACTAACTCAGATGCCGTTGTGGGTGCTAATGTTTACCACCTAGCTTTCACGCGTGCAAACGATCCACGAGAAGAACCTTATATACCGCGACATCAAGCCAGACAACTTCCTCATTGGGCGGCCAGGGACCAAGGGCGCCAACGGTGCGCCGTTTGCTGTGGAGCTCCTGGGCTGATGCCAACTAATCATGACCGCAGTGGTGCATGTCGTTGATTTTGGGATGGCGAAGCAGTACCGCGACCCCAAGACGAAGCAGCACATCCCGTATCGGGAACGCAAGAGTCTTAGCGGGACGGCACGGTATATGTCCATCAATACCCATCTTGGGCGGGGTGCGGAGCGCATAGTTTCCAACTTGCTAAAAAGCTGACAATTTAACCAGAACAGTCAAGGAGAGACGACCTGGAGGCGCTGGGCCATGTCTTCATGTACTTTCTGCGCGGGAGCCTGCCGTGGCAGGGCCTCAAGGCCGCGACGAACAAGCAAAAGTACGAGAAGATCGGCGAGAAGAAGCAGACCACGCCGATCAAGGAGCTGTGTGAGGGCTTTCCTGGTCTGTGCAGCTTTTCCCTCTGTTTTTTTTCGACTAAAAGTAGTAATCAGAGGAGTTCGGGATCTACCTCAACTACGTGCGCAAGCTCGGCTTTGAGGAGACGCCCGACTACGACTTTTTACGGGAGCTTTTTGCCAAGGTCATGAAGAACAATGGCGATGCGGACGACGGCGTGTTTGACTGGAATCTTTTAAACGGTGAGCTGCCTTTCCGTTATGATGCATCATATGCAGACCAGTGGCAATGCCAATGGCAATGGGGTCTAACAGAAATCCACAACCTGCTGTTAGATCCCCCAACCCATTGGCTTTACCACCTAAAATGCTTTCATCTTTTGCTTACATTTTACAGGCGGGAAAGGCTGGGAGGCTTCAATGGGCCAAAGCCAGATGCTCGCGCAGATCCAAAATGCGGGGCTCACCGCCGGTGGCACAGCCGATGCGCGGCGGCGTGGAGACCCAACGGACCGAAGGCGGGCGTCACAGGCCGGTAACGGAAACATTGTTCCGCCATCACCAGCGCTCGTGCGGCACGGCTCCAAGACCCGCAAGGGCGGTGCGCTCACGCCCGGTGGCGGCTCGCCTGGCCAGATGACGCCGCACTCGGCCGCGGCACAGGTGAACGTCCCAGTGGGTGGCGGATCACGTGGTCAACACCCATATGCGAGTGCGGGGAATGGCGGGTTCGACTACTCCCAGGACGACTATGCGCAACAGCAACAGCAGCAACAATATGGCCGCGCGTCGCCCATGGTGTCGAGTGTTGGGGCTGGCGCGGCGCCACCTGCCGTGAGCACTGTCAGGGCACAGGGCGGTGTGTCAAGAGACGGCCAGTATGGGCAGCAAGACGACGAGCAGCCTAAGGGCGGGCTGATAAAGATACTGACCTGTCGCTGTGGTTGATGATGGCTTTTTTTACGACCTCCACATTATGCTGTCTTTCTGGGATCTTCTCTCTTTTTTCTCTCTCTCGTTTACCCCCATCTATCTCACGCACTTAATTCGTTCGCGTCGTCCGCCGCTCTTTTTTCCCCGTTCATGCACGACGAGTAATAGAGGAATTGATAGTTCCTTTGTGTAGCCCCGCTTTTTCTTGTACATACATACTTAGTGCTTGTTACTCTTACAACGACAATTGCATGCGGATTTGGTTCATATGGGGTGGGATGTTCAAATTCCTTGGTCTGTTTGGGAGTACATTAAGATTTGGATACTCAAAGGCAGCAAAAGCTGTTGGTGGCTTTAAAAATACAAAGTCATATGCATGACCCCAAACCAAAGATATGCTTTGCTGATGTAATGTTCTGGCAATAAATTATCTGTCCAAACTTTGGGACAGTCAAATCAAATTATAACTACTTCCAGCAGTCCAGAGACTTTTAAGATGAGGCCATTACTGCTTGATTTAGAGCAGCTACAGCTTTCTGTAAGACCCCAGTCTTTGCTTCTGTACTGCCATTATACAGTTGCTCCTGTCAAGCCAGCTCAATTGTCAACGTCGGGCTCGGGCTGTATTGGCGCATCGGGGGTTCCGACTTCGAGAGGGTCTGAGGAGCACGAGAGAGATGAGTTTGGCCCGGAGAATAGACGATATTAGCCTAGCGACTACATCCTGTAGGTACGGTTTTTATACGCTAAGAGATTAGGGATGGGTGCTAGGTCCCAGGGCGGATCGGATGGGCATTGTGTAGGGCCCCGCAGGGGTGAAGGGAAGGGGTTAGAAGAATGGGGAAGCGTTGAGGAGTGTGGGCATGTGGGCCCGCACGGGCCCGATCGGCCCGGCGGCCCGACCCGAACCGTGACATCAATAGCATCCATCCAGTGAAAGGAATTCAAAGGATCTGAATCAATTGACACAGTAGTAAAGGACATCAACTAGACATGCATCCATGATGCTTATTTGAACCAGCCCTAATACTAATAAATAATAAACACCAGGTCAACTTCACAATGCAACTTGGACAAGAAAATTTGAAGAAAAATAATTTCATATCTATGTCCCTCCAGCCTCCAGCAATGAGCATCTCCAACCAGGCAAACAGGCTTGCCCTTGGTCCACTATCTCAATATATCAGTCCTGCACTCCTCCAGCATCTGCTCAAGCTCCTTGGCCTCACTATCTAGGGGTATAAGCCTTTCTATGTTAGAAAGTGATGCTGTCTGAAAATGATATTCTTTTTATCATACTTATCTGTTCATCAACTTGAACATAGGAAGACAACCTCTGCTTACTGTACTAGCACTGGCAGGAGTTGCCTCTATCATCGACACAACAACAGCCAATTGTGCACGTGTCCTGTGCTCCCCAAAATTGTTCTGCGCATATTTGTCGTGAAGGTTTATGAGAAGAGTACTAGTCAGGACTATGCTCTCCGGCACCAAGCTGAGGCGTGATTTGCATCCCATCTAAGGATCTCCTACAGGAAGTGCGTCAGTGCCACCACAGGACAAATCTTGCTGCAACTAGTGTTGATCAGAATACAACAGTTTGGCTCATAGGCTCCGGGAGGCTTGTCATGATAAGTATGCAATATGAGATGGCCCAGCAGCCCAGCTATAATTTCAGATCTGTATTCCTGTGAAACAGAATGCAGCAAACAAGGGTACACACAGAGCAAACAAAAGAACTAGACAAAACTGGATGAGAATATCTGTGCATCTGACCTTTTTTTTGCAAGCTCAGATGAGTAGCAAATACAATCCATATTCCCATTTCGTAAATAATACACATGCAGCATACTTATGATGCTTTTTGGGTTACACAGCGGAATCACAGCGAGATACAAGCACAGCAAGTTAGTTAACGTTCACAGCAAAATAGCAAATATCACAGCAAGTTCGAGGGGGGGGGTATATGCGCGCCGGCCGGGGATCAGATGCTACACATCCTTATTCAAGTTGTAGTCGTCCTCCCAGTCCTGCGTGTGGCTGGTCGCGATGGTGTTGGGGTTGAGCGCGATCTTGTGCTTGATAATCTTGGGCTTCGGTGGTGGCGGTGGCGAGGGCGGCGGCGGGGGCGGCGGCGCAGGCTCCGTGGCGGGCTCCGGCGTCACGGGGGGCTGCTGCGCCGCCACCGCCTTCGACCCCGAGCCCGCGGGCGGCACCTCCGGCCCCCAGCGCGTGAACCGCCGCTTGCGCCGCGCGGCCTCGGACCCGTTCTCCGAGCCCTCGGCCGAGACCGAGACCGCGGGCTCCGGCCCGGGCTCGGGTTGGTGGTAGTGGTGGTAGTCGTGCCCGGGGTCGTACTGTTCGAAGCGCGGGCGGTCCCAGCTCGCGCGGGCGAGCGTCGCGTTCGCGCCCGTCGCGGGCGGCGGCGGCGGGTCGGCGTCGAAGCCGGAGGGCCCGTCGCGCCACGTGCCCGTGCCCGCGGGTGCCCGCCGGTGATGCCCCGGCGTCGGTCCGGAGGGGCGGTGGGTGTACGTGTACGGGTGCGGGTACGGGCGGTAGTGGTGCGCTGTGGATCGTCAGCTTAGACTAGACTAGATTATCGGACGGGACGTACGCCTGGTATTATTGCCGTTATAGTGCTCCTCCCAGCCCTCGCTGTTATCGTACGCCGCCCTTATCAGGTTCGGCCCGCGCCGCCGCTGCCCGCCGCCCTGCCCCTGGGCCTGCCCGTGCCCCTGGGCCTGCCACGGCTGGGGGAGCCGCAGCTGCATCTGGATCTGCATCTGCAGCGCGGCCTTGAGCAGATCCGCCATCGCGCGGACCGTGTCCGACTCTCTCGGCTGCGGGGGCGGGGGCTGTGCGACCTGCATCATCAGCTGCTGCAGCTGCTGCATGTCGATCGTCTGCGCCGGGGCCTGGGCCTGCTGCTGGCGCACGAGCCCGTCGACGGCGCGCCGCAGGTCCTCCAGCTGCGCCTGCATCTCGTTGTTCCCATGGGCGCTGGCCGGCCCGGCCCCGGCCCCGGCCCCGGATCTGGACGCCGGCCGGCGCGTGAGCTCCTCGATCTGGCCCTTCAAGTCCGCGATCTGGTCCTGCATCATCGTCGCGCTCTCCCCGTCGTTCATCTCCACGTCCTCCGGGCTCGGGATCGCGGGCCGCTCAAACGACACCCGCCGCCTCACACTCCTCGCCGGCGTCGGCGTGGGCGTGGGCAGCGCCCTCTTCCGCTTCACCGGCCTCTCCTCCTCCTCCTCCTCCTCGCTGCTGCTGCTGCTGCTGCTGCTCTCGCTCGGCGGCGCGACCCGCGCGTTCCTCCGCCGCTTCTCCTTCTCCCTCCCCCGGCCCGATGCCGCCGCCGCGTCACGTGCGCCCGCGCCGCGGCGGACGTCGTTCTGCGTGCCCGCGGCGTTGTACGCGTCCGCGACGCTCGTCGCGATCGACGTCGACGCGCCGGCGCCCTTCTTCTGGAACCTGAGCTGCGAGAGCGGCACGGGCGGCTGCTTGGGCCTGGCCGCGGGCTTGGGCGGGGCGCGCGGCGGGGAGGAGGAGGGCATGGAGTCGGAGTCGATGGTGGTTACCTCGCGGTTGCGGGCCGGGGGCGGGGCCGGGGTGGGTTTGGGTTTGGGTCTGGCTGCGGGAGCGGGGGGCGGGAGCGGGGGCAGGCTTGGTGGGTCTGGGTGGAGCTGGAGCTGGAGGGGGCTCGGAGGCGCTAGAGCTGGAGCTAGAGCTGGAGTTGGAACTTGAGCTTGAATCGGAAGAGCTTGAGCTAGTACTCGAGCCTGAGCTGCTACTGGAGCTGGAAGGGGCCACTGCTTTGGAAGCAGACCCAGAAGCGGCCGGCGCTAAATCGCGTTTCTTCAAGTTCTGGGGCGCTGCCAATGCGGTGGGCTTCTTGGGCACCGGAGCTGTAGACTTCTTTGGCAGCGGCGGTGGTGGGGCTGTGGGCTTCTTGGCTGTTGGGGGCGGTGCTGTTGCTGTTGCTGTTGTCGATGCTGTTGCTGTTGCTGGTGGCGCTGTGCTGCCCGGCGCCTGTCCCGGGGCAGTGGCCTTCGACTTCTTTGATCCCGCTATTCCTGGTAGTGGCACCGCCGCGGGTGCTGCTGCTGCAGTTGCAGCTATTCTTGCAGACGCTGGTACCGCCGTCGCCGTCCCCGTCTTCGTTGCTGCCGCCGGCCGCTTACCGCCCGCGCTATCCGACGCCGACGCCGACGCCGACGCCGAATCGCTGTCAATCTACGCGGCCGCTTAGATCGAGGGACCACTTATTGCCGTCGCGTAGCACGTACCTCGTCGACCTCCTCCTCCTCCTCCTCGTCGTCTTCGTCCTCGAACAGCCTCGCCGCGGCCACCGTCGTCGCCGTCGTCTTCTTCGTATACCTCACCGGCGGGAGCTCCACGCACTCCATGAGCACCCGCATCCTGGGGGCCTGTGTGTGCGTGTGCGTGTGTGCGCGTGTCCTAGGTGCAGCCTGTGACGCTGTCAGCGAACTCTACACACACCCATCTGTGGGCCCCCCACGAGGCCGATCGCTGATCTGATCGGCTGATCGGCCCACCCGGGGACCGGGGATCGGCGCTTACCTCCGCTGCCTCCGCCGCCTCCGCCTCCACGTGCAGGTCGTAGAACCCCGGCGCCCACCCGCGCGCGCGCACCGGCCGGCACGCGCCGTACGTCCGCGCGAGCCACGCGCGCTGCACGCCCGCGTCCGGCACGCCCTGCGCGCGCGCCGCGGCCGCCCGCAGCTTCGCCACGCCCGCCGCGTACGCCCCCGCGCCGGAAGTAGAAGTAGAGCCAGACCCAGCACCGGCGCCGAAGTGCAGCGCGTGCGCGGCGTCCGCCGGCGCGAGGAGCGCGTCCGCCGCGTGCACGCCGCGCGCGTGCAGCAGGTGCGCGAGGCACGTGTCCGTGTGGCACGTGCCGCACGCGAGCACCGCGTCCGCGCCGGCGGCGTGGCCCCCCGCGGCGGCAGAGCAGCGCCGGTCGCGGTCGGCGGCGGCGGCGGCGGCGAGCAGCACGCGCCGGCGGTGCAGCACGAGCGCGGCCTGCATGAGGCCCTGCTTCGGCGCGACGAGGTCCCTGCCGCCGTCAGCTACGTAACGCCGGGAAGCCGGGGACTCACTTGAACGCCCGGAGCGACGGGCGCGAGAAGCGCGCGAGCGCGGCGATGCCCGCCTGGCGCGCCTCGCGGAGCTCCTTGAACCTGCGGCACTGCACGGGCCGCATCGCGCCGCACGCGCACGCGCGGCCCTCGACGTAGCACCCCCGCGCACACCACGAACCCGGGCCCGGGCCCGGGCCGGTCCCCCGGCTCGCCGTCCCCGCACGTGCCGCACTCGAACGCGGCCTGGAACACGTCCGCGCCGCAGAAGTCGCACGCGAGCCACACCTCGCCCTCGCCGGCGCCGCCGAGGAGCGCGACGCCGTCCGCGGGCTGCGTGTACTCGTCGACGAGCACGGCGTCGAAGAGGTGCAGCAGCTTGAGGAGCACGGTGACGGGCCCCGCCTTGGCGGTGGGCGCGGCGGCGACCTGCGCGGTCGTCGCGCGCAGCGCGTGGTACAGCGTCGCCTTGACGCGGTACGTCTCGGGGCGGCACACCCTGCGATGCGATCAGTGATGGGATCATATTCCGGGCGGGGCGACGCACCGGCGGTAGAGGGGCAGCTCCCAGCGGAGGGCGGCGGTGAGGCCCTCGATGGACATGCGGGACCAGGAGGTCTTTACTGCGAGCCCGCCGGCGTTGACGACCTGGTGGGCGGAGCGCGGCGGGACGAGCACGAGGTCGCCGACGCGCTGCTCCGCGACGAACACGTCGAACGGCGCGCGCGCGAGCTCCACGAGGGAGACGACGTACGTCTCGTGGTCGATGTCTGGTCGACATCAATCAATATAATTTGTAAATCAAAAGGCAATACCGTGTTTGAGGACGCTGTGGAAGTACTCCTCCACCTGTGGCGCGCTCGCGCTGGCGGTCATGAACCAGAACGCGCGCCCGCCGTCCTCCGCGTACGTCATCAGATTGTGGCCCTGCGAGCCACACAGATCTGTCCCCATCAGCGCCCGTCAGCACCGTCAAGTATTATACCACACACCCTTGTGCGCGGGCGTGAACGTGCCCCCCGCGCCGACGTAGCACATGAGCGTCTCGACGCGCGCGGACGCGGGGAGGTGCCCGAGGAGGTCCGCGCCGCCCGGCCCGGGCGCCATCGCGCGCGGCACGACGTCCGCGTCCCGTAAAAACCGCGCATACGCCGCGGGGCACGGCACGTCATTCGCATACAGCCCCGCCCCGTCTACGTATCACATCAGCCTCCAAAAAGATAAGAATAGAATCGGCACACACCGCCCGCCCTCGCCTGCCGCACGACCTCCTTCAAACGCATCGCGCGGTCCTCGCGGCGCGCGACGTCGCGCACCGTGACCGGCCCCGTGACGCCCTCGCCCGCGAGCCAGTCGACGCCCCAGTCCCACTGTGACCCCCGGCCCCGCCCACGCGGGGTGCTCGTGCAGGCCCTCGACGACCACGGGCTCCCCGCTCGAGAACATCGGCTGCGCCCACACGTCCGCCGCCCACCGCACCCTCCGCACCGCCCGGAAGTTCCCGCCCGCTTTCAGCAGCCCGTCCAGCGTCCACGCCGCCGTCGCCGCCGCGTCGTACGAGGCCGAGGCAGAGGCAGCGGCAGACGAGGAGGGGACGACCCGCTGCGCCGCGGGCCGCGCGATCAGCTCGTCGATGTGTGTCGTCCCCGCCTTACTACTGCTGCTGCTGCTCGCCTCCGCCGGCCCCGGCCCGCCCGCCCCGCCCCACGTCGCGTTCTTCGCCATCAGCCGTTTCCGCTGGCTCTCCATCTGTTGCTGGTACTCTCCTCGACGGAGGGAGGAGGAAGGAAGGAAGGGGTATGGCGCCAGGTAGACGCCGTCAACGGTGCTGTACACCCGGGGTTATAAGTATACGTCCACGAATACACACACGGACACACAGATCTGTTGCCCGTCTCGTAAGGCCGGCGCCTATCAGCTATCTATCCGGGGGCCCTTCTGCAGGCTTCGCCATCCCTTCCCATTCCCATCGCGTTCGGTTGCCACACAGCTCCCGCGCGATGCGATGGATGAACAGGGTGCTCGCAGCAGGTACTAGGCACGCAGGCAACGGGCGCCTACCAAGAATACCCGCGATAGATCGATTCCATCCCACCAGTCAACGTCAATCTGACAGCGCGATCGCTACCGCCCCCACTCTCCCACCCTCCCACACGAAACGAAAAAAAAAGCCCCAAGTAAAAAACCCATACTACAAAAAAAAACATCACCGCCTCGCCAAATCGATATACCGCGTCGTCCGCTTCATCGCCCGCGCGCTCTGCTTCCACCCGCCCCCGCCCTCCTCCTCCCTGACCCGCGAGTGCCGCTCACACAGCATCCGGCCATCCACCTCCCAGTACTCCGCGAGCCGCTCCCTGCACCCGGCCGCGCCCGGGTACTCGCACAGCATGTGCTCCGGGTGGTACCGGTCCCCCGCGTGCGACACCGCGCACGGGCCCTCGATCGGCGCCCCGCACGTGCCCGCCGCGCACAGCGAGTCGTTCGCCTCGTGGTAGTGGTACGCGCACATCGGCTTGTGGTCGTGCACGTAGAACGTCTTGTCCGGGAATGGTTTCTAGTAGTTATTAGATAATAATAATAATAATAAGAGGAAGAGAAAAGACGCACATTGCACACATGGCAATTAAAGCACTCCCGACTGAACCCATCAGCTACCAATCCATAAAAAAAAAGGACTCGGCACTCACTGGTACTTCCCCTTAAGCTGCCCGTCCGAGGACGACACCGCCTGCTTCTCGATCGGCAGATTGCACCTTCTGCACTTGGGCAGGTACAAATTCTTCCAGCACCGCTCGCACAGCACCCCGCCCTCGTCCATCGCGACCCACTTCCCGTCCTCGATCGTCTTCTCACATCTCAAGCACACCTTCGGCTTCTTCCCACCGGCGGCCCTCCGCGCCGGCGCCGGACTCCGCCCCCGGCTAACGTCCTTCTCCTGGCTCACCTTCCGCATCGACACCGCGCTCTCCCGGCTGCCCTTCCGACTATGCCCCGCCCGCGGCGTCGGCGCTGGCACCACCGCGGGCGGCGCCCCATCGCCATAATCGCTCCCGCTGTCCGACGACGGCGACCGGAACCGGCGCGCGGGGCTCTCGGACCGCGCCGAGCCGCTCGTGCTCGTCTTGGCCACCGACTCGGCCGGGCCGCCGGAGCCCACCGAGGGCGCCGACTCCTCGCCGTCCTCGTAGTCGGTCGAGTCCGCATACGCGAGCCCGCCGTACTCCGACTCGGAGCTCTGCGACACCGACGCCGACACCGACGCCTCCCCGCCCCCGGGCCGGCGCCGGTTGCCGCTGCTGCTGCCGCTGCTGCTGCTCGCCTTGGAGGAGGCGATGGACGCCTGGCTCTTGAGCGCGATCGGCGTGGGCACGGGCGACGGCGAGCGCCGGCCGCGGCCGAACATCTCCGGCGACAGCGGCGACGGCGACGGCGACTCGGGGTACGGCGCGACGCCCGGGGAATTTGAGGTCGAGGTGGACGTGGACAACGGCGGGGTGGTAGTATTAGCCATTTCTGTAAGAACAGTTAGATCAGATATAACACGAGGTGAAACGCACTACTCCCGCCCGTATCAATTGTCGAGGCGAACATCGCCGCCCGCGCGGCCGCGGCGAACCCGCGCCGGCCGACGCCGGCCATGCCCGCCTCGCCGCCGGACGCGGTGTCCACCCCGCGCTCGTCGATGTCCACCGCCACCGCCACGACGGGCCGCGCGACGGGCGTGAGCGGGGACGACGCGGACCCCGCGCGGCCGCGGGGCGGCGCCGCAAAGTCGGGCCGGGGCGGCCGGGTGTCGTCGCGGGAGAGCGACTGCGCGCGCGGGGGCGTCCCGGGAGAGCGGGCTCGGCCGCGCGGGCGGGTAGGCGGCCTTGATGGGGAGGGTGGTGTTGAGGGTGGGCCGCTGGAGGGGCGTGGTGTTGCGGGGTGGTTGTGTTGGGGTGTTGTTGCGGGGTATTTGGATTGGGGCATTATTTCGGGGTGGGGGCGGTTGGACGGGGGTGTTGTTGCGCGGCGGCTGTTGTATGGGGGTATTCGTGCGGGGAGGGGGCAGGGTGTTCGGTTGTGGTGGGGGCGGTTGGGTATTGGGGCCCTGGGGCTTGACGAGGCCCTGCAGCCTTGTCGGCAACAAGGCCGCGGCTGCGCCCGGGGACATCGCGGGCTTGGGTATGCCGAGTCTGGGGGGTATGCTCACCGTGGGCATCGGCATTGGGGCTGCAGCTGGGGCACAGACGTGGCTGCCGAGCTCGTCGAGCGGGAGGTCCACGCGGCAGCTCGAGCACTTGACCGTGGGCAGCACCTGCGAGATGCGGGCGGCCGCGGCTGGGGCGGGCTGCGTCGACAGCATTGGGGGGCAACGGCCAGCGTGATTGGGATTAGAGGGTGAAGGGAAATCGTCACACGCTACACTAGCACATCATTTCCCGAGCGCATGGCCCGTCGCGAGGCTGACGGCGTGGCGCCTGCATATGCTCGTACCCCAGTACCCAGCTTCTCCTGATTCCATCACCCTCGTCCCTTCCTAACCCTAACGCCAACCTAGCACACCTACACTAACCTCCGAGTCAGACTACGCAGCATCCAAAGAATCCAGCAAATGCGCCAGTTTCGTTGTCATTTGCAGCGTCTGAATTTTACTCGGCCGTCACGGTCTCCTTCGACGCCAGGCACGATGTCGCCACGCACCGAGCCTCTTCTTCTGCACTTGGCGTTGGAATGCCATGTCCGATTGGATAGGCGTCCGATTACTGGGAGTTTGTCGCCGTTGTGTGCAACTATGACTGACATCTCAGGTATGTCATCTCTCCCTAACCACGAAAGTACCGAGAGGACACGCGCACAATGTCGGTCACGGTCTGTGGGGCATGCACTCGTCCCATCCGCGACTAATCCTACTCAACGATTTTCAGATGCGAAGCCTTGATGTCAGATTCGTGTTTCGCATGCGCTGCCTACTCGGAGGCTACTCCATCCTCGTTATCAGTTACAGTACGAGACCACAGATCCGGTACTACTTATAAGGCACGGCAGCAGCAACACAAAACTCCCATCGGCCGTCTCAGGCGCGAGCTCAGCGCTCAGATCCCAGAAGGTATTCGTTTTTCTCCCGCACGACTTCTGTCGTCGTCTAAGACAAACCAACAAAATGCTATCACACGAGAAGGCTCAATTTCGTGAACAACTTGGGTATCAACCACATCCAGGCGGAGGACATGCAACTCCAATGTAAAACGTCTCAACCTCAGCTCTGATCGGTATAAGTATGTAGAGCTTTTGGAAGTTGTCAACTTGAACGCAGACGCTTAGGCTAAATCAGATATCGACCAGTAACATCTAGTTCCCATTCTGATCATACGCCTCAAGGCCCTGGCTGTCTCACTCGACCACCTAGCCAGCAACTCCTAGTCTATCATCAACCTGACCTCGAGGTGTGCCAAGTCATGAACGGTCGGGATCTAGCCGTTTCAAAGAGTGCGTTGATTTTGATTAGTGCGGTTGTTTACTCATTTTCCCCACAGCAAATACGCATATGCAGCTCCCCCTGCCCAACACCATACTCAACCGCTCTCCTATGCTCAAGCTGCTCCACGTCGCGCAAAACAGAACATTGACCTGCAATCGGCTCCCCAATTACAGCCAAGATTCAAGCCTGCTCAAAGCGCCGCACCTTTGGATAAATAATGCCCGATCCAAGCCCCCCTCTGACGCAAATGCAGAATCAGCCTTTCGCCCCCCCAAAGCACCAAATATGGGACCGCCTCCAACGCCGCAAATAACGAACAGAGGACAAGTGCCGATGTCCGCCTAACGAGGAAATGCGAATAATCGATCGCTCCCGCCAGCCCAACGATTTGCGCCGCCTATAGCCGACCAACAGCTTTGAACGGTTTGCGCCGGCAACAGCCAGTGGCGCACCGCAGCAGTTTTCTTCGACATTGCGTGGGCATGGTGGGAGTATGAGGGGGGCACAACGAGCACCATTTGTCCCAGGTGGATTTGGATAAATGTGGCTTGGGTCTACCAGTGTGTGCAAGTTTCGTACTTTTTGCTCCGCCGCGATTATCCTCTTCATACGGTCTGATTATCTTCACCTGGATGAATTTTGTCGCCAAAAGCTGAAGGTGCAAGTGCAAGTGGCCACTCCGCGTTAAAATTGATGTGCACACTTTACCCCGAATTTAGAACGGATGAATATTGCACACAAATCCGTCTTTTCAAGCACATTTTGAAAGGTTGGTCAAGTACCTAATTATTACATTTTTGATGACACTTCCTTAACGCATATTCTAGAGCAATCGTCAAGCAACAGCTCGTCAGCAAAGGCAGTGCATAGAAACCTTTAGACTGTTTTATCCTTTGAACCGAAAAGAAACCAGCGCTCTAAGAACTTGGTCACCCACGGAGTCGGCGGAGGGTCGAAGTATTTCAGATCCTCCCTCTCCAACACGACGTCTGCAGCATATCAGTATAACTAACAGCGGCAAAGCTCCAGCTAGCAAGCACTGACCGCATACTTCTTGTAACTAGTCAACGATAAGGGGTGCAGAGTAACGAGTTTCATAACGCCCACCTGAGCACGCTCACGATACCATTCGGCACAGTTTCTTTCAGCAGTCTCCCTCTCCTCAGCCGTCAAGTCATCTCTCTCCATATCCGCCTCACAGGCTGTGATCTTCTTCGTGTATGCTTCAATCCGTAAGACAAGTTTCCAGGCTGGGATGTCGTAGAGTTCCAAATTTGACGTATTCATGAGGGAACTGAGGCAAGTCGGTGGGGGCTGTGTTGATCACGAACCCTCCATGTCGTGGCCCCTGAACAGACGGGCAACCCAGATTGTTGAAATGTCCAACGCCTGAGAGCAGATGCAAAAATTAGTATCATATCTGATAGGGTAGATGAGCACCCACCAACTGCGAGAAGATACATTGGGGCTTCGTTGCATCTTTTTCGTCAAATTTGACGTATCCATGAAGGACGTTTAGCCTTCGACGCGGAGACGATGTCGTGAAAGGCGGAGGAGGGCAGAGAGGCGATGGGATCAGTCTTCGAGTTGCGTTGGGCACAATGTGAATTGGGGTCCGAAGTTCTCGGGCTGGTCCAGGGACCAACTCAAGCTAACTACGAGGGACTGGTATGTACTGAGTATATGTAGGATGTAGCAAGGTGAAATAGGGATGGTGGGTGGGGAAATTTTTTGACGCGAGTTGATAGTACTGCGAGCGCAGTGTGAGACGACGAGACAAGTACAGTATGTAGGAGACTTAAGTACCTGCGAGCGCAGTGTGAGACGATGCGTCAACACGGCGCTCGCAGGCTGCTTATATACGAAGGGGAAAAGGACTGAGCGACGCGCTTGGGATACTTAGTGCAGCCAAGCGCTGACGCGCTTGGGCGGCGTCACGCGCGCTTGCTAACGCTGGTCAATTCTACACCCTGACCAGTCAATGTCACAGTCACGCGCTCCAAGCCGCACCACGTGACACATCGTATCCTGATCGGCCCGGGTCCTCCAGTGAGTTGACCCTTTCACTCCAACGTACTTTGGATGTTATCTAACAGGGATTGATGGTTTCCGAAAAGTGCTGAACTTGCGGCCGGGCCCTGCCACAAGTTTCGCACATCCCACGCCGTCGACTGCCAACCCGCCAACGTCGTCTCGTCTTCAGTCTCACGACCGGGAACTTGAATTCCACAATTCTCGTGGAAATAGCGAACAACTTGTCCTTGTTCACCGCCCCAGCTGGATAACCGTCATAGTCCGCCCAAAACTCTTACGGCTCTCGAACGGGGTAACTCACGGCACAATGATTCGCAATAATGCTATATCTCCACGCATATAATAGTATTTCCCGCCACAAGACAAAAGCATCGTCAAAAATTACTAGTAATCCGACCCTTCACTCATCCACCCCCTCGGACGTTCAACGCTGCGCTCTCTCGCGTGCCCAGCCGACGGCACCCCGGGGCGTCTTGTAGCCGCCTGCATCGGCGGCCCGAGCCGCAGTCTACTCGCCAACTCGCCCACGAAGTCCCGGTCCCGTTGTTCCCGGTAATCCTGGAAACCGTCACGCCCAGCCAGCCGTTCCCTAACCAACTCCCGCACAAAGTCCCGCCCCCGTTGTTCCCGGTAATCCTGGAAACCGTCACGCCCAGCCAGCCGTTCCCTAACCAACTCCCGCACAAAGTCCCGCCCCCGTTGTTCCCGGTAATCCTGGAAACCGTCACGCCCAGCCAGCCGTTCCCTAACCAACTCCCGCACAAAGTCCCGCCCCCGCTGTTCCCGTTCCCGTTCCCGGTCATGCCCGTCGCCCTCCCGGCCGCCGTCCCCGACCAGGAACCGCACCGCGCCCGCGCCCCCGGGCCGGCGCACCGCCCGCGGGTCGTCCGTCTCGTGCCACAGCGGGACGTCGGCGGGGCTCGGCGGCGGCGCGAGCACGTGGATCTCGCGGAGCGTCCGCGTTTCGGGGTCACGGCCACGCCGCGAACGGCAGGAGACCGTACAGCAGATGTAGCGTTGCTCTTGTACTGCGAACAATGAGGAAAGTCTCAAAAAATGAAAAACTACGCACCAGAGGAAGTACCGCATCCCGAGTTGGTCTTGCAGATGGTGCGAGTCATTTCTGGGGGAATCGGCATTCCCATACTCGTATATTCGGACATGTTCGCCTCTGAGCGGCTTGGGTCATTCATCTATACCAAGGGCAATGGACGACTTACTAGAGGGCAAACACCGTTTCAAGATCGACTTGGGTGCAGGAGGTGCTGGGTGTGGCATCCAAGACAACTTTGAGACCATGTCGTGGTTATGGGTCAAGATTTCAGGGTAATCTGTTTGACTTTATAAAGTAGCTTCGGGTCAATAGGAGGCATGTCTGATCTTATCTACATGATCTGTCTCAGACCCTAAAGTCTTGGGAGAAAGAACCTGAGAGTAATGTTGCTTGCTCAAGTAGACAGGTATTTGATGCTAACACAAAGTCCCTAGCCACCCAACCACAGCAGCCGCTTCATCCCATACTCCAGCTTCGAGTACATGCTCGTCATCCGCTGTGCCTCCGCCAACCTACACAATCAGTCAAAAAAAAAGCACAAGAAAACATCAGAAACCACAAACCCGACAACGTCCTCCTCGTCCACCAACCCTCCAGCGTGCCCAGGTCGTCCATCATTCCCCAAATCCTCACACGCCCGCCTAATCGCATCCACGATTAAATCCGCTGCCTCCCTGCAGCTCCCCGCGCCGCTCAACTCTTCCGCCGAGTCCACATAGCCGCCCGCCGAGCTGCTCGCCCGCCTCGTCCGGGCCGGGTCAATCGGGAGCACCTTGAACGCCGCATACGCCGTCCGCGCATTTCCCGGGTCGCCCCCATTTAGCGCAAGGCTCTGCAATCGCGCCGTCACCGAGTTGGTCGCACTCCGCCCAAGCGTGGCGGGCAGCCTCCCCAGACTACTCGTCGCTGCGGCAGACAGACTCTTGATCGTCACCCGGTTGGACGAAACCGTCTCGATGCTGTTCCGCACCGAGTAGCTCGTGATCCGCGTCGTCTGGTTCGCGCTTGCCCACGTGACCACAAATCCCGCATTCTGCGCAGCATCCCGGCTCGCTTCCTCCAGCGGCGACAATATATACGCTCCTTTGGATATCCGGGTAATGTCCCCAAGCGGCACACGGGTATACATCTTGACCTTCTCGAGGGTATAGTCGTAGCTGATAATATATAACGCAGTCGCTGTCTGATAAAAAAGTCAATATTGTGGAACCAAACAAAAAACCACTCACCAGCAGCAACACCTTCTCTTCAAACTTGTCCCCGATCTTCACATTCAGCTCCTCCGGCGCAAACAGTGTCCAGCCCGACAACAGCCGCTCGCCCTCGCCCAGCACCCGCGCCACCGACGTCGAGATCGCCTCCGCCCGTATCTTCGACAGTCGGATCAGGTCACGTGGGTCCGACGACTGCAGCTTCAGCAGGAACTCGGAGAACACAGACACAGTGCGGTTCCCCAGCATAAAGTCGATCACCGCCTGCGAGAACCAGTCGCTGAACGTCGAGGTATACATTCTGGCCAGCGAGTTGACACCATCGTTGAGCAATCCGCCCAGATCGCGCTTCCCGGTTCTTTAAGATGTAAACACTTGTGCTCCGGATATAAACAAAAAAAACTAACCTTGTGAAGTCCCCCTTTAACGCAGATGTCCCCGCACTGTATCTTTCAGCAAAAGATAAAACCCAACAAGGGAGAAAACGCACTAAGCGCGACTAATCGCATCTCCGTTGTTGGCCCACACTAGGAAACAACTCAGAAATGCCAATGATTCGTGTCCGAACATACCATCATTGAACACATTATCCGTCTCCGACCTCCCTTCCAATGCAGGGTTAAGCAGTGCAACAGCACCCAGCTGGTTGTTCAGCACATAACGCGCAAACGCAGACTACAACCATCAGCACGGAGAAGGCTAACCCCCAGATATATATGTGCCATTACCTGAACAACATTGGTGCGGTCCAGACAGTCGATGCAGTTCACCCTGAAAACGCCCTTTTGCGTCGACATCGTGAGGTCCCCCGAAATCCACAGATAGCCCTGGTGGTCAAAGTTGCGGTCCATCGCGTCGATCAGCTTCGAGATGTTCTCGTACTTCATCCCCTTGGTCTCCGTGTGGAAGTCGTATTCGTGGTACCTGCAATCCTCTATGTAAACAAAAATTTGAGGAGAAAAAATATAATATTCCGCACGTGACATTCTTGTCCGCAAGCTCGGTCGCATATTCGCGATACCCTTGTGTAATCGCAGCCTCTTTCCCGTGCTGCTCTGCGAGGTTAATAGCGATCTGGAGAACATCAATATTCGCTAAGAGCCTCTGACGAATCTTACATGTGGCCCGTATTTGGGTACAGTGCGCTGGAAGTGCCTCCGTATCGCGTCCAGATGCTGGTCGTGTGTCCGCTCGTTGTCGAGGAGAGGCGGAGGCTTCAATCCATATCCAGTTTGTGTCCAGTAGAGAGGTACTGATAAAATTTTTGAGTTTATGCCCACGGTGAAAACGAGTTGCCCAACTAGATCCCCGCAGCTGCACATAACTGAAGATGTTCGCGCGGCCTTCTCTCTAATTTCCATGTGAGCTTTGGATGATACTCAGTAAGGAACAAATACCTCCACCCGCATGATCGTCTCCGTCTCGACAAAGTTGGCAACATGTGCCTCATCATCGATTCCGCGACGTTGGTATCTTAAACCCGCCCGGTCTCGGGACCGCCGCGAAACAATTATGTAGTCCACCGCAGCGTCTTCTTCATGTGTGAGCGGGTCGGGCGGGATGACGAACTTGGAGATCTGGTAGTAACCCTGCATGATGGGCAGCACATAAGGATGTAGCTAAATTTGTTAGTTTCCACGAAAAGAGATTAGAAATATAACATACTCCAGCATCAACAAAGGGCTTGGACATCCATTCGTTCCACCAGAACTGGCGATCAACGCGCCGCCAGAGCGGGAGCGTGGGCTGCGGTTCTACCAGCGGGTCGGTTTTGGGCTCCTTGGTGTCGAATGCCGACAACACGTTTAAATCAGCAAGCAGCGCATGCTGCTTTTGTGATTTAGCGACTTGTTCCTGCTTGTGTTGAAGAGAGCGGGTAATATCTGTGTCCCAATCAGGACAAGCGAACACATAAATTGAGACTCACCAAACGTATATGCGAAATACATCCCGCCCTTGGTATACTCCCTGATGCATTCCCTGATGATCTTGTCCTCCAACTGCGAGTGTTGTTCTTCCGGAGTCGCTGGTGGTGGGGCCAGCGTTTCGATAAGATTGCTGATAACAACCGCAGGTTCCTGCTCTTTGATCATATCATCAAGAGATTCGGAAGGTGGAACCATAGCCGGATCTGGTTCGCTCGCTGCAGGCGTTGGCGGTAACGAAGTCCGTTTCGAAAGCCGGGTCCAAAATGACAGTCGCGAAACAAGCGTCTTGGCCACAGGGGAGGTTGCTGCGGACTGTTCATCCTCAGGTAATGACAGGTCAGACGAAGACGAAAAGGGAGATGCAGGAGCCGACGCGTGCTCATCGGTGTTGAGACTAAATGTAGTCGCCGTAAGCGGGGTAACCACTTTAACCTGGTCGTTGTCTGCGAACTGGACCCTGGGTGAAGAACGAGGAGGATCGGCGGCAGCATCGGTTGTGGTTTCGTGAATATTAGGCACAGAGTCCAGCGTCCGACTTTGCACAATGAGGGAAGGCCGTGAAATATGGGTATGTCTGGAAGCAAGGGTATTCAATGTGATCCTCGCCCGCTGCTCCCAAAGCGGGATCGCCGTAACGCCGCTGACGCCGTATACCGCATGCACCTCATCCAGCACTGAATCTGCTAAGTAATTGAGACGGTGGAAACCAAAATAGCGCACGATTTCCAACCTCCGTTCGGGAGGTCACAACCAGCAAGTACGACGCTATGAACACCCACTTTAATCGATGCATTCAGGAGTCGGGAACGACGCACAAGTAAGCAGCTCGAGAAGCCCGACAATTCCGTAGACAACGACGCTGGTGGCCCAGTCGGCCTCCTCGGACTCCCCATTACCGGATAGCTCTTCTACCTGGGTCGTCTTGCCCCAGGACAGCCGGAGATGGGTAGTGGGGCCGGAATCTTCCGCGCTGGCGCTCGGGATGTGTGGGCGAATAAGCAGGCCATTAGAAATGGGTAATAATGCAATGTGGTCGTGAGGGCATGGGTGGGGGACTGCCGGGATGACATATTTCGGTTGGAGGCCAGTAGAATGCGGGGCAGTTGTACTTGTCGTACTGATATTTGATGGGGTCGGAGAAGGAGCCGGCGTAGACAAAGTAGCCTTCCTGGCGAAGAACCGCTTCATCGGCAGCCCAACACCAAGGTTGGAGAGCAGAAGCGTCGCGTGCAGCGAAGTCGTCACCGTGACATTCGCGCTTGACGTCAGATCACTCTTGGCCCACAATGCAGAGACTGAAGAGTGTTTCATCAGGCCAAACAAGAAAAAACTTCATTTGAGATAGCAAATCGACAGCGAGAATAGTCTACAACCAACAGATTTTTTTTCGTTTCGACTACTGTCCGCTTTGGGCAGGGAAACTTGCCGCATGCGCAGAGGCAGCAGCCGCTGCTCCTGTATGCCCCATACGCTGGAAGAAAGTATCCCATTGACCTGAACCATATCGTCAGTGTGCGATTTGATGTCAAGTGGCCCATGACGTACCCCAGTCAAACATTCCTCCTGGAATTCCTTCTAGGAAAGTGTTATCGGTCATTGCATATTCCGCAAGATTGTTCGACGCCTGCGCGACATCCAAAACGTTCATAACCTGGACGTGGCCGGGATTGAGACCAGAATTCATCGCTGGGTTCATATTCGCGGCATTGGGAGTAACGGGACCAGGAAGAGGTGTGAGGTTGACCATCGCGGCATCTGTTTTATTTGAAGGAGACCCTGGTAGCCAGTTAGAGACGAGAAAACATCGTGAGATATCATACCATGAGCGGACCCATTTTCACCGTGCTTGATCACTGTGCCTGGAGGGAGATCTTTGAAGTCGCCAGGCGAATCCTTGTGTGCGACAAACACGCCGCTTCCAGGACGGGAAGGATCGGGTTTGTAATCCAGGATTGGTGGCTGCTTGTTCTTGACGCCACCGGTCGGATTTAGGGCCGGTCTCTCAAGAGGCAACTGCGGACCTTGAGTAGCTTCGAACAAGAGTGTGATGATTTCGGCAGTCTGCGGGTAGATATTAGAACTAGGTTCATTGTGACGAATGTTGGACTTGCCTTTCTGCGAGCAGACATGTGGTCAGGAGACAGCGAGCCTTCCCATCGACGAACACAGTCGCGAAGTTTGCGCAACTTGTCAACAGCAGCAGGGTCTTGTCGACGGACCCATGTATGATACTAATCAGAAGGTCAACACTACTCAACAGAATTTTATCCAAGAATACGAACCTGAACAAAGGCGCACGATGTCGCAGCATACGCGATCAGGAGCCAGACATCGTAGATGCGCTCATGTTCATCCAACCAGTCAATGCAGTCTCCTGTCAGTTCAACAAGAGTGCTCCATTGTTCAACGGTCAGCGCAAATTTAAGATGCGCCGGGCAAGAGTAGCTGATCCGCATGAACACACGCCAGAATATCATGCAAACCGACGTGAAAAGCAAATGCAAGATCCCTGTCGCGATAGGTAAAATTGGGGGGGCATGAGAAAACATCGCACGGACTGACCTGCACTTTGCGATGACCCTGCGCCATGAAATTTCAGGGCATCTGGGAGGTTCGCCTTCCAATTCTCGATGTCCGTCAGCAGCCGATGGAGCATTTCATCCGTGACATGTGTGAGGCCAGAAGGACTGGAAGAAGATCAGGTTGTGGGGCCGCACAGGAAAGGGAATAGCAAACCTATAAATAGTTTTCATAACGCGGCCTCCGATGACACTTAGGCGAACAAGTTCGTCCATGTAGGCATCCTTGGAGTCGCCAGAGGAAGGGAGACGGACATCACAGTCCAGGACATCAATCATGTACGGAAAGCCGTAAACCAAACTCGACCTGAGAGAAATCAGCATAGAATGCGGGAATTGTAATGATCATTCAACCATCGGTCGCTGATGAGGCAAGCACCCCAAACTCTGCGGCGCAGCGCAATGTCATTTTGTTTCACGAGTTCGGCGCGATGGAGCCCAAGGTCTTGTGCCTGTTCCGAATCAAGTTAGTCCACACGATGTAGACACCACCAAGACAAATTCATACCATGCGAATGGCAGCTCCAAGACGAGACCACATAGCCGACAGCGCCGTGGGCACAAACTGAGAATGACAGTCACCCGTCATGCACATAATAAGCAACGCTTGGACATTGGCCAAGGTGGGCGTGGAGAGCACGTCTTCTGCCTTGATGATAGCATTGGTGGCGTACCGGATGGAGTCAAAAACAGCTTGAGGTGTTTCCCGACGAGCGGCAGCAACAAGGCACATTGAGTACAAAAGTACTGGGGGAGGAGCACTGAGAGCGACGAACTCCTGCTGAGTGATGATGGGGAGGATCGGGGCAACCTCGGTGAAGTAAGCATTCAGGAGTTGTTCGACAATGTGCGACTCGATTTGGAGGTCGGCAGGTTTGGGGATCGATACCTGGTGCTCGTTTATGACTGGTTTTTCGACACGGATGAGACCATCACCGCTGCTGCTGACCTCGAACGAGTGATGGTGGCGCGAGTCATAATTCTCATAGATGCGAGACGCAATCGAGGCAGTTGAGTGCAAAAGATGGGCAGTTGATGTTGGCCCCAGAACACTGCTATCGCGAGGCTGCTCTGGAGTCGAGTTGGCAGGCTTTTCATCATCATCGGTGCGCTTTTTCTTGAAGCGAGTCTCCGTGATGGGGAGGAAGAAAGTACACTCGAAATGATACTGCTTGCAATGTTGGCAAGCTGGCGGATCTGAGTCTGCAAGAATGTCACAGCGAATCTTTCGCGAGCGACAACTATCGCAGGCGCGTGCTGTCTTGGACCGCTTTTTCAGGTCGAGTGCCTTGCTGTTCTCGATGGGGGAAGTGTCATCGTCATCGTCAGAATGCTTCTCCTTTGCCTTGCGCTTGCGCTTGCCACTGCTTGCCGACTCAACAGGGTCTGGAGTCTGCTGAGGGGGCGGTGGGAACATCATGAGATGGGGCGGGTAATGGGGGTAATACTGGGCAGGGAATGGGGCATGGTACGAGTACTGGCCAGGCGGAGGGCCTGTTGGGTATTGAGCTGGATATGCTGGGTAGCCGGGAGGGGGGTTCATGATGTAGGGTGGATAAACGATGGCAGGACTCGGGGCTGCTGAGCATCATGGTGAGCGACGAGGTAATGGTTGGAAGACAACTACGGACCCTCGGCAGTACCACCTGGTTTTCGTGAAGAACGTTTTTTGGAGGACGGCTTGTCGGCGGGGTCTTCCTTCGCCGGGGGAGGACTAGGAGACGTCATTGCGCTTATCTGCCGCGACCTCAAAATATGAGGAGGGAAAGAGCGGCAGCTTGAAGCCACTTCAAAGCCGAAGCGGCTTCCACCGGTCACACGCCAGCGTAGACCCCGGAACATGAGGCTTCCGACCTCATTTTAGCCGTAAAACTTGCTAATTATGGCAATGTTGGTCAGCTTTCTCGTTGTTTGTCTACCAAAGTGGTCAAATGATGTGACCTGATCGGAAAGTAGTGTTTGGGGTCTTTTTCCAACAACCATATGGGCCCGCTCAAGTGGAGCTGACTATTGATCTGCCATGATTATCTATCTACCGACAAGGCCCGGATTAACTTCACGCTCGTCCTGTACCGCAAAGGCATGTCCGTTTAGCCATGAGTACCCTATAGGCCGACAAAGGACTGCCAGCAAATTTTTCCTGAAACTACCGTGCGAGAACGGATTGAGGGGAGCTGAACCTGGGACAAGAGTTTTATGGGCTTGGTTTCGAATCTGAAGATCAAAAATCAGTAATGTATTTACATCGTGTTGCCCAACATCCTACCTGTTCAAGCGTCGTAATGTTTAACAGTAAAAGCTGGTCCGCAATGAGTCACTGACACCACGCAAATTTAGAGCTCTTACCCGCATATGGTACATCAGAAGCAACATGACTGGCCAAAACACCACGATGGAAAGGCTGAATACTACCGCGCTCCCAGCGCCTTCTCGAAGCGCACGCTTGAAACTAATATGCTCCCGCCCAGGAAGTAGTGCCAAGTGAATTGCGGAAGTGCAAATAACGAGGACGAGTGTCGTTGCGACTGACACAAGCATGACAAAAAAGGTGGTGTAGTTTCGCCGTCCAATGCAGTTGTTCACCCATTGACAATGGTGGTCGCAGCCGTCAACGCAGTTGTCGCACTGTTGCCGTTGATGAATGAATAGCAATAACTAAATGAAGGACTAACCATTTTGCAGTGACTTGATCTGGGAGGCCGATACGTCTTGCATGTTGGACAATATTTTACACGTACTCTGCTTCCAGTCAGATTCACACCATTAACGATACCGAAGACACGCACACGTCCGACCGAACTTTGAGATCTCGCGGCATTGGTGCCCGCATACCACCATCTGAAGGAGATGTAGCAGGGTAAGGAGGTTCAGGGTCAAGGTCACGGGGGAGGATACCAGGATCGCGCATGGCAGTGGTAAGCATGCTTGAAATGGTAATCAGCGCCATGTAGCCACAGATTATGGACACTGCGGGGCTGATATTGTGCCACCACCAGACAGCAGTTGTTCCAAACCAAGTTCCCGAAATAGCGAGCAGAAGTGACATTGAGCCAATGAACGCCCAAGGGGAGTCGCCTCCAGTGAGTATTCTGCCTTGGAAAAACCATCGGTTACGTGAGGGATGCAACTCGTAATTTCGCATTGGTTTGTGGGTAACGGGGTCCAACACCGGTCGTTCCATGCGCGACGGTCCATCAGTGTGAGCAAAGAATGAGGGTTCTGGCGAAGCAGAGGGGGTATGGTGCTCCTGCGAGTGAGGAGTCTTGGTATATGGTGATGAAGGAATGTCAAACATGCCGTGTTCTTCGTCGCGTCTGCCGTCAGCCCTCTCTCGAGTGCCTGTGGACTTGCGAATGGATTCGAAGCTCATTCCTCGCCGGAGACCTGCTTGGATTAGTAAGAAAATCTCAATGAAACGGATCACTCACTGAAGACACGCTCTAGACTGTTTCGTACAATTCGGGTGGGGGAAAGAGGACCACTTGACCCATTGCGATCTCGAAGCATACCCGGCCGAGTGGGGATGGAAAGCGGAATGACTGAGTCCTCATTTTGTGGTTTAGAGTACTCTTCTTCTTCAGCAGTTGCACCCGTTACGCTGCCGGCTGCATCATCCGAACTATTTGACAATCGTTTGGTGAGGGGAGACAGATTGAATACATCGGCGTCAGTGGGAAGAGAGGAGTCGGGTCTTGGTATATTATTCGGACGCTGTGCTCGGAAGAACGATGCAGAGGGTTGTATTCCTCCGGCATGGGTTGGGCCATGATAGCCAAAGGTCGGAGACTTGACTATTGGAGTAAATGATGTCGTCGTGCCAATGCTAGACTGGCGAGCATGACTATTTGGTGGTACAGCGGTAAGAGTGGAAGGTAAGGGTAGCTGCTTTGGGCTCGATGGCGGCGACGCCATGTCCCCGGAGATGGGAGGAGGAAGTGTGACCTAATGGGTCACAAACGATGGACTCGACCCTTCTCTACGCGTCGATTCACGAAACTGAAATCCCCGTGTTCCTCGCGTCTCCAATCGCCCATGCTGCCCAGAATACCCATAAACACCTCACGATCATCCTTGTCTCGCCCTCTTTCGACTTATCATGGAATTCGATCCAACAATTACTGACCTTCGTTTACGTGCAAGCGACGAAGGTTGCTCAGGACAGGAATCGCATTCTTATGCAGATAGACGTTCTTCTCCACATACCAAATACTGCCATCCCCGAATCTGTATCAAGTCCAGACGTTGTCTTTCGTGTGGAAGGAGGTATATGCCACTTTCTACTTCCGCTGAATCACCATTAATATGGCGTATTAGACTCTGTTCAGCTGCCTCCGGAGCTGAGCTCATTTAGTCAACATACTATACCACGAGGGTCGCATCCAATCGCTCCGACTCCAGCTGAAGTCGCCACACTTTCTCGTTTTCCTGTTGTCGCTCTTGGTGGTACTTTTGACCATCTCCATGCGGGGCACAAGATACTGCTAAGCATGGGCGCCTGGCTTGCATCCGAGAAACTCATCGTTGGTGTGACAGACGATGCCCTTCTTGTCCGCAAGGCTCACGCCGAGGTTCTCGAGTCTCTTTCTGCGCGAATCACCTCCGTTCGCACCTTTCTCAACACTTTCCGACCTGGTCTCGTGTACGACATTGTGCCCATCAACGATGTCTATGGTCCAACTGGCTGGGACCCAAATATACAAGCTCTAGTTGTGAGCAAGGAGACTGCATCTGGCGCGGCATCAAGTTCTCTCATTCTTTTTCCACCTCAAATATGAATCTAATTCCCGTTGTAGTCGCATCGCATCGCGCTGAACACGGATTACCTGCGTTGGAAACATTCACTATTGATGTCATCTCCGCGACGGAGACCAACATCAGCAACGATAACCCAGACTACATGAAGCAAGCTAAAATGAGCAGCACTTACATCCGCGAGTGGATTGTGAATCATAAACAGTGACACCATCGCAAATGGACCATTATTTCTATCTTTGGACGTTGGCGTTGAAGTGACACAAAGTGGCGCAATATGGATGCATGTATAGTATGGAATTCACATATGTAGATCACAATGTACATCTAGTCTGTGGACCATATGCGCATGAGGTAGGTATTATAATATTATTATCCTCAGGTACAGCAACACCACTACAAGTAGACGTTAGTCCTCGTGCAGGAGATTCTCCAGTTGTGACTCCGCGTGGTCGCGTTGTAGGGCATCGACAAACTCGTGCAGCCCATCGCCCTCCATGACCGATCTAAGGTTCATGAGCGAAAGCCCGATTCTATGGTCGGTCACCCTCTCTTGGGCATAGTTGTATGTGCGTATTTTGTCACTGCGGTCAGCGCTCTGGACGAGGTTTCGTCGACTGGCACGTCTTTCCTCCATCTCTCGTATCAGCTTCGCCTCCATGAGCCGACTGGCCAATATTTGGAAGGCCCGTCGCTTGTTCTGCAAAATATCAGGAATGAAACGACTTTATCATATACTTTACCTGATGCTGAGACCGCTCATCTTGCATAGCAACAGTAACGCCAGTCGGAATATGAGTTAGACGCACAGCTGACTCGGTCTTGTTGACATGTTGTCCGCCAGCACCCCTTGCCCTCATAACTTCGATTTTAACGTCGTCCAGGGAGTACAGCTCTTCCTGTTGCACTTCAGATTCTTCCATGAGTGGTAACACCTTGAAGAAATGTTAACAAGCACTTTGAAGGGGAAACAAGTAACTTGCCACGACCGCAACTGTGCTCGTATGGACACGCCCACTCTGCTCAGTGGCTGGCACTCGTTGTACGCGATGTACGCCACTTTCGAAATGCAGCGCATCATATGCGCCATGGCCCCTGAATTCGACAACAGCGTCGCGTGTCCCGCCCTGGTCAAGATCGCTGGTGGAAACCACGTTGGCCTTCCACCGCGACGTTTGCGCCAGTCTCAAGTACATTCTCAGCATTTCGCCCAGGAATAGCGACGACTCGGAGCCACCAACTCCCGATTTCAACTCCATCAACGCTGAAAGATGGCTCGTTCGCGAAGGCGGAACGAGGATTGCTGGAAATTTGGTCTGCACCATGTCTTGCAGACTCCCCGCAAGCAGAGTGTAGTCTTCTGCTGCCATAGTACGCAGGTCTGGATCTTCAAGAAGCTCTGTCGTTTCTTGCAGCGCCTGAAAACTAGCAATAAGCATAAGTGCCCGTCGGTCGAATTTGGAGAACAGCGAAGAAGACATACTTGACGCGTTTTGACCCATTCATCCCATGCCTCTTGAATTGGCTCAGACTCTTTCAATTGTTTTAGCCGTGAAATGTCGGCTGGCGTAGACATAGATTCCGAGAGCTGCAGGCTAAGTATTTCGCAGGACCATAAAGTCGGACGCGCACTTGAGAAGTCAACAGTGCGCGTTCATCTACCCGCTTTTTGACGATACGAAGAATCCTTGCTCCATCCTTTTCTATCTGTTGTATTCCGGTTGGAAGCTTTGTCGAAAATTGCCTTCGCAAACAAAACGAGAGCATGTCACGTCCACGTAAGGCTGAGTAAGCTTTTCGAGCCTGGACCATACATTGTTGAAAAGTTCATTTTTCAGTGCCTGTGTCAAATTCCTGATCGTTATAGTCATGTGCAGATGCAGACGACCGCAATAGTAACCATTATTGAAGTCTAAGATGAGGTAGTGAACTTGAATAAGGTTGATGAGGAGCAAGAGATCTATCCACCTGCTCGCAGCTTGCTGGAATCTGCATTTTGGAATGTATAAATGCTCAATACCTGGCGTGGCCTTGGCTTAATTTCAGCCATTCCGGGCAATACACGAAGGTCAAGCGACAAAACTTGAACTGACAACTTCAACTTGAACTCAAGATGTGACCATTGACACGCTCAGGCTTTGTCCGTTGAACTCGTTTGTTCACGGAATACAAAACGCCTACCTTAGGATGTTCGTCGACCAGTTCTCTTCAATGGATTGGAGCCGAACCATCTTGGATCGTAGTGATCTCTAGAATAAAGATTAGATTAGATGTGGTTGGACCCCTTTTTGTTCAACACTCAGACTCAAATTTACTTTTCCTGCCAGGATCAAGGTCGACTACTTTGGGCCGCGTTTGTTGCGTCAGGATGATGACCAACATAGCGGCCGCACATGACGCAAGCTTCGTGCCGCACACACACACACTTACTTACAAGGTCGAATAAGCGTTAGAAAGCTTTTAGTGTCGTCATTCAACTTCTCGTCTATGCACGCGCTACAGACCATATGCCTTAGTTATCCGCCTGCACAAAAATGACTGATCAATCAAGCTGAATCAGCTTTCGCTTTCTTGAGAAAAAGAAAAACTATTACTGGTTGATATCCCCCATCCACGACCATGACTTTTGGGACTCGTCTCTTGGACATGATCTTCGACGACTCTGCAATTCGACTGGAAGGGCATCGGTCGGAACTTTTCGGAAGCCGGAATATAGACAATGCGAACCAGGCTGATCCTAGAAAATCTTGCCTCTCGAAACTTAGCGGGGAAACAACTTCATTGCGCGGGGGGGCCATTGGTGAAGTACAACCAGATGGACCTGTGCTACGCTGCTGTCGATGGGCGCGGATTTTGTGTAACGTTGGCGGACTCACAGCTGGTGAGTGGGTGTTAGCGGAAAACGATCTTCGAGGTTTCTTTGCAAAAGCGCCAAATCAACGGATTCGGCGGTTTCAGTGTGCCTCTTGGACTGGTATGGAGGACTGGTCCACTGTGGACGAAGAAATGCATCCACCCGACGTAGTATTGACAGAGTGGAAAGCTATGGATGACCAGAGTTTGCTTGCCAACACCTACGTTTCCTCTGCGGATCTCTTCTGGATCGGTAGCCGGGTCGCATTTTCTAGCCCGAGACAGAGCAAATTGCGAAGCGGGTACATCGTTGACTTCGTCGACCCAAATATTGCATCTGTCCGACTCTCTGTTGATGGCGAACCGGTCAACTATGGCTCAAAAGGTTTGATGTGGACACTCATGGCGCTTTGCGGATCCTGCGATACAGTTGATGTTGCTGTGAGCAGCCTGCGAAGACATATTTTCTGTGAAATGCATGAACAAAACGAACAGTTTGTGTTGAAGGGGAGAACGCATGTTGGCAAGGTAGGGGAGGCTTGGACGTTCATTGAAGAAGACGGCTTGAAGTTGGACCGAGAGGAATCATCCTCCATATGCTGTCCTTCGGTCCAACAAGATTCGCATAAAGGTGCAAGCACCGACCTGGCTATAGAAACGGTAAGCTTGGGCAAACGGTTTTCGGGCGCTAAATACCTAACATGCAGTCAAGGAATGAAAACTTTGTACGGCGCTGTTCTGTGGACCTTGAATAAAAGCATCCAGCGTCTGGATGGGGTAGATTTTTCGCGGATGTAATCTGCCACAAAACGGGCGTCCCGTTGAATGACGTTTATTTGCCACCCCGAAGCGTCCCTTTTTTCCGTAACAATCTGTTCAGAGTAAGTGGGGAGGAAACTCAGGAAAGCGCATTGCATCCACGGTCTATAACACCAGGAGGGCAATTAAAACTCTTGGACCCAGACTGGCAAGCTCTAAACGATTCAAGGGGCTCAGATCATTGCAGCCTGCGGATGTTCTGGTCGACGCTGAAATGAGAGAGTGGTGGTGCCGGTCAAGAGGCGTTGTTCATGGACTCCGGTCATCGAAAATGGGAGGGGCAGGCATGGGCAAGAAGCAAAATGTCAGAATACTGAGACATATTGAAGACTCGATGAAGAGTGTACCATGGACGCTTCTGCAACATCGACGACGGATTATTCATGTTTTGATGGCCAGTTGAAACGCTCGCCCGATCGCTTTAAGGTCAAGTTTCCGTAGGCATGGAATAAGGGCCACATGGTATATCTGCGCTCATTCTTATAGTGCTCAAAGCCTGAGCAGTGAGCGCCATATTTTACTGATCTACGGGCAAAACTAATCGAACTTGAAAGAATGGACATAATTCAATAGCTACATTCAAGTTTGCAACAGCTTTGGGAAGCTTTCTCCATGCGCCATGACCGTGTAACAACAACAGGCTCAACGAGCACTCAGCAGCTGTATAGCGATCAAAATTCCACAAGCTCCAAGGCATGCCTCAATAAATAGGCCGAGCAGAGGGAGAGAGAGAGACGAGAAAATAACGGTCGCAGAAAGCGTCCCAGTGAGCCATGCCGCGGCCGTGAAAGTTGGACATTATTCAGCTGATGCGATGGTCAAGTACAAGTTGTTCGCCAGTTCCACTAAGATTACAACGCTAATCCGACTCGTCACCGTTAGAGCTCGCAACATCGCTCTCCGCATCCCCCGTAGCAGCAGCAGCAGCGGTAAATCCAGACAACAGCCCAGCACCACCCTTGCTTTGCGAGTTTTTCCAAGCATGCGCGTTCCGCAAGAAGGCAAAAGTTGTCGGATTTGACTCGCGCTCGTCATCAGCGAAAACCATGTCCCAGTCTATCGGACCGTTCAGTACTTGCAACAGCGACAAAAAAAAGTTGATGATCACCTTCGACTGTTTGACCAGTCTCTGGATCGACATGTCTTCGCTTGCTGACGATTGGCATCATACCCTGGACCTTGGCGACATCTTCTTCAGAGCCATGGCTTTCCTCGAACGTCTTCCAGACTTCCAGCAATGCAACACGCTTGAAGAAAAGTTAGAATATCGCATATACAAGTGAAAAAAGCTTACCTCGCTTTTGAGTCCCTTGTCCTTTTGGTCCTTGTAGCCTCGTTGGAAGACCTGGCGCGCCAATGTCAGGTCTCCCTCGGCCATCGGTACCTCAGCTTCCTCGTCTTCCTCATCGCGTTGTGCTCGAGGTATAGGAATGGGTTCGGCTTCGAACATGGCGTACGATATCCAGACTTTGACATGGCCGCTGAGCTTTATCAGTCGCTCATAGAGACCACGTGCTGTTTCGCGTTCGCCCTCTTCGATTTCAAAGTCGATATACGCTTTCCAAAGCAGTTCGGGCATCGACAATGAATTTTGAGATACACCCAGCTCAAAGATGCCGCGTGTTCGTGCAAAGTCTTGAAGCTGTGATTCGAGCTCTGCAAACTTGATCCAGGCGGCAGCATTGGCGGAGTCAAACTAGCTAAGGAGTCAGTGATATGCTAAAATGGTAACGAAGGAATAGTACTTCAAGGTATTTTTGGTATAATTGTCGCGCGCGATCGAATTCTCGTAGCTCGATTTCAAGCTCGATGTACCCCTTGAAAAGGGCTTCTTTGGGGCACATGCCAATAGCGACACCGAGAATTTTTCTTGCGGCTTGCAGGTCTAACCTCCGTATCTCAAATTTGGCGAACATCAGCCATAACTTGGCAAATGTGAATTGTTTGTGGGGTACGAGCTTGACAGCTTCTTGGTAGATTTGTCGGGCCCGGGTATAGTCCTGAATGAGACTGAGATGGAGTATATATATCAAATTGAGTGAACAGACCTTGGTTTCGATTTCCTCGAACAAGGCATAATCCAACCACAGGAATATATACCGTCTCCAATGTCGTTTTTCGCTTCCTGGAGGAATCTGCGCAATGGCTCGTTCGTATATTTCTCGTACACGGGAGGTAGCGGCTTCTAGCTCTTCTGTCGTTGAGCCTTCTGCCTTGAGGTCTCGCCAGGCACCTTCTTCTAACCGCGCATAGTCGAACCAGACATCATAATTGCGGCCGTCTTGGGTTATCTCATCTTCGTACTGAATTCGTCGTTTACCGAGAACCGTGTTCTCTAAGGTTGTACGGGTGCCATGTTGTTTTTCGAACTTGGTATATGATGCGTATAAGGTGGCGGATTTTGAGCGAGGGATTCGATCCAGAGCAAACTGTCGTTTTTTTTAGTGGGCAATTGAAGGTAACCCCTTGGACGCACCTTGTAAATGACTCGTGCTCGTTCGTACTCCTTCAGTCGCGTCTCCATCTTAGCAAACGCGCCAAAGACAGCCTGGGCCTTTTCGATTTGCTCCTCATCATCGCCGAAGAACTGAAGAGCGGTTTGGAAGACTTCTCGTGCTTTGTCCAGCTTGCCCCGCTCTTCCTCGAATTTTCCCCATTTAACCCAAACACGGGGTTCTGGACGGACTGCAATCCATCTTTCATAGATGGCACTCGCACGATCGAGTTCACCATAACGCTCCTCCAACTTAATGTAGGCTTGCCATGCCTTGTCGTCTGGTTCCCATTGCATCCATCGCTCAAACACTTGTCTGGCGCCTGGGACATTCTGCAGGAGCTCTTCGAGATAGACGTATTTGTACCACATCTGGTCCACGCGCGGCAGAAGAGTGACTGCACGGTCGTATAAATTTCGTGCATGCTGAACGTTGCGAGATTTGAGCTCCATTTCCGTGTAGCTCATCCAGAGTTGGATACTCCGAGGGTCTACATCCAGAGCACGCTCGAAAACGGATCGGGAACGAGCAAATTCGTTTTGACTGGCTTCCCAGTTGGCATATTGGAGCCATTCTTTACTGAGCAGAGTTAAGAGTCAGGATAAGTTAGAGAGCGTGGAGACATACATGCTTCCTCTTGTCCGCCTTATCCGTTCTTCAAACTCGGAGCGCTTTCTGCCACGATACTCGTGAAGTTCTTCATAATCCTCAACTCTTTGTTTTGGGGCTCGGAAAGCGGTTTCTTGACGTTCTTGAGCCTGATTAGAACATCATCTTGAGCCAACGATATCGAATATTCAATGTCAGCATACCTCTCGTAGAAGTTGCTCAGCAGTGATCTTGAAGCAGAATGAGTCGAAACAACATATAAAAGCGCAATTCAAACCTGGATGGCCGCTGGGGCGCGATTTTTTATTCTAAGTCGCGTGAGTTGGGAATGAACGCAAATAGGTTGGCTCAGCATACCGTGGTGCTCTTCCGTCCTGCATGATGGACGCGTTGAAGAACGTGTGACGTTACGGTGTGACCCCCGCCTCTTGCTCCGCCCCCACTGCTTATTGCCAGTCGCTCTCACTGGTCTGCAGTGTCCGCTGCTCCGGTGACGGGCTGGTCGCCACCTACAATTACGATTTTACGCTCATGTACTCTGATCCCAACCTCGATACACCCCCTCCCCAATCGCAATTTCGCCGGCCTTGGTCTCCCGAGCCATACGACCCACAGCCATCGACTCACAACACTTACAATCCGCATTCCCGATTCCTTAATCAGGGTTACGAACAAGAATATCAGCCAAACTACAACTATGACCATAGTTATCCAACTGCGCCACGACGAAGGGAGGCCTCCGAGGTGTCCGTTGAGGCATTGGACCTTGCAGACTATGCCATGACCCTTCGAGCACACCAGAACAATGCCTACCAAAGCACAAGTCGAGAAATGTTCTACCCTCCTTCCCCTCCGGCTCAACGACCCTTCGCTAACCGTCCACCGTCCACCATGTCCCGAATGGATACCTTATCCTCAAATACCCACTCTTCCCCGGGTCGTGGTCGAAATACCTCGAGAAGACCATTTTCACTCCCACCGCCATCTGCTCACTCACATTCCTCTCGACACTCACAGCCTACTTCCCCACGCTCCGGCAACAGTCGCAATAATGTCTACATGCATAATTCCAACTCAGCATCGCGGCAGAACCCTCGCTCAAGCGATCCAGAGATCGATATTGCCCAGTTCCCAGCATGGTCGCGAAACTGGTACAATTCGAAACCAGCCGCCACCTCCCCTCCCGACATTTATACCTCTCTCCCACCGTCATCTTGGAGTCCCAGGAGGGCACCATTTGACAACGGCGCAATGTTCCGTCCTGACACCCTCCCGCATTCATCCTCCGATTTCTATGATCCCTACAACCACCCTGCATCTTCCCTTGGCCATGAGTCTACTCGTGATCTACTCCCCTGGAGCAGTGAACCGCCGGATTATGGGCCGATGATTGACTCTTCTCTCAAAGAGGAGCGTATCCGCATGCTGGAACGCGAGTTTGGTCCTAATGCCAAGCCTAAAGGGCCAACGGAGAACAACGGCGAATTTGTGGACGAGGATGGGAAGCCCCTCGTTGGAACGGTTGATTCTAAAGGTCGATTGGTCACCAAAGGCCCCAGGAAACGACTTGCTTTGCGTATGCTTCAAATTGTCCTATCACTTACTGCAGCAATCCCAGGCATATATGCCGCGTTGGTCAGTCATTTTACTTGTTTGATTCGATTATCTGCTGATTTCTGGCAGGCAATCAAGCCGAAGGCAGAGGACAAGCCCCCACCCTCGGGTTCCGTCGCTGCATACGTCCTCTATGTGTTCTCATCACTCACGGTCGTTCTTCTGCTCTATCTGTTCCTATTTCGCCCATGTTGTTGTTCTGGACGACGGAAGAAAACCACTGGCCCTGGTGGAAATCCCATGGCCAATGGTATGATGGTATTGCCTGTTTCTGGCCTGCCTGGTAGCAAGAAGAAGGCCAAGAAAGCCAAAAGGGGCAAAAAGGGTATGCCCATGCCTGGTGGCGGTGATGTTCAGGTCAATCTTATTGTCGATCCCAACGCATTCGGCGGTCGGCCAGAAGACGATGATGATACTGACGACGAGTTGGATGACGACGGAGGGTCAGTTCCTGGTTCGTTTGATCCGGCGTCGGCGCGGAGGAAACGGAAACGGGCCAAGCGACGGAGTGTTTTCGCTGGACTCGCGATGGAGGAGGCTTGGAAGGCGGCTCGGTCATGGCTCAAGAAGATCACAGCCGTTGATACTTTCGGGCTCATCCTATGGGGTGCGGTATTTATATTCATACTGATTGGCAAGCGTTGTCCAAGTGGGGGCTTCGATGGCTGGTGAGTTGTCTTGCTTGTACTGTGGAACTTTCTTTCTGACGTGGTAAAGGTGCAACGCCTACAACGTCTCAACTGCCGCTGCCTGCTTGTTGTGTGTCTCGTTTGGCATTGCCATATTTTTTGATGTCCAAGACCTATCTGGCAGTAAACTCTCTCCACGGACACGTACATGATTACCATTTTTTTTTCCTGCGGACTAATCTCAGCATCGCATTCACGCCATCTAATGACCCTCGTTCACGCATGTCCTCACTATCGTTATTCGTTATTGTAGAGCGCTATATAGTCCGAAAGCGATGAATAAATGTGTAGATATGTTATTACAGATGATTCCTTTTATAGGTAAAACGGAATGCCATATACGACTGGCGCGGCACCAGTCAAGTACTTGAGCTTACATGACGATCGTGACTGAGCCACTGCAGCGACCAGGGAGGTTTGACCGTTGCCTGTCCAGTCACGTGCACTCTCCGCGTCGAGATGCAGTTTGTCGAAAACTGACTGCGAAAAGACATCAATGTCGCGGTCGGTTACATCCCACATATTCGCCACTAAAGTCGGGCAGCCAGCAAGCATGTAGTTGTGCGGTGTCCCCACACGATCAAAGTCGCCCATCTCCCTCAGAATACCCGATGAACACCCCCAGAGCATCGTGGCAGCACAACGAGGAAGTTGTCTGATCTTGTGTGAGCGCGCATACTGCTCAGCCCCGCCATGACCGAAATATACGACCAGATCTTTCTTCCTCAACGCATCCAAGAATTGCTGCTCACTCGGTGCTTGGCCCACCAAGCTCTGCCAACCAGCCTTTTCCATGCCCTTTAGCCAGTCTTTGAACCGGCCCTCCGTTCGAACAAGATCACCACTGGGATTGAGCAGGCAGTACCCATTGCGTGGGTCGACACGAGCGCGGTCAATCTTGGCTGGCTCTTTCGAGCCCCAGCCCGCGAGCTCGAGACGATCAAGAAGAAAGTCGACGCTTGGAATTCGACTGATGCTTTGGCCACGGAGAGTTGGAATGCTTTCCCAAGGCAGCCCTTGAATGTTCTTGTCAAGAATCAAAAACATATGCTCATCCTCCTCCACTTTGGTAACTGGAGGTTCGCCTCTTCTCCTTCCTGCCAACCGTGCATGATGTCCCTCCAGCACACCGCGAAGATCGACGACGACCTGGTCGATATCGACCTCCGCGATAGCAACAGGGACGCCATGGAATTGATAAAGGTCGAGCACAAAGAAGACAAGATCCTCCAGCTCTTCATCGCGACATTGGGGTGACAGTGTCGAAAAACATTCTAGAAGGACGTCGTCCAGGGTGACCCTACTTGGAATCTGGGTTTCAGAAGGCATACGGCGATGTGCAAGAGCGGGTTTAGTTTTGAAGTTCTTGTCCTGAAAGCGCAGGCCGCGATGGAAAACTTTGTCAAACTGAACGCGAAGATCCGAGATTGCTGAAGCAGAGAGATTGGCTCTTGGAGAAAGTATCGTCTGATGGGGGAGGGGAGTAAGTAAATAGAGAATGTTGCATTTCGAGTATGCTTCACCTTGAAAGCCCCCAACCAGCAGTACTCGATATTTTCCAGTAGCTCACGTAAGCGCTGATCTAATGCTGTGCGTTCTTTCCACCATTGTGCTCGAGCTTCCGGTTCGTTCTTGACATGGATTGCCCGTCTGGTGCCTTCGTCGCTTAGCCGTATGATCTCGTCGAACTCGCGCAACGCGGCGTCAAACGTCAAGCTGTCGGTTTCGTCTTCCTCCCGCCTTCCTTTAAGCGGAATGCAGAACACAAGCGGGTTTGTGCTGACATCCCCGCCATATTGTCTTGTGACGAACAGAGTGCTTTTATCGTCCGTCACTCCCATATGAAGGATGGTCCAATTTTGGGGAACATTGGCCATTTGAGATGCGGAGATTGTCGAGATATCTGGAGCCTGGCTTTGATATTTGCTCCTGATGTGTTCCCAATAGTCTCGAAGAGCCTGTTGCTCGTCGTCCTCGTCATCCGACACATCCAAGTCCGAATCGAAACCTTGACTTTGTGGGACCAGACGCTTCTGTTTGCCTCGAAGCACCGGACTACCATTTCTCGAAGTCAATGGCCACTCGAGATCGTCTGTGGCTATCGCAGGGAATTTATGGTGTACCGCCTCGAGCATCTCGCGACTGAGGGTTATGGCACTCGAAACATCCAAAAGGCCGGCCACAAGAACAGCATCCTGCCTTCCGGACTTCCCAAGTGATGTTTGAAGGGCTCGAATCAATGCCAAAGAAACCACAGCATCACGAACTCGGGAAACATCGCCCTTCCGAGAGAAAAGAGACACCTCCAGCCAGAAGAGATGTTCTGCATTTTCGAGAGTGCGCAATACGTCGTGGGTTGAAGGTGCTATCGTCAGGGCCTTTTCACTCGACATGCCCATTGGCAATGCAATAGCTGTCGAAACAATCAACTCAAGAATGAATGGATGAAGTTACGCACTGGACTCCGCCATTGAGCTCAAGAACATATCTGTAGCAAATCGTTCGTAAACTTCGTGAAGCGTCAATTTGGCCATTAAAGCATTTTCTTGAGCCTATAAAAATTGAAACTATTGGAACGAAGAAAATGATCCCACAAACCTTGCTGCGTGGACCAGCCGGAAGGGTGAGGAATCGCTGCAATAATCGTGTTCTATCCTCCCCAACATTTCGCAGCAGCCAAACTGTACCAAAGGGTAAATAGACATCAGTCATTTGACCCATTCGACATACTATGTTGCCGAAGAACTGTTGCAAGCACGTCAGGGTGAAGAATTTCGACATTCGTCAACTCAGAGGTTCGTCGAGTCCTAAGAGCTAGTTAGTTGACTTTGGATTATAAGATATTGTCACCCACGATAAAATTTCATCTAAGACCCCAAAATTCTTGTCCAATCCTTCTAATATCGAAGTTGCCTCCTCATAGAGTTGACGAGCGTCTTTGTCTTGAGAGCTCAGATGACTGTAGTCACCACGTAAGCGCCGGATATCCGCAATGTCCCTTCCGGATAGGTTTTCCAATAGATCGTTGGCTTGGAGGAGGGTTAAATGAGCTTCCTGTAACTGCCTTTGGTGAAGCTGAAGCTCTCCCTTCTTGGCCAATGCACGTGCTGCAAGTGCCGGTGTGTTGATGGATTGTGCCAAGTCGAATGCTTGCTGAGCAAAGTATTCTGCTTCTCGCGCTGAGCCACGCGTAAAATATGCCTCGCACAGAGCGAATAAGGTTGCCAAAAGGCCATCACAAACGCGCCACTCCATCGAACTCATCGCATTTCGGCGTGGAAAAGTCTTGGACGGCATTGGCTGTTCCGTTGATGCGGCATCCGTTTTGGGGGAAGAGCTGAAAGGATTATCGTCCTCGTCGATGGGCTTTGACGGTTGAGGCCGTAGACGTGTCAATGCGTCTAGAGCGCGGTTCCAAAGTCTCAATGACTGCAATATCGATTCCAAGGAAGCAGCAGTATCTTCCTGTCGTCGTGGTCAGTATTTCATGTTCATCGACTTGAGGTTTACGTACCCTGCAGTGTTGCATTAATGCAAATACGTGACATGCAACGGCTGCTCGCTCTAGATTGCCGACCCTGAAGCGGACGCGCTCAGCTGTCATCATGCCCTTTGTCTCCTCACTGACAAGTTGGGCTCGGGTCAAAGCCTCGCGGTATAGCTCTGAGCTGTAGACCATCAATATGGTAGTCAACAAAAAGCACAAGACTTACCTTCTCATAAGGTCTTCCGACAGCGCCATACATTCTGCGTGTCTCAAATAGAACATAGTACCAGCGCCATCGGAATGTTTGCCACTTTTCATTATATCCAGCGAACGTGTCAATATCGTGTATGCCCGCTTAGATTTTCCGAGTTTCATGTACTCCAAAGCCAGTTCGGCGGATGCAGTTAGGTAGCCTGGTTCAGAGGTAAAAATAGACGAACAAGAGACCAAGTAGCAACATACCATCGGTTGAAGACGTTGGATACTTTTCACACAAGCGTCTCGTTATTTCCAACAATCGAACCTTGAGTAAATCCTGCGTCAATAGACCAAGAATACATGCGACAAGCTCTGTGGTTGTTGAAATCATTACGACTCCTTGAATAAATCCAAGTTACCTAGCAGATCTACTAGTTTATCAAAGTCTTCAATTATTGACGCCGTATTCGATGGTTCCGCCGATGTCGCTGGTTGAGCTTCCACAGTTTGACGAGGGCGAGGTTGAGGTGTCTTGGGGTTTATGGAGGCGGGTGTTTTTTTCGTAGCTGGTATTCGTCGGGGGGGTACGACCTTCTTCTTCTGGGTTGCGGGTGGCTTTTTCACGCTAATCTTCTTGGTTACACTGGGACTTGGTCGCACTGGCGCAGCTATACCGGCCATAGGCTCAAATACTGAGCAGGCCATCTCAACATGGTGGGCAACACGCCTCGTTTGTTCGCAATCACCACTACGATGGGCGTGAAGGGCAAGCCATAGATGGGTCACAGCCCGCCATTGAGGAGCAAACCCAGCGAGACCCGAGTCTTGACCAAAGTCCTGAGTTCAGATCAATAATGAAAGCCATCCAAGGGAGAGAAAGCTCACGTTCTGGGTGAGAATCCTTTCGACTTGATCGCCAATTTCTGACGGTGAGCCCCACTCGATCACGTGCTCGGATCCAACGTGGTACATAAACTCAAGAATGGAGACCAACACGCGCGCTCTCCGGACTGGCATATTGATGTCTCCATATGTGGCCAGCAAGTCACCGAATAGTATGCGTAATGCAGTCCGACCATTCTCCTTCCATTTACTTCCCTCGAGACTCTGCATTTGTCGCTCCAATAACGCGCCGGCCATTGTAAGAGGTTGAACAGAGCGCAAAGAGATATCGGAGGCAGGGAGAAATAGATCGAAAACGCCGAGATGGGTGATGCGGTCTACAATGTTGCTTAGTTGCATTCCACCGGCGATCGTTTTGAACACATCAATCCCAGCACAGCTGTCTGCAATTTTGCCAAATTCATATCGACGGTAAGGATAGCAAGAAGCGGCCTTGATGAAACTCTTCAATGCAAGCTAGCATATCGTCAGAATGCGTTGATCACAAAGAAGCGCGCCTGACCTTCCGGTCACCGATCTTAGAGCAACAAACAGCCAAAAGCTCGTAGCGCCTCCATAGCTGTTCCTCCAGCTGCAGCCATCCTTCCGACATTTTCGTACTTTCGGTTCCACGAGTTCGAGAGTACATATCAAATGCTTGTTCACCCAATCGACAACCGTCGTGCAGAAAACGGGATGCCCCCGCATACTTTTCTGCTTGGTAGAGGGTTCCGGCAATGTTGTGAAATGCTCCTGATATGCAGCGAATGTAGTTCGCCTTTGCAAGCGTCTCTGGGTCATTGGTCTCGAGAAGGGCTGCAGCACGTTGGAGAAACGAATAGGAAGTTTCGTAAGATAATGGATCTCGAATGTTAAGCTTTAATTTCGCTAATGCAAACAATGTGTCGAGTGCAGGTGTGAGGAGGAGGTCAATCGGTGGAGTTTCCTGGGCGGCGCCTTGAGTTATTTACAATTAGGCGTGCAAAAGACGTACGCTGTTTAAGGCTGCCTCTAAGATAGTTGTAACAGTGTCCAAAATGTCTTGCACTTCTAGCATAGGGTTTTTATCAACGAATTTGACAGCACTTCGCCGTAAGCGTTCGATTGCTCTTTGAACTTTGCCGGAGATACGCGATATTTCGTGGGCTGGCTCAGTTGGTAAGAGCATCATGTGAAGACCGTCACTATTGAGCATTTCAATCGTTCGTTGCAAGTTGGAACGCAGTTGATCTAGAATAGTATTAAAACAAGCTCCAGTGTAGTAGGTCAAACATACCAGGCTCGGACGCCGAATCTAGCAATGCAGTTGTTTGGGACAGCACAGTATATAACTGGGTGCCACGCAAAAGTATATCGTCTGAAGAAGAGCTCGGCGATGTGGACTGCGTGGCGCTTTTAGATGTTCCAGGTTGGTTGCCAATGAGCAAAGCGACGCGATTGAGTATTGGAATATCTCCCAGCTGAAGTAAATTTTGTCAATAGATCAAGATGGGAGCCATAAGCCAAGGACGTACCCGAGTAGCCAGACTCATCCAGTATTCGCAGAACGAGATGAACCCTTTTCCTGTCAAGAAGCTTTCTGCGTCGTCTCGGGACTGGGCCAGAGTTACAATGTTCGTGAACGACAATAAAATCGTCTGTGCCTCGTCGGGTGCCGAACCCAGAGCCTTAATGTAAGCGCCAGCCGCTTTCACACATTGTTCCCAAAACAGCCCAGATTCGATCTTCCCGGGCGACGTTCGTGCAAGACAGCGCAAAGCATAGTCTCGCAAAAGAAAAGTTTCGCGAGGATACGACTGGAGACTTCCGGCTAGTTTCATTATACCGCTGTATGCCCGAGTTAAAAGAGAATCTGAATGTGATGACGAAAGAGCTGGTGACCACGATAGAATAGTAGAATCCTTCGTAAGAGCGGTGGTAAAAGCGGGCAATGCTTTTTTGACCAGTGGCAGCGAGGAGAGAGTGAGTAGTGAGTGTAGTAGAAATGTGGTGACGAGGTTCATGATGACGGGAGACGACTCGGATTCTGTGCAAGGTAGAGAGAGAAGATAGAGATATTCTGTCGACTTTCTCGTCTGTGTGTTGACCTTGAGGATGGCACATAGGCGTGGATGCATCTCTTTCAACGCACTAAGCGCGGAGTCCATCTAAGAGTGGTGAGATTTACCAAAGTTCGCATGCAAAACCACACACCATCTCGAGCGCAACTAATTTCCCTAACACACTTCCCGCTGCTCTCTCGATGTCAACATCGTCCGGCGACACATCCCGAAGAATAGCAAGGTGTTTAGCGGCTTTGGTGGCTGCAGCATTGGATTTCGTGGCAAATGTGGACTTGGGGTCGCCCGACTTCCGCCAGCCTGACTGAACGATCGTGGAGAGCTCTTGTGAAGCACTATTCACGGCTCGCATTGAGGCGAGTCTTTGTTCTGCCTTGTCGGAGAGGGAGAGAGAAGCGATGCCATCCACAAGTTCGTCTTCTACACGTCGTTTGGGACGCGTTGCCGCTGTCCGACGCGTGGATGAGGCCATCGTGGTTGTCGCAAGTTGAGATGGCACGTGCAGTCACAGCGGCCCCCGGATCATGTCACAGGTGCAGAATCCGGCCCGGCATGTTGCCTCTTACTCTCATTGCACTGCTACTCTGCAGCACTTCCGGTGTCGAAGCCATAGGCACCCGCCCAACTACTGTATATCGTCCCGTTTCCCAAGATGCATTTCACCACGCTCGTCAACGATCTCTACAGCTAGAAGAATGCGAACCTCTGGAGTGGGTGCCTCATACCGTGGACGGCCCTGATTTGGAAGATCCATCCGTTCTTTCTCAACTGGCGCGAATGTCAGGTAATGCATATGCGATGCCAGACCGCAGTAACTGGTATCCGCTTGATGCTGTATGGAACACGGTGATGATAACCAGGTTAAGCAAATGTCGAGGCTAACGCGACATCTACAGAGTTTTCCTGTCGGCTGGGAAGAGGGAGAAGAATTCAGAGGTCACGTCTTCATGAGCTCCGATAACAGCACAGTTGTTCTTTCGATAAAGGGTACGACTCTGCAAGGACCAACGTCCAAGCAAGACAAATTCAACGACAATCTGTCAGTGGTGAAGAAAGGCTTCATTGCGAACTACTCATATTTTCAGATTATTTTCTTGTTGCTGCGCTCGTGTCGATTTTTCGTGGGTATTCCGTCAAGGAACATCCAGTTGGCCTATTTGCGATGCGCAGTTCACCAACAGTTGTTAGTGTGCGACTGCTACCGTCCGTCATGGCGTTGCGATAATACCTGGTGAATAGTTTTCAGGGATCTCTTCGTGATACTAACCAAACAAGTCTGTCCAAGGCCCTCATTGAAGATAGCTTGTTCTATAATGTTGGGGTTGTAAGTCGGCTGTCTTCATGATACCGTCGTCGTTTTCATGGACCCAGAAACTTGTTAACGATATCTTCTTAATACATCCCACTGCGAATGTTTGGCTAGTGGGCCACAGTCTAGGTACGTTAGCTTGGCTTCCCAATCTCTTCACTTATAACATCTCTATCAGGCGGTGCATTGGCAGCTCTTCTCGGATCCACATTTGGTTTGCCTGCAGTCGCCTTCGGTAAGCTCCTTGTTGTCCGGAAATTGTTTCCAACAATTTCTAGAATCTCCTGGCGAGCGTCTTGCGGCTAAGAGACTGCATTTACCTCTTCCCATTGGCGATGGACCCCTCAGCCGATTCTTCCCAGCCATTACGCATGTCTATCATACAGCCGATCCTATTCCTCAAGGCGCATGCACTGGAATCGGGTCTCTCTGCGCACAAGGTGGATACGCGCTGGAAACTCGATGTCACCTTGGCAAATCTATCGTGTTCGACACAGTCAATAAACTCAAGTGGAAGGTCGATGTGAGAAAGCATGTCATTAAGAGCGTTATTCACGACGTTGTTGAAGCTGAAGGGGTCGAGTGGGAGGAGGGGCGTAAGGTCCCCCTTGCACGAACGGAAGATGACTGTGTGGTAGGTGCTTGCATTCGCCTGATCCTCAAGTATTTTGAATGTTTCAACAGGACTGCTTCAAATGGGAATTTGGAGACTATGATGCTTTCAACAACTTGGAACCACAATAGATCTTTTCACCAATCTCCAGTCATTTGGGAGAGTTTCGTATATAAGAAATGGTACACTGGAAAGTCAAGAACATGCAATAGAAGCCAAAGTGCAGATCACTCAGTATCGCCGTCCACTATAGTCACGACTACTGTGCCTGCCACCATTGTTTCTATCGTAATCGTCTCTTCGATCACGCGAAAGGTTTCGCTCTCGGTCATGAGTGCCATAGCCAGGTTTTGGATACCACGCATTGGGATCCTGTCTGGAATAGCTTCCATTGCTCCCACTCGATAGAGGCGGAGCACCCAGTTCCGTCTTAACATACGTCCCATTTGGATTCCAATTACTTGCAGCATTATTCATCAAGTTTGCCTCCAGTGCTGCTGCGAGACCTTCTGCTCCGTGTTGCGACGGAATACGTGGTGGAACGATGGGACTCAGACCAAGGGATGTTGGATGTGGGGCCGTGGGTTGCTTTGCAGCTGCCCGTGCTGCGTCGATGCGCTCTTTGGCCATCCGGAATATGTCATCATCTGCAGGTGGACTGGCAGTGGCTGGGGGAGAAGGTGGAGGAACCGCTGATGGAAGAATCGGGGCAGCGGTTGTAGTTGTTACATTTGGACGCTTGCGTGGTGAAGGTGTAGGCTTTGGCTTAGTCGCTTTCGCCTTTTGGGCTGGGACGTAGTCATCGTCTGAGTCCTCTTCATTATCGTCTGCCTTGCGCTTTGTTCCGGCTAGTTTCTTCGCTGCAGTTTTGCTAGCGCCTGGTTTTGACCGCGTTTGTTTCACCGCATCGCCCGCGCAACTTTCTCCTAGTGACAATGGTGGGACTTTATATTTCTCGATGAATGTCAGGATGGCTTTTTGCAGTCGGCTGTTGTTACGAATGTCGTTAGTAATTTTCCGCAACTCCTGCCGCATGGACTTGATCGCCTTTGCCAAACCAGAGACTGTTAAGCTGCCACGGAATTTGTAGAGCAGCAGGCCAACAGCAATGAACTCAATGGGGGCAATCTTCTGCAAAACATCTTCCTGAACGCTGACAGCCTCGTATACAGCAAACGTGTTCTCAATGGCTGTTGTGAAACTTTTTTCCAGCGGGGTAGGTTCCGAAATCCATTTCTCGAGGGTTGAGAAACTGGACTGCTTGAAGTTGCCGTCGATGGATTGGAGCATTTGCGCCAAACAGCGAAAATCAGATCCACGAGAACGGTTCCATGCAAGCTGGCCACCGCTAAGAGGGGACTCGTCGTTGTTGAGGTATGCTTCCTGGATCTCACGAACAAAGTTGGCGCGAGGAGTGGAGACCACTTTGAGTTTCTCAGCGGGTGTGAGGGCGACACCAAGTTGAACGCGCTAGAAAGGATGTTTGATTGACATGCAGACGTTATAGTGGGGTTACACACGGTGAAAATTTCGCGCTCGTCCTCCTCCTTCAAATCCGAGTATTCGACGCAAACAACCGCCTTGTTGTCGAATAGCCGCTTGTACTTCTCGGGCAGCATTTTTTTACTGCGCGTTTGGTTTTCGGGATTGTCTGTATACCAATATTTCTCATTTGTGTGGGAGTCCCGGTCTGAATACCAAGTAAGGAAAGCGTTGTAATGAGATGGTATAACGGGCTTACGAGGAATCTAGTGACAGTTCAGTTCGCGGGCACACAGAAGATAGAGGCTGACTTACCAGCCCTTGCATGAAACGATGTATGGATGTCTTCGTTACTTCATGAGCAGGGCATACCAATCCAAATAAAAGCTCACTAAACGCTGTTTCCCATCGATGCATGTCCTTGTTTCTGTCCCATCCTCAATCGCGCTCACCGCTGAACACACGTAAGTAGGATGGCTGTCAGAGAGAATATAACCCCACCAAATATAACGGGAGGCACGTAGTAGTTGCGAAAGATCGAGTCAATTATCTTGATCTGCTTAGTTTCAGACCAAACCACTTCACGCTGGTAGTCAGGGTCGAGGTCGATGTCCCCGTTATCTATCTGCTCTGCTGGTGGTCAAACTGGGAAGCAAATGGCATTCTAGCATCACTCACTGAAAAGACTCTCTGTCGAGTATGTCGTTGCTCGTGGCGTTTTCAGAGAATGGCGGATGCGATAGTCCCCTTCTGTAGCCTTCGACTTGCCCTTCCGTTTCGCAGACTTCTTGGCAGGCTCGTTGTATTCATCTTCTAGTTCATCAAGGTCGGTCAAGTCGGAAAACTCGTCGTCGGACGCCATAACAAAACTTTCTCGTGTGTCGAAACACCCAACTCGAGAGTGAGAGACTAAAGCAGCGCGACAAGTGTGTGGGTGCACGTGCCGATTCTGCCATCACTGTCCGGCACACTTTATCATGACTTGCTAAGTTGAGCTAAGTTGCTTGTTCCTTTCCTTTTCATGTCAGTCTAAATTTACGAATGGAAGGCGGTCCCTCCAATCAGTCTACCCTGTACAAATACTCTCTGTATATTCCTGTCGTCTCCGCACCAGAAGAACTGCTCCAAGCAATCTCTGACTCCACCTGACCCTCCCCAAATGGCAGGGTTTCTGGAATCACCTGTAACGCTGACAAGTAAAGCATCGAAGCTTTTACCAGGAGTAAAGGACCCGATGGACTTGTCCAGATCACAAACGGCAGCTCCTCCAAGTGTAGCAAGATAGAGTAGAGTCTCCATCGAAAGCTGTTTATTCTGGAAACCCTTAAGGGATCCAGAGTGCTGCTCTTCGTCTCTGTGTTCCATAGCAATAACCTTAGAAGCGATGCTCGCATTCTGAATTGCATTTATGATGGATGGAGAATAGCCACCAGACACATCTGTCCCTAGTCCCACCTGGTAAACTAAGTGAGTCTCGTCAATACCAGTCACTGACGACCGCGACGTACCTTGATTCCATGATCTAAATACCTCCCAATTGGCGCAACGCCACTCTTAAGATGGAAGTTACTTGTCGGACAATGGGAAATTCCAGCGCCAGAAGATTCAACAAGACTGATTTCGTCTTCAGTTAGGTGGATTGCATGGGCCAGGATAGTATTGGATCTTAAAAGCCCATGCGACGCGTATATGTCCGTATATGACGCGTTTTGCGGGAACAGAGAACGAGTGAACGTGACCTCGCTTGGGTTTTCGGACACATGCGTCTGAATACGCAAGGAAGAGTCGGCGGAGGCCAATTTTCCAAGTTCTTTCAGCAGAGGGCTGGAACATGTAATGGCGAAGCGGGGAGTTAAGATAGGGTGGACAAGTCTCTCGGTCCCAAAAGTCGGCAACCGTTCGATATGAGCGACGAGAGACTTGGTTGCAGAAATAGAGGCCTCAACGGTCGGTTCTATATAGTGATCGGGGGAGTTACTGTCCATGTTGCATTTCTATAAACAAGATTGAAGAGGACCAGCAGCATTTGTTGTTGTCGTACCCCCACAAATGCTCGTTGTCCTACAGAAAGACATTAAACCCACAAATAATGCTGTGTATCGCGTCGCACCCAGAGAATGGACAATGTTGGCAAGCACCTTGGTGCCTTCAAGGTGGATCGTGCCAAAATAGCAGCATGTCGTGGTCTGTGGGCTCAGTTTAGGCAGTTCTGGAATGATGATGGCAAACAACACACTCCTGAATCTATAATGCGTCGTACGACAGAAGAGTAGGTTCGACGAGCGAACTCCGGATCGCCGAACTTGGACTCCATAGGAAACGTTATCTTCTCTAGCCAGTCGAGGAGTTCATACTGCTGACCACTGACGTGAGTGAGGAAGCGTTCGGTACGACGAGGCGGCTTGCTTACCCTCCCCATGTTTGGTACTTGCGGTGCATGCTATGGAGATGAGACACGAAGGAGCATAGGCAAGTTGAAACCAACCGTGTGTGTATCGATGAAACCCGGAACTAGGAATTCGCCAAGCCGCAAGGGGACAACTTCGATGTCGATATAGCCATGCTTGGCCATGACTTGCTGCACCATTGAGTCTTGCACATCGTCTTCTATCCAATCAATAAGACCCGTCTCTGCAACGGCTAGGAGACAGCGAGAAAGTGTCTGGGCAGTCCTCAGATCGACGGGGTTGACGACTGCGCCATAGTATACGATCGGAGCCATGATGGTCGGAAGTAAGAAAGTAGAGGCCAACATTGGCAACAAGTTGATATTGTTATCTAGTAAAATGTATCACGCGGTTGCATGCCTAAAATAAGTAACTGGTTTCTCTCCTCTCTGAACTATGAAATAAGGCCGACGCGCGGCGGAGTACAAACAGAACGTCATGATGTTCTACAATAAAAGTACACTACCTTTGACTGCCAGTGCTTTCTCCAACTCCTCTTGACCGGTCTGCCGCATGCAACTGCCGAGTACCGTGGTTGCCACACGCTGGGTATCACCAACGGGGACACGATGCCGCAGCATGCCGGAAGTGATAGCCTGTGATTGTGATGATTGATTATCAAAGACCGGTCCAGAGCTGCTGACGAGTGTGCTTTTAGATAAGCACTCAGTCCCACTTTCGGTCACCCATAAGCACAAACTCCGAACTTCGTTCTGTTTGTGAATGTCCGTTGCATGAGTCTTGCTTCTTTGAGGGATCGGGATCGAAGACGACTCTCAGAAACCTTCAACAATGCGTGAAATGAAGTTGATGAGGGCAAATTTAAAGTACCAACTCGGCGCGTAACATCGCGCGCGTGATGTGACATCCGTCTTATGAATCTCGCCAACTCGACGTGTATTTCGCGCAAATGTCCGAACCTATGGAAGTGAACTTTGCGACTTTAATCGAAGAATATAATCAGTTTTTTGGCCCACTTTATGGCCCTTCCCTTATCCAAGCGTTTACAAAGCTGGCAAAGACGTCGACGCCCGGTTCGTCTACTTGTGATTGCTCTGAAATATCAGACTCGACGATTTCCCTACAGAAGAAGACGATGGACATCGTGCCTCAGACCTATACAACTTAATCGCAGATGTTGGTCGTCTTCCGCAGTTGACGAATCATACTTATACTTTGAAGATTGTTCGCCCAATCAAAACTGCTTATGGGAACCTTAGCGAGGCCAAACAAGGACTCCAAGATCGAGTGGAGGAGCTCAAGAAGGACACAGCATTCAGCAGGGGGCAATTAGAAAAAAGCGAGAGGCAATTAGAAAAAAGCGAGACGCGACTGCAGCACGAGGAAGAAAAATACAACCAACGCTTCGAGAATATCCTCGAGCTGACGAAAAAGTTGGCTATATCCGAAACAGAACGGAATATTCTCCAAAGGCAACTGGATCAAGCTCGCGACCACATTTTCTTTCTCGAAAATAGTAAAACCGAGTTCAAGTACGGCAAAACCCTTGGCCATCATGGTATATTATTATTTATTGTTCCTGTATCTTCTTTGGCTTAAGTGTGTACAGGTTCCAGAACACGCACCCAGCTATGGGACGAGCTCAAATCACAAAATCAGGTCCGCGAAATATCCTTGAAGTTTTCGCCGACTGAGGAAGACGTCAATAATCTCGCCGCTGCAACAGAAATGTTTAAGACGCTGACTCGGGACAAAAAGGACACCTGGAAGGTCGAAAAAGACATGTACAAGGATCTCAACGAGCTCGTTCGGAAGCTATGCCCTGATGGCTCCTATACTATCGATACCCACATGGATCACAGTGTAGACACGACGATTGCCTGGAGTCCGCGCATTCCTAACGCCCTTTTCAATATCATGTTTGTCATCGAGTGGAAGCATCCGAGTGTGTCCATCACGACGGGAGGCGAACGTGGCCAGATGATCGACTACCTGCTCGCAATTCGAGAAAGGCTACCGGCACAATCAAAGTTTCATGGCATACTTTCCAATTTCATCGAGTCCGCCGTCTTTGAAGTCAATTTTCGCTCGGATGGGACCTATACCGTCCAGATCTCGACGACGAATGATTTGGTATCTGCGGTGGCGTATGCGCTCAACCAGTCTGAACGAAAAACAATCGAATTCACCCTCCCTGAATCGTATAAGGACAATGCGGAAATATTCGCGTCTACTCCAGAACACTTTGTCGCCCATGCCCCGCTTTCGAATCGCCAACACCCCCAAGTCTTCCCTGAAGCATCGCGAGTGGTGATCAAAGTGTTATCTCCGAAGGCAGATGATGTTAGCCCGAACAACTGGGCGCGCGTTTATTGGAATGAGCTGGAGATGCTGAAAAAAGTCCGTCAAAGCAAATCAATCCACATTGTCGAATATCTCCCCGATAACTTCCCCACCCTGGTCATGGTGCCTTTTGGGCGTTCGATCAATGATAACGAGGCATCTTCTACACTGAAGAACGCCGTCACAGGCGTTCTTGCTGGTCTCAAGCACATACACAAATGCGACGTAATCCACCGTGACCTTCGCCGATCCAACGTGGTTCTAATTCAGCGCGGCGACAAACCCCAACCGGTCATCATTGACTTCGGATGCGCGACCGATTCTTGGTCGAAGGAGATCCCATACGAAGGTTCGGCGCTGGCTGTACCCCCGCGTCTTCTGCTGATGAACGAGGACGAGCTCTATGATCCCCTGTTCTCTGACGATCTCTTTGCATTCATCCTCTTTGTCCAAACCTTGTTATTCCCGCTTGCTTTCGTTGGCTTTAACGTCGGACGCGTGAATCCCAATCGCGACAAATCCAAGTTTTCCTCCGAAACACATCGGCTCTTCCAACTGTGGGGGGATATAAAATCATCACCAACTTGGGGCAACTTCTACGCGGCAGCATGTAAGGAGGATTATGACTCCCTTGCAGATATGGCAAACCTGTTCACGACAATGGACACCACGAGACGTGGGAAACGGAGTGGGTGATGGAAGCTAAATTGAAGGGCCCAAGGTGCGCGAAAGACTCCTTCAAGTCAAAAACTAACCCTTGTTCAGTGTTTCGTTATTGTCCGTTGTTCTATCCTGTAGTTGATGGGTGTATGCAAACATTATCTCGCGACACAATCCCACCGCATTGTCGTGTTGTCTGATCACTTGCATGTGTCTGTGACTGAGGGAGAGCCTTGGAAGAATGGTGGCAGACATACTCAATCTTTATTAAATTCTTGAAGACGAACAATAGGAATTCGCCAAGCCGCAAGGGGACAACTTCGACGTCGATATAGCCATGCCCGGCCATGACTTGCTGTATTAATACAATCGAGTCTTGCACATTGTCTTCTATAAGACCTGTCTCTGCAGCGGCTAGAAGACAGCGAGAAAGTGCAAGAATGCTTGGGTTTGTCGCGCGACATGAAGCCCAACTTGAAGTTGACGTTGTTATCTATGCATCACGCAGTTACTTTGGTATCTACCTAGTTCACAATTAGCTCGCCCTCCACCGACTCAGGCTCGAGACCAAGGTCGTTCAACAAAGTATCATAACGAGGCCGTTGCGTGCGTTTCAAATAGCGCAACACCTTCGCCCTCCGATGCACCAGTTTCCGCAGGGATAGCTTGTTCTGCAAGTCGTGTTTACACCGCTTCAAATGTTCATATAATTTTCTTATCCTGTAGGTCAGGATGGCAGCTGGAAAGTGGCCTTAACACAACGAGTAAGAAGCGAACAGATTTACACACCTTGCACCTCAGTCCGTCCCGGATCGAAAGGGTTCTCTGGTGTGGAGAAGGCCTTGATAATCCGCCGCCTGTTCTCGTATGAAATCCCAGCAGCGTCCGCATTCCGAAGGTCGATAGCACGCGCAAAATTTTCAGCGGCGGCCTTGCTCTCCGCCGCCTGTTTTGGCACCGAAGTATTAGTCAAGGTGACCAAGTGGTCAAACAATATCTTCTTCTCGTCGCGGTGAACACCAAACGATCGATACTTTGGTATCACGACGCCCTGATATTCCTCAACCATGGATGGAGCCGTGAAGGGCTGAGAGAAAAGAGAGTCGTCAAGTAGGACTTTCGCAAGTAAAGACTCAGTCCATATCTTTTCCCCGCCGCGTCTAGTGCCTAGAATAACACTGGCTTTATTCTCCTCTTCAAACTGCGTCCGTTGCGCGCGTTTTTCTAGGTTGGCTTTTTTGAGGGCTCGGGATCGAAGACGAGTCTCAGAGACTTTCAACAGAGCAGCCGATGTATGGAACAAGTTTAAAGAGGAGTTATAGGCCAGTCTACACGCTACTGCATCGTCAATGAAATGGAAAACACGACGAAGAGCTACTTGCTTTGCCAATGGGCACGGCGTAACATGAGTGTGTGATGTGACATGTGATCATCTTCTCCTCATGCGCAAATGCCCGAAACGCCAGCAGTTGTAAAGTTTAGAGCTAATATAAAGCACTATAGCGAAGCATCCGGTCTAACGCTTGCCGATGAGCTCCTCATTCAAATTTTCAAGTGCCTTCTGTACCGATTCTGGAATACTTATCCTAACCGTTGATTCTACAGGGGATGATGTTCTCGCTGAAATTATGTCTAGCATAATCGACGGCGTATGTTGTCATTCACAGCTGAATAATCATCCAAGCTGAAGATCGTCCAACCTCTAATTACTGCTTACACCCAACTACAAGCCTCCAACAAAGAAGCTCAAAGGAAGTTCGAACAGGCGACTATCGAGAGTATGGAGAAAAGCCTTGAGCTGACGAAAGCCCAAACAAAAGTCGAGATGCTCCAGAACAACGTCAATGAGCTTTTGATTGAAAGTCGGGATCATATCAGCATGCTACAGGATGGCCCAATGAAATCCCGGTCTACAATTGCAATGGAGGAGAGTGGTACGTTGATGTCTGCTTTTTTTCGGCCATTTATCACCCCTCTAGGGTCAAGGACTCGTGCCAGACTGTGGGACGACCTCAGCCGTGACAACCGAGTTCAGTCCGGCAGCTTGAACTTTTCACCTCCTTCGAACAAAGCCGAAGATCTCGCAACTGCTAAGCAACTGCTCGACACCGTCCTCGGACAGTCGTGGCCAGACGAGGTTTCAATGTACTTATCTCTCAACAAGATCCTTGAGGCACTCACTCCAGAAGGGACGTTCGTTCATGACACGCATTCTTTTCAGAAGCTTCCGGTCGACTCGACGATCTCCTGGAAGGGCGACTTGGCGATTACCCTTTTCCATATCCTCACCATCGTTGAATGGAAATCCCTCGACACGGAGATTATATCTAGCCACAAGGGCCAGATGGTGGATTACTTGCTTGCCGTCAAAGCAAAAGTACCGGCGCACACGCAGTTGCATGGAGTCCTATCAAACCTCACCACCTCATTTGTCTTCGAAATGACTTTTGCGCAAGGGAATTACGATGTTCGAGTGCTCCGAACGGACAACCTACTTCATGCGTTGATGTATGCCATCGACAAGTCTGTGCAACGAAAATTGGACATCCAATATCCACCATACAGCTCAACTGAAATCTTTTTTTTTTTTTTTTTTTTTTTTTTTTTTTTGGATGAGCGTTTGGAGTAGCACCTTTACGTCCGCCATAGTCGTCCGCTCAACTGAAATCTTTGCTTCCACCATGGGCAACTTCATTGCGACAGTCCAGCTGCGTGACATTCCAGCTTCCCTCCACCCACGCGTCACAAAACTCTTCCCCCGTGCAACAAAAGTCGTCATGAAAACATCAGCACGACCTTCCCACACGAGTCAGCAGCAGAGTTTCTTGAACGAAGTCGAGATGACGAAAAGAGTCTGTTGTCTCGACCGATTCGTCAATGTTGTGCAATATCTCAAGGATGAGTCACCTGTTTTGTTCATGTTTCCCCATGGGCGCCCCATTGGCGATAAAGAATTGCCACTAACAATGCGAAACATTGTTCAAGGTGTTGTTGACGGCCTCAAGTACATTCACGATTGCAACATTATTCACCGAGACCTCCGACGGTCTAATGTGGTTCTCGTCAAGCAACAGGGTCACTATCAGCCCATGATTATCGACTTCGGCTGCGCTGTAGATGCCGACAAGAAGCAAATTCTATACGAGGGCTCAGCGTTGGCATACCCCCCACGGATCTTGTCGATAAACAGTCCAACTCTCTATGATCCCACCAAAGGCGATGATCTGTTTGCGTTGATCTTAATGGTGCAAACTTTGTTGTTTCCGTTATCTTTCTCGGGTTTCGACGTCCGCAAGGTTGAGCCCAGTCTGGAGCGCTCACGGGAAACCCAACGCCTGTTGGATTTATGGACGGCGCTCAAATCCTCATCTTATTGGGGTCAATTTTATCATGCCGCGGACAGGCAGGACTATAACTCTCTGAAAGAAATGTCGCAACCTTTTGTCACATTGGCCCCTTGAGCACTTCCTACGACTCTGAAGTACGGCCGACTTTGAAAGAATATATTTGTGATCATGTGTCTTTCTGACCTGAATCGACGTCGTGCCTCCGACTCGCGCTGATATCAAGGAGACTGCGCTATCTACCTGCAGCCGATGTGTGGAAGGAAGTTGAGGAGGAAGATGCGGAAGCGAGTCTACATGCTGTTGTGTGGTTAATGGAAGGAAGAACAAGAGAGGGAGGAGGAGCACTTGCTTGGGAAGTCGGCGCGTAGCATGAGTGCTAAATTTCATGTGACATGATGTGACATTGTTTGGACGGCTTATCCCAAACGCCAACCAAACGCTCTTGCCAATACACTCTAATCGAATGAGTGTATAAAAATATCTTCGCTGTTCCTCGTATGGTACCTCCGACCCTCGCCGATATCAAAGGAAATTCTATGTCGCTACTAACTGGCTCCGAGTCGGTCCGATGCTTGACTCGAGCAGTTTAAAAACCTCAGCATACCAAATGTTCTGGTCAAACGATCTCTCCAACCATGGCAGATGTCCCAAAAGTCAAGACCACCAAGGATTTTGCGAGTTGGCTCCTTCCTCTGCCTCCATATACCTCAACGATCTCAACAATCTCATAGCGGACTTCCTTCTCGGTGGCGTTGCTGCGGTGCAGCCAGATCTCCCCAATGTTCTGGCCCTCCTAATGACCTCGTGCCTAGGCTATCTCTAAGACTGGCGCTGCTCCCATTGAGCGCATCAAGCTGATGGTGCAAAATCAAGATGAAATGGTTTGCTGGCGGTTGATGAGTGCTGAGTGCTTCGCCTTGAGACTCTTGTTAGATCAAGCAAGGCCGTCTTTCGACTCCTTACCGAGGTATGTTCTCAGAATCACAGCACTTTACACAAGTCTGAACCCACTTGCAGGGGTCACAGATGCATTCGTACGCACCTACAAGGATGAGGGACTTGTCGCGCTTTGGCGAGGGAACGGCAAGTTATCTTTCATTATATAACTTTTCGCTATCTTAATCTCACGACAGGGACCAATGTCATTCGGTACTTTCCAAGTTTGTGCATATAAAGCGGAGCATCCGATTTGACTAACGGTCATCAGCACAAGCCTTGAATTTCGCTTTCAGTGCGGCATTGCATTTAGTGGTTGCTATTTCCTCACCTCAATTCAGAGGATTACTTTAAAGCGCTGTTTGGTTTTAGAAAATCAGACGGGTACTGGGTACGCCACCAAGTATTATCACACTTCTGCTCACGGTGATATAGACCTGGTTTGCTGGTAATATTGCTTCTGGTGCAGGCGCAGGTGCTTCCAGTAGCCTGTTTGTGTATTCTCTCGACTACGCTCGTACTCGCTTGTCGAGCGACGCAAAATCCACTAAACCTGGTGGACAGCGTCAATTCACTGGCCTTATTGATGTGTACAAACAAACCCTTGCAACTGATGGCGTGCGTGGTCTATACCGTGGGTTTGGCCCCAGCATAGTGGGCATTATGATCTACCGGGGGTTCTACTTTGGTGTCTACGATACGTTGGTCAGTCATTTGACTTGTGTGAGTGATGATTGTTTACGAGGTTTCTTGCAGAAGCCCACCGTGCTCGTCGGTCCTTTGGAGGGCTCGTTCCTCGCGTCGTTTGCTCTGGGATGGTGTGTAACGACTGCGGCTGGTATTGCGGTAAGTGCTTGCTATATGGTTGAGGGCATGGTCTAATTTACTGTAGGCGTATCCCATGGACACGATTCGGTATTTTCTGGTTATTGTTGCCCCCAAAATCCCATATTTAACCACGATTTTGTAGGAGAAGAATGATGATGACAAGTGGTAGTGGGTGAGGGAGTTCCCCGTGTGGCGACCCTAATTAATCGCGCTTTCACAGAATACATTACAAATCAACCTTTGATGCCGCAAAGCAGGTACAAGCACCACACGGTTCCGTCGTCCGAAGCTAATTCGGACTCAGATTATGGGTAAAGAAGGCGCCAAATCTCTATTCAAAGGTGCCGGAGCGAACATTCTTCGTGGCGTGGCGAGTGCGGGAGTGTTGGCGTTGTACGATAAATTCCAAGCCCTTATGTTCGCGGGCAAGGTCTATTCCGCTGGTTCGTGTTATCTTGCTAATTGTCTTGGTATTACTGACGAGGATTAGGATCAGGTTAGTTCTAATAATGTCTCCTCAACCGTAGATATTTGTTTTGCAATGGAAGCTTACTTATTGCACACGATTCGCCATTTGCCACGCTCATCAGTCCAGATGCCTACGAGGAATATCCGGCACCGGCCCTTTCACATCTGACCGACGGCGGTCCGACGCAAAACAAGGTGATAAATCCCTGGTCTCGGACAATATCCGAGCCCGTAGTGAGGTAGTCCTAGGTCATTCCACGCAGCCAGAATGATTGGCCAACAAGCGAGTGATGGCACCTTCAGTACGAGAGCGCGTCGAAACCGAGAATGAGCGCGTTTTTACGCGTTTTTTTACGTGTTACATGGGCGCCAATAGACTAGCAATGGCCCGCAAACGAGCGAGACACAATAGAGTGGAATTGGTCGTGAGCTTTTTGGCTCTTCACATCGGTCACACGCCTACTTAAAGGCACAAGGTCGTCACGCTTTGTTTCTCAGGTTGAGCTCTGGCATGCCCCCAGCGTTGCGCCGGTCGTCCTCCTCCCCATCAGTTCGCTCGTCTGCTGCCCCGTACCCAAATATTGGAATGCTGCCCCCTGGTTCACGCAGCAACGGTCACCGTCGCTCAACTGGCTCAGAAACCAGTATCAGACGAGTTCTGCAAGACATCGAATGGTGGAGAGTAACCGATGGACAGTTCACTCACGAGGAGGACTCGGAGGAACAAGACCAGCCAACAGACGGTGCTGGCTCACCGCTCGAGGTATGCGAAAAAAAAACCTGGAATAGCAGTGCCATTTACCGACTTATTTCCAGTTGGCGCCCGTCGCAGAAATGGCAGCTCTGTCCATCTCGCCCAGCCGACATGGCCAGGAATCGTCGACTTCATCAGTGGAGTCGACACCTGACCAGGCCCAGCCATCGGCTTTGTTCCAGCCCGACACGCCTCCACCGGCGCTTAGACGGACTCGCAGTGATACATCTCCAGTGATGTTGTCAATGCTCTCCATAGACGACCTCGAGCACCAATATGCCGACTTTGCGACATCACCACTATCCTCTCCTCTCCTCTTCTCCCATTAAACAGCCGTCATAGGGCGTGCTGACACCTTTCTTAAAAAAACAACCCTGCATTTCCCCCACTACCATTCTTGCATTATCTGGCACGACCTAATTACGAACGCCAAAACACACACACCGGGCCATCCAATCCACCTATATCGGACCAGAACCGACAGCAACAACAGCAACAACGCTCCTACCAAAACCTTGCACACAATTTTATTTATTCCTCAATCTGTACGACTAGATATGCTGCTCCTCTCCAAAATGCTTTCGATGCTTTGCGTCACGATCTCGATGACTTGTTTGTTTTACGAGTGTCCTTGTACCACGATTACGCCCTTGTACGACCATCTGTTGTTGTTCCCTTAACGAATACAAAAAAATTCTGGTCCCTGTCTGCCGTGGTAAGATAGCCAGTATGATGAGCGCCCTTGGGATCCACAAAACGTCCTTCTATTCCATTCTAAATCACGGCTCCTCCCTCCCGAACACCCGCAAAGCAGGTGGAGTGGCACTAGACACTTGGCAGCGACGACAAAACGCGTCTGTCGGGTACATCACCCTCGTCTAGCGTTTCATGCCCGCGACAACCGGTGGCCCGCTAACTTTACTCCATTGCGAAGTCGCGAGCGTGCCGTATCGGAGGTCTAATGGCGGGAGCTGTGAATGATGGTTCGTAGGTCGGGGAGCTGGCTGAATGGGTGGGGGTTGTGCTTGAGGATTTGCTTGTCGCGCTTTCCATGCATTCCGAATAGCATTCGAGCGCTCAACAAGCTGGAGAAAGAGCTACATCAGAAAAAGGGATCGTGGGTGGGTTGTCCAACTTACGATATCCTGCTCGACTCCGTCCATGATACTTTGAATAATCTTCTCGACTATGGAGCGATGATTCCCGTTCTGTTTGTCGTTTCTAAAGCGCATCCACCGCCAGCCGTTGACAGATGGGTCCCAGTGGACTTCCACAATCCGGTCATCGTATTGCTCGCCAGAAGCCTTCATTCTGCTTGCACACGACATGTAAGCGGGGCGGCCGAGAGAAGTCGTATAAACTGCTTACCGTTCCCACTCCTCGTCGTCAACATACATTGAGTCGTATTGTTCATAGCGATCACCGCCGCACCAGGCCTGCAATAAAAAGACCGGTTTCGCACAAAAGTCCGGCACCGAAGGATCGTCTCGTGACGGGGGGAATCGCAGGATCAGCTTGAAGTCGACAGAATTCTCTGACGGTGGCTTCCATTTCAAGCTGTCCGCCGTCATTAGCAAGGGAAAATAATGGGAATCGAGAACTCGAGAACTTGTCTAACATATTGGTGTCTGTGGCAGGCGTATACGGGGCGTTCACGCATGTGTAAATTAGCCCGTCGCTACCGTGCTGTAAGTTGGGCATGTCGGCGAAAACTTGCTCCGCGTGGTAGGACATCCTAATCTCCTTGACGCGAATGCTTAATTGCGTTGAGCCTAAGAAGGCGATTGGTTAAGCAACAAACCTACTCAAATGGATGGGTTTTCACGACATGGCTGTGATCCCGTTTCATTTTGTCGAAAGGTTTGTAGAACCATTCTTTCAGCCTCTGTGGGCGAGTCAGAGAATCGTATAATTAGACGAAATGCATACGCCATAACGCTTGTCCAGCGGTCGCGACATGACATTTTGGTCATTGACAACTAAGCAGTCGAAAGCTAACAATCGCAACGTTTCCTAACGGCCAAGTCAGTAAGAATAAAAAGTAGATATTGCCACACACTTGGTTTGTTCGTGGATCAACGTCATACACAAGTTCGCCATCGACGATGGTATTCAGCATAGGATGTTGCGGATTTTCGTGATGAGGAAAGTACAGCCCATCGACATGATAGAAGTCATTATTGCGGTCGAACTAGAACGCGGGTTCAACACAAGAGACGAGACGGAAAAGCCAAAGACGCGGCGCACAAGATACACTAGTTGACTGCCGGTGCTGGGGTCTGTAAGGACAACGAGTAGGACTCTGACTCCATCGGACTTTTCGCAAACCCAGAAGCTGGAAAGACGATGTTGAAGAACAAAGACAGCAACGTTGGCGACACTACGCACTCTTGTGATTCGAGCCGAGCCAAATCTGCTTGAGAAAAGCTGACGGGTTGACTGCCAGGAAACCTTTGCAAGATTGTCGCATTGTGACAAATTCAGTCTACTTGAACTTGAAAATGCTCACTTGTTCTTGTCCACACCCGATATACTCGCAACACTTTCCCTTAACCAAATTTCCTGCTCTGAATGGGGTTCGACACGTTGACCGGGGATCTCAGGAATGCGCGGGGGCATGAATGTGGTGTTTGGCAAAAAGTAGGGGGAGTCATCAAATAACGATGTCACGATGATCAAGTATACATTGCAAGTCATACTACGCAAAACCAACTCATCGGTCTTCGGCCCATTCCTTTCGTAGAGTGTCAGCAACACAATGCAGAATGATAGCGTGCACATACGTTCTCTTTCTTGATTTGAGCCTTTTTAAACAAGCGATTAGCACGATAACCCAACACGAGGCAAAACAACAAACCTCTTCTTCCGGGGTGAAATCGTTGACAATGTTGAAAAGTTTTCGGATTTCCTCGGGAGTCTTGCCCTTGATCATGTTAGCGACGGTTTTGCAGCCAACATCCAGGAGTTGTTTGATATCGAGGTAGCTGCGGCCATTATTGATGTAGCGCAACGGAAATGAGAAGAAACGCCTACTTAGCAGCCAAGATGATTTCGAATAAAAGTTCCTGGTCGACCGTGATGAACTTTTGGTCCCACTCTGAAATGTCGGTGGTCCGTTTGCGAGTTTCGTCTTGAGATTGGTCGGCATCAGCTTGGGGCAGGGGTTCGCCTTTGTGGTGCTCGCAGTACTCCAAGACCTAATCGCACACCGGATGTCAGTGAAACAACAAGCAACCGGCCAGTCCAGTATGTGTACCTTCTTCAAAACGCTCGACGACACGTTGGGGAGGGGAATGGGTTGGTCAGATTCGCCAACATCTAGATGACGGGTAAGTAAATTTTTTCAAAGGGCCGTAAATATGAAATGGACCCTCAAGCATGTTGCGGATAAGCACGCTGCGCTCAACAACATCCTTCTCAGCAGTGAATTGCTCGTTGTCAGAAGTCACGAGGAGGACCTAGTGGCATGATAAGTGAGCCAAAAGCCGCATTTTCGTGATCGCAGGCACAAACGCACCATGGTACAGAAAAGATAAAGGTTGTGGGTGTGTGTGAGGGTCGAGAGACAAGGAGTGCTCTGAATGTGACTGATGGAGGTCACACACATTAGATGTCTTTCCTGACTCGTTGCCTTGATGCAATAACTCACAGTCCTTTCTCTGCGCTTGGTACGCCTCAGCAATTATATTGACCTTGGTCTAACGACTCAAAGGCGCGGTGCGAAACGCTACTAAACGTGCTGGCGGTACGGTGCATAACCATGGGGGTTCACCAGGCAAGCGTTTAGGTGTCAAAAAATTCTCGGGTATGACTGCTCGGCGTTTCCAATATGCAATGCTCATAACGACCCAGATCAGTATGTTGTCCCGGGCAACATCATCGTGCGTCAGCGGGGAACACTCTTCCACCCAGGGCCTCATGTTAACACCTTCCGAACTTTTCTTGATTCCTACTGATACAATTACAGGTTAAGATGGGTCGCGACCATACTATATACGCCATCACACCAGGATTTGTGCGCTTCTACAAGGAGAAATGGATGCGTGGAGAACGGAGATTCGTTGGACTGGTATTGGATCGGGGAGAGGTTTTGCCTCGAGACGAGTCGGCTAGAGGGCGGAGTCGCTACTGTGGATTGGTGAACCTTAGAGAAACACCACAACCAATGCAATCCGCTTAACCCAGTCTCACCGCAAGGCGTGGAAGTCTTCGACTGACATGCAGGAAGGAATCGATAGTTCCTGTAGGACAATTGACCAAAATGACTTGTTGGAGTTGCGCAAAATATCGGAGGAAGGCCTCGATTTGGTCCCAAGTCATGCTTTCAAGGTCGAGGGTCGTCAATCGCAAAGTCTTGACAGAGCAATACCCATATCCAGGCCTGCCCAAAGCGAACAAAAAGTCTTCCATAACTTCATGGTCTAGGTCTTCCAACTCAAGAACCTCGACGTTAACCAGTTGTGCCTGCAATGTGTCCAGAAATGGCGCACAATCATGATGAATGCCATCCGAGTTGAGAGACGCATGAAGCCGAGACAGTTTCAGCTCCAGTACGTTAGTAGATTGGTTTCTTCCCAACCCAGAGCTCAAAAACATGGTTGGAACGGACACATCGCAGAGTTCAAGCCGGTTCTGGGGCTTGAGCATCCAATCGTAAATGCGATAATTGGAGTCGACCATTGCAAGCTGCCCACCCACACTCAGGACTTGGAGACGAGGTATATGAAGCAAACCCAAGTCGACAGTGTAAGACCGAGTGGGTGGCAACTCGTCCAACGGTTGTATAACCGCAACGTCGAGGCGCTGCAAATGAGGATATATTTGACCTTCCATGGCAGCCAACATAGCGTCCCATCCAACAGGACAAGCATGGATCTGGAGTGTGATACAGCGTGGCATTACAGGGAGAAAAAGCTCAATGAGCAAATCGAGCCTTGATTCCTGGTCGCCATCGAGTGAAATTCGAAGAGACATAGGTCGGTCTCTCGCTCTGGACAATTGCCACCCAATGACTTGAGCATGGGCAACATCGCGCTCCCGAATTTCGAGGGTGGTCCAGAATTCTGCGTTGGTGGCAATGGCACGCCAGAGTCGATTGACATGTGAAGCTTGGGTGGTATCTAGAAGTGAGAGATGGCTGAATATGGCGAAGAGGATTTCGCGGGGTAGAGAGTGAATGCTCATGAGTATGAGTGATAGTGGTGAATGCGGACACGTGAGCGCGTTTTTGGAAACAAGCATATGGATTGCAAAGAAAAACGCCATACTGAAGCGAAAACCAGTCCACAAAGCAAAGTCTAATGTACGAACTGACTCAAATCTGGCAAAGAGCGTCAGACGAAGGAGAAGTTTTGAAAGCAACCACATACGTATTGTGATACCCAGCGGAAACCTAGTAGAGAATGTGAGCAAAAGAACTGAGCTAGGATTGAGAGAGTACCCTCTCCATAACCCTGTCGCTGAACGACAGAGCACATGAACATTTCAATGGGGCGAATGTCGTTAAGAGGAACTTTGCCCTACAAGGCTGTTAGTCCAAGGCTGGAGGCTGAGTTATTTTAAAACCAACCTTGCCAGTCGTCTGGTAGAGACCAAGATGGTGGCGAAGCTCCTCCTCACTGACAGCGCCAGGCGCATCAATCTTGTTGCCAAGAATAAGGAATGGGACCCTGTTCAACTGCTCGATATTGAGGAGTGCGTCAAGCTCTGCCTTGGACTCGGAGAAACGCTCAAAGTCGGCACTGTCGACAAGGAAAATGATAGCGTCGACTTCGGGGAAGTAGTCGCGCCACAAGCGACGAGCTAAGGAATATGATAAGCAGCTACATTGCCACGAAACAGTTGACACTCACCTTGCTGATGTCCACCAAGGTCGTGGGTTGTGAATTTAATGTTGCCAATAGCGAGCTCCTCTGACGCTGATGAGAGAGTGAGTAAGGTGATATGATAGGGTGGTAGACATACTCGGATGGAGCGTTGGCTGCAAGGTTGCCAGCCGGTCGTTTTTCAGCATGTGCAAGAGAGTCTAATGCTGATGAGATATGACCATTGGTTGAAGGACAAAAGAAGACTTGCCGTTTTGCCAGCATTGTCGAGACCGAGGAAGAGGATTTTAGCATTCTTGTGCATCAGCCCTTTATATACCGTTCAGCGTGTAGTTACAGCGACAACGGATAGGGCATACCAAGTTGCGCAAGGACATCCCAGAACCAGTTGAGAATGAACATGTTGAGTAAAAGAAAACAAGCTGAGTGCGGGTTGAAGTGAGTGTAAAGTGCAGGTAGCACAGCTATGGCTTACGTGGCGAATTGATAGCCACGCACAACGGTTCTTTCAACCATCTTCCACGGTTTCGGTGAACTTGTTGAAGAACAAATTTCACTCCAATTCGAGCTTAACGCTACATATTCATGGTGCTGAGGCTCCGAAATAAGAGTTGGGCGACGCAGAAGCGTCTCCAAGCAATAATTCCATACGCTAGACCAAGCCCATAGTTTTACCGACTCTTACGAGGGCCGATACGACCTTAACACGCTCTTATCCAAGGCACAGAATCACGGTTCGGGAGTTCAGATGCAGGAATAGGCTCATGTGGATGGAAGCTCCCCGGGCCGGCCATCAACGTGACAGCCTGTTACGCTAGGCAGTCTGATCACGTTTTCCACATTTCCTTCAAGACCCTCCATGGCCCCGACCGTCCCCTCCGCCACGGTCTGTTATTATCCCCTTCCCTGACTTGCACCCTGATGAAATCGCATGCAGACCATTGAGGTCCCGGAGACCCTCCTCAAAAAGCGCAAGCAGAACGACAAGGCGAGGGAGGACCGTCTTGCTGCTGCCCTTGCTGCCAAAAAGGTTCGTCCTCACTCCCTGGCTCTTTGTGATGCATACTTCTTGAATGGCTATATCCCATGCTGCCTTTCAACATACCATCTTTCGGGACTGACCTGCTCCTGCCGTCTTGAATCAACTTTTTTTTGACACTTGTTGTAGGCGTCCAAAGCAAAGCGCAAGGTTATCTTCAAGCGCGCTGAGTCCTATGTGAAGGAATATCGTGCGAAGGAGCTCGAGGAGATTCGTCTGAAACGGGCTGCCCGGACGGCTGGTGATTTCTATGTGCCCGCCCAATCAAAAGTTTACTTCGTCATCCGTATTCGAGGGTGTGTCCCTCTCACCTTGTTACTTCTCTGAAACTCACGGCCCTCAGTATCAACGAAATCGCCCCCAAACCGCGCAAGATTTTGCAACTTCTCCGCCTCCTGCAAATCAACAATGGTGTCTTTGTCAAAGTCACGAAGGCAACCCAGCAGATGCTGAGACTTGTTGAGCCTTATATCACTTACGGGTGCGTAGTTGATCAAACGTGTTTCTCTTGTGAAGCCAAACTGTGTCTCTAGCGAGCCGAACCTCAAATCTGTTCGGGAACTTATCTACAAGCGTGGATACGGCAAAGTCGACAAGCAGCGCATTCCCCTCTCCAACAACGCCGTCATCGAGGCTTCTCTTGGCAAATATGGTATTCTCTGCGTTGAGGATCTCGTCCACGAGATTGTCACGGCTGGCCCCAACTTCAAACAGGTATGCGTTTTTATAATGCCTTTATCTCCTTCTGATCCAAATGAAGGCCGCCAACTTCCTGTGGCCGTTCAAACTCTCCAACCCCACCGGTGGCTGGCGGACCCGCAAGTTCAAGCACTTCGTGCAGGGTGGAGACTTCGGTGACCGAGAGGCGAACATCAACAAGCTCATCCGGCAGATGAACTAGGGCGTTCTTTTCTTCATTCTACGTATGCGTATGCACGAAATGCCAATGCCATGTCCTTGTCTCTGTATTGGCCGCCTAGATAAAGAAAGTGTGACATGATGTCAACGCGACTTGCTTTTGACCACTTTGCTTCCGTCGGCTCGATCAATGTCGCCCTCGGAGTCTACAAAAGAAAAGGCAAAGTATTTTATAACCAAGCTCTTCGACCTCGACTCGGATGTAAGCATATGACTCGTTAGCTTAGATGATCGCCAATGACCTCGCCTCAGAAAACAGACAAACCACCGGCAACTCCACCCAAGCCAGCGCAGAACTACTATGGCAGCTATTCTACGGCACGACCTGAGAATGATCTCGCGTATGGCTTTGGGCAAATGAATTTAAACAGCACTCCCCCGAGACCACCAAATCAATTCGTGGGCGGTTTCCACCCGAACCAGTTCAATCCTAGTCCATTACCCCGTCCTCCTGCTATGCCGATGCCTGTTCCGAATTTTCCTAATGGCCAGACATCAATGACAATGCAATACGCGCTGCAGGAGACTTCCGAGCCTCCGAGCTTTCTGGCTCCTCCAGCATTCACTGGCCGTCCCCATTCATTACCTCCCGCTACTCCACAGCAATCAACAGCAGATTCTCCCTTCATCTCTCCTCAGCCCTCTCCATCTGCGTCTTCGTCACCATCTCCATCTGGGCGAACCAAACCTCGACCCCGGCGGTCAAATTCTGCACCCACCGTAGAGACTTGCGCGGGATATACCAAAGCTGGGAAACGATGCACACGCGAAGTCAAGTCGCGAGGCCCTGCTTTCTCATATCGCATGAATGGGGACGATTTTGATGTCGATGGTAACTTGAGCAGCGAGGCACCCGTTGAACGATTCTGCTACCAGCACATTAAAGACTTCGTCAGTAGTGTTGGCGCTGCGACAGGGTTTTATGCGCGCAAGTGGATGGGCGAAGGAAAAGAGCGAGGCGACGAAGTATGGGTGTCGTTCGCAGGTAATTCTGCGTACTGGTATTGTTGATCACTATCTGATAACAGGTTAGACTTTATTCCTTCGTACCTTTCTCCAGAGACACAGGTCGCCTTACGAGTGGAAATGGAAAAAGTCCGGTCACCAAAGGATGTTGAAGGATACATCTACACTTTTGAGATTCGGGGTATGTTCTGCCTAAGATAACGACTTGATACTTTATCATCTTGCAGACCCGAATTCGACGCAGATTCAACTCAAGACAGGAAGAACAACACATCTTGTGCGACGACTTGATCAGTGGTCTAAACAATGCTCCTCGCGAGAGCATGTACTCCGGGGTTGGTATCCTGGTGGTGTTGATCCTGACACTGGTTTACCCGCGACCAGTCTGATGAAAGGGCGCGTTGAAGCTGGTCATAAAGGGCCGGCGTGTCATAGACTGGAGCGCCTCATTCATCTGGAGCTTGCAGATTTAGTAGCTGAGGGCCAATATCTCCAACCGGCCTGGAAGAGTTTCAAACGAGGTCAAACAGTTGCTGCAGCCCCAATCGTTGTGGACAGCGCGCCCTCAACTCCAAACAAGAAACCCGCCGCGGCATCCCTCGGATCAGGCCCACCATGCCCCGATTGTGAGTCGTCGCTCGAAACAAAAGAGCAATTTTGGTTAAATGCCAACGAAAGGCGGGAAACAGCACAAGGAGATTTTTACGTTTACGCGTATCAAGAAGGGCCCCGCTGAAGGGCAAAGAGTGGGAAGGGATCGTGCAGCCTGTCGTCCAGCGATGGGCAAGCTTTGTAGAGGAATACGTAGGATGAATGGATGCCGGGTTCAATGTCCAATTGTCTCTTTTGTTGTGCTTACGTCAGCTGTCATTTACCGCCCTTCATTCTTTTCGAGCACAATGGCCATGCTCAAAGCCTTATTGTCTCTGGGAAAACGCTATAAAATGCATCGAGGAGGAGAAGACGTCTCAATCATTACTCCTCTTACTTCCACCACCCACCCACTCACTCTTTCCATACCGATATCATGCTTACGAAACTCGCCCTACTCTCTGCCTGCTTCCTGGCCGTCATTCCTCGACCTGCTCGGGGTGCAACAATTAATGTCGTCGTCGGGGGCACTGGCACTCTTGCCTACACTCCAAATCAAGTCACCGCTCAGCCGGGGGACGTAATTCAGTTCACCTTCAAGGTGATTGGGCAATCTAACCGCCTTCACCAAGCCACTCACTTCTTTCTAGCAAAAAAACCATACTATCACGCAAAGTTCGCTAGCGAATCCTTGCTCCCCACTTGCTGGTGGTTTTGACTCTGGATTGTTCGTCATGTTGCACTTCCATTCTGTTGATATTGACTGAAGAAAACCCGATAGTGTTCCTGTCGCCGCCGATGAAACCGACTTCCCCCTTGCTCAGCTCCGTGTCAAAGACACGAATCCCATCTGGATCTACTGCAAGCAAGCGAATCATTGTCAACAAGGCATGGTATTCGCAGTCAACGGCGGAGATAAATTTGGTGCCTTCGAGGCTGCAGCGAAAGGCCTTAGTCCTCCTGCATCGTCTGTTGTATCCTCATCGACCCCCACATCCTCCTCTGCTCCTTCCGCTCCCAGCACTCCAAGTTCTTCTCACCATGTGGTCACCGTTGGCGCTAGTGGCGGCCTGACTTTCTCGCCAGCCAACATTACCGCTCAGCCAGGGGATCTTGTTACTTTTACATTTGCGACCAAGAACCATACCGTCACGCAGAGCTCTTTTTCCGACCCGTGTCGGCCGATCTCACAAACGAGTGCTGGCCAGGCTGGCTTCGACTCGGGCTTCATGTTTGTTGACCCCAGTGCGGCAACCCTTCCGACATTCACCATCCAAATTAACGACGTATGTGTAATCTGTTCGTCTCATCCTTTCCTAGTGTTAACACTTCCTTTAGACCTCTCCCATCTGGATCTATTGCCGTCAAGCTGGGCACTGCGGCAAGGGGATGGTGGCCAGCATAAACTCGGTTGAGACCGGGCCCAATACTTTCGATGCCTTCAAGGCGAAGGCCATCCAACTTAACGGAACTAGTGCATCCAACTCCAGCCCTGCAGCTCCCTCCCAATCCAATGGCGCAGAAAACTTGCTTTCCACCCGCGGTGCGGGTCTGCTACTTACACTTGGGGCCCTCGCTGTCGGGTTGGCTCTATGATTCCTCTCTCTCTCTTCCTCGCTTGATCATGACCGCTACGCTCGACGACTGTATTTCTAGTCATGACAGCCATTCATCTGTACCCTATTTCGCATTCGGACTCTCATATAACTGTAGCGTATCCTGGTGTAGCTTGCTATTGGGTTTATAGAATAATCTGCTTGGGACCCAACTCTGCTGTGACCGTGTGAACTAATTGAGCTGTCATCTTTGGCGCAAACGAGCTTGAGCGAAGGTGAGTTCTTCGTCCTTCGACCCGCTCCCTCCATCTTTCCCCTCACTACGACTCCCGTCCATTCCCCAGACCCCACTCCACCGAAAACTCAACCCCAATCCTTGCATATCCGTTGGCGAAATGGCTGATTCTAGCCGCAAGCGGTCGCGCTCTCCTTCTGACAGTGAACAGCAGAAAACCTCCAAGCGACCCAACACTGGCGCACCATCCAACTCGCATGACTCCCCACCCGGCCACTCGACGGGCTCGAATCCACCGCCTGCAGATATGACCAGCACTGAAAAACCAGCTTCTCCAGGCTCGACCCACTCGAATGATGCCAAACAACAAAGCTCAGCAGATAGCCAAGCACCCGCGCCTTCGCCCATGATTCATATGCGCTGCCTTATTGTCACGCAGGACGCCTCTATCATCATCGGCAAGGGCGGGTCGCACGTCAACGAAATCCGGGAGAAGAGTGGTGCTCGCGTCATGGTCTCTGAAAGTATCCCAGGCAACCCAGAACGAATCTTGAATGTTAGCGGTCCTCTCGACGCTGTTTCCAAGGCATGTTTTGCTTCTGGTCTTATTGTCTGCTTATGCAAGCCAGGCATTTGGCCTTATTGTGCGACGCATTAACGACGAACCCTTTGACGTTCCCTCAGTTCCTGGTAGTCGTGCGGTGACTATCAAGTTTATGATTCCCAACTCTCGCATGGGCTCTGTAATTGGCAAACAGGGCTCCAAAATCAAAGAGATTCAGGACGCAAGCGGTGCAAGACTCAATGCTAGTGAGGGAATGCTTCCAGGGTCGACTGAGGTGTGTTGCATCTTCGTCTTTCTTGCTTTCCCTCTAACATCAATGACCCAGCGTGTTCTGAGTGTTGCTGGAGTTGCTGATGCTATTCACATCGCGACATACTACATTGGCACGATTCTCATTGAAGCCCAGGAGCGCATGCCTTCTTCTGCGACTTCCACTTACCGTCCGTCATCAAACTCTCGTCGCCCCGCGCCTCAATCGTACCCCCCTTCTTCCTACACCGGCTCGACATACGTTCCAGGATATTCTAATCCATATGCCCCACCACCTCCGCAACAGCACAACCCCGTTCCCCAGCAGCATCAGCAGCAAATATATATTCCCAACGACCTTGTTGGTTGCATTATCGGGAAGGGAGGCAGCAAGATAAACGAGATTCGACACATGAGTGCCAGCACAATCAAAATAATGGAGCCTGGCGCAGTAGCACCTGGAGGAAATCCTGGCGGAGAAAACGAACGTCTTGTTGTGATCACTGGGCAACCTGCAAACATCCAAATGGCAGTTCAATTACTTTATCATGTGCGTCTAGCTCCAGCTTCTTTCTCCTCTTCTCAAGTTTCCTCTCAGCGACTTGAGCAAGAAAAGCAAAAGCAGCTCCGTGGTCCGTGAAGGCTTCTTTCTTGGTCGACTTCTTGTAGTTCGCTATTTTGCTGTAATTACCTAAGTTTTCGATAGCATCAGTGACTGTAACGTCACCTAAATAATTTCTCCTCCTTGCATCCTTCAAGTTCCTGAACTCGGCCTTTGCGAACCTTCTTTCGTTCTAGGCAGCCATGTCTTCCTCTGTCTTGAAAGCTGCAACCAAAGGGAAACGCAAAGCTGACGAAATGGATGTGGATGATAGACCCTCCAAGAAAAGGAATAAACAACGCGTTTTACTGCTCTCCTCTCGTGGAATCACCCACCGCATGCGGCATTTTATGAACGACTTGGAAGCACTTCTGCCCCATGTCAAGAAAGGTCTGTCATTCCTAAAGGTTTCCCATGAGCTTTTTTTCGATCATCCACTAGATTCCAAACTCGACTCTAAGTCGCAACTGCATCTGCTCCCTGAGCTTGCCGATTTGAACAATTGCAACAATACACTCTATTTTGAGGCCCGCAGACACGAGGATCTCTACCTCTGGGCAGCCAAAACGCCGAATGGCCCCAGCATCAAAATGCATGTCCAAAACGTCCATACCATGGACGAGCTCAAAATGACAGGAAATTGTCTCAAGGGCAGCCGCGGGCTGCTGAGCTTCGACAAAGCCTTTGACGAGACTGAGTGGGGAAAGTTGACCAAGGAGGTGTTCACTCATGTCTGTCCTTTTTGCTGTCCATTTGGAGAAAGCAATAGCTGAACCTTGGTAGATCTTCGGTGTTCCTTCGACGGCGCGCAAGGCAAAGCCCTTCATAGACCACATTCTTACCTTCTCGATCCTCGACTCGAAAATATGGTTTAGAAATTTCCAGGTCATTCTTCTTTCGTTTGAGAAGTTGTAGGATGTTGACAAACTTCAAAGATCATAGAAAAGGACCCTTTGCAACCCAATGGACCGCCACAGACAAGTCTAGTGGAGATAGGGCCCAGATTCGTGCTCACCCCAATACGAATCTTTGAAGGCGCGTTCAACGGCGCAACCGTTTTTTCTAACCCAGGTACGAATGTAGTCTACCCTGTTTCCGACAAACCCAGCTCAACCCAAATCGTCAGAATTCATTTCGCCAACGGCTGTTCGCTCAGCCATTCGGAGGGAGAAAGGCGCCAAGTATGGACAGCGCAAAGACGCGCAGTTGGAAAATTCGAGGAGAAAGGAATTGCGGAAGAGAGACGAAGACGAGCTGGCTGTTTCCAAAGTATTTGCTTGAATACTGTCTGGATGGCTTTTACCGAACTGTTGCTGCGTGTAACGACCACATGGGTGACGTGTGTGTCACGGCATTTGGTTCCGGGTTGACCTGGTTTCAGCGGCCACGATCGCGTAACAAGTATTTGCAACAACAACAAACATGCATTGATCCAAGACTGAGAGCTTTCCATTGGGCTCAATAGCAGGCGGCCAGGCAGGTTTTTTGGAATGGTAAGTTGGAACATCACTCGCCTTACTATTGTAGTCCTTGTATTCTCAAGCGGGCGCATGACTGGCTTGAAACAAAAGGACTCCCAAAACACTCGGTTGACAGTCGTCGGAGATGTCAACATAACAAGGTCGATCACAAACGTATGAGGAAATCGTTTATATGCGGGTGTCATATCCGAGCCCTTCTTCAAAAACCTTTGTCTTCTGCTTTCTCCTCATATAATCTCTACGACTTCCTCTTTTTCACGCCCCACTAATGTCCGTCTCTGTTGACGTTGTCCCCCACGCCGAGTCTCTCGACCTCTACGGCGAATCTACTGCCCAGTATGTGTGGCTTATTTTGCTTGGCACTGGATGATTTTTCTGACCCTGTGGCGACGACCAGCTCTGCCTTCTCTCTTTCCGGTCATGTTAATATCTCTATCGCCTCCCCCTACTCCGTGTTTGAGCGCCGCCGGGCGGCTCGCATTCTCCTCCAATCGGTCCAACTCACCTTTGACGGCCAGTCCGAAGTCATCACCAACGCCCTTGGCTATTCTTCAATACGATTGTGCTCGATCTCGCGAGAACTAGTGACGGGGCCTCCGCTGGAGCTCACGAATCTGGGCCAAGAGCACGATGATGCGCCAGGTAATACTCGCTTCTCAACAAGACAACCATCTAAATTCTTTCATGCAGCCCAATGGCATGTAGTCTTCGATCTGGCCATTCCCGGCTGGTTGCCAGCTTCGCACGACTTCGCACCGGGAGATCTTGGCTCGTCAACCCAATATTTCCTCAATGCTGTCGTCAAATTCGTCGTTCTGGACGAGTCCTCATCGTGGTCATTCTACTCCCCGTTCCGCTCAAAAGCACGAACAATTGAGGTCTCCAAGAGCGTTAATGTCCGCCGATTCGTAGAGCCACCCACCCACGAGCCTGTCACCCCACCATCGCCAATTAACTATCTCTTGAGCCCACCAGCGCAGTTGAACTCGAAGCTCTCTATCCCTCCCCATGTCCTGTCAAAGATCCAGGTGCTCGCATCAGTACCCGCCTACACTGATGTGTGTTCCGGTCGCTTGCCATTCACGCTGCGGCTGCGGACGAAAGATCTAGAGGAGGAAGAGTGCCAACGCTTAGAGGTCAAGAAGTTCAGTGTGGATATTGTTCAAGAAGAACGCTGCAGGCGAGTCTAATAATGTTGATCGTAGTTCCATTCCTGACCTCTCATCTCAACAGACGCGTCAAGAAAATTGCCGAATTTGAGACCAAGTTCCCGATCCCGGCTATGGACATGCAACCCCCGAACAAGCCGCTTCTCAACCCGAGCAACGTCGGTGAAATGTATCAGCTTGGGCTCTACCTTGCCGCGCCGACTGATGCCACAAGAATGATCGCAAACAACTCGATGCTTCCTCTCCATGAGACGGGTGTCTACCATCTTACCGGCGAAACCCACATCTTCGCTGAAGACACGCGGAAAGACGCGACAACGTGGTATACGCTCGAGACGCTGCTGCCGTTTACCAACGACCTGAGCTCGGCTGAAGAGGGCAAGGACTGGGAGGGCGCTCTGAATGTCCGTCCCACCGCCAAGTCCCCGCTATACGATGTCGCGCATTCGCTGAAGCTGGCCATCAGTGTCGAGTACCAGATGCCCGGCCAAGTAGCGACTGCCGACCTCACGTTTTCGATCCCGCTCACCATGGCCCGCATCGCGCCGCCCCTTCCCCCGCGTGACCTGATCCCCGCCCTGTTCAACATGGTGCATCTCCATGAGGGCAGCTTCCCGCCCGGCGCCGGCATTCTGCCCAATGGGGCGGGACTCCCCGTCTACTCGCAGCTGTTCGATGCGCAGGGCAACCGCAAACTAGACGATATGCCTCTCCCCCGCTACGCGCCTGCCGGTTGCTCTCCCCCGGAAGAACAAGAGCCCCCCGCGAGCTCAACCCCACCACTTTGCCTGCCCAACGAGAAACGACACGACTCTGAACTAGATGCCACATCTCTCTAATATCACCACTTTCCTTTCCCCTTCTCTGCCCATTCGCATTCTGATGACTACATATACTTACAATCTAACCTTACAGCTTATTTATAATCCCTAACCTTTTGTATTTGTCCAAACCATTGTAGCAACACCCTTTCTGTTTCTGAATACAGGCGTTTCGAACTTGTTTTCTCCCGTTCAAACCTTTACATCTAAATCAGATTCAGAGTGTGTTACGATCCTTTTTTGGATGCCTTTTCATAACTCAGATTGTGGGTTCTACCAAGCTGGGATGGGCATGTCAACGGTAAAATGACTATGTGCCTCCACGCCCTGATTCCGAGCAAACTGCAGGATACCCTTTCTTTCTTTCCTTTCTAGTGTTACTATAGCTCAATCAATGATCTCATTCGCATTCTGACAATACAATCTGACCATAAAGCCTAGTACTCGTAATCCTTGACCTTTACTCGAAACCATAAAGCCTACTCATACTCGAAACAGAACCCTTCGGAAACGTAGTCGAATTCAGAAATCGGTATTCTCCTTGTCTGCTGGGCTAGGCGCCTCGATTCGGATCGCACAAGACTTCTTGCCAGCTGGGTGAGGCTGCCAGAACTTGGGGGCCATGCGCGGAGGGGAGGCTGGCTGCTGGAAGTAAACGGTCTGCTGGCGAAGGCTTGCTCGACTACGAGTACGGATCACAGGGGTCGGACTGTTCTGGGTGCCCCGAACTGAGAGAAACTGTGTGCGAGCGAGAGCAAGAAAATGAAGTGTTGCGGGGTTCTGGGGGTGTTGCGAAGGGGCGCTAGGGAGAGAGCTGGTCGGAGACGCGAAGGGATCGTCCAGAGTGGGAAGCTGGGCTGAAGACGGAGCAAACGGGGAAAGGGAAGGCTCGGGAAGACGAGACATGCGTGCTGTGGTGAAGCCTTGGACCCTACGCACAATGTCTGAGCGAACTTGTTTTGGAGTTGGAGGGCGATTGGATGCGGATACAGAAGGGCAAGTAGCTTCGATTGCTTCATGGGCGTCAAGGATGACCGAATTCCGTCGTCTGACGCGAATGAGACTGAGACTGGCGCTAGGATCTTCTTTCACATGGTCTTTTGGCGGATATGTTCCGGCGAGAAGGGGTCGTGGAGCTTGCTTGTGTTGGCGTGGGCCTGGCATACATCCACCGACAAGAGTGACCGCGAGTGCAGAGGCTTGGTGAGCGAGAGCGAGTAGATTGGCGCTGACGGTGGTTGTCTCGATTTGTTGTGCGGGAGTAGTATGTGTGAGATGGAAGCTGCGACGGCGAGTTATAGACATCGAGAAATGAGTGTAGAGCTAGAGAAGTAGTGTGTGTCACACTGTGACTCCGTCTATAATGAACTACTACGTCATCCATACGCGAACATCTGGAGGCGCTCCGCTGTAGTTAAGGTCCATTCTCCGCACCTGAGCGTCATAGGCCTCGTCAACGATTACGCACCAATGGACTTGGCAATGGTATAAAAGCCTAGCGAGCAAACCACCAACTTCACTACTCTCCAACGAACACAACTTCCAACAACAACTCCCTTAACAGTCAGTGCTCCGGCATTTTTCTGTCTTCACAGACTCATCGCCTCTTCAGAGCAAATAACATGTCTGACACTGGTCGCCAATCTTTCACTGACAAGGCCGGCGCTGCTTTGAAGGTTTGTCTCCCATCCCACGCGCTCCTTTCATTCTCTGACGCGATCCCCACAGCCCGATAGCCAGAAGACGACCACCGAGCAGTTTGGCGATGCCGTCAAGGGCAAGACCGACTCGCTCGCTTCCACCCTGCAACCCAACTCCGAGAAGAGCACTTCCCAGAAAGCTGGTGACACCTTCTCATCCAACCAGAACCACACCGACGAGAGCCTCCTTCAGAAGGCCAAGAACGCGGTCGGAATGGGTGATAAGCACTAGAGGGTTATAATGGACCGGAATGCAACCAAATACTGTACTTTTCTTGTATTATCTGAATGGCACATGTAACGCATTGTAACCTGCTTGGCTCTGCGCCACGATGGCCCCGATCCGCCTACGACATCCTAAAGGCGTCGCAACTCTCCAAATCTCTTTGGAGTCGGACAGTTATACCGTGCAAGGCGCTTATCGTTCTCCCGATCATTCAATTTGACCTTCCAACGAAACGTCAGACTTGCAGCAAGAGATCTATTCTGCCTCCGGCATTCTCCCAAGTAGACAAAGCCGTGCGTCCGATAGTTAGCTCACCAAAGCCGCTTCCTTCCTATATCCTTCGCAGTGAAATGCGGCTATCCTCCACGCGTTCTTACTCTCATTCCCGAGCTCCCAGTCGCGAGCCTGGGTTTGTCATCTGGAGAGCAGCTCATCGTGAGCGAACTTGCGGGGGACGGACCCGCTCCTGCTGCCCCTTCAAGTCCGCCAATTCGCGCGGCGTCGACAAGTAGCAGTCCTTCACCACGGCCGCAAGATGTTTTATCTCCGGGGCCAAAGCCGTCAGCTTCGAACGAACCTGACGCAGTTGAGATAGAAGGGTCTTTCCTGGTACATCGGGTACGTGTCTAACAACTTTGTCTTTGAGATCTAAGAAATAGCTAGGTTGTACCAGACGACAACTCTTGTCTGTTCTCCTCCGTCGCGCTCATCTTCGAGCAAGACATGCAGAAAGCCCAGAGAATGCGCCAACGTGCGAGTTTTTCCGTTTATTCAGCAAATGCTAATCATATGCAGTGGTCGGAGAAGGCATCCGCGCTGACCCTGCGACATATAGCGAAGCGATTCTCGGGTTTGTGCCTGCTCACTGTCGCAGATCTAGAACTGACACGATAAGCAGCCTTCCCCCGTCGGACTACATCTCCAAAATTACCAAGCCAATAACGTGGGGCGGTGCTATCGAGCTGGGCATTCTCGCGAAACACTACAAGACGGAAATCGCCAGCATCGATATCGAAACGGGGCGTGTCGACCAGTTTACGCCGGAGGGTTTCCCGGAGAACCGCTGCATCCTGCTGTACTCCGGCATCCACTATGATGCTGCCACCCTTGCGCCGATGAAAGTCGCCCCGTCTGAATGGCATCAGACGGTATTCCCCACAGTGAGCGATCCAAAAAAAAGTGCCGCCAGACTGCTTACGAAACGCGTAGAGCAACGCGGAGATCTTGGTTGCAGGCAAGAAATTGGCTGATATTCTTCGGGCAAAGCGCAAGTACACAAACACCTCAACGTTCGATCTCAAGTGTGAGGTTCGTTGATTATTCCTGTCAGACGAAGTTTAGGATTCACCATAAACGATAGCAATGCGGTACTGGTGTCAAGGGAGAGAAGGGAGCGCAAGCACATGCGAAGGAGACTGGACATACAAAATTCGGGGAATACTGATTATAAAGCTCCTTCAATCTCCATGACGAGGGGACAGTGGTCAGAGGCGCCGTAGATTTCACTCCGGATTTCGCACTGGAAGATGCTGAGAGAGTGGAGCCAGAGCAATGGATACCAAACCATTTTCACGCGATCTGCGATTCTTTCGCTGAGCACGAACATGTCGAGCCGCCAACCGAGACCCTTCAGGCGACAGTTGAAACGGTAGGAGAAATACGTGTATTGGCGTTCATCGGGATGCCGTTGTCGCCACACATCGACAAATTTGTTCGAGTCTGCGACCTCAGAAGGGGGCTCTAAGATGTTTTTGAAAGCCGTTGTCTCCGCTTCGGTGTAACCAGGAGATTTGTTCCAGTTCTTCTTGCCGTTTGAGAGATCTAGCTAAGTATGAGCTAAGTGAAAGTTGATCGGTGGCGAGTAACCAAGGTCTGTTGGTGCGACGTTTAAGTCGCCCGTCCAGATTACCGGCTTGCGCTTGTCGAGGTCGCGAATGTACGTTGTGAAATGAACATTCCATTCCTTCTTTTGCTCTAAAGTCTATGATGCGTCAGTTGGATGCCAGGATATGGACAGAGATTACCTTCAAGTCTTGTCCTGCATTGACCACGTATGTTCCAACAACATAGCTGTTCTCGAATTCGAGGGTTATAATGCGGCCTTTGACGAGGTCAGGATCTGGATGTCCAGGCAACGTTGTAGTGACTGAAAGAGGTTTTATTTTGGATAGAATCGCAGTGCCGGCTGTTCGATGATGGGCTTCATTCCTGATGAGAGGGAGAACGCACAGTAGGTTTTCTTGCTCGAAATTGACCAGTACCAATGGGGGAATCGTGCTTTCAGAGCAAGGTCAACGGGCTCATTGTTCACCTAGCCCGCCCAATATCAGTCTCATATAGCGGTGGGGACAGTTTGCCTGACCTTGGTCTCGGTCAACACGAGGATATCAGGGTCCTCTGCTTCAACATATCGCTTGAAGCCCTTCTTTTGGCTGGCGGCAATGCCACAGACGTTCCATGTCGCGAGTCTGAGCGTGCCAGATATACGCGCTGCAGAATGCCATCAGAGTCTTGGCCACGGAGACGCATAGGCGTACGTGGAAACTCGATGACGTCGGGGAGGACCGTGTTCGTGGGTCCAGTGGCGGTAGTGACGGCCTCGGTTTTAGCCTTTTTCGTGATTTTCTCCTCCGCCTCCGAGTCGGAGGCCTCCGCTTTTCGTTTGCTGGACGCGGCGCGTCGAGGCGGCATGGCAAAGAAAGCGCGTTGGTGACTAATCAGTCTAAAGTTTGTGTGGCACCGGAAGATCATGCCGGATCACGTGCCAGGTTGGTCCCACCTTAAAACTCTCTTTATCCGCGACTTCGACCTCGCCCCGCGCCACCTCACCCCCCGCCCCGATGCTCACGCATAAGGGCTTCTCTGCCTGGATAACAGTCGCAGGCAGCCCCCTGCCCGAGTACTTAGTTGGGCAAGACGCGACAGGTAATAGTGTCAATTGTTGGATACCGGCTGTTCAAGGCCAGGTGAATATCGCGTTTTTTTTCTCAAATGAAATACCCTTGGCTCATAATGCTTTCAGAACTTCTCTGTTCACTGGAAAGACCACGGTGGCAAAGTGGACACGGCCTCGTTTATCTATTTAGATGGTCTAGCCGTCCCCGGCCGGTTTCTGTTTGGCGAGGGCGAAGCTTCTCGGAGCGGAGTGCGCTCCTCTCCGACATCAGAGCGGCCCTTTGTGTTCCAGGAACTAGCGGAAGGTTGGTCGTTGCTGGTGGAATTGTTCCTGTTCAACGCCAATCATCACAGATTCGTCGAATCCGTCGGGTCAAGAGAGTGGAATAGTGCTCTTGAAGATCAAGCGTATCACAAAAGTCGGGGGACGACCCGCAAACCCGCTTCAGAATATCCCGCAGGGTACCGTCGGACGAGGCAGGGCCGGCGAAATGCGTATTGGGTGTGTCTTTTATCAATAGGCGTTAGCCACCTTTGACCCCGAATCAGGTTTGGGGTCGACCAGCCTACGAACCCACAGTATCCGCACACTTGGAGCGTGCTTCCGTACGAGAAAGACTCGACAAGCAACACGAAAACGCCAAGCACCTACGTTTCTTTTGTTTTTCGCTATCGTTCTGCCGAGTGGCTGCAATCGCAGAGTATCATGCCTAAGGGCGATACCATTCCACCGCCATTACCCGCCGACACCCGGCGCGCAAGTGTGCAGAGCACGCCCATGACTCCGAGAGAAAGCCCAGATCCACCGGAGTCCACTCCGCCATACAAGAAGCTGCGCTCAGAGAAGCCAGGGTTGCAGGGGAAGACCTCATCACCCACGGTGTGTCTGAATCTGTTCTCTTTGCCGAAGTCATCTCACTCTGGTTGTAGGGCCGCGCGCGGCGACCTTCTGGTGACAGGCGCCGAACGGCCAGTTATCAGACTCCAGCTAGTCGACAAGCGTCGATGGAACATGTCTTCCACTTCCCCTTGCTGAAGGAGGAAGTGGACAATGATCCAGACTGGAAACCCTGAGACTAGACCGGCACACTCGGTTGGATTGCTTGCTGAATTTTTTGCTGTCGAATTGCTGAACCTTGCTATCGAAATTGCTGTCTTTGCTGTCGAATTGCTTTCGTATGTTGTATTTGTAGTAGTTGTGAAGGAATATATCGTATATAATGTTTTGGAGGTGGTGGCCGGAAGAACAATGGTCGGTCCGGGAAAGCCGTTGTGTCACATTGACACGTGACATGCCCTCTCTACCCGTGTTGCATATCTGGGCCACCAGCGATCCAAACTCCCCCCTTCCGTCGCTTGACCCTGTTTGCATCGCCGCGCTTTTTTGTCTGCACTACAACTTCCCAGAGAAATTCAAGGTTTCCCAGTGCACTAATAGCGACTTGTCTCCGTCAGGTCAGCATGGTCTCGTCGCGCAATAACTCCCACCAAAACTAAGTTACATTTAGGATCTCTTCCATTCTTGACACACAATGGACACTCGGTTTCTTCCTTGTACTCGATTGTCCGGTATCTAGAGAGACTTCATGCAGGTGAAAGTGCCGATGCAACGCTAACACCAGTCGAGGAGGCGCAAAAGACTGCGTGGTGCTCGCATGTGGAGGCTAACTTGGGGACGTTGGTCGTATGTCGCCATCAAACCCACTACTGCGCTAACAACGTCCAGGCATACACCCACTATTCTTCGACCAACTGGGACAAGTTTGTCGGGCGGGCACTGGCCAAGCCGTTTTCCTTACCCCAGCGATACTACGTGCCTGCGCGCGTAAAGGCCATCTACAAGCCCAGGCTGGAGGCGGCGGGGTTGTGGTATCAACCAAAGGCCATGACACAATTGACGGGCTCAGTTTTCAACCAAACAACGTCGTTGGAGGCGCATCAGCGAAATGAACAACTCCAGGTAATCTTCCGTGGACTCAACTGTGTACAGTGCTCATCGAGGAAAAGGCCGCCGAGCTCAAAGACACTTTTTCTGAGGCGTTTGTTCAAGACAAGGTATGCCTGCTCTCTATAAACTGTGATACGCCGACACTTTGGCCAGGCATTAGGACAAGCACGCGACTTGTTCGAGAGATACTCACGACTTCTGGGGGATAAGAGGTTTATTTTCCGAGATCGGTGCGCAACTAATACTTTTGCCTGAAAATCTATAATTTACCTGCTCGTAGACCCACAACACTTGATTTTCTGCTTTCAGCGCATATTTTACTCTTGACCCAACTGCCTCTTCCCGACAAACACATCACAGACGCATTAGCTTCGTATCCAGCACTTGTTGCCCATGCCGATCGTGTTCTGGCACTTTATTCCGACAGTCCGAAGCCAGTGGTGGGAGCAGCGCAAGGACGGTCATTAACGGATCTCCTTCCTCGACGGCGCACCCAGAATGACGCAGACACTCATTACGACCGCATCACTTGGGGCTGGGTCGCGCTTTCTGTTGGCAGCGTGGCGATCTACCTGACAACAGCAGGGAATCCGCTTCAGGTCAGCTAAGTAGATGTGCGTATTTTGTTTCCGTTAACGGTCTAGTTTGACTCAAATTGAATAGAATTTGTATTACTACATGGACTACCTCGCATTACACATCCACAAGCTTCTTCTCCTGCTTTGGCTCCCAGACGCTATGAACACGCTCTATTAATGATAACGGGTCTGAATTTCGGACACTCACGAGGGATTCTGATTGAGCGCAGTCTTCCAGCCACACTTGTCGGTTGTGCAGATCCAAAGACCTTCCGAATCGGTACTGACTGCGACGAACATCACGACAATCTGCTTGGTGCTCTTGCTTGAAAAGACCGAGGCTAAATGTGTCAGACCTCTCACTGTGTTCGATGAAGGGAAACCTCGTACATTGCTTGCACTGGGGGCAGACATGCGCTGTTTGGTCGCCGGTTGGGGTAACGCTGTTATTCACCGCGAGCAACTCTGGAATGTCGATAAGCTCGCGATAAGAGAAACCATCACTTTAAGTATGCCTACGGGGTTGGAAAGTAGACATTGTGAGTACTGGTGCTTGGATGCCAGTTGCTGCTCTTTTATATGTCGACCATCGTCCCCCGCAGTGATTTTCGCCATCTTTGCGCAGCTAGATTGGGACCCACCTCGTTTGTTTTGATGCAGGCTTGAGCGAATAAATAAACAATCTCATTTTATTTACCCTGCCACCCGACGGGAGCACCAAGTGCCAGCCGGTCAGAACGTCGGGCCGGATCCGGAGACGTATGTGTGACAGCTGTCGATCCGGCGCCGGCGTCACGCGGACCCTGAATTTATTGTCTCACCTTACCAATGGCCGACTTCGCTGCCCTTACAGGCCGGACGACCCATCGCACGTCAGCCGCCGCACAAGTTGCGACGTGAGATCACGCGCTGGCTTCTTTTTCTCGCGTATAAATACCGTCCCTGCAGCTATCCTTATCTCGCATTCATAAGCATTCATGGCTACCATAACTCTCAACGACGGCACTGTTGTCCCCTCAATCGCCTTCGGAATCGGCACGGCCTTTTTCGGGAAGGAGGCCCACAATGCTGTTGAGCTAGCGCTGAACACTGGGTTCACACATCTCGACGGGGCCCAGGTCTACGCGAATGAGGACTCGATTGCCAAAGGGTTGGCCGCTTCTGGGAAACCGCGATCAGAGGTGTTCATCGTGACCAAGCTATTCCCTGGGTCCCAGCCAGACCGTGTTCGGCCCTCTCTCGAAGAAAGTCTGCAGAAGATCGGTAAACCAATCGATTTCCGCGCAAGCAAGCTTGGTTGACATATCGGGTTGTAGGTGTCGACTATGTGGACTTGTTCCTCGTCCACGCGCCAGTGGCGATGCGGCCTGATCAACCCAACCCCAATCTTGTCGACTTGTGGAAAGAGGTAGAGGCAGTCCACGCGGCCGGCCTCGCCAAATCGATTGGTGTATCCAACTTCAGGGTGCAAGACCTGGAAGCCTTCGTGCCCACCGCCACGATCAAGCCCAGCGTGAACCAGCTAGAATTTCACCCGTAGGTTGCTTCTGTATAGCGCAGTCCCTTCGACTTACTCGGCTGGTATAGATATGTCTGGAAAGCAGTCGAGCCAATCATCAAGTACGGACGCGAAAACGGCAATATCACGCCTGCATCTTATGGCGGGCTGACCCCGCTAGTCCGTGCTACCGGTGGCCCCGTAGACGCAGTCGTGGCGTCTATTGCGGATCGTTTGAAGATTACGCCCGGTCAAGTACTTGGGAAGTGGATCCTGCAGAAAGGCGCTATCCTTGTCACGTAAGCACAATTGTCATCGCTAATGTTGGTTGCTGAGTCCCTCAGAACTTCGTCGAAGGAGGAGCGCCTGAAAGAATATTTGAAGACACCCGAGGTTTGTCATTGATCAAGCTGCCGTCGTTGGTTGACTGACTGGTGTCAAGGTACCCGACCTGACTGATGAGGATATCAAGGCCATCGAGGAGGCGGGCTCCAAGCAGCACACAAGATACTACATGAAGCAGGTCTTTGGGGACGCATAAAGTTAGAAAGTAGAAATGATTGTATCAATTTGGGTGTGACCGTGACTGAACTTAACTTGAACTCGTTCTTAGAGCTTCCGCTTGGTCCAACAATTCTGCACGTCCACCACTATCGGAGAAGAAGTATGCTGTACTTATAACGTGCGACTGCGCGAGGGCCGAACTGCCACTGTCAACTTCGGTGCCTCAGATCCATAGATTCGATGTGGCATTTTGCTCGTCCTTGTGTCTTATTAAAACCCGCTGCTATCCTCTCCGTGCGCCCCTTCTGCGCAAAACACCGAACATGACTCTGGGCCCTGTCTTTTTTGCCGCTCTCGCTTTCAGTCGGTTTGCATTAGCGCAGACGACCAATGCGACATGTGAGGTGTCGCACAAGTGGGTATGTAATCACGTCTTTTTTGGCTTCATTTTACTTAGTATTTTCTTCGCTTAACAGGCATCAAATTCGCAGAAACAGAGTCCTTGCGAGGTTGCGAGCTCGCTTGTCGCTGTGTGCTCTGGCTCGTACGAGGTTGGCGCCTTGCCAGATGGCTTCCACTACAACGGCCCCGATGTCGCCACTGCAAATCCATGCTGGTGCAATACTGTGACCTACTCTATGTTTTCGGAATGCGCTCTCTGTCAAGGCCGCACTTTCGTTATGTGTGTATACTTTACAACACGCCTCTGATCTAGTATCACTCACCCGTCTTCCAGGTGGAGTCTTTGGGAGATCAACTGCAAAAGTGTGACGAAGGACGCGTTCCCCAACCCCCTCCCTGCAGGGCTGCATGTCCCCGGGTGGGCCTATCTTGATGTAGAGGTCTGTCGATCTTCACCCCGCGATGCCAGACCAATCGTTAAATCCGTATCTGTAGGCCGGGGACCAGTTCAACGAAACACTAGCGTTTGCCAATGCGAGTAAGTCTATCCCTCAGCGATTCGGATCGTTGCGTTGTCCTAACTTTGCGGTACTAGATATCACCGAATCCACAGCCGCCTCACAACCGAGCAAAACATCGGCACCGATATCCACATCGAGGGTAACTTCGTCTGCTGCTGCTGCAACCTCTAGTGCTTCCCCACCGGCGGCTGATGACTCTGGCCAAGCGCCGCTAAATCAGAAGCGTATAAATGCGATTGGGGGAGGCGTTGTTGGCGGGTTTGCTGCCCTAGTCGTGGTTGCGCTCGCACTGTTCTGCTTCCATCGCAAGCGTCGCATTGCCCAAACGCAAGGAGCCGTCCTTGAATCGCCGACAATGAGCGAGCATCGACCAGAACATAATGATAACCTGGAAGTCGCTCCCAGCATGAGCCAGCGCAGCATTCCCTCCATTGTGGGTCACAGATGCTTCGAAACTACAAACTCTGATTCCTCCGACAGACGGTCTCTTCATTGCACTCGCAACAGGACACGACATCACACCGCGCACGTGACGACGCTCCTGTTTGAATACCCCACCTTCGTTGTACCACTCGTTCCTTTGCACATCAACGTTCCTTAAATCGAAACTGGGACCATAAATAATGCATGTAATCATCCTACCTATCAGCATCCAATAGACCTCTCTGTGGATAAAGCGGTGAAGATTCAAGTTTTGATGGCCTGATTATCTTGAGTTGTTGATCTTTCCTGCTGACTGTCAGTCCGTTCAATGACCTCCAATGGCGAAGAACCAATGCAGTTAGCGCCTGAGTCCGTCTTCTCTCTCACGCGCCAACAACGGCTTGATCGCTTTCTGTGGATTCGTCGACCACGATAAACAATGCTGTCTTGTTTGTCGATTCTGCTTGCGTTCACAGTTGCCCTGGTCGCCGGCGCCGACGGCGTCAGCACCAATGCAACTTGCAGTAGTGCGTTTGCGTGGGTGAGGGTATAAATCAAGCAGAATGGCTTGACGTCTGAGCGCATCTGTTTGCAGTCGTTCAATTCGCTCGGTCAAACGCCCTGTCTCGTTGCTGCATATCTAGGCTCGACGTGCAATAACGGATGTACGTATTCCTCCCAGATGATTTACTCCTTGCCAACGGATCGCCAGTGTTCATGGTCCCGGCGCTTACTTCACAGAACAACGGGTATATTGGGCCGACTGTGAGCCAGGCAGCGGCGAGTGAGCAATGTGCATGCTCGAGCGTGTTCTACTCGCTGCTGAGCGCATGCGCGGATTGCCAAAGCGGCTTGGTTATTCCGTATGCCATGTCCTACCATGTGCCTTGTTGATTAACATCCCTGCTCAGATGGGACACCTTCAAGACAAACTGCAGCCAAGTTTTCGAGGCGGTGTATGGCATAGCTTGCTGGGCAGACGCTGACTTACCTGCCCCAGATTCGCGAAAAGCATTCCGACTGGCACCAGTGTACCACATTGGGTAAGCAGCCGTTGCGTGGTTCTGATTCCATTCACGATTTCAGGCATATCAAAATTTTCCTGTAAGCAAGTTCTTGCCGCGCTCCATCAAATCGACCAACGTATACACAGTCTGGCGGAAGTTTTAATGCGACATTGGCGCAACTGCAACTAAGTCCGTCTGCGTTAAATATTCTGGGGTAAAATTGACTTCATCAGACGCACCTGAATCAACCTCTACTCCGACCGCGACTTCGGCCCCTCCTGCGGCATCTTCACATCCATCTTCTAAGAAGTCCAAGGCCGGGCCAATAGCAGGCGGTGTTGTGGGAGGAATCGCAGCCCTGGTTTTACTTGGTATCGCCGTTTTTTGGTTCTTGCGTCAGAGAAGACGGGGCGGCACCCTTGTCCCCGGTTCGGTGAGCATTCGCAGCACGGGCACAGGCGAGATAACTCCGTACACCTCTGCTAACCCGACGCCGAAACTCTACGTCAGTGATTTTGTTGTTGTTGCTTTCCCGGGAGCTGACATGATCCATGCTTAGAACCCCGCTGATCCTTCAACATTTCCTTCGTCTCCGTCAACGAGGATGTATGCAGGAAGTAGAGTCCACAGCCCATCCGCATCAGGAGGGACGATGACAGAGTTGTCGATGCATCGCACTACACAGTATAGTGGTGCCCCAGAGGTTTAGCTTAAGCGCTAAAGCCGTTGATAATCTTTGCGGCGGTCCGTGTATCACGACAGAATGTCTGCTGTTCGGTTCTTTCCAATGTCACGTGCAGTTATTTCAGGAACGACCGGTGATCATGGACTGTGTTCGCCCGCATAATAGACGCCTGCGGGCTTCTTTGCGTTCACGGGCCATATGAGACTGAAGGTCGCCATTCTCGTCTCTGTTGTTGCTCTTGTCGCTGCCCAGTCATCGGATGTCGCGACCTGCACGCCAGCTTATGGATGGGTGAGCCAAGCCATAGCAATATGAAGCGCCAACCTGACTCAACCCGTCAGTCGATAAACGCGCGTGGCCAGACACCATGCCTGGTAGCAGCATACGCCGAGCAGGCCTGCGAGTGTAACGCGTTATTTGCTGCCCAATATTGCACAGGCTTATCCAACTGACAGCCTCCTTCGTTGAAGTCAACCAGCTGCCTGCCAACACACACTACATCGGGCCTTCAAAGGCAAACGCGAACCTATGCCGCTGCTCAACGGTCACGTATTCGCTCGTAAGCGCATGCGCGGGATGTCAGGATCGGCAGTACATATCCTGGACAGAATGGGCCACGAATTGCACCAAAGGTACGCCGTTCCATCATGATTTTGTGGCAAATTCACGCCGGACATTGCAGTTGAGGTCGCACAGTGAGTGCTGCGGTAACCGGGAAAAGATTGTGTTTAATCGTTGTCCAGATATCTCCAAACGGTGTCCGCTGCTGTCGTCGTACCCCCGTGGGCATATCTTGACGTCACTCTGGTCTGTCGATGAACAATTGGATAGAATCTAAGCTGAATACTGATCAGTCAAATAATGCTTTCAGTCCAACGCTCGCGAGCGCTAGTCAGTGGTGAATTGCTCACTTGTTCGTGCTCAAATCGTTTAGATGCAACGGCTGCTTCGACTCCCAGCCCATCTCCAGCTCCTACGACCACCAGCGCATCTATCGCAACAATTCCCAGCAACCCTGTCGCCCTCCCATCCGTAGCATCCAGCTCTTCACCAAAGAAGGGTTCAAACGCAGGCGCCATTGCTGGCGGTGTTGTCGGCGGTCTCGCGGTCATCGTTATCGCCGTATTCCTCGTATTGTTCTGTTTACGGCGAAAGAAGCAGCCCGAAGCAATGTATCCGCCCAACACTGCGAGCAGTTTTTCTGCTACATCACATGTCCAGCCACTGCAACACCAGTTAACTGGAAGCAGTGGCAGACCAACGAGCCCCGGAAGCCCGCTGTTCATAACCCCATTTCCATACGTGAGTCTTTGTTTTCGTGCTGGGTGTCTTTTTTACCATTGAACCAACAGCACCAGCAAGACAGATCAGACGCAGAAACGACCTATCATGGCTCGCCTTCGTTCGATTCACCGTCGATCACGCCAGCCGTGCAGATTGTTCGCAGGTATAATGGGGCAGCGGAGGTCTGAGGCAGTTATTTCGGGCCTGATGTCTTGGTAAAAAGAATCGAGAAGCCGGTCAGGTGGCGTTAGGTCGTGGCCCTTTATATACGCGATAGTCTTTGCTGGGAATGATAATCCATGGCGCCTAGTTCCTCTACACCTTCAGCAGTCTCCGCTTCTAATGGTGGCCCTAGTCGGTCAACGATTCTCTGGAGTGTTATCGGCGGAGTTGCAGCACTCTGCGTTGGAATAGCTCTGTTGGTGGTCTACAAGATACACAGACAGCGCAGAAGGAGGGCGGTTAGCGTTGCCCCGTCAGCAGTATATGGACCGCACTACGTCTATGCCAGGTTGGCAAACCCAGGCGTGGCCCTGACAAGAGATGATGTCAGGGGTTCAGAGGACAGTCGGAGAACGGTGTTGCCAAAACTATCAACTCCTGAGCCTGCGTCGAGTTCTCTGACACTGCCAATTATCGATGTGAGAGGCCTCATTAAGTGGTTGTGGTTGAGTACTGAAATCCAGGATTCAAAGGACGCGTCAAGCATATCTTCTTATTCGCCAGCAGTCGAGTCGTCAGAAGTGCATGCCCATTCGCCAATTATTCCTCTATCCCATTTCGCAAAGCTTGTCCCATTGCGCAGGGGGATGGTCTCGGGCAAAGGCTGAAGCGGGTGGTAGTGGTTGAAACTGAATTTTGGAGAGTTACGCGAGTTGTCACACTTTTGGTCACTTTGTACTTTGCTGTTTTGTACCACCATGAACACGCCCAGCAAGATGCCTGCATCCCCAGCCCTGCTGGCCCTCCCCCCCAATATGCAGCGGCATCAACCTCCCGTCTATCGTCTCTCTATGCAGACATATCGCCGCACAAGAAGTCTAACCCAGCGTCATTCAGCGCCAATGTCGAGTGGTGGCGAACAACACTCGAAGCCGTAGTCAGCTCTGGCATTCAGCCCTCCAAAAGCCGCCTTGTGCTCAAAGCCGACGCCAGTCTCATGGCCCTCCTTCGTGTACCTGGTGCCGGCAGACCTCTCGCATTACCCACAGTCCTCGTAAGTCGCGTGCCACCGTCATCCGAAGACCCTCTTCACTGACCATACTGGGCTTAGCAAGGCCGAGCTCCGCTCCCAGAAAGCGTTGTTTACGCAAACCGAATTTCTCAATTCTGTGGAATCTGTGTATAACCCTGGCTGGCTCCCCGGCCGGATAGTCGCGTATGTCGTTGGAAAGCCGTTATGGTGGGCCCTGGAGCAGCTGGGTGTTGTCGGAGAAGACAGCTTCGTGTCTGGTTCGTCAAAAGACACCTCTTGGTGGGGCGAATACGTGATTTTGTCCCTTGTGGAGTCTGCTGCCGAGGCAGTGCTAGAAAAACAAGCAGAATCAGTTGGAGAGCCTGCGGACTCGCTATACAGTCAAGACGGGTTCAAGAAGAACTTTGTTCCGGCACTGTCAGATACCGAAGTCAAGATACTGCTCAAATTTCTTCAACGGGATCGAGGCGCTGTCGTTGTTGACGGTGATGTGAGTGCTCCTTCAAGAAATTTCGATGTCTTTCTCATTTGTATCCGTAGGTTATTAAATTCGTCGACACGAAGACATCTCTGAGGGAAATAACCGCGATTGACCGTGGAATGCTCGAGCTGAAAGAAGCAGTCGACCATCTCAAGGCCAAAGTTGCGAGCATTCAACAAGAAATCGACAAATGTACTCAGAGGGCTGCAGAGGAGCTGCAGCGCAAGCACAAATCAATGGCTTTAAGCTACTTACGGTCACGGAAGCAGCTCGAAGATTTACTGCAGAAACGATTAGGGTCTCTGGCAACATTAGAAGCCACACAGATGAGTGTGCAGACTGCTGCTGGTGACGTTGAGGTACTTGTTTTGTTGCTCTTCATCTTTCGCATGATTTATGTTTTCGGAAGATCCTCAAATCATACGAAGCATCAACAAGCACTTTACGCTCTATTCTCGCTCACCAGTCCCTCCAACGTGACAGCATTGACAAGACAATGGACGCGCTGGCCGAAGCCAACGCAGATGCTCGTGAGGTGGACGAGGCGATTCGTATCGGCGGGGACATTGCGCTTGGAATTGACTCCAATCCCGCGTTTGACGAAGATGATTTGGAGGAGGAGCTTAAGCGGCTTGCGAAGGAGGACGAGGAAGATAAACTTAGAGAGAAGCTGCAGAGTGTTGGGTTGTCGACACCTTTGGCGGAGCCTAACGCCGAGCCAGAGCCCACTGTTGAGAAGACTGCGGTTCACGTTCCTGCTGCGTAGTAATTATAATGGGATAGCAGATACCCTTGCATGTAATATCCTCTGGCATTTGCTTGATAGAGCAACATCTGAAATAGTTCGGAGACTTGAAACTGCATCAGCAAAATCGGGAAGCAAGTACATGACCGGCATTGCCCTCTCGCTACTTATAACCTTGTTCGCTAGATGTGTGCCCATACCTCTGAATCGGCTTCCTGTCGTCCAAGATTATGTTTCGCCTGCACGTGATTTCGACGTCCACTTGTTTACGCTCGCAACAAACGACTCGTTGGTGAACGCCTCTCGCAGCTTTGAAGTCATGTTTCGCCCGTGACTAGGCCTTTCTACTTTTCAAGACCCGTTACAATTGAAAGAGCCTACAAACTTGTCCAAAGTGGAAGTTCAAAGATCGGAATCCTAGTAACCATAGCCCATGTCGCTGCGCTAGCTGCCAAGTCAAGTCTGCGCTTGCAACAAAACATGCCAGAAAGACGGTCGCCAGCAACATAACTGTAATTCGGCTGAAAAAAAATCAAAACAATGTCGAGTTCAAACGTTGTCAATGACATCCTCGACTGACGACTTCTGGCTCTGCTCAAAGGCCAACGACGTAGCGCCCGCTTTCTTGTTTCTTTTTTCGATGAGAACAGGTGCAATTTCCTTCGCTACCTCAGTCTTTTTTTTCCTCTGGGTTGGCCTGCTATGTTGACGCAGCTGCTTAGTCATTATTCTTTGTTGCTCATCTTTGGCTATCACTAACCATGACAGTTTCCGCGAGTTTGGGAGTTGGATCGCCGTAAGGTATTCATCCGTATATCGATGGCCAAACAGCGAAGAGCCTCGACTGTCAGTGGCAACTTGGAGGTTAGTCTGCGGCCTTCGAATTAGACATTTTACCTAAGAGTCCGAATACTACATCTCTTTTTACGTCTGAAATCATTTCTGCTTCCTGCGACGATGGACACTCAACAAGAACGCATCGCGATCAGACTGGAACAGCGGTTTGTCGAACAATGGCTAGGCCCTATCCCAGGCCGTGGGTTCGTCGAAATGTTGAGAATGCTATATCGCCCATCCCAGCGACTCGAGTACTTCTACCTCTGGGGGACGGGATTAGCTCTTGTCGAGTTCACTCTTCTTGCTGCTGTTGGGTATCGGATGGCACCCTTGGTGGCGGAGATCGTCGATCTTGTTGACCTGTAATGAATTATACTTTTACACATGCATTCAAGTACCTAAGAGATTGTCATTACACATAAATGAGTGCCTCCCAGAATAAATGGGACTGCCACTCACATCGGAAAGCCTCCAGTCGCGGTCGCGGAAACAAAGCCTCCCTTTGCACTCTCTATTCAATTCGTGACAGACGGTTCGAGGCGAAATTGCTTACTGGCTGGAAGGGGATCTGTTTGCGTAGCCAAGATTTGGGATTTCCGAGTCGGTATCCTATCTAGTCTATCGCTCCAGTACATAAAGTTGGGTCACAGGTCAACACAGCCTCAACACCCACTCCTTCACCAAAGTGACCATGGAAAGTCAAGAGGTTGCCCCGGAGGTTGCCCAAGAATTGCACGAGACGCGAAATCTCTACCATCTCCGTCTGCCGGAGCTCGATGTACTAATCGATGCGACGCTGGAAGAGCTCAATGCGGCTGAAGCGGAGCGACAGAAGCCTGGTCTCAGTGCCGACGAGCAGGAGATTGCGAAGTGGAAATGTGACAGACTCCGAGAGAAACACGAAGAGGTGAAGGAGGCTTACTGTACGTTGCGGCTTCACATTGTGTCACCCGATTTGACATGGCTTGTAGCGACCGTCTGGGCCGCACATGGCAGAAAGGCTTACTTCCAGCCTCTGCCCGATCCATGGTTTATCAAGTTTCTGAACTATTGCCTCAATTCCGAGCCACCCAAGGATAAGACAGTCTGAACGTTGTACGGCCGCTTGTATTATATTGTACTGGAATCATAAGTGCACGAATATTGGAATGATCGAGGTAATATTGTCGTCAGTCAGCTATCAGGTCTCGCGCAACGTTAAACAAGCCTCCACTGAGGCGGCGAGGCCTGAAATTTGCGGACGCTGTGCATTCCCCGCTAAGTGGCGGTTCAAACTGCCTTCGCCTGGCTCGGAGTCGAGTTCAGGTTTTTTCTCTAGATCTCGCATTTACGGTCGCTTGGCTTCTGTCGCTCCTCTTCCGCCGCTTTGAGCTTATATATCGAGCTCCGACAACGGGGAGATAATCTGAAATAATCATACAGTAGATATGATACAATAAATCGGGGGTATACTCCACATCATTGCACCTCCATACTGTCGTCTTCTTCTTCTGGCGGAGGCTCGCAAGCTCGTTTCATGTTTTCCAACAACGAACTGAAGAATAGTGGCAACTGATTTCCAAAAGTGAGCAGCTGATCTCAAGGGAGAAACAAAGAAAAACGCACTTGTGTCCTCTGGAACGTAAATCCACCGCCCAGAAAATCGAGGACGTTGACAAATTCTGGGCTTTCCTTGTCCAGCGTGAGGGGCGTAAACCGTACTCGCTTTTCCAGATCGTTTACTGATTGAGGCTCTTCTGCATCCTCGTCATCCAATGGCTCGTGGGTGAAGCGCAGGCTGAACCCGAGACTGCGTTGGTTCTCGCCCTCCTTGTTGACGTACGTATAAATACACGTGAACAGCCATTCGTCGAGGTTGAAGAATTTGGGCTCTTGCAGCTTTATGTCCGTGACAAGCGTGTTGGTCATGTCCTCGTAGAACTTGATGAGTTCAGCATGCTTTGGCTCTGACGCGCCAAGCACATTGCGACCTGAGGCCGGCGCTGGAGTGTAAAGAGGTCCGCCTTTTTGCTGACGCGCCTTAGTCGCATTTTCGCGCTCGAACTCCACTTCGTATTCGAGGTCTTTCACTATGATGACGACGATGAGCTCCTGTCAGAAGAGCGAGCGAGAAATGAACCTTTTTGCTTGAGCTCCTCTACTTGATCTGCCCTTTGGTCCGCCTCACGTTTCCAAAATGTCACCTGCTCCTCTGCTGAACGCTTGTCCGCGTCTGCCTGTTCACGAGTGACGAGGTATAGAACAGAGGTCTTGCCCTCGCTGGCGAGCGGTTCTTTGTGGGACAGCATCTCTGCCTGTTGCTTTATAATGTCGTCTTTTGCTGCTCAACCGTCAATAATACATAAATCATGAAAGACGAAGAGACGCACCTCGGATGACCTCTTGGTGTTTGTCTAGTTGTTGTGCTAACAAATCCTCTGCTTCGGTAGTGCGCACCCTATACGCTTCCTTAAGTTGGGCTTCCAATTCCGCGATGTGTTTATTGGCCTGTACAATTGAGCCAAAACCCTACCGCATATGAGAGACCTACCTGTTCCAATCGACGCGTCAACCGCTCCGTCTGGCGTGAATGCGGCACAGGAAAATTGGCAGATTTATTTGTTGTTGGGGCTGCTTGAATCCTACTTCGCCCAGCAATGGTTGGAGCGCCGTTCGCAGGCCCTGGATCGTCTAGTTCATCTGGCGACTGTTCCACAATCTCGACCTCTTTTTCAGCCTTTGCCTTGCCCTTTCCCTTTGACGCGGCCGGCCGGCTGCTCGCTCGTGCGGGAACCTTTCGGGGCTCGATGACAGTGATTTCCTCCTCGTCTTCTGTGGTGGCCGCCCTTGGTTTAGTTCTGGCAGCGGCTTTGGCGGTGGATGGCCCTGCGCGGGCTGGCATTATACGGGTTCAGACAAAGAGTGTGGGTGTAGAGGTAAAGATGGTCACCTCTATCGGGTGACATGAATGGTGCACCAAGGAGACCCCGAAAACAAACGCGTCAAGAAGGAGAAACGTGACGTGTGACCGTTCGCTTTGCTTCGCTTCTGGTTGGCTCTGAGCCAACACCCTAGGATTAGTCTGCAAAAATTACGAATCTCGCCAATTCACAACACTCTCAAGGCTGGCTGAGAGAAACCTCCTCACAGCTCTCACATCCCGGAGAGTCAGAGACTGTCTCCAGAATAGATCACCCCCGCATCCGGAGAAATCCACTTCGTCCGAATCGTCGCATAGGCTCTCCGCAGCGGTTTCGCACAGCTTGTTTTTTCAGACGAGCATCCAGCAAGGATCCACAGACCAAAGTGAAAAAGTACCTGTTTGGAGTTTCTGATGGGAACGGCACAGCATCTGCTCGGCGGGGATGTTTGCCGACCTGTCAAACACCGCTTTCTGTGACGCAATTTCGCTTATAAGGCAAAGACCACCTCTTCCAAGTCCCCATCTATGCCCGCCCCACCGCTCCCCATACGCTCATCGTCGGCTCTTTCGGAGTCCTACGTCAGCGATGCTTTCCACAGGTATGAGCGGCTCCCTCATTGTCGTTTTTAACGGCTCTAATGCGCGTTTTAGATATCTAAAAAGCTCATTATCGCAAGCTAAGGCCGAGCATCTTTTGGATCCTGATATTTTGGCTGGTGCAGAGGGCGACTTAATGATCACTGGTATGTCGTCGTCGTCTGAAATAGCCTTCTCTTCTCATTCTATCAAGGACCCGCTCTATGTCTTTATTTCGCAGCTCTCCGATGCACTACAAACCCTCCCTCTGTCCCACTTCCTCGCAGTTCCAAGTCTGCAACTCCTATGGAACTCAGCTATGACAACTGTCCTGAACCATTCATTGCTTTTCTACGTGTCTGGAGCAAGACAGTTGCGCCGATCCAGTCCCTGGCCCCGGAGCTACAGCACGATCTTGCGCGTATTATCTGTGGCCTTCAACCAATAGTCCTTCCAACCGAACCGTCTCTCAATGGAATTGCGGCAGATTTACGAGCAGTCGCCATTGAAATCAGTCAACGGCGGTCATTTCAGGAGCGGTATGGAGAGGACCTCCAAGCCGCGTTGGATTCTGGCGCTGCTCCAGCAACTCCCAGCCCCAAACGTGCTACCTTTGTCCCTCCTCCGGTATACGATCCATCACCCACTTCATCTGCGAATTCTTCTCCGCGATCTTCGTTGGATGGGCATGCTTCCCCACAATATGCCAATCGTGACCTCCCACCACAGTCACCCTCGTTTCTTTCCCCGGCTCCTGCTTCTGCGGGCCCCTCTAATAGCGGCTTCCCAAAAGCTTCCCCATCTTTACTCACCCCCGACTCCCCAGCCATCGAGTTCATCCGTGAAACGCTATATGCCTGTATTGCAGATGCTCTAGAGCTCCAGCCCTCTCTCCGCGCTCTTTTGAAAACCGATCCAACACGAGCGTACTTTGCCTCTGTTGCATTTGCGATCCTTCAAGTTGCGACAACTTCCGTCACACCTGACAACACTATTGTCGGTGTACTCGGCCAGACATTGACCATCGAGCAATGTCCCCCTCCTCTTCGGCCGTTTATGAGCGAGCTAGCCGCCATCGGCCAAGCGGCGCGAGCGTTGGAGGATGAGGACAACGAGACCGCAATGGACTGTGTTCAACACGGCAAACCGATCCCGACCACTAGAATGGATCGGGTAAGGTTGATGCTTGAGCAGGGCGTGGGGTATGCTCAGGGTCGAACAGAGAGTGAGGAAGGCAGACGGAGTGTAGAAGGGAGAGCAGTTTCGTTCACCAATCGTGTCAATGCGTTGTCGTTGGGAATGACGAGACTGAAGGCTTTCCGCGAGCGGCAGGAAGACGTTTTCAAGGTTCTGGGAGGTATTGGCATGTAAGGACTTGTTTACTTATGCTTGAACTATGTACTGTATCAATAGCACCGTAATTTGTAGCCGGGCCCGGTTATCTCGCACCTATAAAAAGTAAGCCTTCGGTTAACAAACAACAACGAAGCCCGAGCCATGTCTTCTTACCGCTTTGTTGTCGCCCGTCCACCAGTCAAAAGCCATCCGGCTTTACTCCCAGTATTTCCGCCCCTCGAATCTGCGCTGGCCAATCGATTTAGTTCTATCCGCCAACCGAAGAAGCCATTTGGTGATCCCCGTTTCTCTCTCACCACCCATGTTGTCCCCTCCAACTTTCTTCGATCGACTGCCCCAGCAACTTCCCCTCCACCACCACCAGCAGATCCTACCGCTAGCAAAGACGAACGCCGAGCTGTCGCGCAAGCACGATTGGAGTGGGTGAAAGCGCAACAGGCTGGTGAACGGGGAAGACATGAAAGGGTGTTGGTGAATGTTGTCAACCGGTATGTGGCCCTCAAGCCACAAGGGCATGGAAGGACAGTATTTCTCGCACATGCCAATGGGTTCCCGAAGGAGGTGAGTTTTTTCCTACCACCAAAACAAACATTTCATTGGTGTGAGGATCTGGGAGCCAGCTATCCTGGACTTGCTCGCGAAGAAAGGCGGCGACGTAGACGAAATCTGGGCCTGGGAGGCAAACCACCATGGCGCCTCGTTTGTGGCTAACCACGCACCGTTTACGGCTTGCGACTGGTCCGACGATGCGCGCGACATACTCAATTTCCTGCTCCATTTCCTCCCCAGCGAAGTCCTGACAGAGCTCCCGCTTGTCCTCCCCCCGCGTAGCCCCGACAGAAAGCGCTTTGCGCAGAATTCGCGGCTTCAGCAACCGCAATCTATTCACCGTGGGCCATTCATTTGGCGGGTGTTGCAGTGCCTGGGCAGCGATAATGGAGCCCCGGCTATTCACCAGCCTGATGCTGATTGACCCAGTCATTATACGTTCAACCGACCCTAGCACTCCTCCAGGTCATCCATCACGCACCGAAGCAGCCCTCTCTCGGCGCGAATCGTGGCCCTCTCGTCAGGCAGCATCAGACTCGTTCAAATCGAATCCATTCTTTGCGTCCTGGGATCCGCGTGTTCTCGAGGCATACATTGAATACGGGCTAGTTGAAGGCTCCGATGAAAGTGTAAGATTGGCCATGCCAGCGCTGCAAGAAGCGCTCAATTTCGAAGCGACAAGCACCAGTGGCGCGGTCTGGGATCTAATCCCCACTATTGACCCCCGCATCCCGCTGAGATGGGTTGTGCCCGGGCGTCCAGGCGAGCCAGAGTGAGTCTCCTCCCATTGTGTTTGTGATTAGACTGACTTTACAGGATTGGGGGTCCCAATTCAACGCAAGAACGCGTATGGCTCCGGCCGGAAAACGCGTCCAACGTTCGTATATCACAGGCAGGGCATCTGGTTAGTCCAAGTCTTATCATTCGTCATCTCTAATCTAATCTAATCTAATCTCACAGGTCACGCAACAAGCTCCGCATGAACTCGCCAACGAAATCGCTGCCATGTTAGACGGTGTACCGCCAGCTAAATTATAGCACCATAATCGTATTCAGATACTTGCAACCAAGAAATTGACATCGGAACCTACAGCTGAAATAATCTCAAACAAACTATTTCAGCTTTTGTCAGCTACTTCTAACTACCAGCAAAGAGCTCAAACAAGGAAGCACCCTCAATCCTTAGTTGCAAAGTGGTAAGGGGTTCCGACGGCTACAGCATGAATATTGCATTCTTTCGCGGTCGCTCGCGTGGGGGCCAGAGGAGCACAACACCCTGTTTGGTCAGAGCAGCCAATCGCGCGGAATCTGTGGTTGGCGGACTATTGTGGCAAGCGACACACTGAATTGGGGAGAAGTTGTCTCTTGGTGCGAGTCTGGACTCGACCATGTCCAGCAGAATGGTCAAAAACGACGCGATTTGTAATTCAAAGCTGGTGAGATGAGGAAGCAAGTAATCACTCGAAGATGATATAGTAAGAGCCTGAAGAATATCGGCCGCCGTATTCATCGCTTCACTTCCCAGCGCGAATATGCCCAAGTGCGAGAGCATGGGTAGCGTCCGGAGGTTATGGAGAAGGTTGGATGTGGTGAGGCTATCCTGAAAGGTGACACGCAAATGCGTGATTTTGCAACTGGCGCGCTGCATAAAGCAGACAAACGAGTGTCGGGGAAGAATGATCCCGCGTAGACCCCAGACCTCGAAAGACTCGAGAACTGGAGTTTGAAGGCTGTCAAGAAGGTCGATGATCGGGTTGCGATTGTAGGAATCACGCAAAGCGATGATTAGTTTCTTCAGGCGAGGAAGAAGGCGGGGAGGGCCATCAGAGGATTTGAGTTGGTAATAAGGATTCAGGTGAAGAATCGTCAGGCATGGCCACGCGCCGTTGTCGATTATTTGGAGCAGAGCCATTGTCGCTGCTGCACCGAGATGCATTTCCGTGAGCTGGACAGTCGGGAGTGGAAGATCAAAGGGCATAGAGCAGAGCAGAACGAGCTTTCTGAGATTGGTTGCGTGATTTGCGAAGAACGGGGCACCATGAGAACCTTTGCCAATCGCTCCATCAAGCCGCAGGTGGAGGCTTTCGAGGCAGGGAAGACTGCCGCTAAGATGGGAGGTGAGAAGCGGGAGTGTCGTATGGTTTATTGGCAGCTTAACATCAAACCATCGACGGGAATGTTGGCACAGCAGTATTATATATTGCAAACCAGCCTCCGACAGACTACAGTTTGGACTGTTGTCGATATCCACATCGATAGACAGTGGATGACTATTAGAACGTGCAAGGTGCAAAGACAGTAGCTCAAGAAGATTTTGTTCAACTGTGGTGGATCCTGTAAGCGATGGAAGTCGAAGGGCAAAGGACGCCCAAAGCTCGTTCATTCTGAGGGCTATTGACCGCCATTCCTGGCAAACTTGGATGAGACTAAGCGCAGGACTCTTTTGTAGTCGATAGTATGACTGCGAAGGCAAGCAGCAGTAGCTGAATACCTCCATGAGGATTTCTGGGGGCAGATCTGGCATTTGGAGAGCTGAGTTGTCACGCGTGAGTTGTCACGCGTGACTTGAAGACGCGTACAGGCTGACGCGGCTTGCTTTGAACAATCATGAACACCTTCGTCCAACGGTTTTCTACAACTGGCGCGCTCAGCGAGGCGCGCAAGGCGAAAGCGTTGGCTGCAGATGACGAAGAATTCTCGGATGCTGCCTGGGGATCGGAAGCTGGCTTTGGCAATATCGCAAATGGCGTGCCTACATTCGCTGTTCCTGCTGTACCAGATGTGAGCGTGTTTTTCTTCATCATAAGACTTCACTAACATTATCCCAAGCCTTCTGCCTTTCTCAGACTGCACACCGATGACCATGCCGACCCCAGCTGCAGAATCAAGATTCAGCATGGTACCACAACACTCGCATTCCGTTACAAAGGGGGTGTTATCGTTGCTGTCGACTCCCGAGCAACGGCAGGAAGCTATATTGGTATGTGGATTTGTCTTCCATCCAATATTGCACACTAAACACTTGCGTTCTAGCTTCTGGGACAGTGAAAAAGGTGATCGAAATCAACCCATATTTACTTGGTACGATGGCTGGTGGTGCTGGTGAGTCGTCAATGTTGTTTATGGCCTAACTCTGACGTTGAAATAGCGGACTGCCAGTACTGGGAGACGTATCTTGGAATCCACTGCCGTTTGCACGAACTTCGCAATCGGGAGCGGATTTCTGTGTCTGCTGCCAGCAAGTACTTGAGCAACTTGGTCTACAGCTACAAGGGCATGGGCTTGAGCATGGTATGTGGAACCGAATTGCTTCAGTCGTATTTGATGATGATGTTATTAGGGCACTATGATCTGTGGATGGGACAAAACGGGACCAGCGGTCTTCTATGTAGACTCGGATGGTACCCGGCTCAAAGGCGACCTGTTCTCTGTTGGCTCGGGAAGTACACATGCGTATGGTGTCCTTGATCAGGGCTATCACTGGGACTTGTCGGATGAGGAAGCGCAAGAGTTAGGACGAAGGAGTATCTATGCCGCGGGCCATCGGGATGCTTTCTCCGGTAATACTTGCAACCTATACCACATCAAGCAAGATGGCTGGCACTTCCTCGGTGAGCTCTAATGTCGTCCAAGTTGACTCTTTTTTGACTCGCTTTTTCCAGGCAACTTCGACATCTCCAAGATGCATTACGAAGGACCAGGCGATGTCCCGGGAAGCTTCGGTAAAGGATACGGCTACGATATCCGAGTCGAGGGCCGTAGCTCTGCTAACCCACCTCCTGCTGCTCCCACTACAACTGTAACTGCCTAGGAAGTAATCCAAAACAACGTTATCTGTATTCTTACTCCAGGCTTGATACCGCGCGCTCTGCCACCGTGGAAGACTTCTAGGAAGACCTGCCGTCAGAAATAGTGCCGCATGACTTGGCCACGCCATGCGAAGCCGGCCTTCGAAGGCTTCAAATACCTGTCGGTCTTTCGTTTGAAGCCATGCTGTCTTTCCTTCCTCTCCTTCTGCTCACCAGCAGCATCACCTTTGTTGCGTCTGAGCAACAACAGCAGTTGTATTTAGACGGTACTGCCCTGCCGTCAGGCTTCGTCTACGGTTGTGCAACAAGGCATCCGGACTTTCACTTTCGACTTTGAGAATATTGACGCGTTTTAGTGCCTACCAAGTTGAGGTTCTGATACCCTCATACTCCTCCTGACATTATCAGATCGAAGGCGCGTGGAATGTGGATGGAAAGTCGCCATCCATTTGGGATACCTTTGTCCGCCGCAAAGACGTCATCACCTATGGTGCAACTGGCGACGTCGCGGACGATTTTTACCATTCATATGCGACGGATTTGCAACTCTTCCGAAACGCGTTGGGGGTTGGGACATACGACTTTACCATTTCGTGGACCCGCATCATGCCTGGTGGTCGTGGCGCTCTTAGTCCAGCCGGCCTCGCGTTCTACCAGAATGTGATCCACAAAAGCAACTCCTTGGGAATGTCCAACATCTGTGTGCGTGTTCATGTGATGCTGTCTGTGGTGTTGCCATTCAGCGGTGTTGCAGACACTCTATCATTGGGACCTCCCTCAGTCGTTGCAGGTGATTCAACTTGATTTGGTTTCGGTCGCATTGACCTTTAATGTTTAGAGCGAATATGGAGGGTTCTCCGACTTTCACTCGTATTATGGACTTGTCTGACCATCATTTAGTTGGCTAAATCACAAAATCGTGGACGACTTTAGGGCATACGCACGAGCAGTTTTTGCGGCGTTGGGAAATTCATGCTCGATGTGGGTCACCATGAACGAGGTTTGTCTTCTGGTCCGTAGATGATGACGGTCTGGACGCTTTGGTAGCCCAGGACATTGTAGGTCCCTCTTTCATGTTCTTGGTCCAACAGAAGACAAATCCTTCCAGCTGCACAGAAGGATTTGGCCCAGATCCTGGCTCTGCCCCTGGTGTCAAATCACCAATCACAGCAAGATATACTTGTATGCACTATGCATTGTTAGCGCATGCTGCCGCCGTCGACGAGTTTCGCCGAGGTAAATATAAAGGCAAAATCGGGCTCAAGGTCGATGGAGGGCTTTCGCTTCCACTGGACCCGTCGAGTCCGTCAGACCAGGCTGCTGCTGCGCGTGCTATGGATTTCGTATGCCTACTGTTTTCTGCTCCAGCCACCGGCAAATTAATGTCTTGAAGGAAGTCGGCTGGGACGTGGCCCCGGTCTATACTGGCGACTATCCCGCGTCTCTGATCGCAAGTGGTGTGCTTCCTCTTCGTTTCAGTCCTGCAGAAAAAGCTCTTTTGAAAGGATCCGTCGATTTCATTGGCGCGTATACTGATCATGTTGCATGCTCCTCTTTCTCATCCTGCCTAGGCCTTGACTTCTACACCAGCCAGTGGGTTACGGCGTCGAAACATTGTACCAAGTCGAGCGACAGCTTCCCTGAATGTGTCGACTCCTTCCAACAAGACCCGCGCACGATGATTGATATCGGCCGTCCGACTGCAAGCGACTGGAATTTTGACGCGTCCCATCCGACAATCTACGGGGGCATCAAGTATCTAGCCCAGAAGTACAACGCGACCAATATTCTCATCTCGGAAACGGGCATGGGCGTGTTGAACGAGACCAATTTCCCTCTGGCACAGGTCTTGGAGGATGTGGATAGAATTGTGTGGTACCGGGGCGTCCTGATTGCCATGAAGCAAGCGTTGGACGAGGGTCTTCCCTTGACAGGCTTCATCCCCTGGAGCTGCATCGACGTCAGAAATATTCTTTCTCGTTCGTCTTGTTATCTGACGCGACTGCAGAATTTTGAATGGACAGATGGGTACAACGTGCGGTTCGGCCTCATCAATGTCGCGTATAATGTCGGTGTTGTCCTGCCTTTTGTCATTTGACTGACTGAATCTCCAGGCCTCGGGACAAGGCTCGCAACAACGCAACCCTAAGCTCTCTTCAGCATATCTACGCGGAGTTCTTACCCAGGGGAAACCGATTAATCCTTACAACTTCGCCTTGTAATGCCTACATCTGGGCTTTGTGCGCTTCAAGAGACGAGAGTAGTAGAACTAGCAAGATTGTCTCAGAAGGCACCGCGAAAGGTTTTGATGCCCCAGTTACGACTTTGCATGCTTGGTCGCACCTATCTTATCTGATGCAATTAGCAATTTATATGATTGTCTATCCAAATAAAAAGTCGCGCGTTGTACCGATCCATCCACTTGATTTCTCCGGTTCTTTACTCGACTCTTCGTAGAAGTCGATTTCCTCCCGCTCTTTGTGGAAGAATGTCACGTCTTCTGACCGCTGCCACTGGAAAACCATTCGTTTGACTTTGGGCTCACTATCGAAAAAGAGCTCACGTACGGACGAGCGACGGATGACTTTCCAGCTGATGAAAAGCACTGGTGCTACACCTGCATAATGTTAGCTTCGATGTGCGCTGCCAGAAATAATACTTACCAAGTGACGCGTAGGAGAATAGGAAGGTTGGCACATCCCAATTCCCTGGCAGGAAGACTGTCCAACCCCCAACAAATGCCATCACGAAGGTTCCAACAAAAGCATAATATCTTTAACAGTCTGATCAGCGAGCGTTTCAATAAGAAGGTAGACTTGCCCGCAGAAAGGTTGCCAGAATGATTTGTGGGGCAAATAATCTCTTGGGATACCCTGGGCCTTCATGGCCTACTGGGGTTGAAAAAGGTCTGGTAATGTACGTTTTAAGACGTACGTAGTAGAATTTCAGGTATGAAAACGAGATGATGGCGTAGTTGAGGAGCTGGGAAGCAGTTACGAGGTTGACAAACCACTGCAACACGACCGACGCGTTATTTGACACCTGCAAGAAAGCTAGATGCGTCAGGCGGGGGTGCACAGCAAAGGACGACAAACATAAGAGGGCGATAACGAGCGTTACGAGGACGCTGTAGATGGGAACTCCGCGTTTAGTACAGATGGCAAGGAATCTCGGCATCTTGCCTTGCAGCGCAAGACCGAAAAGCGTCCGACTGGCGCAGTACACGTAGCTGTTTCCGGCGGAGAAGATGGAGGTCATGATGAGTGCGTTCACGATATGCGGGAGGATGGGAATTTTCATGCGCTCCATGGCAATAACGTAGGGTGACGAGCCAGCACCCGGTCGTGCGTCAGATAGCGCTTTGAGAAGATTTTCGTCGTTGTATGGCACAACGATACCAACACAGAGAGAACCGAGGACGAAAAAAGCAGTAAGACGGACGAACACGGCTTTGAATGCACGTGGAAGTGTGCGTCGCGGGAACTCTGCTTCGCCAGCCGTCATCGAAACATAATCCGGTCCAGCGATTGTAAAGGATGCTTGAATCAAACAACTCAGGAAGCCGAGGAAGCGCCCGAGGTCGCCAGTTTTGATATGTTCAGCAAAGGGGGCACCTGGGACCTTAGACGGATTCCAGTTGCGGAAGCCATAAGTGTCGTGTAGCGGGTTCCCCCCAACCATTGTAAAAAATGTGAAAAGCATCAAGCCCACAGCAAGGATGACTTTCCCGATGGAAAGGTAAAATTCCGTCTCTAGACGAAGAAGAAATGAGTCCCGCAGAAATGTTTGAAAAATGGGTTCAGACGCACCTCCATACCATCCCACAGCAAAAAGGTTGAGAAAACTTGGAATACATGAGCAATAACCCAAATGTTGGAACGCAGACAACTAACGCGTAGCATAATAGAACAAACTGCCAAATTCATTAGCATAAACTTGAACGAATAGCGATAAGGAAGACTTCACCGCAATCACTGCAGATATCGGGATCTTATCTGTCCAAAATTGGAGGACAAGATTGAAGGCCACAACTTCGAACGGAACGAGAGCGGCCTCAAATATGAAGAAGTTGACGCCCGCGCAAAAGCCAAGAGCAGGATCGACGAATCTATCAGCAAAACGAACAAATGGAGAGGCGATTGGGATCCATGTAACCATTTCAGCTGTGGAATCAACTGAGTTGGAGACGATCTTGTTCCAACAAAAGACTTACAGAGGCAGTTATTGACGGCAAGAATGAATGTTGACCATATCGTGAAAGCAAGGAATAGGCTTCCAGGACCACCTCTAGTCAGACTGGAGCCAATTTGCACGAACAACGCTATTTTCCTCTTGATTAGATATGACGCGGTCGCGTGGACTTGAACGCGTACCAGTTCCAATGGTTCCGCCTGACGTGTGTTTTTTTTAGAAAAAAGACAGGCAGATATGGAGAACAACCACACACCGATGCCAATGAGCTGAATATGCCGACTCTTGAGCGACCTATGGGTCTGATCGCGGGGTCCAGACGTGTCAGACACATGGGAGACAACGTCGACGTCAGGAAATGGCTTATCGCGTGCGCCTTTTTCGTTGTCCATGGCCGTGCGGGGTCAAGAAGGGCTTGGTGACGATGACACCTGATAGTTGGTGCATGGTTCCTCTAAACCCGGGTCGCCCAAAGCGGATCAGATTAGAAAAAAATATCCTCTTCTACACACACTCTATGCCCAGCGTTCTACCCTATTTAGCTTTTTCGCCGTCTTGGCGTTATTCTGCGTTGTCTGCCCACGAACTGGGAGACCCATAGCATGTCTCCGACCAACATAGCTTCCAATCATCTTCTGGTGGGCGATGTTCTCCCGCACGACTTGTCTCAGCTCAGCCTCTATTTTGAGTTCCTTCAGCTTATCCGGTAGCACCCGTCTATCCCGTAACCGCCGTAGAAGAAACTCGGGCTTTTTGTTGTCGACTTCGCGTTTAGCGCGCTGAGCACGGAACTCAGTCAAGAGTTCGGAATGCGGCTTCGTGGATGGTGTGAAGTCGGGGGTGGCAGTGGGAAAACGGAGTGGGGAGAGCGAGTCTTTAGGCGAAGAGAGAAATGATGCGAGGGCAGTCACTTGCATTGGCGACAGGTCGCGGACTTTGCAGGTATTATGCATTTGGAAACGGGCGCAGATACGCGCCGCAGTGTGGTGGCCTATGCCATAGAAAGAAGTGAGCGCGAACTACATTTGGTCAACGGCGTTGGAGATAGAAAGAGTGAGTTTTACCTTAACTAAATGGTGGTCAGGTAGATTAACGCCTAACACATAGACCATAGCGGAAGGCCCAGGACCTGTAGTGCCTCTGGTTGAGTGGGGGGTGAAGGGATCAGCTGTCGTGACCGCCGTGACGCACCTTTCTCTCAACCACGATGGCAGCCAAACCAGAGGACGCATTGATGAAGCAACGGCTTCAAAATCACGAAGAATTCCTACGACAGAAACAAGCCATTGTCCGAGAGACCGAAAGGTCGCGGCCCTCCGCCAACCGATTCGTCGGCCAGTTCGACTCTGTGGAGGATTCTTTGAAGAACAGCACCGTCGGATTGGTTCACTTGGAAGACTTTCAACAGCGCCGAAGAGAAATTGAGGAGACTCAGGCGCGCGAGGCGGCGAAGTCCAATGCTGTCAAGTATTTGTCTACTTCTGTTGTTGGATTCTGTACCTAACGTTATAGAGTGATTGTTTAGGGATGATAAAAAGGCCAAGAAGAGGAAAAAAGCTTCCAAAGTGACACTGTCGTTTGCTTTGGACGACGAGGAAGGCGCAGGAGATACCAATTCACCCGGTCCCAGTGCTAAAGAAGACGAGGAAGAACGTGCTGCAAAGCGAAGCAAGTTCAGAAAAAATCCTGCCGTGGATACGTCGTTTTTACCAGACCGCGAGCGAGAAGAAGAGGAACGTAAGGAGCGCGAGCGGCTGAGATTGGAATGGCTGCAAAAGCAAGAGGATATGAAATTGGAAGAGATCGAGATTGCGTACTCTTATTGGGATGGCAGTGGTCATCGCAAGAGCGTTAAAGTCAGTTTGTTCCTTCTATCCTTGTCTTTTTTTTCCTTATTCGGTCAGTGCAAGAAAGGAGATGAAATTGGCCACTTCCTGGAGAAATGTCGCAGCCAATGCCCAGAATTGCGCGGTGTGAGCGTGGATAATCTCATGTATATCAAGGTGCGACCTAGCTCCTTCAGGGTCTTAGAAACTAATGGGACTCCAGGAAGACCTGATCATTCCTCATGTTCGTATGCTATCAACCATTCCTCAGCCTTCTCATCCATCTACTACAGCACTACACTTTCTATGATTTCATTATCAATAAGGCCCGGGGCAAGTCGGGACCTTTATTCAATTTCGACGTCCATGATGATGTCCGCCTACTCTCGGACGCGACAGTTGAGAAGGATGAGTCCCATGCTGGAAAGGTTGTGGAACGGAGCTACTACCAACGCAATAAACATATTTTCCCCGCATCACGTTGGGAGGTAATCCGTCCTTACCCTCCTTTCAGTAGTTTATTGACTATCATTCCATGCAGGTCTTCGACCCGGAGAAGAACTATGGCAAGTACACGATTGCTTGACGCATAAATAGATACGGTTCGATTAGTCGTCTCCTACGGGTACTTCTTCCTCGAGGTATTTTATCAATTTCACGCGTATTTCGGTTGTTTCGTCTCCGCGTAAGACGTCCGATATAAACTCAGCTTGGACCTGCATCTGAACCTGCAAAATGGGCGATTAGAAGCCGAGGATATGGTTATGGGTAACCCACCATCTCCAAAGCACCGCGTATGACCCCACAAAGCACGTTGCTGAACCAAAGACCACCCTCCAATGTTTCCTCGGGAAGCTCTACGAATTCCGCCAAGGGATTCTCGTCTAATGTGAGAGTAAACGACGATCCTGCACTTGTTTGCATTGGACCAGTGCTTGCTGGTCGGCCAGGAGAAGGCGGTGGTTGTTGTATGCTATGGTTCACTGCCGGTGTAATGTTTAGAAACGATTTGAAGCCGACCTATCTCTGATAATTAGCAACTGACAGTCAGAGCAACGAACGATACACGCACCTTTGCGACCACCTCGCCAACCTCACGAAAGTCCGCACAGCGACCGATACCACTCTTTGCCAGGAAATCCTCTATCAGTCGCGTCCCGATGTTGTAGCCCATCTTTTCCAGCTGCTTGTTGACCTCGGCGTAGTCTTCGTAGTCTTGGATTAGCTGGACGACCAGCGCGCCATAAGTCAAGGCGAACAATTCCGCATTCTATGCAAGATAACCATGAAGACAAGCTCGGATATTGTTGGGCGGGGACACCCACTACTTTCTCCGGTCGACTTTTCCAGAGGTCCTCGCCGATGCCTTTATATTGCTTCGACATGGCGGTGATCGTCAAGTTGCTTCGCGTGCCAAATCAGGTCTGACAAGTTTTTCCCCAACACCATCATGTCCCGACCAGAGCTCATCGCGCCGCCAGAAATTGTACGCCCTAGCTGGCCAAACACCTAGATGTTGAGCTTTTGCAGTATTATGGCGACTCCGAGGCCAAAAAGTACACCCAAAAGTAGGTCATCCCAGAAAATTGTCTGCTCGATGTCGAAACGAATGGCAGCACTCGCAATCAGCAAATACAAGCGGACATGACTTATCGCGCCCTGGAACTGTTAAATCTTCCCCCTGATGAACCTGCCTATCTGCTGGACATCGGATGCGGCTCTGGTCTGTCTGGTGAAATCTTAGACGAGGAGGGTTATGTCTGGGCTGGCGTCGACATCGCACCCAGCATGCTTGGTATATATATACTCTTTCCTTGCTGCTGGCCTGACCGTTTGGAAGAGGTCGCACTCGAACGGGAAGTGGAAGGAGACCTGTTTCTACAAGATATTGGCCAAGGATTTGGCTTCCGTCCAGGCAGCTTTGACGGGGCCATCAGCATATCAGTATTGCAATGGCTGCTGAACGCGGAAACCTCCCATCCAACGTCTTCACCGCCTCACCGACTAGCCCGATTCTTCCAAACCCTCCATTCTGCGCTGCGAAATCCATCGCGCGCCGTCTTCCAATTCTATCCATCGTCAGACGACCAAATACAACTCATTACATCCATTGCTCAGAAGGCCGGCTTTGGAGGTGGTATCGTGGTTGACTACCCGAATTCTAAAAAAGCCAAAAAGGTGTTTTTGTGTTTGTTTGTTGGCGGAGGTGGAGGTGGTACATCACTGCCTCAGGGCTTGGACGGGGAGGAGGTTGATGATGGCGGAAAGGCGCGGTTCGAGAGGAGAAGGGAACGCGAAAAAACCAAGAATGGTAAACGGAAAAACATCAAGGATCGAGATTGGATCCTCAAAAAGAAAGAGGTTTGTTTGGCGTGTTTGCGCTGGGTCAAAGGTTGACTCTTGGACAGTTGTACCGGAAACGAGGCAAAGAAGGCGTTCCAAACGACTCAAAGTTTACGGGTCGCAAGCGACGCGCCGTGTTTTAATTATATTATACGGTCTTTTTCTACAGATTTCGTTTTTCATGCGTGAAACAAGTCCCCGAGGAGCGAAACCGCTTCGTTCGCTGGATTCCGAATGAAGTGACCTTGCAGAGCGGCCATGCTGACCTTCCGACCTTGTTCTTGATTTTTTTGAACAACTTCTTCGACCTGGTGTGCCAGTCTAGCAAACTCATCAACAGGGAGATCAATTCCGCTGTAAAAGTTTTCAAAAAGCGTGCGCGCTTGTTGAGACGACGCATCATCGACTAGAGCCATGAAATCGACTCTGCCTGGGCGAATCAGAGCAGGATCTAATTTGTCAACGTGATTGGTCGTCATAAACACGATTCGCTCTTCCCCGGAGGCGACACCATCTAGTGCATTTAAAAATCCAGAGAACGTGATGGAGGATTGGTATCTAAGGGGCGGAAATGAGTGTCAAATCTAGAGTCGAGTAAGAAGAGACGATACCCGTCGGCAGTGGTCTGGACACGCTTATTGAAAGCTGCATCAATGTCCTCGATAAGAACAAAGCTGCGCTCGGGTACATTAGACAGAAGATGGTTCAGCTTGTCATCGGCCAAGCCTCGTTCGGAAAGGTTGACGATACAGATATCGTATGATAACGAGCCAGCCAATGCCTGAATGAACGAAGTTTTCCCGGACCCAGGCGGGCCATGAAGAAGATAGGCACGTCGATATGGCACACCGCGGTCAGCATACCACTGCCGTCGTCCGAGAAAAGACTTGATGTCTTGCTCGATCTTCTCACCCAGCCCGGACTCTAAGACTACACTCTTTAGCGGGCGTTTACGGCGTGGTTTGCCAAATGGACGCCACTCGATTCCCCAGGCGGTGTGGATCACAAGTTTGCCTTCCTGACCACGCATACCTAGATCACGTGCCTCCGCGAGTAGCTGAGGAAACAACGTTCGGTCGCGAGACAGTGTGGTTAATGTAACGGTTTCCCAAGGGACAGACATGCCCGTTTGCTGGCCGCCCATCATGGAACGCGTCTCTCGCTGTCGTTTAACCTTTTTTATATGATAAATGAGCAGCAGAAATGGAAGACGGGTTGTAACCAACCTGCATCCACGCGCCTTTGTATTTGAACCAATGAGTGCCAGGACCAGCGACAAGCTGAAAAAAGACAGAAGAGCTGCCGTTGGGACGGCGTTCAATCATGGTGGCAACGCTTAGCTCGTGACTGCGAATCCACCTAGCAGCACGCGTCGGAATGTTGGGATTCGTCCGATGCGCCATCCAGGCCAGAAACCACTCATAAGCGCGGTCTCGGTTGTCGATTTCAAGAGAAACAAGCATCCGCCTCCGGAGAGCGGTTGCTGCCCAGATAGATCCAGTCCGGGCAAGCGTCATTGCCGCGCCAACGCCCTTTTTGAGAAATAGTTCAATTCATGGATAGTTTGGACAAGACACGGAGAAGGCACCAAGAGACCGAAACCAGCCTGAAAGTATGGGCTACGTAAGAGTTGAGAGCACAAAAAACTTGAACAAGACTTGAAATACTTGTCTGCAGCAAAACCAAGCAACGCGTCTGATGAAGGCATTTTAGTAAAAGGGAGCGTGACAAATGTGACAAGCGCGACAAACGCGATTTCTTGTTCATGCAGCTACAAGAGGCGTATGAAACCCTGGGACTTGAGCCTGTGAGCCGCTCCCTTTTCAACTGCTTCCCGAGTAATCTAATCTGTCTAGGGCTCCTCGCTCGACCTTGTCAAGAGCACGTACAAACAGGTCTGTAGCAACTTCTTTGTTCCATTCACTGTGTTCTTGAGCCAGTAGGTGGCCTTGCGGACCCACCCCGACAAGAATCCCGACAATCCAGATGCCACTGCCAAATTTCAGAAAGTGGGGGAGGCCTATAACGTGCTCTTGAAAAAGCTCGACCCTGCTGCCGAGGATTCTGACGACGATTATTATGATGAATTCTATGAAGAGGAAGAGGAGTTGGCCTTTTATATGCAAATAATTTCGGTGCTCTCTTTCCCGCCAAGTTGATTTTTCTTGCAGGTTTCTATTCGAGGAAATGATGAGGGGCCGTGCGAGTCGACACGCTCACATGCACTTCCGAAACCGGGAATACGATTTTGAAGAGAGAAGAGAAACGCCAGAGGAATACGCGGAACGCCTGCAACGCTCTAGACAAGACCAGATTGAAGCCCAGCAACGTCGTCAGAGAGAAGCAGCTGCTAAAAGGGCACAAGCAGAGATGGATCGTGAGAGAGGTGCGGGGTAGTGATATCAAAATTGACGCGTCAAACTAATTCTGGTTTCTAGAGCGGGAAGCAGCTGAGAAACGTCAGACCGCGAAGAAACAGGCTAAGAAGGCGCAAGCACAAGCAGATCGCACCAAAGCTCAAGCCACCGCTCGGTCAACGCAACAACTCGAACAGGCCAAACGGAGTGCTGTGTTCGCCTCCGCTCGCGCGGGAAGGAGCGAGGAAGTGAAGAAAGGTGTTTGGGAGGACAATGTTGATGCTGCGGGCGGAGAGGTCAAAGCGGGCTGTGACCAGTTTGTCAAGGCGATACCTCAAGATCGTAAAGAAACTCTGCTGCATATCACGGCTCGGAACGGAGATAAAGAATTGGTTGAATGGCTTGACGCCCACAGTAAGTCGTGTTTACCGTGTGTAGATTTCATCTCTTACGTGGACTGTTTCAGGTGCGGAGCCTGAAGAACGGGATTCCAAGACATATACGGCATTTCATTCTGCTCTCGAGTCCGGTCATATTGCTGTGGTCGAGTACTTCTTCCAAACACACGACCACAAAGACTCGGCCACTATCTATGATCCTCCTGAATCGAAAACGCTGCTCTCACTCGCAGTCAACTCGCATGAGCCTGAGCTAGTTTGGATGATTCTCGACAAAGGTTTGGCGACCCAGGTGGAAATTAACGAATCTTGGACATGGATCACATCAAGTGGCGGTCGATCTTCAATGAAGAACCACCCCAGGGCTAACGAAAGCCAATTTGAAGACATTCTGAAGCTACTCATGCGCTACGGAGGATTTACCCCGCCTTCAACCCCAAGTAATAGTGGCCATTGGGATGAACAGCCAGAAACACCGACAACTCCGAAATCCAAAGGCAATCGAGGCAGGGGTAGAGGTCGTGGGCGTGGGCGCGGTCGTGGACGTGGAAACTGAACATTCTCCTTGCCTTTCTTGTCTAATTTACACTACTTTGTCTTCTACTGTACCATACACTACTCATTCAATTTAGCCTGACGCAAGCGTGACCGTTTCACCATCACTCGTTTCTTGACCAACATGGGTCGTCTCGCGGAAATGCAACGCAAGCTCTTAGAGGTTGGCTAGGCTCTCAATGACCCTGTGCAGAATTTCATGACTTTCCAGCAAATGATGGGTCCAGAGGCAATGGGTGTCGCCAATGCAAATTTGGTTTGGAGTGACGACAAAGTGTGTCGCAACTTTCTTTGCGGTACCTGCCCACATACGCTGTTCACCAATACAGTGCGTCTTCTTTGCTCCCCTGTTTATACGTCTAACGCATCTGTCCTAGAAAATGGATCTGGGAGCATGTCCCAAATCGCACACTGAACGACTAAAGGCGGATTATAACGAAGCGAAAAGCAAGGACCCGAACGACCCAATACACGCGCGGTTCCAGTTGGAGTATGAGTCAAACATATTTTCGTTTGTAGACGAATGCGACCGTCGGATCCGTGCAGCTCATCGGAGATTGGAGAAGACCCCAGAAGAGAATGCAAAGACAACAAACTTGGTAAGGATGACAAGTATTCCACGCTGGCGCTGATCCTCTCTCACGCCAGATGAGGGAAATCGGTGAGATTGAACTGGCTATCCAAGGTGGAACAGAGAAGATTGAGCAACTGGGTCCGCCTTTTCGAACTGATGCATAATGAAGCTGAATTGCTGTTGTAGGTGAACAGGGAAAAGTGGAGGAGTCAATGCGAGAAATGGCTGCGATTGAGGCGCTAAAAAACGAGAAGGCAGACAAGGAGGTACGGAGGCAGTATACCCAAGTTAAGACGCGGAAAGACTGACTGTGAACAGCGAGAGCTACAGCAACTCACTGATACTTCAGGGGCTTCTGGTCACCAAAAATTGCGTGTCTGTGATGTTTGTGGCGCGTACCTCTCTGTGTTGGACTCGGACCGTCGTTTGGCAGATCATTTTGGAGGCAAGGTCAGCCACTATTCTATATCAGGCGAACATCTGACTCAAACGACATCGTGTTCAGATGCATCTAGGGTACCACGAGTTACGCAACATGCTGCAGAAGTTTAGGGAAGAACGGGAAAAGGCCAAAGCGGCTGGCGTGAGTGCACCTTCAACAGCGCAAGCCAGCAGCAACGGTCGAGAACGGGGCGGGAGAGATGAAGGCCGAGGAGGGTATGATCGTCACTCAAGTTCACGGTATGAGTGAGTGCCTTTTTTTGTGAATGATCTGCCTTTGTTGCTGACACAATGAGTAGTGACCGACGACGAGAGCGATCTCGGTCTCCAGCTGGACGGAGTTCCCGTCGATATTGAGGACATATTTGATACTTAGCTAGCAACTAAACCTGTGTAGTGTAGCTCAACTACCAACTTTGTCGTCATTCAGGAAAGCGTGTGACACTTGTATTCTTGCACTTTCCTTCTTGCTCTCACTTGGCTTTCTCGTTCTTTGCTTCTCGGTTGTTTTCTGGCCAACGCTGTATGTTTGTGTACCCTTACCCCCGTGGGTATGCTGCTCATGAATCTACAGCTGGTGAATCGATCTATCTGGGTTTGAACCCCGATGGACACTTACGACCCAATAACTACTATGCCCATGATGGAGACTTCCCCAGTCTCTACTGAATCGACCCAGTTTCTACAAACCCTACCCGTGTTTACCGATCCACTCACGATGCAGACACCGCCAATGATGCCCCCAGTCTCATATATGCCAGCCACCGCACCGCCAACGTTCACCGACTACCCTCAATATCAAATGATGGACCAGACAGTCGACGTTATCCCTCACCAATCTTCGTTTGGGGTCAATACTTCCTCGTCCCTGGCCTCAGCACTCGACCCAGCCGCGGTAGTCCCTACAGCAGCAGCACGCTGTCGTGCTAACACGCTTTCCGCTCTTCCGTTTGTCCCATCTCCTACCCTTTTTGGCGATGCGTCGGTTAAACAGGAAGAGCATCCGAAAGAGCGAGTGGTCGGCAACATGCTCAGGAAGTGAGTTGCAAATTGATTCCATGTTCCGTCGTTTATTCAACCATTCTTCGCCAGTATCGCTCAGGTAATGAAGACTGCTGGCGACGCCTGTCACCAAAACCAGGCGGCACGACCTATCACCCCCGGCGACGAACAAAAAACTCGACAAGTAATAGCGCAGATTAACGACCTTATCCATGGCATGGGGCTTCCCACAATACCGACAACTCCTGCAGAACCCTCGCGCAACCTGAAACGTCATGCCGGAGAAATACCTGCTGAGCAACCTCCGGTTAAGAAGATTCTAAAGCCAGAACCAGAAGACATCAACCTTTCTATGTTGCCGATCACGCCGTCAGCAACCGTGACTTATGCTCGAGCTCATCTTGGCCCTTCCTCCAAGTCGCAGCCCCCGTCCAGGCCTCCTACTCCACCTCTGAACGTAAGGCCTGTCCCTTCCAATGCTCGGCCACCTCCCTTTCCGCCATTCAACATTCCCAACCCAGTATTCGATGCAGCAGCTCACCGTTTTGGCCACTCAAATCGCCACCACAATCATTCCCGCTCTATGGGGTCTATCCCCCGTGAGGCTAATGGCTTCAACGCCGCCTCAGCACCTGCTGGTCGGATGGCCCGTAACGGCTATTTTGCCCCAGAACACAGCTGGAAGGGTCTCCCGCCAAAATCAGCACCCACGCTCCCTACATTCCCATATACCGCAACCATGGAGGTTATGCCTCCCGTTCCAGCCCTACCTCCTGCATCTGAACCCGTCGATGAAGAAGACGAAGATGGAGACAATGCAGATGGCGATGAGATCGACACATTCTCACCGTCGGGTAGCTCTCAACATTCGGTGAAGGGTTTCTTTGCAATGTCTCCAACGTTTTCTGACTAATGCTATCCGCAGTATTCCGAAACTACGCCCGTTTCAGACATACCGTCAGAATACCGAGCCGAAGTCGACCGGTTGTTCAAAGCGTATTTAAACCGCATTTGCTCTAATTGCAAGTCTCTCGTTATCAGCCAACTATTGCGACGCTTATTCCATTTGATAGTGGATGCAACCGACAACAAAGGCGACCCGATCCACCAGCAGCTGATGGCCAAGGCAAGTGCTGAATTAGGCCAGATATCGCATCTGAAATCTCATCTAAATCTAGAAAATGCAGAAACTGGACGAATCGACTGATTTCCGTCCTTTTAAGTTTCGGATACAGGCCTTCACGGCCGCATTCCTGGAGATGGCACGTGGCGCTTCTTGTTTAGGCGGACAATTGCTCATCGTCATCATAGCTCGCTGAAAACGGTTATCCCGAAGAAAAGATTCCGATGAAAAAGGCAAGTCAGCTGGCACGGTAGCATCCGCAACTGTTTAACGGCGTCAGGTTCGGAACTATCTGTGGCGGCAGCCTTTGATTTTGCGCTTCAACGAGGACGGCAAGAAGGCAAAATCGAAGGGTAACCATATTTGGAACGTTGACGCGAAGAAGACTGTTGACGGATGGGAGTTTCGTCCGTTCGTTCGTAAAATCGCTGGACTTCCTCCGCCCGTCGCCTATCCAAGCATACCTTGGATATGGAAACCGCGTATTTGGGATCCGCAGGCCAGCTGGACCAACATACCCGTCTACTACAGCTCACCATCCCTTCCGCCCTGGTTACAATGGCGAGACGATATCCTGTCGGGAACACCGCCCCCGAACGCCGAGAGTTGCGAGATCGTCACGCATGCTCAGGCACGTGCCTGGTCCATATTTTTTACTAATCTTGTGATTCACCTCTGTGCAGTTCTCGCTCGAGGGGCAGGATGCAATGTTGACGCGTACGTTTTTCTTGACGATTGCACCTTCCGCGAATACTCTAGTGGACCCTCCTTTCCCTGCTCGCCCGCTTATCGCTCCTCACCGGGCCGTGAGCGATCCGACACTCCCTGCGTGGTTCGTCTTTATCTTTCGACCTAGCAACATCTTGACTAACATTCATGTTCCAGGTCGACTCCTCATGCTGTACAGCCCGTGACTGACGAGGAGGACGAGGCGCGTGTAAAGTCGGTTCTTGAGCAGGTCGCAGAGCGGCTAACCCAAGAGACACAACCACCCGGCCATCTGGGTGTACAGAAAATGTTTGTTGAACAAACAGTCAACGCTTGTTTAGATGACTGCGAAGACGCCGAAAAGGAGCCCGAAGGAAGTCATGAACTTGCTGTTGCCGGCCAAAAAATTGTCGCCCAAGCTGCAGAGTATATTGTACGCAAACAATCGTTGCCAATGGCTTTGACGATTCCGCCCAACACTTCGGTCTTGCAAAACGTCGACACCAACACCCTGGTCGAGACCACGAAAGGCACGTCTGACGGTTGTTAACTTGATATTCTGACCTGATACTTGGGAGTACAGATGTCATTGCCGAAGCAGTCAAAGAGACAACTCAGACCAAGGCCACTACGGAAATCGACGAACTTTCTGTGCTCTTGATAGCGTGTCGGATGCTTGATTCAGCTTTGTTACGACCCCCCTCACAGCCACAGCCCCAGCCTCGCTGGCGTGAAACCATGCCTATCGGCTCTTTGCCCGACTGGTACGTTGAGCAATATGTGTAAACTCTTTTTCTTTGGAATTAGGTAGTGTGTGGACAACGGACCTCTCACTTTTTTTTCTTTGGGACTTTTGTGGGCTAGAAAGTCGCAGAATGTATCTCGTTTTCTTGTATAACCCTCGACAAATTTGTATTGTAATTAGTCAGCCACGAATGTAACCTCAATCAAAAGGCGTTTCGCAAGCGTCGCAAGCCAACAAATCGGTTCCGTTCTCCAAAGTGCATATTCTACAGATCTTGACCGCTGGGGCGAGCTGTTCGTCTGGAGGGCTAGACGACCTCGTGGCATTCGTTCGCCCGAGTAATGTACCTCCGAAACCGGCAGCCTCTTCGGTTTTCCTCTTCTTCTTTGGTGCTTCTTCTGAATCAGAAATTTCATAAACCTCGTTTTCCTGCTTGAGCTGGAGGATTGAGTGGGCAAGGACATTAATCGAGGCGGCCGTCGCTGAGTTATCTGACAGTTCTTCGTCGCGATAGAACAGACGCTGGCATATCGTCGGAATCTTCAGCTCCTTTTGAACCTATATTCGCGGGTGGTGTTGAGACTTGCAAATGACAAGGCAAATTTGACGCGCTCACGTGAACTTTGATGTCCTTGATCGTGGTTGTTTTCAGAATCTTCATCTTGGTCCGACTGGTGCTTTCTTTCGCGAGCCGGAGACGAGTTGACTGCCGTGGGCCGCCATAGAAGTTAGCAGCCTTCTTCTCTCCGGTTGTAGGCTCCTTCTGTTCAGATTGTATGGTAATCTCCGTTTCAAGCCATTCCGTCTGGCGGCGTTGGCGACACCCGGTGCAGACGGGTATCGGGTGAGTAAATGAGCGCTGAGATTTCTGGATCTCGATTAAAGGGCCTCCAGAGTATCTGGCAGTGATCGTCAGCAGAAGCCTCCCCAAGAAGAACAAAAGACATGTGCAAAGAAGTAGTACATTTGTTCGAGGTGGTCCCAGTCCGACTTCTTGATTACGGCAAGAGCTCCCCTCCAGTCAGCTTCGCAATTAGGATCGACCGCGAGCAGATTATGTTCACAGAAGAATGACTTGTTGTCGATACGATCGGGTCGAAGATTTTCAGATGGGCGGCTTACCCACGCTCGCCAGGCTTGGAGGAAGTCCGCCGGAGCCAGGGCGCATGAAACATCGTCCAAAGAGGCTTGGTATGAGCTTGCGTCGTCATACAAGGCCTTGAGCCTGGCCTGTCTCGTTATTCGATTACCTATCAACCAACCAACTGGACTAGGACTAACCTTTTCTTCCTCCGCACGTCGTCGGACTTGCTGTCGTTCTTCTGCACCCATATTTACAAGACTGTCGCAAACCAAGCACGACTCCAACTCGTCAGACAGCGGCTTCCAAGAAGGATATAGCGTTTGCAGCAATTCAACACCACGCCGCGATATCCTGCACCGTTGTGTGGTGTTGAGAGCAAGCCCACCATGCTCGCATTGAACGTGGCCCAAGTAATCGTCTGATCCGGGCGACGGATCACCCGTCGGGGTCGTCATTTTTGGTCTATTCAGCCTCCAGTCTTTCAGCCATGGCTTGGATATCCAATAGCTAACTTGAAGTGGTACCGGCTGGCATACCTCATCAAACTCTATTACTTGTTGGGGATGTTGCTTTGCATAGAGTTTGACTGAAAACGTTGTTCAGCGATCCAGGTAGAAACTAAAAATATACCATGGAATGTTTCTTCTACGCACTCTCGACATACGTCTTCCAACGTAAGCTCTGGCTCAATAACGCAGTTCAACTTCTTCATTTTGTCGTATGCATCCTGCGGCACATCAGTTGTTAGAATTTTCGTGTGGAGGGCGGCGCCTTACTCTACCGATGCGTTTCATTGACAGCGACTTCTTTGGATCGTATCGACCATGAACACAGATAACATCGTCTAGAGCAAGACGTTGTGGTTCCGTGGCATCAATGGCCAGAGTGGATTTGATGACGGCTGTTTGCAGGAACTCTTCCAAAGTTTTCTGACCAACGATAACGAAATCCTAAGTAGACACTTCAAAACAACGAGTATTTGAATGTGATGGAGAAAACCTTTTGATTTGCTGTGACAGACCACTGTCGGTATATATCCAGGACTTGAGTCCTCGTTCGTTGGTAGGCCGCGATAGTTTCTTGTTCCTTTGCGGCATAGGTGGCACAAGCGCGCTGATGAGCGGCATTCAGCTCATCGACAGCACTGAGAGCACGAGATGGAGGCTCGGGGACTAGAAAATCATAAGTCTTTTAGTCATGAAAAGTATCCTGTACGAGCCACCTTGTACAGAAGGACATGACTCCCGCCGAGCATAGATGAGCATATATGCATCCTTGGACGAAATACGACTGCGACATCAGTAGAAATAAAGGGAGACGGACAGTAAAAGTGCCTACTTCTCCGCATCCAATGTTGTTTGTCTAAGAAATACTAAGCATAAACATCATAAATCTCGGGAGACAGACCGCTCATCGTCGCTGTCGTCAATGCGCTGTCGCTTGCGCTTATTTTCACGCTGCTTTTTGCGGCTAGTGCTACGATGAGACAACAGGAAACAGCTTGAAACGGGAACTCACTTTTCATCGTCATCTACATCGATGATTGCTTCCTTCGCAGGAGGTTTGTCGCCTAATTTCTTGATCCTACTCACAACCTCGTCGTTGAATTGAAACCAGGAGCTCGAGCTACGGAATAAGGATAAACATGAATCAGAATGAGAAAGTAGTCCACCGACGTTACGTCATGAATTTGTGCCTCGTAGTGACCGTGATATGCCGATTTTCCTTTGTGCAGTAGGACGCCTCGTAATTCGTAGATATTAGAATCGGCCTTTGTCGACACATCCGCTGTTTTGCCGAGAAAGGGTGTCATGTCCAGGACTTGGGGGAACGTAATCACATTTTTGGACTTGACGCGCTCCATGGTGTCCAAGTTGTACGAAAACCGTTGCAAAGAGAAATGGATAACTGGTGGGAGGGACGCGAGCTCCGTATAGCGAGTTGCGTCCTGTAGGCCACCACACGTCGAGCAAGAATATCTGAAACAACTTGAGACCCTCGACTTGGTGAACCAGAAGGCACTTACTGATTGTCGCCCGACATCAGCTCTTCTCGCAACGAGTTTGAGATACCATCTTCAAGCTTCGTGTTGTTCTAGAAGATGTTGAGCTTGAGAGAGTTGCTTCGGTAGGAGCGTGGATCCTACCTTGAAGTTGATCTCTATTTCCAAAAAATCAGAATCTTTCGGACTATCGTTGCCGCATTTAGAACAAATTATCCCATAGACCTGGCTACAATATAAGCATAGCCCGGACCGAATTATATTCAAAACTGACCCGTTTTCCCTGAAACTATCCTGCAATCAAGGCCGAGGCGATCATTGGCTTATTCTTCCACATACCTGGTCCGTAATCAATGTCTTGAGAACAGGGTTAGATTGTTTTTGGAACTCAGTATCCAGATGTGAAAGGAAGAGTTTGGAAAACTCTTGAGCGTCCTGTTGTTCTGTCGTCTTTAGCTCAAGGGCTTCTACCAGCTTCTCGGGGTTGAACACATCTTGCGCGATGCATTGCAACGCCGCAAATGTGATTTGTAGCTGGAAAATGGGAGATTTCTGAGCATTTGGTCAGATCATTCACTAGTTCACGTTAGACAATAGTTACCTCAAAATTTCCCTCTGGCGGCTCGCAGTCGAACACGCCTCTCCGAAAGGCAAGATCTCGAAACCAGACCTGACATTGATGCATCGTTAGCCAGGGCCACACGTTTCAGAAGAGTGCACCTGTAGCGATGCGTTCGCATAACAAGTGGCACCAAGATTCTGGAGCAACGGTCCAGTTGAAGGAACTGACAACCATACTAAACGATACCTTCAAACCAACTGGTACACCGTTCTTCCTATCGTCTTCTGTAGGGTCGCGACCAAGATTTGCGACCTCGAGGAACATCTCACGCGCGTCAGCCTCAGATTCCCATTGTTTTTGGCCCTCGATGTAGTTGAGACAATTGGGATTGGTCTTGCACGAGCGCTTTGAACACTGCAGGTCGTCGTCGTCGTCGGAAATAACAATAATGTCCTCATCATTCGGCGGCGCCTCCTTCAGTCGCGGAGAGTACTTATTGCGACAGAAGCGGTGTGTATTCAGGGCAGACATGCCGCAGGTTGCGAGCAGATGGTCGTTGGTTATTTCAGAGACAGTCTTTGCCTCAGAAAGCACCCAGCCCCACGAAGTCGAGGCTGTGGTATGGGTTGTACGCTGGAGCATTTCTCCTGGATTCAGCCCCTTTGAAGACGCGTCGCGTTTGCGTTTAGTTGCCGTCATGGTGGATAAAAGGGAAATCAGGGTTGGGTCAATCGAACGCGTGACACGGCGTGTACTACTAATTCCTGCTCTTCAATGGACCGTATTCGGACTCGACTACGGGCTATATTCCGACCAGAGGGCGACCAGAGCCTGCTGCGATTACAACGCCGAAGGAAACTGGTGTCTGCACTCACGCAACGCGTGGACCTGATCAAGTTAGCATACTCTTGCTGCCTTGTCTTCTCCCCCAACTTGTTTGGTATAGATGGTCGTTTTTCCTCGTGGGCTACTTGTGGATGCTTGCGCTACCCTCTCAGCAGCTGGGTAGGGGTATATATATCGACGAAAATGCTCTACAGCCTGGGCAGGTTCGCATTCACCTCATTTCACTCCAAGCATTTTCTTGATATGAGCCTTCTAGGTCAATACATACTGGAATTGGGGTGATGTCGCAGCTGCAGACCGCTACTTAGAGCAATTAGAAGGACTACGAGACGCTAATGCAAGCAGCCATTTGTGCGCCCCCTCGCCGCACTTCCCGTTCCATGCTGAAACATTTCTAGACGCGCTTCCACTCTGGCTGCAGAATTCATGAAACTCGGCATACCGGCCTCCACTCAGAATTATCGCTTCTCCTCCAGTGTCGGTGTACGTCCGGCTTGATACCGCCCTTCATTGTGGTGTTTTAATCTTGCGGATAGACGGTGGAGGGAACCAACGCCTATGCTATCATCTCCTCCCCACGTACTTCTGGCACTGAAGCTATGGTCATAAGCGCTTCTTGGGTCAGCAGAATAGACGAAGCTAATGGGGCACTCAATCTCAGAGGCGTTTCAACTGTGCTTGCTCTCGCTGGGTTTCTCAAAAGTGCGCATGCCTGTAGTTGTATGGGATAACTTCTGACAGAGTACAGAATACTCATTGTGGGCGAAAGACATCGTTTTCGTAGTGAGCGATGGCCATATGGATGGAATGCAGGCATGGCTTAACGCATATCATGGGAGAACACAATCAAGTAACTCGCAATTCTACTTCCCTTTCATTCCTTGTTAACACGCTTGGTCAACAGACCTCGAAGCTGACGAGCTGGAGCTGACTTCGGGGGTGATATGGACTGCTCTCAATATCGATTACCCAGGTCATTCTTTCTCGCATCTTGGGATCTTCCATGGTGAGCAGATCTACACCATTTCTGCTATTTTCCAACTATAATTCATCCAAGAGGGTATCAACGGGCGACTACCAAATCAAGATCTTCTCAATTCGCTCACTTGGATTGCCAGATGGACCGTTCCTGTCATTATCTACGACCACCTTGAGACCCCCCGACTCCAAATCCCGTCCTGGATGCCCAACTCACTCCGCGATGAAATCCGTACCTATGACTATCGCTCCAGAAATGTATTGCGACATGTTAAGCATCAGGCGCGTGGTCGAGGTAGCGGCGTTCATGGGTTATTCCACCAGTAAGACTGCGCTTTCTTCCATATTTGTGTGTCCAATGCATCTTAGATTCCGTATCGACGCATTTACCATGTTCGCATTGCCCGCAACCGGGCCTCACGGGTTTCACGCTCTCGGCCACATAATAGAATCCACCCTTCGCACAACCAACAACCTCCTTGAGCGTCTTCATGCCTCGATATTTTTCTATATCCTTACCGCGTCGGAGCACTTTCTCAAAATCGGAAGTTACCTTCCAAGCGCCATCATGATTAGTGTTGCGATGATGTTTAGCGGACTGAAAGTTTGGTCTGACTCCGCCTGGGTTATGAGCTCGGACGAAAAGGGCAGCACGTGGATCCAGCGTCGGCGGCCTGTCCTCCCGGTGCTCGTCATAATGTTCTCGACGCATATTCTTGGATGCTCTGTTTTCGCATTGACCAAGACCTCCTGGTTCATCAACAACTTGAAGGTAATTTGTGTTTTCTTCGTCGCATGTTTTCGCTGACAACGAATTTAGACCTCATCCGCAATAATACTTGCCTTGTGTGGCACGCTCCCTCTCAGTGCCCTTTTCGTGCCGAAACAGAACCCGCATACTGTTGCCCCGATGTCCCAATTACTGAAGGCCCTCAACCTGTGTTTTGCCTCCACCGTTATCTCAATCACCACCGTTGTCAACTTCTCCCTCGCGGCAACTCTGGCGATTTTATTAGGCATCCCATTGACTGTATCCCTATCTTCTTCCCTCCTCCCCTTACGACTGGGCCAATATGGCGCATATTTGTCCCTCGCATTGGGCTGGTTATCAGCACAAGAAGAAATTCGAAGTGCACTCTGGGATTGGCAGATACTAGGAGTGTGGTTTGCCCCGTTTGTTTGCATTGTGTATACCCCCTTAGTGCTGCAAGCTGCCATTGCGTGCTTGTTGCCTGTGTAATAATACGGACTTACTTCACAATCACTTTGATTGTAGTCCTGGAGGGACCGCTGTGCAAGAACCGGACAGTACCACTACTTGAAAATATGAATCGTTCCCCCCATAGAATAGTATGGAAAAAGCGCCGTGCTCTTTTTACAGCGATCAATGCGTCTGCGTGCCAAACGTTGCTAGCCGCGGTGCACAAACAGAATAAGTGCGAGCAAGTACATCTAAGCCATGGGCATCTCAGTGTCTGAGCCAAACAAGTCTCCGTCCCCTTCAGGCTGGTCATCATCGTCGTCCTTTACTTGTGGATCGACATTGGCCATGCCCATTTCCATTTCCATCTGCATCTGCATATCCATGTTGTCTTCGTTCTCCGTGTCAAGCACCCCCTCTTGCTCCATTCGCTGTTGTTCACGTATTTCCTCTCGTTGGGCCTGCTTCATTGCCAAATCTGCGTTCAGCTTCTTCAATGCGTCTTCGAATCGTTTCTACGACCACAGTTAAAGTTATGTTCACATATATGAAAGATGAACTGACCTTGATCAGTGGGTTAGCTGAGCTGGCGATTTCGCTCCCTTTCTTCGTAATGGCAGCCTCGAGATCACGTATCTCCTCGTTAAGCAGCCTTATAGATTGAACAGCTTCATCATCATCATCGTCCTCCTCGTCGCTGTCGCTGTCATCGTCCTCCTCATCATCGCCATCACCTTCCTCATCGCCCAATGCGAGGTCAAGTTCTGCAGCGAGTTCTTCGTCAATGTCCCCTTCTTGCTCACTCCCACTTGAGTCGTCTTCCGCCGCCTCACCCATTCCACCAGAGTCAGATATCGCTGGAGTCGGCGCATCAATAGGATCCTCTCTTTCAATGAATTCCGAGTCAGATAGGTCGGGGTTTACATTTTCTAGTACATCTGTTGGAGGACAAGTCAGCCCCCTTGTATGGAATGATATCCAGAAGCTGACCATATTTGACTTCGGTGGCCAATGAATCTTCGTCTAGTAGGCGTTCCACCGCTTGTTCTACGCTTTCGATTGTCTACATCCTGGTTCAGGACACTTGATGAAACACTACCAGCAAACAAACCCTCTTGTTGACCCTCTTGCGAAACCGACGCTTTCGAACGTGATGCAAGGGTGGGGTCAGTCCATGGGGCCATATGAACTCCTCGATGTTGAAGTTCCTTTGCGGGGCAGCAGCCTCATCTTGGTCGAGTCGATTCTGCACAACGAGCATCTGGCAAATATCTGCGACCTTGAACATCTGCTTGTTGTCCAGTGTCTTCTGCGACTCTGTAATACACGGCAGATCAACGAGCTTTGCGGAATAAGTGTTGTTTCCAATGTGAAAAATCGCCCGACGCGAATCTAGGAGGGGTCAGCTATAAATACCAAGGGCACACTCATCACCTTTGAACTTGAACCATACATCGTTCGGCACCTCCCTTGACGCCACCATTTTGCGCAGTTTATCGCAATCCTCCCCCGGCGGCATCCGGAGAATAAAGTGCTCCTCAAAGGACAAGTCCTCGTCATCCGAGTCAAGTTCACGATCGTATGGGCCCAGAAATGACATCCCCGGGGCCATCTGCGCCGCCTTTTCGCCAAGCTTGAGCTTCAGTTTGGGCTGAGGCTTGGATCGCGAGCGGGTGGCGCGGTCGGTGGCTTCACTGGAGCTAGGCGTTATTGGCGCAGGCATTACGACGCGACTTGAGCTCCGTAATCGCGGAGTTGCGCCAGAAGTAGAAGAAGAATTTTCAGCCGAAGGTATTGGTGCAACCGGCAGAGGCACAGCCGCCGCAATGGGCTCATCGTCGACGACGATGAGGTCGTCCTCTACACTCGCCATCAGAAGTGTCACGTCACGTGCGCTTCTCTGATGTCCGCCACCAGGAAATTTCTGCAGCGCGAGTTGCTTGGACTACCGCGCTTCATCCGCCGACATGGACCACTGCCTGCGCCGAAGGCTGAAGACTCCCTTGTCCTCCCCAACCCGTTTCTCGCGTGGAAGAACCCTCAGACTGGGCGCTGGGCGCCACCAAAGTATTCTCTCCGCCAGCAGGCGGATATAATCAAGAAAGCGAAAGCGTCTGGGACCCTGCATTTTCTTCCGCCGAGTATTAAGCTCCCCCGACCTGAGCTCTTTGCACCAGAGCCCAGCCCTGAGCCCGCACCAGTAACGAAAGGGAAGGAGAAAGAAGTTGAGGATGCGATTGAAAGCGAGGAGGCGGAGGCAGAAACAGAGAGGGTGCAGAAACCACAAACAGGCCTTACCATTGAATGGGACCGCCGACCCAAAGAGCGGATTGTCCCCGGCGCGGATATTGGGACCCGTTTGTACGCCAAGAAGAAACAGATGTTCAAGGGCAGCAGTCTCGAGCGTGCGAAGCCACAGCGCCAATGGCGGACATGGGTACTATTGCGCGATATGCGCAAACGTATTCGGAGGTATCGTACTGTGAGTTTCGTTTTCCCCAGAGGACTTCATCTTACTTAAACACTCACAGCACTATGTCCACCGTAAACCCAACCCGCTCAAGCCTGTCCGTGGAACGCAAAAGAAACTCCCATACTAATTTTACATCAATACATCTCCTGTTTTGCACTGCTCAAAAGTCCCCAGTTCCCCTCACGCGAGCTATTGCGCCAGCGAATCCCTTAGCCCAGCTGAACTTACCTGGGTCAACACCAATAACATCAGCTGCTTGGTTTCCATTCTCGTCTGTCCAAATTCCAGTTGTCTTGTCGAGCATTCCATATAAATGTGTGCTCTGGTTACGCCGAAGGCCGTCAATCCACCCGCGACAAACTTCGGGACTTTCCAGCATCACGTTAATCTCCTGCGAGTGATACCATGACTGTGTGTCTGATATTGTGGTTAGTTGTGCAACGGTGGTACAAAACACTAACCTTGATTGCCATTCCCTTGAATTCCAATCCGCTCGTCCACAATCATCAGTTTAACATGGCAAGACCGCTTCTTCTTCTTGGCCACAATAGGTGCAGTTTGGTCTAAGTAATATGATCAAGCTCTAATAACTGGTTGCGAAGCGGGACTCACCATAACCGATATACCAATAATAATGGAGGTGTTGTCTACCCTTCTCAGACAGCGTCGAGTACATCTTGTGAGCAATCATCTCATTCGTGCCTCCCTGACCCGGCAGCAGCTCGCCCGTGTCATTATAACCCAAACAAATATAACAGAACACGTCAACACCGCGTTCGCAAGCATCGATAATAGCGGGGACAAGCGGGGCCGCATTCAAAGTGGGCGACTGGATGAACACGTTCTTTTTCGCATTTCGCAGCGCTGACAGCCAGACTTCGTTCTGGGGGTTGCACACTGACTCGTGGTTGGGTGTTCCGTATGGCGCGCGACAGACCAGCGCAATCGGAAATGGGTCACGTGTCGGGTGGGCGAGATATGGCGTGAACTCCTCCCCAGGCCCACGGTCGGGCGCCGTCCCCTTGAAGCCCGGATTCTTCGTGTGGTTGAGATGCGCAGTTACAGCCTCCATACGCGTGAGGCTTGGTTTAGGGGAAACAGCGGTCTGAACGCGTGCTATCTCGCCAGCAATGTCCACGTCGTAGTGTGGATCATTTGTGGTATGTTCTGGGAGTGGCGAGTCTTCCGGAGAAGGGTGGGCGATCTGTGCCTTTCCAATTGCTTGCACACCACATGCAAGCCATGCTTTTGTTGCCTCATCGGGCCCCTTGGATTTGCTTTGGGAGGCAGCTCCTGTGAAAATAAATCAGGAGGATCGCATCGACAGATGGCACAAACCAGACATATCAGCCTGCACGGCTTCATTCATTTGCGAGCTCGAAACCGGATGAACCACGCTTTCGACAGTGGTTGGCCCAGTCTCAGCATCTGTCCGATTCTCGTCACCTGCCGGGTCAGGCTCATCGTCAGACTCGGCGTCTTCGTTGCTGGGCATCAGCGGAGCAAGTGGCAGGTGCCATGAAATCAGTGCCATGTCATATAGAGACTCGACAATGGGTCCTTCGAGATGCTTGAAAGTTATGAGAAGGAGTTCTTTCTCGCGTAATGACGCACAATCATCATCTCGAGGTTATCGTTATCTTGGATGTTGTTGCTCTGCAAGAGCGCATACTTGCGATCCACAATCATATACTAACAAAAAAAGTCAGTTAGTGTATGAAGGGTGACTCGGAATCCTCCTACCTTGCAATGATAAGTTCCTAGTAAAGGCCTAGAGAGTTGATCAGAATCGCCGCAAGGGACTAGTACTGTTCACCCGCTTGTGGTAGTTGATGACTTGCAGGTCGATGTTGGGGATTTCTTCTGGTGAAGGAAGACCGACATTCTTTCCCGTGTACTCCTTTGGCGACACAACATAGTGCGGCTCGAACAATTGCTTGGGGCTACCTCGATCGTACTCCAACTTGACGATGACGCGCTTACCGCGCTCTCCCGCGCGCCGGGACAGCTCCCTCAACGCATTCGTGATGTACTTTGACGCGGTTGAGTTTTGCCAGTAGTTCGTGCAAAGGAAACACGAGCTTTCAGCGCGAACGAGTAAGTTGGACATATGGCGCATGATGTCTGGAACGCTTTTGAAACCCATCGGTCCCCAACTTGGCCCGTGAAATGACAACTCACACGGAGATGACAGACAGCGGAGCGGTCCCAGAGGAGCCCATGAGCGGGGGGCTGACCATACCACAGCCGATATCGTGTTCCAAAGCATTGAGGGCGTCGTGGTAAAGCGTCAGAAACAGGTCGCTGGGTTGAGTTTCGCCCCAGTTGCCACATTTCCTCGCTTGCTCGATGTCTTCTGCAGTTATCGGTTTATGCTGTTCACGAAGAGCAGAGCTTCCAATCGGGTGGTGGCCATAGAGCTTCTTCCACGCATCGCCAGGCGCCATTGACGGGTTTTGCTCGACCAACGACGAGACAGTATCTTTTCCTGTACAAAGGGCGTAAACTTTGGGAGGAATCATGGTGCTAGATGGCCGTAGGATGAGAGAGATTCGTTCAACATTTGAGTCTTGATATAGTTGCGGCCTGTGACGAAGTCGGAGGATGCAGATGACCGCATTTGTTCTATTTATAGCAAACTCCAGAGCAAAAATATGTGCACGATTAACGACTACTAAATATACAAAGCCCAATAGTAATTATATGCGTCATCCCGCCTCCCCAACCGCCAACCGCCCTCGTTTCAGCGCTGGGGGCATTGCTTTGAAGTTGAAGGTTTGTGAAGGCAATGCACTTCGAGGCGGGTCCTGGGAAGGTTGTGCAAGCTTCGAGCTTGCTGATGGTTGAGCTGACCGACTCCTTGATAGACTCGACCCCACTCGGTATTCCTCTGGCGGATGCACAGGAGAAACAGCTGAGATCATGCTCGGCGCCGGTGAGCCAGGCATTGGCGAGTATGAACGACCGTTGCCTGATGTTGATGTGTTCGTGGGTAGTGGTGAGAAAGAGGAGACATGCAGCAGAATCGCGAATTCTTCCGTCGAGTTAGTCAGTTTGACAAGGTTACTCCGTAGTGTTGCAGAGTGTGCGCCGCCATACTGCTTGATTACGTTGGACAGATGGACCACCGTCTAAAGAGCGGATTTAGAAGAATGAAACAAACAGTACGGATGATCAGCTCACCTTCAAAAACAGGTTTGAGTCTTCACGCAACACCTTTCGGTCTACGGGTAGTTCTGTCCCATCTTGCATTACTCGTGTAATTTCTGCCAACCGTCGCGTAACCGTCCTGGCCCTCTCCAAGCTCTCTCTCACTTCCGCATCCAACGCATCTCCCAAGGTCTCCTCTATCATATCCCAAACAGTCGGCGCGACCTCGACAGCGCTCTGGATCGCCTGCAGGGCCTCCTTGTCAACCTGAGTCTTCGATGAAGTCGGCAGCTCTAAATATGGTGCCTTTGACGGTATCGAAGGGGAAGACGATGCTGAAGCTGACGACGAGGAAGCGTATAGAGATGCTTGGGAGCCGTTCCGAGAATGGCTTTGCTGATTCCCACGCGAGGAGCCTTCTTGAGGAGACGCAGAAGAAACGGTGATTGTTCCAGCAAATGGAGCAGGCAGATGTCGCTTGTTTGCTCGGAGAGTTGGCGTCTGGGTGGCTACTCCGGCAACCACACCTCCAATCATTGGGGGAGGTTCATCATAGGACGGTAATTGCTTGCCAATTTCGATATCCTTGAAACTGAACGAGCCCGCATGTCGCCGTGCCATTCGCGTACGCCCAGTTCCCAGTCCGTTCTGTGATCGTAGAACAGGAGGAGGTGATTGGTCCGACGTGCCGAGATATTGTGATGGGTGGGCGTCAGGACTGCCATTTAACGGCGACGAAATCGGGAAAGCCTTGGGATGTAGCAAGGGTCGAATAGTTTCAATTTGTGGTTGCATCGATTGCCACGCATTTGCCACCTCCGCTGTCGCCCCGTATAACATGAGCAGCATGGAACGCAGATAGCGGACATCATCCGAGCCAGCAATGACCTTGAGTTGGAGCGACAATACTCCTACTGCTTTCCCGAACGATGCCACAGTATCACGACAACTCTCAACGACTCCTCTACATATTGTGTGGGAGGGTTGCATCTTTCGACTCATAGCGTCGAATTTATCCAACGCGTTGATGAATTGCATCATGTCTGTGCTTGCAGGGTCCAGCACTTTACGCAGGACAGTCTTCAATCTGTCGTCCGGGGCATGAATTGTGTAGTGTTCGAGGCTCTGATAAACTTGACACATGGCAAACAAGATGCTTCGTGCAGAATCCATCAAGCTGATGAGAGATTCTGGGAGGGTGCTGAAGATGGTTGACGCTGGGAGTTTCGACACGCGACGGAAATACGAGTTACGTTCAAAAGCCATGGAAGGTGCGGGGGCAGTTCTTGTTGGAGAAACCTGTATTGAATCCTTTGTAAATGACCGGACTGCAGCGGAAGAACTGCCAGACGAGTCCGAATCTTTGCGGAGCGATTGTGGTGAGGGAAACGAGTCTTCGTGGTTGTGCTTATTGGGGAGTTCGGGCATCTTCTTCAAGAAACTGAGTTTGGCTGTACGCAGGTCTGGCATGCTCTTCTTTCCACCAAGGGTAGGCCCACGATCACGAGCGCGGATTCCACTAGCATAAGAGGCATTGCGAGCATGAGCCGTTGGATCGGGGTTGGCGTTTCGCAGCGAATCGGTTCGCGGAGGATGGACAGGCTCGTCAAAGAATTTGTCAGAGTCTGCTGGGCTAGGAAGATAGCTTTCGAATGAATGAGTAGGAGATGTTTGGGGACTGAAAGATCCCAGCATGCCAAGATGTAAAGGAGGTGGTCGGTCGTCAAAAGATGGGCGCGTGTCTTCTTGGGCTGACTCGGATTCAGCCAATGAAGACGCGGAAAATGTCGAGTCGATCGAAAACGAGCGAGCATGTGGGGTCAAACCACCATCAAACTCCTTGTCCGTAACGGGTGTGAAATTGCTCCATGAGTTGTAACTGTCCTCACTAATAAGCTTTAATACTTCTCAGAGTAAAGCAAAGTTGACTGACATATTGTTCTCCAACTCTTGCTCGCTGAAACCCGAATCATCATGTATTCGTGGACGTGAGGTCTCGGCTTCTATCCACTTTTGCACGCTGCGAATCCAATCCCGCATTGCCTGGGGCGATTCGGGTTGCGTGACAACGGACTTCGGCGGCCAGTCGATAGGGTTGCGTTCGAGCTGTAGTACCTCCAGTTTGTAGAACTTGGAGATATAAATGGGGAGGCGGGTTAGCTTGTTGCGAGCAAGGCAGAATACACGGAGGTTGAGCAGCTTTCCAGGCTGCGTAGGGAGGCGTTTAATCTTGTTGTGGCTGATGTCAAGAGTGTCGAGCGCAGGAAGGAGGGTAAGAACATCAGGAAAGACCGTGAACAGGTTGTTCTTCAGGTTTAGATACCGAAGACGCGATAGTAGAGCGAAGGCCGTCGGTAGGGTCGTCAAACGGTTGTGGCCGAGCGCCATGCTTACCGAAACTTTGAGTTTTTTTTCGTGGACACGTTAACAACTCACCGCTCTACCAGACTCTCATCTTCTGGTGTCTCTCGACCCAATGTTGCCAACTCCTCTGCCGCCTCCTCGCCAATATTGGTGAGGTTCTTCTTGAGGAAGACAAGAGTGGCGCCGCCATCATTAGACTGAGCTAATGCGTCCGCAATGTGCTCCGGAGTCAGCGCCTGGGATGCGGGAGACATTGTAGATGGCGGGGGCTTGCTCAATGGCTGCGACGGCGGCAAGAACGAGTCGACAACGGGCATAGCATGAGAGAGAGTGCCAGTCACGCTTGTCACAAAATCTGTGCTCGCCTCCAAGTCCAACAGCAACCTGCATGTGCTTGTTGACAGCATGCCATTCAGAACCACATTGAGATTGAAAAACTACGAGCCGCTTCAGAGCGCATAGCGTGCCACCATTTGGCTGGTATATACAACAAATCTCCTGGGTCAAGAAGGGCGGTCATGCCCTGGCCAGCGACAAAGTCCTCAAAGTCCGGATGCTTCTTGCGATCCGGTGAGAAGACGTCAACGGCGGAAGTGTTGCCATCAGCGTACATTCCACGTTCACAGTTCGACGGCGCCAGCCAGACTCTTTTACGTCCCACGACTTGTACTGTGTCGGTGTCAGACAAAGATTAGCCTAGTCGGAGCTCTCACACACCATACATGTTGTAATAAGGGTCCTTGGACAACTGTCAGTGTAATGAGTCATATAGGAAGAAAGACGGACAGTATGAGCTGGGGAGACGGTATCTCTGGGTCCAAACCACGCATTGATGACCAGCTGGTCATCATTCCCCGGAGGCTCGCAGCCTGAAGGGCGAGGGAGAGTGGCGTACACGTAGTCAGGGACTTGAATGTCGGCACGCAATGAGGGAAACTGCATCAAAAGACTGTGTTGTGCCAGGTACAATGGTTCGGCAGTTGAGTCGTCCAGCAAGGCCAAAAATGTATCCCATTCCACGAGCTTCTGCGACCAATCGTCTGTTCGATAGTCTCGCCCAACTTCAACGGGCACAACACGGCCTCGACCAGCAGCCGAAATCAGATATTCTGTTGATGCCCAAGGATGTTCATTGAGCGCTGGCCAATGCGATGCGTAATTACGGACGACGAATGGATATTGGTGCTTGTTTGATTGGAAAGCAGTGAAAGAGGGTAATGCCTCAAGCAAGGGGATGGTAGGAGCTGTAAGTGGCTCCACTTCTGGGAGTGGGAACACGTAGGAAGAGCCTTTGAAGGGCTCACGAAGCAGGTTATCCGACTGAATTCGCTCAATCAGGTCGAGCACGATATCAAGGCGGTCAGCAGCCCCTGAGACAATGATGGCTGTATCGAGCTTGGCAATGGCGGTTAATGGTGGGGAAGACAGTGCGGCAAGCATGCAAGCATCTGTGTGAAGCTGACGCCAGCCAAAGGACGGTGTTGACGCAAGATGGCGGTGAACCGACGTGATTAGAGGGTCAAGGTCGATGGACTGACCAGCCTCAAAAGAGGAAAGGGCGGACTCAAAATCTTTGGCTAGTTCGGCGCATTGTGCGAAGTGGTCTGGGAGAGAGTCGCGGAGAAGCTGGCAAAGCCAGCGATCAGACATTGTCACACAGCGTGATGCGTCACAGAGCCCCTATTTCAAGTGGGAAGATTTCGAAATCCGGACAAAATTCTGGCTGAGATAGATCTGGGCAAAAATGGGACTGGTTTTTCCATCCGGATAACCCTTTAAAAGGCCCTTTTGGCTAGAATACGGAATCTATTGACAGACAAATCCCTTCATAGTCAGATAAACTCTGCATTGACAATTTGTAGCAACGGTCAACAGCCTTTAATTGGATCGTGTAAACAAACTTTGTGTTGTTCAACGAACCATGTCAAGTATTCAAAAATGCCCCAATGATAACGTGAATATATGCGCCCAACCATTTGCCGATTCGACAGCACATTTGGCCAGAGCTGGAGCTGGTTCGACGGGAAGGAGTGTCTTGTCGGATGGCGGAGAGATGACAGGCCCTTCAGATGTTGTTGTTACAATGTCGCAATATCAATGCACAGGAGATGAGTTGGGAGCCACTGGACCAGCCACCATGCAAAAATATGCGTTAAATCACACGAACAGGTTATCCAACTGAATTCGCCCATCAGGTCGAGCACCATATCAAGGCAGGGATGATGGCTGTATCGAGCTTGGCAATCGCGGCCAACGGTGGGGAAGACAGTGCGAGGATGCGAGCATCTGGGTGGAGCCGACGCCAACAAAAACGACGGTGTCGATGGAACCAAGGGAGAGGGTCCGGGTCTATGGACTGACCAGCCCCAGGAAAGGGCGGACTCGAATTCTTTAAGCTACTTGTTCACATTGTGTGGTCTGGGAGGGAGTCGTGGAAGGTCGTGGAGAAGATGGCAAAGCCAGCGATCAGTCATTGTCACGGAGCGTGATGCTGTCACTCGGTACACTCTGGCAGAAATAAGTATAAAGCGCGGCGTGTCGTCGTCAGGCTGGTCAACTTCCGCCCACGAAACAAGGCGGAGGCAGTGCAAATCCTGCCTAAATGGCCTCAAGGTTTGAACCGAAAATGATGCCATCTGTCTTGAATATTAACTTATCCTTTTCTAGGCTTGATCGCCTCCTTCTTCTTCTCGACACCGGTTCTTCGACCTCTGTGAGGAATACTGCCGCCAAACAGCTCGCCCAACTCGCAGCCAAGAGCGTTATTAGTGACGTTGCCCTCGAAGAGGACGTCAAGGCCGCCCACAAGCATGTTTCTCAAATCGATCCTCAGGCATGGGCAGAACTCATGTCTGTTGTTGCTCGCGTACGTTGACAACATCGTCTCTTGTCCACTCAACCCCTTGAATCATATAGATAATTCCCTATCTTCATTCTAAATCCTTCGAAACACGAACCGCCGCATCTGTTGCCCTTTCACATACTTTTTCCTTAGTCCCATTATGGCAACCTCGAGATCGACCAGAACTCGGCGAGGAAGAACCACTTGCACCTCCGGACTTCCCTAGCTTCTCTGTTCAAGATTTAATCGTCCAAGGAAAACTCCTTCTGGCGTCCGAGGGAAAAGAGTTCGCCAAACCAGCTGGGATGCTCGCTAGTCCTGCTGAAGTCAAAAAGGCACGCAAGGCTGCGATGAGCCGTCTTGGTCTCGACTTTCTCGACGAAGATGATCTTGATATTGAGAAGGATCTCGCCGATGAAATGGAGGTAGACCTGGAGGCCGATGCTGAAGTCCCAAATGTCAAAATCGAGGAAGACACGGATAATTGCTCCCCTGTGTCTCCCATGGACGTCGACAGTAAGCCCAAGCAAGAGGGTTCAGCGCCAACAACACGCTCTGCTACCCCCGCCGACCCTTCGCCAGTCACTCCCGCAGAACCTGAGCCTGATCTCAGCGCCCTTTCTGCTCGTGAGCGCAATCGATTAAAGCGCAAACGAAAACCTGGAAATACTGCTTTTGTTGCTGCTCCGCCTCCTCCTCCACAAAGTGCCGGCGCTAAATTCACTCCAGCAGCATCTGGGAATAAAGCACGACTCGTTGCGTCAGAAGACGTGAAGGCCCCATTGACTTCCCGCCTCGGCACTCCGACAACTGAGAAAGTTGTCGTTGATCCTTCTAAAGGTGGTGCAGTTTCTCCCAAAGCTGCGAAACAAACGCGAGTTCTCGATGTGCGGCCGGGAACTTGGATATGGGATGGTGTTGTAAGGGTGATGGAGGTTGACTTATTTAGTGCTGCCTGGGAAGTTCGTCATGGTGCGGCAATGGCTTTACGCGAACTACTCAAGGTGCAAGGGGCTTGTGGTGGTATGCGAGATGATGGGACTAGAGCAGAAAATGCCTCTGCCCACGAGAAATGGTGCAACGATCTTTCTGCCAAATGCCTTTGTGTTTTCGTCCTCGATCGGTTTGGAGATTTCGTCTCTGACCAAGTCATCGCCCCAGTTCGTGAAACTGTCTCACAAACACTCGCTGCTCTTCTCCTGCACATGCCCCGGCGTTCTGTCGCCCATGTCCACTCCATCCTTCTTCAAATGATACAACAAAACTTTCCCATTCCTCCTGCCCCTCCGATCTTGACGACCAATGGGCGAAATACCAAACAACGACAAAAAACTCGGGTCCCGGACAAAGATAGAACACATATCTGGGAAGTACGGCATGCCGGTCTCCTCGGTATCAAATACGAGGTCGCTGTCCGCAGCGATCTCGTGGCTGCCAACATCAAGCCTCAAACCAATGGTGACTCAATGCTTGTAGACGACGACACAGAGGCTGTCAAGCAAGCAGAGAAGAAGGTTGACCTCGATTTGAATGGGAAGGAAGTTCTCAGCGGTGTTGTTGAGGCGGCTATATTAGGGCAAGTTTAATTTCTTTCCGTCTTCTTTTTCGCAGCTCAATCTTGTCAGTCTCGGAGACCGGGACGACGATGTACGCTCAGTGGCGGCATCATGCCTTCTCCCTGTCGCAGAACATCTCGTTACACAACTGCCAGAAGCTCTCGACCGAGTTCTTTTGGTCCTGTGGACATGCTTGAGCGACATGAAAGATGATCTTAGTTCCAGCGTCGGAACCGTCATGGACCTGTTAGGCAAGTTTTTTGTCATTTTCATCAATGTAAACCTGATCTAGCCGCAGGCAAACTCGTTTCGTATGACCAGGTCATTGCCATCCTTGCTGGTGGAGACTTTGCGTATGTTCAATTTTTGATCCAGTTCCCGAGGCTTATATTACTCAGGCTCCCCTTAACATCTCTGGCCCCTACACTTTTCCCCTTCTTCCGCCATACGATTCCCAATGTGCGTTTGGCTGTGGTTAAGACTCTGACTTCCTTCATGGAAGTTCCATCTCTACCGCGTGACTGGGTCCAAGAGGATTTCATGCGACTTGTCTTCCAGAATCTGATCGCAGAGGAGCGAGAAGATATACGCACTGCCAGCTTAGTTGCATGGAGGACAGCATTGACTGTACTAGTGCAGACCCCAGGAAAACTCGAATCGCTTGCAACGCCACAACTTTTACTCGATTGGTACGCTATTGTCATGACACCGATCGGTATGGCTGTCGATACAACCAAATTTTTCTATCCCTCGGTCGAAATCGCCAACAATGGGGCGTTGGAGCGACACAACGTCGACAAAAATATGCTTGCCCAAGACCAGTCACTCATCACACCTGAGATCACAATCAAGGCCCGGCTTGCTGCCGCTGCCGCTCTCGCTCAAGTATTGGTCTTCTGGCCAGTTAATGTGAGTTGTCTTACAACAAGTTTACTTGCTTACTTAATTGTACAGGGTCCTTCGATTGATGAAACATTCCAGCCAATCTTATGTCATTACATCGACTCGACGAGTATGCTCCAGAAGTTCCTTACGGCTGTCATATCAGAGGAATGGGCGCGGGAGTACGATTCTTTACCACACGACAAACCGCTGACGGAAAAGTCGACTATGGCCCACACGTTGAGCAACACGACATTAACTTGGTTGCAAAGTCCTCCTCCGCCTGCTTATCACGAGATGTCGCTCACCCTCGTACGCATTCATGGCGATTGCGTTGCCCTTCTCAAGTCATTCTCGACGGAGTGCAAATTGCCTATGTCATCTATCCCATTCCTTGGATCCGAAATCGACGTCACTGGCTCAAAAGAGGGCTGTTTCACCATCGAAGTTGCTCATCGCGCTGTTGGAGATCTCTTTACGCAGCTTAAAGACATGCTGGGACGCACCAAGAAGAAGGAGCTTGGTGTTATCACAGAAAAGCGCTCCAAAATTGTAGCCAGCATCGAGCGATATGTGGACATCAAGACGCAGCACGATACACGTGTTGCGGCAGCGTTCGCGGCAGCATTTGTTGCTTTCCATAGCACACCAGACAAAGTCAGTCCAGTGGTGAAGGGCATCATGAATGGCATCAAGGTAATAATGTTGCGATCAATATGGCGAAAAGCGAATCATTGATGTCTTGACAGAATGAAGATAATGTCGATTTACAAACCCGATCGGCCATTGCGGTTGCCTCGTTTATCGAGTTTTGTACCCGGAACAACATCTCTCAGCCTCCAGACAAGATTGTGAAGAACCTATGCACTTTCCTCTGTCAAGATGTTGAACAAACACCCGCGTTCACACTAGCTCGGAAGCAAACAGAAGGCATTCTTTCGTTCCAAGATATCATGAAGGCTGCGACAGTGTCCAATGGCAAAGATACAGGCAAAGATAAGGATAAACTGCCCGACATACCACCGCAACAAGACGAAGCAAACAAAACACGACTCACCCGCCGAGGAGCTGGTTTCGCCTTTGATCAACTTTCAGCCAAGTTCGGGCCACAGTTGCTAGATACGATTCCCAACATGTGGCAATTCATGGCTGGCGGTTTGATCAGTGCATGTCAAGCAGGTAGGTCTCTGCTCAACAATCCCCATGTTGTGCTGAAAATATCATTAGAGTCGTCAACTGAGGCCGACACGCGGATCGAAAAGCAGTACGGTCAAGATGTAATCGATTCTCTGAGCGTTCTTCAAGCCGTAGTCCCCGCTCTCCATCCTGATTTGTGGCCCCGACTGACAGAAACTTTTCCGATGATGCATCTTGCTCTGACCAGCCGCTTTGCCATCATCCGACAATCAGCTGCCCGGTGTTTTGCCACCCTTTGCGACGTTATGACCACCGACGCCATGCGATACGTTATTGAGAACATTGTTCCTCTCTTGGGAGACCCCTTGTCCCTCGCAAACAGGCAAGGGGCGACTGAGTTGATATACCGTAAGGTCCACAATATTCTCACCGAAGGCACGCTTATTTTTTCAGACGTTGTCCAACGACTTGATATCAAGGCACTGCCATATGTCATCTTCATGGTTGTCCCCGTGCTTGGCCGAATGAGCGATTCGAACGATGACATACGTTCAACTGCTACAAACACGTTCGCGTCGTTGGTCAAGATGGTTCCCCTGGAGGTATGTTCTCTGAAGTCAAATTTTTTCCTTGGCTAGATCAACATCAAGGCCGGCCTACCCGATCCACCTGGATTTCCCGATGAGCTTCTTGAACGGCGCAAAGAGGAACGACAATTCCTGACACAACTGTTGGACGGGTCCAAAGTCGAAGAGTACAAACTTCCGGTCACTATCAACGCCGAGCTGCGCAAGTACCAGCAAGACGGTGTCAACTGGTTGGCGTTCCTTGCCAAATACCAGCTCCATGGGATTCTCTGCGACGGTTCGTCTATCACCTTGACGTTGTCCTCTCTTATCTTTTGCTCTAGATATGGGTCTCGGGAAAACATTGCAGTCTATCTGCATCCTGTCCAGCAAACATTTTGAGCGGGCGGAAAAGTTCAAGGAAAACAAGTCTCCTGATTCGGTTCACCTGCCGTCTCTGATCATTTGTCCTCCCACACTTACCGGTCATTGGTACTACGAAATCCTCAAGTATGCAGAGAACCTCAAGCCAGTACTGTATACAGGCAACGCGAGAGAACGGAACAAACGATTCTCCAAGCTCAAGTCGCACGACATCATTATCACCTCCTATGAGGTTGTCCGAAACGACATCAACCAGCTTGAGAAGATGAACTGGCTATACTGCATCCTCGACGAAGGCCATGTTATCAAAAACGCGAAGACCAAGTTGACTAAGGCTGTGAAATGCATACGCGCTCAGCATCGCCTGATTCTATCAGGCACCCCGATCCAAAATAATGTACTCGAACTTTGGAGTTTGTTCGACTTTCTGATGCCCGGCTTCCTTGGGACGGAAACATCGTTCAACGAGCGGTTTTCAAAGCCCATTTTATCCAATCGTGACGGCAAGGCTAAGAATGGGGAAGCGGGTAAGTCGTCTGCCCCGTTTTGTGGCCAGTTCTCTGATAATTGGCTAGCTGCGTTGGCGTTGGAGGCACTCCACAAACAAGTGTTACCGTTCCTCCTTCGACGCTTAAAAGAAGATGTCCTTAACGATCTCCCGCCTAAAATCATTCAGGACTATTACTGCGAGCTATCCGACGTCCAGAAATATCTCTACGACAACTTCTCTGGCTCGCAGGCACTCGCTTCTGCTCAGGACGCGGTCCAATCCGGCCAGGATGACAAAAAGCAACATATATTCCAGTCGTTGCAGTACCTCCGCAAATTATGTAATCACCCGTTGTTTGTTCTCAAAGACAACGAGGAGGCAACAAAAGAGGCTTTGTCGAAAGCCCCCGACTCGAAACATGGGATTCACGACATCCAACATGCACCGAAAATTCTTGCCCTTCGGTATGCGTGGAATCTGAGACTCTTTTTGACCGGCTGACATCGTCGTTATAGCCAAATTTTGACCGATTGTGGTATCGGCGGTACTGCTGGCCCCACTGTCGATTCCGGCAAAAGCGAACTCATCGACACAGAGCCTGACACTCGTGGAGTTTTCTCGCAACATCGGGTTCTTATTTTCTGCCAGATGAAGCAGATGCTGGATATCATCGAGACCGATCTTTTCAAGGAGCAAATGCCTTCGGTCACCTACATGCGTCTTGATGGTAGCACAGACCCCAACAAGCGGCATGCTATTGTCCAGACATTCAACGGCGATCCCAGTATTGATTGCTTACTCCTCACAACGCATATTGGTGGCTTGGGCTTGACACTAACCGGTGCTGACACTGTCATCTTCGTTGAGCATGACTGGAATCCTATGAAGGATCTCCAAGCCATGGATCGTGCTCACCGTATCGGTCAAAAGAAAGTGGTCAATGTCTATCGGCTCATCACGAAGGGAACGCTGGAGGAAAAGATCATGGGGTAAGCAAGCTTTGACGCCGTGCTCTTTCCCAACTCACATCTTGGCAGCTTGCAGCAATTCAAACTTAATATTGCCAACTCAGTTGTTACCCAGCAGAACTCAGGTTTGGCGTCTATGGACACTGATCTTGTCCTCGACCTATTCCGACGGACTGGTGAGGAAGAAGAAGCCGCTGCGGCAGCCAAAAGGAAGGCGAAAGAGTCGTCCGGTCCTGTCAACCAGAAACATCTCCTCCAAGGCCTCGAAGAGCTACCGGCAGAAGACGAATACCAGGGCTTGGACCTGTCAAGCTTCATGGGTTCAATTGGAAGATGATTTTCTTGCTTTTGTTATTGTTATTCTTTCCGCTCCGCTTGCACATCCTCAAACTAGAACGCACCAATGTACTTAGCACACTGTATTTGTAGTCGAACAAGCGTGTACGATACCGCAGAGCACTAAGCTTCTAAGTGTAGCATTTATTTTGAGAGAGCGTGCTGTAATGCCTCATAAACATCCGCTTCTATACGCGCCTCCAGCTTGTCCTCTTCAGAGCCATTTCCGTTGGCGATCCGTAAAGACTCTTGGAGATTCGTGCGTATCGCCTGCCACGCGTTGTTAGATTTGGCCATTTTATCAGGACGACAAACACACTTCTGCAGAAAAGTTTTCAAGGGGAGCGGCCTCGACGACATTGACAGTGAGCTTGTTACCCGGGTGTACAGTCGCGAATCCACCAGATACTGCTCCATTAGACATTGCTCGAGGACTGAACGCTGATCACACACCAAACCACTTTTTCGAACCACCCGACTCAATGACTTCGACGACACCGGCGCGGAGGGGCTCGATAGAGGGAACATGGTTTGCGAGGATGCCCATGTCACCGGTCGCAGCGCAGATATTGACTTGGACTACGTCGGCGGAAGAGAAGATGGCCTGGAGAATAAATCAGTCCCACTCGGGGCAAGTCGGACGCGGGAGACCTGGTGCGGAAGGACAAGGGAGAGTTTGATTTTGTCGGTGGCTTCCGCATATCCACGTCGCCCAAGCGCGAAAGCGGCCGGCCGAAGCGCACCAGAACGAAGGAGTCGGAGTGAAGACATTTCTTTGCGTGGTGGCGTGACACGTCACGTCAGATGGACCAGGAGAGCATCTCATTCTGAACCAACTTGAAGCTCGACCAGTAGCAATGAAAATTTCTTTTGTGGCTCCCTTGTGTTTTCAGCTTTCCGTGCAAGATCCCTAGTAAAATCCATTATGCAATTGCCAAAAGGGTCCACGATCACCTCCTCACTCCGCATTGTACTCGACAACAACCACATGGAACAGACAGAAAAGCAAGAATACGCGGCCACTAGCCAGCAAGCAGATACCTCTATGGGATTCCTTCGCTCATGTCGCCTCATCTTGACCTCTTCTTGTCAGTCGAGTTCAAGTTTACTTGCATCTCATCTCATCTCCCGTTAGGGACAAACGTATTCCTTCTGCTCCTTCCGCTTTCGGTGCGTCGAATGTTTTATAGCACACAGAGCAATGCTAAGGACCAGCACCAGATTTTCTCCCGCCACGGCCCCTTTTGGCTTCGGATCGCAGGTCTGTTTTCTTTGCAAGGTCATTGGCAACGGTATCGGCTCATGCACTCGAAAGTATCTTCTTTTTCTGCGGTTCCCCTGCTCCACGTATGTCTCGAGTATAAAATATTCGTAGACTGAGAAAACGCTCAGATCCTTGGTTTCTCGCTGGCCAACTTAGAACAACTCGAAGACTACCTCTCCTTTCCACTCTTCGCGGCAAGTTTCAACTACGGCATCGTGCCGGTCAACTGACAGGAATATATCAGGGCCACATGTAGCATTCTTCCAATTCCACCCACTGTACTGACTTTGCGCAGCTTTGAGCAGCTGATTGCGGTATTATACATCCACAAACATTTGAACAAACAGCAAACCCTCATTTTTGACCACAGCTATCCGCTCTCAATCACCACCAGGAATATGTTGTGCAACCATTAGGTACGTGAAGACGCTTCCAGTCATTGGACATCAACAACAAGGACAGCTGCTGGGTCCGGCTCCTGCAGCCTTCGTGCGTCTTTCCAGCTTATGCATCGGTTCCCTACTCATTGAAGGCCAGTCCTGATGCAAGGCTTCTATCACTTAATCTCGCGCCAGAAAGCCATAACCTCCGTTTGTGGGTGACCACCCTTGGTTTTGCTACATTTTAACATGTCTCCAGATGACTTTCCCTTGCTGTACCCAACAATAGCTTCTTCTGCCATCGAAAGTCTTTTTTCGGTGTTGATAGCCATGCCCGAGCCCTGTTATCTACGTGCACAGTTCGGTGTTTTGCTAGGGAACAAAATATCGAGTATCCTGGTATGTACCGCCGCAACCACTCCTGAATCGTCATCTGACCTGTTCCTTCAGCTGGCTGGTCTTTCAATTGGTGGTCAGTGAATCTAACATAACAGTCGCCTGTGTACTGATGCATTCATAGGCGCACTATATTTCTACCGGTCGACGGTCAAATGTATGGATTTGACTGAGGATCCCGAAACGGGAAACATCCCTCATGATTAGAGGAAACAGGGTTTCGGAGTGCTCGAATCTCACGTTCTTGTCGAAAAGGAACGCAAGCTCGATTCTTGGGCAACTGCGCTGTCTGGTGTCGTAGCGCTCTGCGTACGTTTCGGCTTGCGCAAATCAGTCTCCTCTAATCTTGAATTGCGCTAGTTGATGGTACCGGTCGCTGGCCAGCTTTTGACTGCTTTCCTTGCACTATCTCGGCACGGAATCCATCAGGTTACTATCAGCGCTGTAATCCTGCCCATTGCCATCCGGGCTGCTGGTGCGCCAACGAATCTCCGCACCAAGTCGCCCAGAACACTGACGATGTGCAGTAACTCTTCCTTGCATTCACTCGATCACCAAGCTCGAAGCCGTTTTACTTACCGAAACCAAAGCCAGCATGGTGCTTTCTTTGTCCCATTTCTCAGTCAGTCAATTGACCATTACTCAGAATGTCATGCTTCATTTTCCGTGGGTTGTCATCGTCATTCTCTGCGGAAGCCGACTTTCTTTTCTAGATCTACAGTCATCCTCTCCGTAATTATGGGGCATCCAGTGCGCATGGTGCTCAATTATATCTTCGCGGCCCCTTCGAACATGCAGCGTGGGCGCATTCATCTTTGCGTTGTCTCAATTCTGACCTCAGAAGTCATGTGGTTCATACTCGGAACTACTACTAGGGTTGCAGATCGTTCTGCAGGCATTTTTATGCTGGGTTAGTCAGTCTTTCCCTCGATTGAGGCCCTTGTTGACTAGTGAACAGTCTTTTATTGTTGTTTTTCGGGTTTCTGGGGCACCGAGGAGTGGACTACAGAGAAGTAGGGTCGTGACCTTGAACTTGGACATGCAAGTTTTCATGCGGAGACGTCGTCCTCGAAATATTATTTCAAGAGACATGGGTAGACCAGGACGTAAACAGTGGAATCATGGCCATATCATGTTCGGAGCACCTAATTCTTTTTGACGCGTGCGTGTAATATGCAAGAACAAAGCAATAGGTCAAACAGAATCGTGACTCTTCGTGGTCACGGGTCGCTATTTACACTTGCTTGTCTCCGCCCACCTCAACCACCATGTCCGGAATCTGCAGACCCCGACTCGCTGAAGAACGCAAACAATGGCGAAAAGATCACCCATTTGTCAGTTTACCTCTGCGGACGCGGCTGCGAATGATAACGCGCCATTTTCGCGTCCAACATGAACGCGTGCTGACCTCGTTCCCTAGGGTTTCTACGCCAAGCCTAGCAAGGCAGCAGACGGCTCAATGAACCTGATGGAATGGGAAGTAGGTATTCCAGGGAAATCGGGGGTGTGTTTGTCTATTTCTTTCGGTTATTTGACTCTCATTACAGTTGCGCAGACCGCTTGGGAGGGTGGCCTCTTCAAATTAACGATGGTATTCCCAGAAGGTATGCGCCATCCGTGTCCAAAATTCACTACCACTTGTAACATCTTAGTAGACTATCCCTCTAAACCACCCAAATGTACGCCTCTGTCTTTTATATCGAACTTGAATGTGCTTACTGGCGCTTCAGGCAAATTCTCGCCCCCACTCTTTCACCCGAATGTCTATCCCTCCGGAACTGTCTGCCTCTCCATTTTGGATGAGGAGAAAAGCTGGAAACCCGCGATTACGATCAAGCAGGTCAGTTACTTCCTAGACCCGAGTCTGTCTCGTAATCGGCCAAAAAGATATTACTGGGAATCCAGGACCTGTTAGACGATCCCAACGTCAACGACCCCGCCCAGAGTGATGCCTATACTATGTTCAAGTAGGCCATTTTCTGGGCTCGCCTTGCTTTCTTTGTTGACCCGTGTTGTAGGAACGATAAGGTGGCGTACGAGTGAGTCTATGAGAATTGTCTTTCGATGTTACTCACAGCTGCTCCACAGGAAGCGAATCAAGCAACAAGCGCGAGAGAACGTCCCCAAGTAGATTGGCGCGTGTATGTAGCGTTGCTGCTGTCTTTTGGTTACAGTCTGTAGTTACGGCGTTTCGGTTCTCAATTGTACTCCTTACTTCTCTACCATGACCACGCCGAGCATCCTCAACATCCACACTCCCTCAAGCTCATTTGCGATCGTCCATTCGTGCAAGTAATTCTTTCATCAGTGCTGGTCCTTTGCCGACCAACTCGTCAGTAACACAGGAGTCGCTCCCTGACCTGTTCGACAAACTCAGCCGAAAGGGCGGGACTGGCTACACTGGCAAGCGGATCGGCCCCGGCTGGCTCAAATACGAGTTCACCGAAACCATTTGGAACCTCGATGACGATGCAGACGTCCGTAATTCCCGTAGTATCTGATTGTTGACTGACCTCTAATAGTACACCATATTCTGCTGGCGGCAGCAACAACCTGCAGCTTCGACATCCACTACACCGATTGACTCCCCGACTCTTCACCTCCATGACCCCCATTCGCCACTCCCTACACCGCCCGCTTACCTGAACGCGGCATACTATGTCTTCCATCCCTCCCGCGCTCTCCACCCAGCGACATCACACAACGGCAGCCCCTCTCCCCTCCCCCGAAGCACCAAATCGCGCAAGTCGAAAAGCAGCAGACGCGTCGCGTCAGAGGATGACGGGATTCCGGTCCACAAGAAGGAGTTTGCTAAGTTCCACAGCGAGAACGGCGTCAGGACCGTCATAGGGCAGATTGGGCCCGTCTCAAATGGTGTGTTGAGTATTTAATCCGTCATCTATTGTGTTTACTCGCTCCCAGTACGGATGCTCCTCAAGTCAGGCTACCGACACGTCTATATCTCACGGAAATTCGCGCTCGCCAATGGGTTCATCCCTGCAGACACTGAAGGCGGCAAATACGGCTATGTGGGGCTGGTCAACATCGGCTCGTGGCCTATCACACTCACGCCATCGTCCGACAATCCACATTCTGACCACCCGAATGCCCCGCCACCGCCGCCCAAAACCAACGGCACGAAGAAGAAGCCAAAGCCCACGATGATGACCGTATATCTCTCAGAGGAACAGCATTTCGATGTAGTTCTCGGCCGATCATTTTTCGAGCGCAGGAATATCCAAGTCAGTTCAATCGACCCGACCGAGGTCATTTGTCTCGACACGGGTGAAAAACTCGAATGCGAATTAGTGATTCTCAAGGATGGTCGTGGGGAGATAGTAACAGTGACTTGAATCGCTAGTTTATCTGGGTTAGAAGGATTAACTATTCTGCTTGCGCAGAAACAAGCAATTTAGCGGCCATCGGTAATTCTGTCGCGGCGAGATGGTAACAGTGACTTGAATGAATTGCTAGTTTATTCGTGTTAAAAGGATTACTTGAGTTTGAGCCGTTCTGAGCGCGTCAACTGAGGAATAGTGAGCGGAAAGTTGAGCCAAAACTAGAAAACTCACCTTTCTCCGCTTCCGTAGTTTGTGTTTCTTCATCTTCTTTCTTCGTTTCCTCTTTGTGCTGTCCGCGCTGATCTCCCACTTGTTGCTCCATTCCGCTGCCTGGATTCCCTTTGAATCCAGCCCCAGCCTCTGGAGGGCGCTCTCCCACGACACGGCAGCACTCGCATTGTTCATCGTGATAGCGCGCATGAGCTGGCGTCCAATTTCGACATCAGCCTCGGGCTGGCGTAGCATGTTGATGGCCGATGACGACTGGAGCATCTGTTCTCCGCGCGCAAACAGAGGCGTGGACGGGTCGGGGGTGTTGAATATCGATGCCGGCTTATTTAGCAAAAGCAGCGGCCGGTGGAGGGAAAAGAATTGGTGCAGGTGGAGGTCGCCCAGCTCCACTACGGGGTGAGGTGGCGGGACACGGGCTTCGAGTCGTTTGATGTTGGGCCTCGGGATGGCTTCTGCTGGCGTTGCTGGCTGGCTAGACGGTTCGGTGGTTTCCGAGGGCGTGTCTTTGCCAACGACGGGCTTTGCTGGCTTGTGGGCGGTAAAGTAACGTCCTCCACCACCAGCCCTGGAAAAGAAAGAGGAGTATGGGCGTCGCGTTACAGGAAAAGAACGCAGTTGGCGCAGACGGCCAACCGCGAGTGCAGACATCGACCCGATAAGAGTCAAAAGGCAAGCTTGCAGACGCCATCAATCCCTTGTCACACTTGTTCCAGCCTCTTTCCGAAAAACTCATGTACAATGTCTTTTCGGCCTCGACTGACTCTAGTTCCATCGAAAAACGTGCGCTCATGTTTGCACTTCCATTGCGCCCACAATACTTGCTTGCTTCTGGGATAAGAAGGTTTCATATGCCTGACCAGCTACCTTCGACCCACTTATCGCCACCCTGTGCAGCGCCTTTCAGCTCTCATCATCGCAATGACGACAGTCGCACGGATGGCCAACTTATTTGCGCTATAACGGAGCTCCTGGCCAGCCTGACTTGAGCCAACTGCTGTTATCTGCGACATGGACAAAAGCCCATCAGTGTTGTTGTTACCGTCTTTCAAGCTTGGGTTGACATCGCGCTCTGGAACATCAGTCGGCCACACAAGACCGAAGGTTCGCTTTTTTTGAGACGTTGCGGTGGCGGCATCGAACCTTCGAATGGAAAATGCGACCCAAAGAAAGTCGGAAAAGGCGGATGAGGATGAGGGAAGGAATTGTTGCTAGGAGCCTCGCGCTACCAGCTCACACACTCGCCATTTGTTATCTGCACATCTTCGGTGGATAGGAATTAGATATCGTGTGTCTTTACAGAACTGAACAAATTACGAGTGTTGATCGACCCAACGGATGTAGTGCGTATTAATTCCATGGTGCCCAACAGCCACAAATACACGCAAGACCAGACTGTGTCCGGTGTGAGCAAGACCCCAACTGAGTGGCAAACGAACCTATCAAAGTGCAACCAAAAAGTCGTCTCGTTCGCATATCTGGTCTGAACAACACAAATTTCATGGCTTCTTGGATAAGTTCAACGTGAGATACAGAGGCGATGTCTTACCTGCAAAGCCAGCTAGGAACGCAAAGTCATCATAGAGGAACATGTGGACTGCCTTGCCTTTGGCGGCAGCGAGTAGCACGGTGGATCTACATAGGAAGATGAAGACGAATACCAGCGGAAGTGTGAGCAAGAACACACGGCAAGTGCAGCAACATCACGTTCTGAAGGATTAGTTGACCGAGAGCATAGGCAATGAGGTACATACCATGCCGGCTTTGACTTCAGCAAGTAACACAGTGTCGAGCTTGGTGATGGAATGTATATGAGGAAGAACCACTATGATGCGTCAATTTCTGCCAGTAAGCGCGATCAACTATTGGCGCACCAGCAGCCCGAATGGCCAGAGGCAGAATGAGACTAAATATACCAAGAGGATAGACGCCGTGCCGAGTCAAGGCAAAAAAAACATTAAAAAACTCGCCAGCAGTCGGTATCATCAGCTAACAAAGGTAAGAAGAGGCTGTAATGAATTCTGAGGAACACGAACCAGAAATGCTACGATAGAGGAGGATAATGTCGCCCAGGAATTTAGTGCGTAATCCCTCGGGGCAGCTGAGGCGATGGTACCCTCCTTCTCGTAAATGCGGCCCTTTTCGATATCTGCAACCAAATGCGTGGAGTGTCCCGAGCGGGTAGTTGTGCCGTAGAAATACAGTGCGCCTATTGTACAATTAGTCCAGAGGCCTTCAGTGTGATTTGACCGACTGCAGATCGAAAGACCAGCGAGCTGGACGAGAGAGTCAGGCGACGAATCGTTATTGACAGGAGGGCTTACCAGGAGGGTGGATGCTTTGGTCCTGAGCACATCGAGGGAGATGATATGACCAAATCCTTGCTCTAAAATTACCCATGCTGACAATGTAAAATTGATCATAGCGAAGGCTAATGTCGGGTACAACAAAGGGAACTCGGCTTGAGCGTTAAGAAACTAGTCAACAGTGACTAAACAAAAGGATGGTTGCTCACCAACGGAAAAAATCGTAGTCCGCGAGAGCAGTTCACGAAATCCATATATAAGCACTAACTCGATGAGTGATGGAATGTGGATATGTTGATACCCACTGAGGCTGCAAATGCAGGACCCAGTCGCTATTTTGGTGTCCTTATTATTAACGTCAAATGAGCGAGAAGCATGAACAGACCTAAGGGTTGCGCAACATATTCCTGGTTGTGACTCAGAGCGGAAATCTGTTTGAAGTGAGTCCACACTTGCTATTTGTTTTCCAAATGAGTTATACCGCAATAATCTGTTCGAAGCTGAATCTTTGAGTGCGTTGTGATCCCCTTTTTGGAATAACATACATATGCCCCTAATGAGTTCAGTGAGTTGAGGCGGACCACAAAGAGATGAAACTTACAGAAAAGAGTGGAAAAGGAAGGTAGTCGTATTCCAAGTTGGCTAGTGAGAAACCGAGGATCTAAACAGTCGTTGAGCCCATGGATTATTTGGAATTTTAAGTGGGACAAACATGGAGCAGGGGAACTGCAGAGAAGAAAGACGCTTTGGATCATGAGGAGGCGACGTCGACGACGTTACGAAAACGGACCTGCAATTCGAGCCCAAACTGGGCCTTGAGATAGAAGGTACTGGTATTTGTTAGCCATCTTCGATGTGATTGGGAGGGGACCCCACTTGGAACGGAAGGAGAAGGAGGAGAATGTTAGTCCCTGGCAAAAATGAGATGATCTAAGTGGTCGTGCGAACTGCGAAGAAATCTTACAAGATGATGTTAAGATGGTGTGCCATGATTGACAGAGGCCGCGACTGCGTTGGGGATGCATCATGATCAGTGATGGATGGAGTGTGGAGGAATGGTCACACACCTGTCAACGGTCCAGGTCTTATTTTGCTTTGGAATATTGTAGCCAGCTTTGTGGTAGCAGCAACAGCGGCAGTCGTACTATGGAGAGAATCTCAACTTCACAACATTCCAACGACCTATTAATCTATTTCTTTTTCGTGCGTCGTTGGAGCTTTCTACGATCCTGCTCGAAACGGGTTTTCTTGCGCATTCTGTCTGGTTCCTGATCATCATCACCGCCATCCTCTCTTGCTCGAACGTTGACTTTGGCGCGTTCAAAAGCATTCTTTTTGCGCCCGCTCTTCCGCAATTCGTCGTAGCCATCCCCCATCTGTGAAACACGGGTACCACGCTCGACACTGCGCAATACATCTCCAAACTCGTCTTCCAAGCCACCACGACGTCTGTTCTTCCCAACACCCCTTGCCCCGCCTAATTCAGCACCGAGGGCTAAGTCCTCTTCGTCTCGTCGGCGTTGGCGATCCTTGTTTTTACCCAACACCACTCGTCCGAAATTCTCTTCTTCATAGGCCTCGAGCCGCTTCAAGTAATTGGCGCGACCCGAAAGTAACGATGGGGTTGTTCCTAATCCAGTGGTAGTCTCCATATGAGGAAGCGATGGGTCTTGAAGACTTCGTAACGCAGTGGGTACAGGAGCGCGCCGATCTCGTGACTTGGATTTGGCCCCTCCAGTATAGGGAACAGGCGCAAGCCGGGGAGGTCGATAGATTCCATCGTCGACGTTGTGGGCAGAATCATCTTTGACTGATGTATCTGAATCATCACCGTCATTGTCAACCAGATTTTGTGGGTTGGGTCGAAAAGCAAGGGGATCTGAGGCTGCGTGAGGCATGAGCGTAGAGACGGAAAGAAACCTACCCTCAGCGACAGCGGAGGTTGTCTTCTCTGGTTCCTGAGCAGTCCGTACAAGCTTCTCGATTTGATAGCGAAGTCGACTCTCGAGTGTTTTTACTTTTTCAAGTACTACTCGGGTTTCGACCATCGAGTCCACCAAATCACCAGCATCGGTGCCGCGTTGGGAACGATCTAGGTGGCTGAAGGCTTCCGCTGGTGGCGCTCTTTCGGTGAGAGTATGACCAATTGCACAGTGAGATGAGACAAGCAGGAGAGACTGTAGGTAGGACAGTAGAAGATGGTGTTTGACGGACAGTAGAGAAATTCCATCCGTCGTGTTCAGGTTGTCCTGCTGGCGTAGACCGTTGATGACACTGCGAACAGACGCAATACTGGAAGTCATGTCATTCACGACAGAGCAAAAGCCAGCTGCATCGATCTGCACGCCTGGCTCACCCATGCTTTCTAAAATGGTTATTAGCTTTGTGAAAAAGGAAAGGTGGGGATAAGAACAAGAAATATCAGTTAACGGTTTTCTAGGCCGCCACTCCGTGGAGTGTAGTGCATTACAGCAGCATGGTCTCAGAGCCCAGTGCGTTTCATCATGAACCTCCAGGATATGGGGAACTCACATTCTCTGAATGGTAGAAGTGAAAAAACGTTGTCGCGCTCGTCACGCTTACACGTGAACTGAATCGTTTTCTGGCGGCAACACCCATTCCTGACCAGCCACCTTCGACCTACTTATCGCCACCCTGTGCAGCGCCTTTCAGCTTTCATCATAGCAATGACGACAGTCACGACTGGCCAACCTATTTGTGCTATAACGGGGCTCCTGGCCAGCCTGACTTGAGCCAACTGCTGTTATCTGCGCCACGGACAAAAGCCCATCAGCGTTGTTGTTACCGTGTTTCAAGCTTGGTCTAACATCGCGCTCTGGGACATCAGTCCGTCCGGTCCCATTCCCCACACAAGACCGAAGGCTCGCCTTTTTGGGACGTTGCAGTGGCGGCATCGAACTTCGGATGGAAAACGCGACCCATTCACGCATAATGAGGGTCGCTACAGCCTTGCCCTCTTGACACAGGTTATTTGAGTCGGCCTGTTTTCGCTCTTTTGCTTTTAAGCAAATCATCTTCGCAACCACCTCCACCACCACCCTCCACTTCAATTCATGGTGCCAACATTAAATATTGTCTGTTTTACGAGCTATATCTGACCCTCTGTAGTCGAACGGACGCTGCAATGGCCACCAGCCTCGAGCTCGTCGTTACGCCTTTTCCAATGTTGGGCTTTTCTTCGATGTTTGTGTTGTTTTGTTAAATGGCCCTTGCAGAACGCCGCTAATGGGGCCTCCCGTCTGCGAAACATCTACAAGTGGCTTGTGGTGGGTTAGATTATTTGCAGATGGCCGCCCATGAGTTCATGCCCAATCAAGCGCCGGATATTTTGGCTCTCTACCGCATCGCAGCGAGAGGAATACGAGTCGGCGGTTGATCTATGACGACGAAGCATACTTCCAGACTTTTACGCCACCCTTTCTCTCATCGCTGTCGCCCTCCCATGACCGTCCTGCCGCCCATACCTCCTTGTACCCCCGTGCTTCCAATAGACTTCTCACACCCTGCGCTTCGAGTAGTGCCCCAAAAAAGACGAGATGTTGCGGCCACGCGTGCACCCACGCATAATCGACTGCGTCTCGCGTGCCCGGTATTGACCTTGGGAATGCAGAGACAGGAAAAGTCGGGTCAACCATGTCCGGAAATCGCTTCGCCAGGTAGTCATAGGGCGACTCAAAGAATACCGTCGTCTGGTCGCGGTATGCGGCCAAATCTTGGTTTCTGTAAAAGAACATCGGCAACTGTTGCTGTGTAGAATTGACGCTACTTACTGCAGGGGAGGTTCGCATCCCAAGGCCCACAGCTTTCCATCCGCAAGTTCTGGTCTGTGCAAATATGCCTGCCCCGGTGTCGAATGGCAGGGCATCAGGAAGCCGACACCTCCAGTGGCCAGCTCCTGACGCGGTAAACCTCGTAAGAACGCCATCACCTCAATTGGGCCGCTGCAGTAAAGTAGAACGATATAGCACGTTGCCGGCAAAGTGAAGAGAAGCAGGATTTTGAGTTGTTGTGGATTGAGCGCGAAACCCTTTCGCTGAGAGAGGTCGTGGAACGACCTAGCTGCAAAAAAGATGCAACAATGGGAGCAAGGGGTGGATGAATCGCCATTCTTTGTGGCCAGCAAGAGAGTATACGCTGATTGTCCAGCCGATACATCCCAGCATCACACCTAACGGCCGCGATTCTTTGCCGTTAACAATTCGCCAGATCGTGTGAAGCGCGAAGGGGAGCGAGGTAGTGCACATGATGGGGATTGCTTGCGAGATATAATAATGCCATGGGTTCCCTCCGTAGAAGAGAGAAACGTTCGATAGATTCGTCGCCAGGAAATTCCACGGGGTAAATGTAGGATGCCGATAGTACCAGCTGTCGAGCAGGAATACAGTCACAAGAGTGGAAGCTCTAACAGAAATCAATTTATGCTGGTATTTTGTTTAGAGGCATACCCTATGAGAATGCCGTCCTGTGCGACAATGAAGGAAGCGGGCCAAGATCCTTTCAGTTGCCAAAGCATATATGCAAACAGGTACACCCAGATGACGGCGTTGGTCGGGCGGATGGCACAGGCCAAGGCAGCAGAACAGAGGGTTTTTCTCAGTTGAGACCTAGAGTCATGAGTGTGGTTTCAACGAACAGGAATTTGGATACCTGTCGAGTGCGACATTCGGCCTAATTAGCCATGGATAGTTTGAGAGGGCAATGATAGTCAGAGAGGTCTCAAGGGAGTTCGACAGAGAACGAGAGAGTGACAGTGCGTGGAAGAGGGAAGACAGCGACACGAGTAGCTGCCGCTAGCATCAATACTCTCGAGTAACGTTATAGTGAGTGAACAAACTGCAGTAGGGACATAGCTCTGGCCGAGTACTCTTCTCGTCAGCGAGCAGAGAAATATGTCCGTGAGAGCAGCGAATGTGCCGTGCAGCAGACGAGGGAGGTTGATCTGAAGAAAAATGGAGCGGGACAGTGAGGCTGAATTAGGTGCCTACCACAAGCCAATCCCCGAAAACCCCGACTTCATCGAGATGGGTCGCTTTTAGAAGCCAGTAGAGAGGAATATTCAAAGCGGGATAAAGAATGCTGCGGATCGGACGAGGGTTGAGCCATTCCCAAGTTAAATGTCCATATCCAAATACTATATGATGGGCAGGCTCGAGGGACTGGTAGTATTCATCGGGTTGGAAGACGGTGGCGGTCACGAGCGCTATGAGAACGCGGATGATGATTGCGACATGAACGCGGCTCGAGAGAGACATAGTCATCACGTCGTGATCGCGTTGGTTCGATATGATTGGCTACTCAGAGACATCATCCTCCCCTGAGAGGGAATATGCTCTCAACTTGATGTAGACTCAGACTGGTAACCACTGCTGGGAAAATAATACATATGCCTCAGATTCATTCTTTTATCGTTTTCTACCAACCGCTAGGACCACGAATCCCAGTCCAGAGTGGAGCCTTGTTCCCCTTCCGCCTTCCAGTGGCAGTGGACAATACGCGCTCCACCAACAGCAACAATCCGAGGAACCTCCAAATTGCACATCGTGAAAGTCTCAACTCTGACAACGTTCATATCGTTTACCGAGGTTCGGTATGGGTGTTGATTGAGCTCTTCGAAACTGACGTGACAAAGACGATCAAATAATGTCTTGAGCTCTTCAGGTGTTGGTCGCCGTTGCTCATTGACATTTAGACCGTACCACATTCCCTCCAGAGATAAAGTGATGAGGTCGAAGGACATGTCTTCCTCAGTATGTCCACCGATGACAACCCTGGAAGGTTCGGCTTCTTGTGGTTGCGGACCTAAGACGAAAGGTGGCAAATAGCGCCACTCAAGAGCTTCATCATGACGGAACACGACTTCGAAAGCGCCAAGTAAAGTAGGCTCTGGCTGGGCCCCAAAGCAGGTAGAGTGCATCGCATCTCGCATGATTTTGCAGAGAATGGTCCTCAGACCAAGGCTACTGTTCCAGAGACAGTAATCCGCCCACACGAGCGAAAAGTCAAAGCCCAGCATGTACCGTTTCTCCGTAATATCGAAGATTCGAGCATGGATCTGAATATAAGAGTTGCCAACTGTGGAGATGTAGAAATTTAACGACATACCAGGCGCAAGACCTCTTCATTGAGTATTCGGTAGTGATCTGCCTCGGAAGAGACAGCCAGGCCACCAGCTTGCAGGATGGCAGCCCAAGTAGCTTTGCCGTCAACTAGAGCATCCATCTGCGTACGGGTAATCTGAACTCGACCAGCCACGACCAACGTAATCAATCCCTCAATGGATGCTATGTTAGTGCTTGGCGAAGATTGAGGCAAATGTTCGAGAATTTTCTTCAGTATGTGAAAAGGCTGTTCAGACCATCGTGAAATCGGAATTCGAGCCCCTATCCAATCAAGCACGAGTTGAGGATGGAGCATCGACTTGTGATGCTGAGTGGTGGAACTCGTTCCAAATTCGCCGCATGAAATCAACAGATCTTCGTCTGGAGGTTCACCCAAAACTCGAGTTGCAAAGCCAAGGGCTTCTTCTCGCGTGAATCCACAGAGATGGTCGAATTCTGGCGGCGCGGGCAATGGCAAGTTGTGCAGAGGTGGTCGGAAGAGACCTGTCACCAATAGCTTTTGGATGGCATTGGGAGCGTGGTGGAGTGGAGTCCAGAACCGTGATTCAAACAAGGCAACGACTTCAGGGGAAAGTTGGCCGAAGCCTCCCAAGGCCTCGGTTTGAAAGGGAGCATCGAAATTATCAACGGTAAGAAGCATTGGACATCCTCGACGTTCGACTAGACCCTGAGGGCACTATCAGTTCAAATATGGACATGAGTGTTTACTGAGCGTACCAACAAACCGGGAAATGCATTTGACTTCGGCTGATTTCTCCATTGCTCTAGATCTTCTAAGCCGAATTTGTCGCTATACCTTTCCAGAAAACACAAGCAGCCGTCGTGCAAGAAGTCGTCCAGGAACTGAGAGACAATGTCCACCGGGTCGTCGTGCACATAGAATAAACCAAAGTCAATAGCCAAGCAAAGATGTTGACTATGGGACATGTCCGGATGCTTTGTAGAGATGTCAAGGCCATTGAATCTCCGCAAAAATTCGGAGGAGAAGTGAAGATCATGATACGCATGGAGCATGTCGATGAGGATGCTTTTGCCGTATTTGGGGGGACAGAGAAGGAGGCAGCGAAAACGTTGAGGCAACTCAGCCATGAGACCAGTCTTGTCAACAAAATCAAGGCCGGAAGAGCAGCAAAAGTTTAAGAAAGAGACGAAGCTCGTTGGTAAGGTATTTCGCTGAAGCACTTAGCGCTTAGTCGCAATAAGATGAGATGAGAAATACCTGCCGCTGGTCAGCGGTGGACAGATGATCCTCCCAATTCTCTTCTTCTTCTTCCATACGTTCAAGCATCATACTGTCAAGGGATTAATAGGTATATTCCAAAGGAAATACGGAGTATCAGCATTACATGCCCATGCTTCATTGCTTGTCCAATGCTTGTCAGGGGTTGAGGTGGGTTGGTCACACACACATGAGCATTGTCACGCCGAACGTTGCATCCAGTCAAGACGATCGCAGCCTTGTTTCGCTGAATAGTAACAATGCGATTCCCCGCGTCTTTGAGGCCTGCCACGCAATTAAACAGTTCAAGAGAATTGTTGTCGGGGAAAGTTACCTTGATATGTCCAGTATCATCTTTCTTGCCAGTGGACGTGTCCGTAGATAGACTGATCTCATCACCCGTGACCGCTTTGTGACCCGTTGAGCAGTGGCTGTCAACATGGCCGATTTTGCGCAATACACCCACCAACGCGAGGAGCTCATTCGATCAGACCGCGCTCTGCGTGCTGACCACTCAACTGAGGCATCGCCAGCGGAAATCAAGGCCGATCAATACATTCGCAAGCTGAGAGCAAGCGAAAACATCACGATTTGGGGGGCTGAACATGAAGGCGAAAGGGAACTGGACTAGTCCGATCCCCATCGCTAATATAGTGCAGGTGTTGCACATGTCTTTCCTGGAATGGAGTTCCTGACAGGCAAGAACATTATCATGAAGACGCGGCTCTTCAATGTTCTATCCAAGATGCCAAAGGGCGGTCTGCTACATGCCCACTTGGACGCAACTGTCGATGCCCAGACTGTCCTGCGCCTTGCTCTTCAGCAACCAGCTTTGCACGTCCGGACTTCGGAAGCCTTGACCCCGCTCAATATTCAAATTTTGCCCCAATTTCAGGCTTTGACAGAAGAGCAAAAGACCCACTCCGTGGTAGCACTAACAGATACAGGTTACCAGCCTAACACTTGGCTAGCTTTGCAAGTCGCGCGAGATGGCTTCCTCGGTGGTCCGACGGCGTTCGATGCTTGGGCTATCGGCGCAATGACCATTAATCCCTCTGAAGGTATGTGTCGCTGACTCGAGTCGGCATTCATGTACTCAGCACATGGTCAAGCATATCAAACCCACAATACCGTCGACAAGGTACACCCTTCTATCGGTTTCTCGTGCTGTTGGTCGCTAAATCAATAGCTACACAGATTTGGGAAAAGTTCACCAGGTCGGTTATCATAATTTCTCAGTCTCCCTTTGCGTTCTTAACCCATTAGCACGTTCGCTGTGTCTACGGCAGGTGCTTTTCCTCCATTTATATCGTAATCTCACTCCATGCAGGGTTTAATCCGCTTTGCGCCACTTTGGGAACAATATATCTACGAGTTTTTGCGCAGTTCTGTGGAGGACGGGATATCCTATGTCGAAGTTCGCATCAACTTTTTCCCAAAGTAACCGCGAACCTGCCGCCAATGATCACTCGAATTGATTTGCCTTTTAGGTTCATGTTCGGTGAAGATGGCCAGGAAAATGTTCCACACAACGTCTGGGTGCAGATATTCGATCGGACCGTAGCCAGATTCAGGCAAGGCCGGGAAGAGGAATTCAGTGGCGCACGAGTAAGTGGGCTTGGACAACCCATTGCGACATAAAAAAATGGTAGATTATATACAGCACCCTTCGCTTCATCACTCCCGAAGAGCTCGAGTGGTACTGCGACGACTGCATCGCACTGAAGCAGCAATTTCCGCATTTGATAGCTGGTCAGTGTGACTGCTGAACATTTTGAACCTGATTAACTGCTTCAGGCTTCGACCTTGTTGGTGCAGAGAACGTGCTTAAACCTCTCATCTATTACGCCGATACCCTTCTGCGGTTCCGCCAGCGGCAGAAACAACTGGGCCTCGACATTCCGCTGATATTGCACGCCGGAGAAACGCTGAGCGATGGAGGGGAAGCCGACACCAACTTATACGACGCTATTCTCCTGGGAACTCTTCGGATTGGACATGGGTCGGTCAGATCATCCTTTCATCGACCTACTCAACGATCACAGTTTCTCTCTCGTCAAACACCCCAAACTGATGGAAATTTGCCGCGAAAAGAACATTCTGGTCGAGACATGCCCGATTTCGTGTGTGATTTTCTCCTCGCTTTTCTCGACCACTCAGCTTGTTTTTAGGAACGAGATATTAGTATGTTGTTTGTCAGTCGCTTTTACCTACTGACCGCCATAGCGTCTTACATCGTCAATGCTCATGCACCCTCTTCCCATAATGATGAACCACGGACTGGCTGTCGCACTTTGCTCTGACGATCCCGCGGTATTCGGAAATATGGGGCTATCTTTCGACTTTTACCAGGTGCTTGTTGCGAGTGAGGTCACAGGCCTGATTGCTTTGCGAGAGCTTGCGCGGGACAGTGTCAAGGTCGATATGTTTCCCTTGCAGCTTCAATTCTTAACATAATCGATCCGCAGTACTCAACACTCGAACCATCGCCAAAGGAGGCAGCGGTGGTGTTGTGGGAAAAGCAATGGGCCAAGTTCATTGACTGGATAGGAACATTGCTGGAGGTCTGAATATCGTGACTACGCATCTGTATTTCCTACCCCGATACCAGCAGTTTGCAGCATGTTTCGTAGTTGCCTGCCGTCCTTGTGAAGTGCCTGTAACTGGTCCGACCCGCCAAGAGAGTCCCCAAGAAGGATAACGTTGGGGAAAGTTGAGTGCTGCGTGAGTCGTGTGAGCAGTTGTTTAATGTGTTCAGCATCGTCTATAGTTCAGTAGTTCAGTGCTGAGTCGCTACTGGAAACGAGTGTTTCGTGGTCACGTACCACGAAGGTCGACTTCTATCACTTTTGGAGGCGGTGTGAGGTGATAGGTTTCGAGGAGCGCTTTGGCGCGTTTGGAGAAGCTATAAGGATGTTGGGGGATTTGAAATCAGGCAAGTGGAGAGAACTGACGGGCAGTAAGTCTGTGGAAACCAATAAGCCAAAAAAGGACGAATGGAAGAGAGGATCGGTGACGCACCTTGCTAAAGACAACCAACGGGAACTGCTCGTCGATCTCCCGCTTGCGTTGTGCCCAGTCCAGATTGGTCTTTCCCGAGGCATACACCTGCATGTCGACAGGTTTTGTGGGGTCGAATGTGCCCGCCATGATATGTTGGTCTTCAGTGTCAGCAGACGTGACGAGATGCAAAAGGCCATATATCTCTGGTACTTGGACTTGTACGTTCTTCGTTTTCGAGCGCACAAGCTGTGCGATGTTGGCCCGGTTGACGGGGAAATCAAGGTCGAGGTCGAATGCATCCAGCGCGAAACTGGGGAAACCAAACAAATAAACGACTCCGAGGAGAACGAGAACCGCAATAAGCAGTCGGCGACGCCGAAGACGGGAGGATAGAGTAGTGCGTTTCGGCTCCATTTCAGTGATTGAACATCGACGTGAAGTCAAGAAGAAAGAAGATGCGTCACTCCTTGTGACCTTGCTACAATCCTTTCTTGCTCTGAACTTTCATCATGGCTGCCCCGTCTCTCCTGCGTCTCCAGCAAACCTTCCTTTCATCCCCTTCCTTTGCTGTGGTCGGGGCTTCTAAGGATACAACCAAATATGGTACCAGGGTGAAGCAACTCAACTCTCTCTAGATGTTATGCTCATCGTCGCTAGGTCCTCAACTGGTACAAGGCACGCGATCTGCCTATTCAGCCCATTCATCCTCGCGAAGCCGAGCTTGAGGGCTACAAGACCATTGCGTCTATTACAGAGCTCCCAGACCCGACGAAGACGTCGATCAGCATCATAACCCCCCCCACCTGTACGCTCTCTCTTTCTCCAATCGCCCTAGCTTACGGTTTACTTTCAGGTTACCCTCACTATTCTGAAGGCAGCGGAAGAAATCGGGGTGCCAGCTCTGTGGCTCCAACCCGGGGCAGCGGACGAGGCAGTTACCGAGTGGATCAAGGAGAAAGGTATGGAAGATCGCGTCATATTCGGGGGGCCATGTATTCTTGTCGAGGGCGATGGCGTGCGTGCGTTGTTGTAACTTGTAAGCCGTATGTAGAACAAGTCAAAAGTTTTGCCGGTGGGGAAAAAAGTTCAAATGTTGACGGACGCGTAGATTAATCGGTTAGGGTGACTCAGCGTGACCGCGTTTTGACAATCTTCTCGATCGACCACGATGGAAGGCATTCCGCAAAGCTCACAGAAGAACCCAGAGGAGGAGGCAGCAAAGAGGGCCCAAGAGGAGGAAATGCGCCGGGATGTGATGGCCACGGTGCTCGATACTGCAGCCAGAGAACGACGTGCGATGCAATAATTTAAGTTGACTGCCAGATTATTGAATAGCCCAACTGCCAGTCTCTCGAATTGCCCTCGTGAGTCCTGAAAGGTCGAAGCAGATCGAGGCGATTCTGTTAAGGATGGTGCAATCCGGACAGCTTCGCGGTCGGGTATGCGTCTAATCCAAAATATTACCACCGCCGACATCTAACCCACCACACGCTAGGTAACAGAGAACCAGCTCATTGACCTGTTGGAGCAGGTGCGTATCACCCTGGAAGCTATATGGTGTTTCTCATGGGCTAGATGGAGGATGCGGGTAGCAAGAACACAGCCAAGAAGTCGACAATTGTGGTGCGTCATCAACACACTACAAAAAAACCACTGCTTAGCGTAGATTAGTTCCAGCGTAGGAAGGATCCAGACGACGATTTCGACTTTTGATGTGTATTCTACGATCTACATGCTGCCAACAGCTCCTCGCCCGACCCCGTCATTGAGTCAATATCTTGAACTTGTCAGCAAACGAGTAAGTATCTCGCGGGGGCTTACATTGGAAGAATGTCTCGACAGGCACCAAATCCAAGGTCCCCAATGGTGTCGAGGTCTGCATCGGCTGTCCACCCCACAGCACCCTGACGAAGAACGACTTGTTCTTCTTGCTGTACAGCTCAAAGACCACCTCCGACCCCATTCCCGGCCACACCATCTTCGCGATCTGCAGGAAGCCCAGCACGGATGACACGGAGCCGTCATGTGCGACCTGTAGGACACGGCATCAGTCAATTCAAAATTGCGAAGATCAAAAGAAGAGTCTGACGTTGTGAAAATATTTTGTCTTGCTTTGCCCGGCTTGGACTGCCTGGAGGTGGCTCTTCAACTCCAGGAACCACGCGCCATAATGCAGTGCGGCATATTGCGCCGAGTTGGGTGCATCCCGGAAATAATAAGAGTACTCCCAATTCCCAAGTCTGAATACGGTGTTGGCCTCGTCGCGTGTAACACAGAGAGACGTGTCGTTGACGCTGCAGGGGAGTTTCTTGCCGTGGCACAATTTTGCGGAGAGGTTATCGTAGTAACTACAATCAGTTCTCCAACAACGAACACCCAAAAAAAACACACTGGTCAAACGAGTTGTGCCAGCCTCCGGTATCGGGATTAGAAGTGCCAGAAACAGCATCGAGTTTCGCATACAGCGCCGCGGCCGCGGTCAGGTGATTTGTCCAATTTGCGCTCCCACCGACATACGCGCTTCGAATGGCATCCGCCTTGGGACACGAGTAGGTTGGCTCGAGCGAGTCGTACGTCGACGACTGGACCAACACTGCCGTGTTCTTTGTTGCAGGAAACAGCCCCTTGACAAGTGCACCAGCGACTTGAGAGGTAATCACATTGTTGGTTACCCCTAAACCAGTGAAGCGGAAGAAAAACGATGAACTCAAACGTACGGATTTGAGCAAGCGATGCATCGAGACGGTCGCTCAGTCCTAATCGTTTTGCGTAGACGGCGCGAAGATCCTAATAGCATCATTATTGGCTGATCTCTTTGGTGGGGGGAGAGCACTGACTGAACCGTGGACATGGCTGTCCTCAAGCCCTTCTGTTGTGATTTGTGGCAATTGGCAAGTCGTGTTCACAAAGCCGGGTCCGACTGTGTTGACCCATGGATTTTGGCTGGTCCTGAATGCTTGCCACTACACGAGTGAGAGGCTGATACCATTAGATCATGGACTGACTTGGATTTCGGTTACATCAGAGCTGACGCCGCTTGGCCTGGATTTCATGAAGCTGTTGCTTTGCGAGGAAGACGACGACTCACCCTTTCCCGTAGAAGACAGGCCCCTCCCCTACACAGCTAAGGATCGACAATCACCTTCAGATTTACGGTAATGATGAATGTTGTCCACACCTCCACGCGACATCCTCCTTGAAGAACGTATTGGACGCGTAAGGCGTGCGCTTGTGGTGCCGCTGGATGACCTCCACGTATTCGAGGGTATATTCCCGTGGCAGCATTCTGCCAAAACTGCTCAATAGGAGGGTTTTCCCCCAAAGTCGCTACTCACTTGTACTCCCTCGGCCGCACGTGGGGCATTGCACACCAATTATACACGCCATAGTCCTTGTCGGGCGTAACTGAGCTGGTGTAAATTCCTGGCGCCCCAGTGCCGTTGAGCGCAAACGTGAGGTTGTTGGTGTTGCTCTGGACGGGCGGGTAGTACACGACTGTCGCCCGTGCTACCGCCAGCAGGGCGAAAAGAGGGAGAAGCAGAATGGCCATCGAAGCATCTCATGGCGAACAACCGCCAAGATATAGGTGGACTGACCGTAGACATGATGCGGTTGGCCTGCCGTCAAAGTTGACGAACGTGGACTCGGCCCGCCCCGGGCCGAACAGCCGCCCTTATAAGCGCCGTCACAGTCACGTGTAGGTCATCTTTTAACAAACGACGGCGACACGCAATCATGTTCTCTGGTGGACAGTGCCAAAAGAACAACTGTGTATCGCCCAGAGCGACTCCCTACTCTTTGGCCGTCCTGCCAGAGCTTCTCTACGCAGTAGCGGTCACCTAAGTATGGTACACGCGTTGTTTCTTTAGACAGCTTTAGACCGACTACTTCTTTATATATGTCTATTTTGTCCTCCGCCTTACCCCTGTCCACAACTTCCAAACACGACTTATTACCTCGGGACTTGCGCAGCTCGTGCATGTTGGCAATTCCCGTCCCGCAAACAACTAAAACTGGATCTTCTTACAGACGGGAATCGCATCAATGTAGAACTCGACGTTCTTGATTCTTAACGTTCAGACTCATTAGGACGGCGAGCGCTGTTTGTTTTGACGAGATAATATACAAATGACACGGAACATGCTTTACGACCCCCAGTCCAAATAAAGATAACAGCAACCACAAAAAATAGCAAGGACTACTCGGTATGCTCGAGAAAACGCGACTGTGAGCGCAAGGATGCGGGTTGGGAGGTCGCCATCCACGCCGGCGAGTCAGCGCGGTCCGGTGGAAGCTCGAAAGGCTGTAAAAGTCAAGTTGGGCTGTGGAACTGCTCTCGATACGGGAAACGTACCGAATGTTGTGGTGAATCTTCGTGGGCCCGTAGTGGGACAGGTTGATACGGCGATGACATCCCGCTCCGGAGAGCAGCTCTATAGACAGCAGAGGGGGCCATGTGTCGTTGTCGTCTTCGACGAAGAACAAGCCAAACCCCAACCACAATGAGTGCCAGAGCAATAATGACCCCTATCACCACTCCAGCGATAGTACCCGCGTTGGACTTGGTTTGAGATGCGCCACGGAGTGGTTCTAAACTTGACGCAGACGGTGATGTATCGCCAACAGATGAACTCGGACTGGCTTGGGGAGTTGGGGGGACGCTCGGATTGGACGATTCCGAAGAGGGGGAGGCGGCAGCTATGGAGAAGTTGGAGTTGGCAAGGTTCACAGCATCTTGAAGGCTAAACGAGCTAGGCTGTTTCACGATTAAAGGTTTACTACTTCATGGCGAAAGATAAACGCACCGTTGGAGTAGCAGCGGCCATTGATATAGCCCATGGCGGTACTACAAACGCTAAAGAGTCGGTGAACAATTGGAACTTGATTGCAGGTTGAGAACGGACCGGAGTGGGTTGGAAGTGGGGGATTTGGATCGCTAGGCGCTAGTTAGCACAGCACGAGAGGAGTGGAGACACCAACTCACGGTATGGCCTGGCATTTTTTTACCTGAGCATATTTCATCCAGCTAAGAAAAATCCCGATGAGAATCGGACAAGCCCCGCTAAAATTCTCGAAACCTTGGATCTGAGTCGGTCTCGATACACGCATCGCAGGCAGAATTGAGAACGAAGGCGAGATTCGAGCAATTACAGGAGTCGAATGATAACGATGGGCCACCTGCAGCGCTTCAGTGGATGCTCCTTTGGAAAGGCTCCGGACATACTACATAGGTGGCTGCCCACAACACAAGGACCTTCGAAAGCGGAGTTGTCAAGGATGTCGCAATTGGGCATGAAGAAGGAGAGAAATAATAGCGTTGGGAATAACGAAGTCGGTATGTAGTGGGATAGTGGGAGAAGGAAAGCAAGGGCTGCGGTGGGTTCCGGTGGCTGGGCAGCCATCCGAACAGTTTCAGACGCCGAGCTATCAAGCGGCGTTTACCATCAGATGTCAACCTTGTGTGGGCGTTCAGCGACTTCAGTCTCAAAACAGTGGTTTTTTATATATATTCAGATACAGAGAGCGCTCAGAACTACGAGTGTTTGTTGACCCAATCTATATAGTCTGTGTTCAAGCTCATACCCACGAAAAATAGCAAGCCGTGACTGTTCTCCGACATCAGTGCAAAAAATGGCCAACAAACCCAAAACAATCCCGGTGACTGTGCAATCGCCGATGAGGCAGTTTCCTGTTGTCCCATTCTGTTCAGTACCTCCGGTATCGCCCGGAAATAGTTTCTACACCTTTATTACCCTCCCAGGAGAGACCCCACCCTCAGGATAGCCAATATTCATGGTTTCAATTAAATCATTACACAACTCGTCAACTCGGTCACCCCACTGGTTAAGCAACTCAGGACGGGTACCTTAGACACCTGGTACAATGCTAGTAAATACCATAAAGAACTATTTCCGGGCGATACCGGAGGTACTGAACAGAATGGGACAACAGGAAACTGTGATTACTGCCTGGAAGAAAATGCCATTGCTGCTTGGTTGTTGGAGAAAAGAAAGAAATGTTTGACATCAGATCATGATATAATACACTCATCAAGTAAAAAGTAAGCTACAAAGGTTGTCTATAACCTTGACCCATTAGGCGCACTGGGGCGGCGCGATAGATAGCGGCTGAGTCAAAAATAAAAGCATCCAAATCAGAGTCGCTATCCGAGTCGTCGTCCGAATCCTCCGTCGGACTGACCGCCCCAACCCTGAAGACGTCACGGAAGGGCGTCTGCGGCAAGTCATTAACCGCTTCAGACGATATCGACTTGGCCAGGATCGCCGCAACGCGCGCTTCCAGCCGGCGATTCGGGATGGTAAACGATTCAGACTGCTCATCGTCCTGGAAGAAAGTCGTCAAGTCGTGCAAGTTCTGCACCAGGCCGCCCAGATCCTCTTGCAACGGGCTCATCGCAGCCAAAGCCTCCACCTCTGGCTCGAAATCAATCCGCGAGGGTCGAGATGGCATGGAGCAAGTATCGAATACCGCCATCATATTCGATCGACAGGTCGCCCGGAGGGAATCGGCCCGGACAACACACCACCCAGACGGTTCAGGGACGCCAAACACAGTCGCGGCGGAGTTGACGTCCTTGTGTAGTGACCGGGCGTGCATACTCATCCGAAGGACATGCTTCGCGGGAAGACCACCAGACATGGTCATCGGTTCCTCCAGCACTTCAAGGGCTTGTGGTGCAAGATCAGTCTCCAACAGTCGCAACAGCGGCATCAACAGCTCGGAGCCAAGCAACTCGCGCGTCTCCCGCTGCTGGAATAACACCTTGAGAATTTGCATGGCGTGGACCCGAAGCCAGCGCTGACGATTCAACACAAGCCCCAGCAGCAGAGTCACGATCTCTGTCCAGTAGTCTGTCCCGTAATGCTCACGGAGACTAGCAACCGATTGGCGCAAAAAGTCGTCTCTGGTGCGGAAATGGCCTTTCGCGAACGAGTTCATGATCTTCTGGATGCTCTGTCGTCCTTCTTGCTCCGCCAAAACACTGATGTTCTCAGCAAACTCCTTGAGCTCTGGGTCATTGGGTGTGTCGGGGTTCATCGCATGGAGACAACAGGGGAGGGCCAATGTGTATAGATCTCGAACGCGACCCGTAGTAGGATCAATAATACGGTCATCCTGGGCTTGTGTCAGGGCTCGAAGAGTCCTCATCGTTGCGTCAAATGTCGTCGAGGACCTTAATCCGGTCAAAAGCACGGGCTGTAGGAATTCCGGGCCCTCCCAGCCCATGGGTTGCTGCGAAAGCAGCAGTTCAGCCGTACTGGGGTCATCAAAGTTGATTCGAGGCAACAAGCGCTCCAGAATCCGCAGCGTTTGGGAGAATTCATGCTCCTCCGTCGTGGAAAGAGCGGCGCAAGTGGACCAGAACATTTGCGGAAGCATTGTCTTCTCGACATCTGGCACCATAGCATACATAGTCCGGAGAATTTCGGTTGTGAATGCCTTTATGTTATCGTCAGGCCCAGCAATCGTGTTGGAGAGTCGACCCAGGAGGAGAGCAAGGTCTGCTGACGTAACACCGACCATGATTGCACGATAAATTTGCAACGAACGGAAAGCTGTTGCCCGAATCGAACAAGAAGTTCCCCAGTAAAGCGCCAATGAGCCCCATAACTCAGGCAGTTTCGGACAAAGGGGCAGCATCAGCCGCACGACTTCCCCAGAAAGCCACTTCATCTTGGGCTCGACATCAACACCACCCTCATCTTCCTTCCAGTACATGGACGCGGCCTCTGACTCGAGCCTGGATATGGTTGCTTTGAGTGCGGTCCGACTTGGGTAAGCAGCACGGTCCACAAGCTCGTCATAGCCTGGAACCCAAGACCTTAATATTTGGAAGAGCATTCGCTGCGCCCTTCCACGAACGAAGGGAATACGGTGATCAAGATGCGCAAATACGGCATGTAGAAGAACCGGCAATTGTGGTTTGAGCTCCCAATAGCGCGGCAAAGCAATGTCTGCCAGAAATAGCCATGCGAATTGAGCTGAACCAAGCGATATTTTCGGTTCATCTGACGCAAATAAGGCATCGAGATCGGCCCATAGCTCCATGTCATCTGCATCCGGGAAGGCCAGTTTGTGGTCAATGGTGGGTAGCATTCGCGCTGGCTCAACGACGGAACACAACTCTTCAAATATTTGCCGTCCAACACTTGTTTGACATAAAGAGGCAACAATATTGGCCGCGCATTCGATGAAGATAGTACTTCCGACTTTGTGTGATTGTTCTAGCAAGAACCTCACAGTCGCATGACCATTCGATTGATGTGGGGGCTCGACCAAACGCGTCCAAAGAACGGTGATTTGTTCTGAATGGCTCTTGCCAAAGCGCAGCATAAGCGCCATGAGGTGGTATAGCGCAGAATGACCTTCTCGTGACAGACTGATCTTATCCTCCGTCATCAACTCGATATTTGAGATCCAGAACTCCAAGCTTTGTAGCAGAAAGAGCGGCACGTTTGCGACTGATGACGTATTATGTAGTTGGGCTAGCCAATGGGCAAACTGGATGAGGATTGGCGCTGCCTGGTTTGGGTGCTCCCCAGCAAGGAAGTCGGAGATCAAACGATGGGCATGGACGTAGGTTCCTGGAGCCTGGCTAACGGCGGATGCTTCGAATTGTGACATAGTGAGCAGACCCGATGTTTGCTGGTGAATGGCCTCAAGCATGTTGAAGGCATTGCTACGAATCGGAAGATGCGGATGACATAGGTTCGAGAGACCGAGGCAGACGATTTGCGCAAACGTGAAAGCATGGTTGTCATGATCACAAACGATCTCAGAGATGACCTCGAAGAAAAGTATGCTGCTCGAGTTTGTCCTGTCTGTTAGGACAATGGCCCGTCGTAAGGAGTCCGCTATCAAAATGCTATCGTTCGTGTTGGCAGCCAGCAATGCACGAAGTGCTTTCCTAGAAGTAAGTTCATTAGCAAGGTTTATTCCCCAATAAAGACAGGACGAACTTTCCCCGAGTCTGGGTTGGACCATGATCAGACGAAAGAATAGCACCGAATCGCTCCAAAACGCCATGTGCGGAGAGAGGTCTCAAGAATTCAGGGGGTGTTCTATCTACAGGAGATTCAGACGAAAGGTCGGAGGGGAAGTATGCCTTTTGCTGGAAAGGCTCAGCGAGAATAGAGGGCCGTAAATGCAGTACTTACGCAAAGAGAAGCCAATGCACCCACAGATGCTTGAGAAAGTAGCAGTGTTTCTGTTTGGAACCGCGTCGCAGACTGACTACTATCCAGGTCAACGGAGGAAGGGGACGCTGCGGCTCTTTGCATGAGAATGAATCGTTGCTTTACACCTTCAGCTTGTGGTCCAAATTGACACCACTCCTCGCATAACCGATACAATGACAGGTGCATATTTGGTGGAATAAAGCGATCTGAATCAGTGAGACCAGCGAGGCCATCGAAAAGACGTTCCACCGTGCCACAAAAGTATCGTCGGAGTCGTTGGAGGGAGTAGTTATCTCGCATGTCTGCGGCAGTCAGAAAGGCTTGCGTATTCCGCACAAATTTGAGGACATTTGCGAGGGCCGCCTGGCGACCAGCAGAGCGTTGTAATTGAAGGTAATGGGCGGTGAGATAATATATTCGAGCAACAGCAGAGTACAGGCGCTCCTGCCGGCGAGTCCGATCGCCGATAGCAGCAGCAGTTGGTCTGAATTTCTCTTCATGGAATTGACGGGGAGTAAGAATGTTCTGGTCAACGGTGAGCGTGGGTCCTGCTTTCGATCTCGGATCATCATAAAACTGGCGCCCCGCAAGAAGGCTGAGGTCATCGAGAAGTTGGGAATATCCACCAGCGGGGAAAGCGCTGATGCACAAAACAGCAGCATCACGGAATGGCGTGTATTCGGAGTCCAAGAAGGGCGTCAGATACCTGAACAGCCCTCGCGTGGTCGACAAGCGCTCACGCTCGAAATTCATATCAGACGGGGCGCGCGAATGGTCTCGTCCAATTTGTGTCATTGCAGCTCGGTGTGATTCTGAAAGAGTGGCTGTCGAGCAAAGGATTTTGACCCAGACATGCCATTGGTCAATGTGTATCTTGTTGTCCCTTACAAGACGGGGTCCATCCTTCTCCACCGTACCCGGCGTTCGATTTGTCAGCCCGGCAGGTGACCGACTGCTGAGACCAGCAACGTGCGAGATGGTGGGATGATACTTGTTCACAGCGGCCACAACTGTGTCTCGAAGAGAGATTATTGACGAATGTGAATGCTCCATGCAAATGCGCATAAAGATAGGGAAGAGATGGTGCCAAATCTTTCGGTCGTGTTCGTTGCTGCTTTCAGCAATTCGCAGCGGAATATCGATTCGTTTTGATTGCACCCATTGATCCAGACGGGCGATATCGGGTTTGTCAAGCAGCTCTTCGAAGCCTTTCAGATATGATTTATTCCCACCCTTCCCTTGAAGGAGTTCAACAAGAGGAAGGAATGACACCGGCGGATCTGAAGGTGAGAGTGGGTCTGACGAAAATTTGGCAACAAGTTGACCAAGGAGGCGAATAACTTTGCAACCGAGGCTATGGATAAACCACGCTTCAGACGACAAAAGAAATAATGCACCAGACTCCACCCCGTTGCAGCAGTCCAAGATGGCGGCTTCATCCTCCGCAAGCGACTCAGGGGTTCGACCAAGGAGATCGTTGACCCAAGTTTCCACCAGTTTGTGCCACAGATTCAGTAGTGAAGCCGAGTTAATGAGTAGCTTCAATCCAGAACCTTCGCGCGCTATGTGTTGCGGGTCAAACAGGAAGTGGGTGAGCCTCCCGATGACTATGGTACCAGCCGTAGAGTCAGACATGAAGCGCTTTAATGCGGCAGTGGCGACCTCTCCAACTAGCGGCTCGATATGTATAACACCACGCACAAGCATGTCGACAGCATCGGTCATAGGGAGATTGGGATGCAAACAGCGAGGCCATGACTGGAAGCAAGTCTGAAGCATGCTTATTTGCGGAACAAGGCTGTTGGGGTACGCAACTCTTCCACCTTCGGGATGATGGCGAATGGCGTAGTTGTGTGATTCCTCGTACGCTGGGTTGATGCGAGCGTATGACCATTGTTCGTCAAATATTGACATGTGACCGACAGAAGAATTGCACGTGGTCGCGATTGTGACTAAGGCGGAACCACAACGATCAAAAAAGCCTTGCATGCCAGGTTTCGCAAGGAAGGCAGGCGGGATAAACTCAGAGGATGAGGGATAGTCTTCCCAAGACGGGAAGGCAGTAAAGTCGTTGGAGCTCGGCCACGTTGGTGTCGGAGAGTCTTTCTCTATCCCATGAATGGACAGTAAAATGGCTTGGATCGCGATTGCAGTGCGTTCAGGAGCAAGCTGGTTACTTAAAGTTCCGGATTGGCTGATGGCAGGCTCTTGCATAAGCTCCAAACAGAAATCGCGCCCAAAGTCAAAATGGCGGGATAGAACGAAATGCGTGATGTAGATGAAAGGCTCAAGATGATCATCAACTGGGTAGACTGCCACTCGGTTCGCGGGGAAAAAATGGCGTAACAGCGTGTCGAGCTTCGTTTGTGTGGTTGACGCAGATTCTTGGCAACGGTAGAGATAGGTCCAAAGTAGGCGTATCATGCCGTTCATGACTGCAACCCGAAAGGGCTTTTCCTAACAAAGGATGAGAACAGGTCTTAAGAGAGATATTATGACATACCTTGACCTTCGAAAGTGCCATCTCGAAACAAGGAATCCAATTCTTAAGAAAATAGGCCTGTGGTGCAACACAGAGAGACGTGATGACCAAAGGAAAGGCAATGTTCCAATAGCGCGGTTTCGCCACCATTTCTCTAGCTTTAGGATAAATTAATTCAATTGCTTTAGCCCATTGCGGATTATTGGTCTCTGCTTGCGCAGTCTGGTTATAAGATTAAGTTGCGGTCAGCGACAGCAAAAAAATATGCACCTTGCTGATCGGATGCAGAAGCTTGACCAGAATGTCCGCAAAAGCGATCTTCAGTCTGAACCCATGCGCCTGGACGAACGACTTCGACAATGACTCTAAAAATTCTGCTCCCTCCTCGAATGACTCGGGTGGCCAGACCTACGGGGAGTCAGGGCGAATCGGGGGACACCAGAATGTAAGGACCTTGATTTGAATATGATTTAACCCCTTCACAAGATTTTCATACTTCATGTCAAGGTCTTTGGGGACCTGGCCTTGAGCCACGGGTCCGAGCTCTGCCAAGAAGCGATCTGTTACACTCACGAAACTATCCAGTAATGAGAGGGAGAGAGCGACTGGTTTTGGCACTCACCGAACATTTGCGAGATGTCCCAGCAATGTCGAGTAAAGCTCTGCGTTCATTCGATGGTTGGCCGACTGGCTCAGAAGCTTCAGATCAGGTTTGCGGAACTGTTCGAATGTCGTCTCTTCCAAGCTATAGCCCATGGTCTCTCCTAACGCATCCTTTGAGATTGACTGCAAAACCGCTATGAGTGCTCGACACATAACGTAGATGGAAGCAAGCGATTTCCTCTCGTTCAAAAGCGCAGGGACATCATGCAACCGAACTCTAGCAGGGCTCGGCGATTGTGTGTGTGTCCTGATAACATCAGAGCCGACGTTTTCGGTTTGGCTTCGTCGCCAGCGCATAATTGAGTCTACGACTGCCTTTGTGTGCTTTTGAGCAATCTTGCCTAGGGAATCGAGGACATCATCAAATTTGGAGTCGACGCCGGGACCCATAAAATCGACGAGTAATGGTTCGTGGTCCTGTCAGTATCGATTGGTTCAAAACTTCATGAACTTCACTTGGCTTACAAAAGGTTCCTTCAAAAAGTTTTCTATCTTGGCTTCACATGACGCTGCGAATCGGATGAAAACGGCGTGAAGCGCGTAGTCAGACGGGGTCTTTGGGTCCATGACCACTTTGTCTTCCTCATAATCCGGTGTTTCACTCCGAAGAACAGCACCGAATGAGTTTGGAACGCGTGGGACGGGGGGTGGAGAGGAGGAATAACCCGGATTAGGGCCATAATCGCTGCCTCCATCAGAATAATGGAATATAGACCCAGTCTGAGAGTGATTCGATTTCGCGTATCCATGCCCTTTAGTCTTGGAGGCGGGGGTTGCTGGTCGGTGGTATGGCGGACTGGTTGTTACCGCACTGGGTGCTCTCGAACTGTGGTTTAAGGAAGTATTCGAGCGATTGAATGGGTTCTTCAGCGCCGGATACGCCTGATTCTCTATGTGAGGGACCGGAGGAGCGTCGCTAGACTTGGCACCGGTCTTGAAAGCAGCACGAATGGAGGCAAACGAGCTCTTCTTCGTGAAACCAGTAGGGGCCGCAATGGAAGAATGCGTCGAGTGTGAGAATGGTGTTGACGGTTTGGATGCGTATCGAGTTGATATCGAATGGCCAGAATCCTCCGACGCTACTGAATCTCCTCTTGAATGGGAAGGAAAGAACGCGCCACGGTCAATGGGAGTCACGGTCGTGGGTGAATCTTGGCCCGTGCCAAACCCTCCAAAAAGTCCATGCCCGCCAGTTCTGCCGAATGGAATGGGAGTGCTGTTGAACTCGTCCTCATCGAAATCTAATGTCTACTTCAGCATTCTCCGACTTTAGAGCCTGATAAACGGACCTGGGATTGTAATTTGAATGCTCTCGCTGAGGCTCATGGCCACGCACAGCGAAGCACTTGACCAGCAGTGCGAACCTAAGAAGAGAAAGTGTCCAGGTCGAGATTGTTGCCAAGGGTATAAAGTCACAGAGGTCCGTGACTGTTACATCAACGCTCTCTTTTTGACAGTACCTCCAGGTCTACGTTTGACGACCAGCGGAGGTGATTCTGGGTGCGGAGATTGACCTGGTTGAGGTTATAGAATTCGTACTACTAGATTTAGTTGTCGTATGAATGTCAGACCTTATCCACAAGTACAAGAAGTAAAAAAAAAACTATGCGTTCTCCTCAACCCAGTCTTCGAAGTCTCTGAGCCCACTTTTCTCGTCCACTATTTTGGTGGACGTTCCCAAGAAGGTTACCTCTCCACCCTCCCATGTGTCGAACTGGAAAATGCCTTTCTCGCCGCTGCATTCGAGTCCTCCCATTTCCGTCCGCTCACCCTCCTCCCCAAGGCCCTCTACTCCAACACCCCCCGACTGCGCTAGTCTCCGTTTCTCTAGTTCTCTTTCGAGGATGGTTCTGACCCTGCTGATGGCCTGTGTCGCTGACGAGGCGCTGGATTTGACAAGGTCCGACTTATGCGCAAGAATCACCAACGAGGGCAAGACCTGCGACGGGGGCAGAGACCTAATCGCATTGAGCACAATATGGAGATGCCTGAATAAAGTTATTTCAGCTTAATCCCGGACAAGGAGCGCAGAGACACACTCTGCTACGACAGGACCGTTCCGTGAAACTGTGCTCGCATCTACCACGAAGGCAATCGCTTTGGCGTCGGTGATGAACTCATTGACTTGGTTTCGGATGCGAGGGTGGCCTGGAATGTCCACAACTGTCAGAGCTTTCTTGGGTAAAGCGATTACAGAAGAGTTCGTCTGGAGGGATGTATGCGTTGGCAGCGGTTGGTTGTAGACCAGCTGTAAGATGTGTCAGAATAAGCAGGAGTGGAGATTAGTGGCCTACCGTCGAAAGAATGGCAGTTTTCCCTGCATCTGGAGGGCCAACGAGAAGTAAATGTTGTCCTGCCGCTCGGGATCGGCGTCGAGTGAACAGGAAAACAACTAGAGTTGACTTAGAGAATAAATGGTGAGGTAGTTCTGACAAACATGCGAGAACAACGACCGCTAGAATGAAGGAGGCTACACCGAGGGTTTGTGGTGAAAAGGTACTCGTCACTGGTATAATCTCTGCGTCGATGGAGTCGGAGTCCATGATGGATAACGGTCACATGATTGTGAATTAAAACGCGCAACACGTAAAATGCTGGTCCTTTTGGAAGCAGTACCAATTCTCTCTAAAGAAAATTGGCGGGGAAGGTAGTAGCCAGATGCGAGTCTAGCAAAATGTATATAAAATGGGTGGTATTGATTAGCGAACGGTAAAGTAAAACTAGCCCCTCTACAACTTAAAACAATCTCTTACGCCGACGACCGTTGGGGTCATTAACGTCTCCGTCAATCTCGGTCGTGGCAGTAGCATCTGCGGCGCTGTCCGTTGCGGATAAGTCATCAGAACTATCTGTAGAGTCATCAGAGTCATCGCTAGAGGCAGCGTCCGTCGCTTCGCTGTCTGCTGCATCGGTGGTAGAAGCGGATTCTGTTGCTGTTTCTTCACTGGTATCAGCACTAATTGTTGCAGTTGCCTGTTCAGAGTCTGAACCCAAGATAGTGTTCGGCGCTCCCGGGAGGTTCCTCAAGTCGGTAGAATAGAAGCTCGAGACACACTCGCATGTACGGAGGTTAGGAGAGCGACCAAATGGACAGGAAGCGTCTAGTAACTTATCAGCATCGACCTTTTGTTCTGGAATTCAACACTGACCATCGCCAAACGGAGTGATGGGATAGTTGGGCCCTCCGTATAGGCCAGGGGTTACACCTTCAGCTTGTTGGTTCCAAATTCCATAGATTTCGATGTTTGTGGGCTGCGAGTTGCAGTACGGTGTGGAAGGATAAAATCCATACAACATGACAGATTCGCGTGGGAGTTGTCGATAAGAGACGGCAGCATCCACAAAGTCTTGCCAATTGTCGCATCCACTGCTCTTTGCCCAAGAAATCATGCGGTCCGAGACGCTTTGTTGGTCACAGACATCGGCTTCTGCAGACAGTGCGTCAAAACTGTCGAAGCCCAAGTTGATGCAGTCGTCATATAAGCTCGACCCCAGGTTAGAGCAAAGCCCCCACCAGTACTCCTGGAGGTCACTATATCCCCATCGGCGTGTAATATTAGCGGAAACGGTCGAACTCGAGTCGAGTAGATCACTGTCGGGATCGTCGGAGGGTAAATCAGCATCGCTGATGGTCGAGTTGTCGCTGCTTGCAATGACCGTCGAGTTGTCCACTGAGGCGAGCCCAGGATCGGAGATAGATATGGGTTGGCTGCTGATGGAACCACTTGAAGAGCATGAAGAGGGTATATCAAAGTTGCTGATGGCATAAGTGATAAATAAATACGATGAAAAAGAATGCAACACACCTTGCCATAGCATGGCGCCGCACTGCACCACTCCCGAGGGGAACTGCGGACGATAAGAGAGCCAAGGCGAGCGGGACGGAGGCCAAAAGGAGTTGCATGATGTCAAGTGCGATTAGATGCCCAGGCTAGCTAGAAATGAATGTGGAAGAGCTTCCTGGCTCAGAGAAAGGGAGAAAAATGAAGAGGAACGAAAGTTGATGTGAATTACAGTGTCCCGGGCATTTTAAACGAGCATCGACATAGATAGATTGACAGCGAGTTGAGCGATACAAGTATCAGCTTGTCTTGCACGACGGGTGTCAACCTGAGCACGCTGAGTCCCTACTCCACGCAAACAATTGCCGCCCATCTAACGCAGAGCCACTCGGCCAGACAGGTCGAGCATCGAGGTACATCAGGCGATTGTGTCGTTACCATTGCTGAAAGTCTAGGTCGAGGTTGACAAACAGGCAGCCTGACTCGGAAGACCAATTTGAGCACTGCCGTCGGCGCGACAGCTTCCAGTCGCATTAAGGGCTGTCTTGCCACATTCCGCACTCATAGCCAAAATATTACCGGGTCGTAAAAGTGGCTTCTGAGCGAGATGGTGTGGATGCAAGTTTAGTTCTACGTCACGTGTAGGCGAAATAAAAAAAAATTACCTTTTCCGAAAACTTTCGGTATGGCTGCTTCGGCAAGCTCTAGGGACACGCCTCCACCGCGCAAAAGGCAAAGAACGACTTCAATTCGTAAAACTCAAGCCGAACTTCGACTATTTGTCCCTTTTCGTGCTCTTGGTCTAATCACAGACAATGTCCCCTTCGTTCTCCAAACCCGATCGCACAAAGGTGCAACCGACGGGCCGCGAATACACATACTCACCTGCCTTGGGAGGTCTTGGGCGCTGTGGGAAGGTGGTAAAATGACCTTGTTGTTCGTTGGTTCGTTGGTGGTCCACTGTGGTGAACGTTTTCTGATTGTACCCAGGTCCCGATGCTCCGGACAAAATCTCGTGTCTCGCTATGGATGGCGACGCCGTTTGGATTGCATCTGGTCCACATGCTATAAAATATCTTCGGGGTAAAGAGGTGCGTGAATTGACGTCGGTAATCCACTCATTCCATTGACTGAATTTGGTAGGTTCTACGCGGAACAAACCCTCTGGGAAGCCCACTTTCCTTCATAACGATATTTGGGTTGCACCTTCTTGCGCTCACAGAAGATGGTCGCAGGTTGATGCTATGGGAAACTTCTACCGGAGGTATTGGCCTAGTTATCCCTTTGCCCGCAACTGATAACGGACAGAATTGGACTCAACAATCGAATTCGAAACTGAGTTTACTGCCACTCAAATACTTCATCCTGCTACATATCTGAACAAAGTCCTTGTTTCGAGCTCGCAAGGCGCGATTCAACTTTGGAATATCAAAACTCAGTGCGTGACATGCGATTTTCTGGAGTCTCCCGTTTAACTTGCCTTAGAACATGCATCCACAAGTTTCCACTCGCCAGATTAGTTTCTTCGCCCAATGCACCACACACTGCCATCACGGCTCTCACTCAATCTCCCGCGATTGACGTTGTCGGAATTGGTTTTACTTCTGGAGAAATATCCGTCTACGATGTACGCGCAGACGAGCGTTTGATGCGAATGACCATGGAGGGCGGGAGCGTCCGAGCCCTAGGCTTCCGAACAGGCGCGTAACTTGCGTGTCTTTTTTTCCGGCGTCAATCGACTCATGTGGACCCTCAGATGGGCCACCCATACTGGCCTCCGCTTCGTCTACAGGCCACATAGCGCTCTGGGATCTGAATGAGGGTGGACGGCTTCTCCATATGGTACGCGGAGCACATGATGGGGCTATTACTGCTCTTGAATGGATCCCGGGGCAACCGGTCCTCGTCACCTCCGGAGAGGACAACAGCGTAAAAGTAGGACTTGCGAGTGTCCAATATGCAACTCTCTAACTTGCTTAGCAATGGATATTCGACTCTCCAACTTCAGCTCCGCGACTGCTCAAATTTCGAAGTGGACATCATGCCCCTCCGCATCTTATTCGATACTATGGAGATGACGGTAAACAATTATTGAGCGCCTCTCGGGATCGCAGTCTTCGATGTACCTCCGTGGTTCGGGACTCGCGTTCATTCGAACTTTCGCAAGGTTTGGGATCGAGTGGGTATTACGGGACTGCTTATAATGCCTTATAGGTTCCTTGGCCAAGAAGGCTACCTCTCTCTCCATTCCTCTAGCTTCCCTCAAATTTCCTCCCATCACCTCAATATCATACTCCGCTGCCAGGGCTAAAGATTGGGATGATATCATTACAGGACATGCTGACGAGAGCTTCGCCAGGACTTGGACGATGCTCAACAAGAAACTAGGCAAGCACAGTCTTGGTTTTGCAGACACCAAGGGCAAATCTAAAGAACGGGCGCTCCTCGGCTCAGTTAAAGTCAGTTTTCTCTTGCAAATATTGAGCCACTAATTGATGACATTCGGTAGTCCGTTTGCGTCACTGCATGCGGAAATTTTGGATTGGCCAGCTCTTCGACTGGGGTTATTCACCTCTGGAATTTACAATCTGGAATTCTGCGTAAAGCATTTGATATAGGACCATGTCCTAGCGATATTGCTAGCCGCCTTCAACAAGGCAAACGAAAGGAAGGACGTAGTGTGACTGGTCTAGCGACTGACCCTCTGAACACAACCGTCATCGCAAGTACACTGGACGGTACAATCAACGTCTGTCTAACCATTTTGTCCCCCCCTATGTGATCATTGACCATAGTTTCAGTTCTTCGATTTCCACACCACCAAACTTGAGCACACCCTCACATTACCATCAACGGCCGTTTCAATTCTTTTACATCGCGATAGCGGCCTTTTAGCGGTCATTTGCGACGACATGGTCGTGCGTGTTGTCGATATTGAAACACGGCGAGTCGTTCGTGAGCTTGGTGGCTTTCGAGGTCGCATTCTGGACATGGTGCGAATTTTCAAACTACAATTCCACCCTCTGATTGCTCTCTCCACAGACTTTCTCTGCTGACTCGCGATGGCTGGTAGCTACGTCTTTGGATTCGGTCATACGAACCTTTGACGTGCCTACTGGTCGCTTGATCGACGCTTTCCGCACATCCAGCGTTGCCACGAGCCTCTCGTTTTCCCCAACGAATGACTTCCTGGCCACAACTCATGTTGATAGCGTCGCAGTCTATCTTTGGTAGGTGAAGCATTTGCAGCATCTCGGCTCGTTCATAGTTCATAGGGCCAATCGCGCTCAGTATGCCGAGGTTTCTTTCCGTAGCGTGTCGGACGATGATGTTCTGGACGCAAAACTCCCTTCGGTTCAAGGAACTGCCGAAGATGAAGGTTAGAATAGATGACTGTTTCCTAACGTGCTAAATGTCCTGGTTAGCTTTGGATGCCCTGTCGGCACTAACGATGCAAGAGACAGCAGATGACCCGTTTTCCACTCCTCCACAACTTGATGGCGATCTTGTAACATTAACATTACTGCCCCGTTCGAGATGGCAAACTCTGTTAAATCTCGAAGTCATCCAAGTAGGTTTTAGTTGTGTGACCTATCAACAGCTATTTACGAATCCATTCAGCAACGAAACAAACCCAAAGAGCCACCGAAAGCCCCGGAGAAGGCGCCATTCTTCCTCCCAACAGTTCAGGGTGTAGAACCTCGCTTTGTTGTCTCAGAAAAAACCGCACAATCTAAAAAGGACACGAAGCGGTTGAACAAAGTGGCAGCCGGAGTTCAGAGTGTTTTCTTCGAGAAACTCGCCGATAATGAGGGGTCTGAAGATTGTAAATCTCTTTGTTTCTGCTCCCAATGAATGCCTTGCTGAAATCATATGCAGACGAAGATTTCTTTGGTTTCCTCAAGACCCTGTCACCAGCGGCCATAGACCTGGAAATTCGTTCTTTGGTCACGTTGGATTCGCTTACACGATTCGTCGTAGCTCTCACCTACCGGTTGAGATCAAGAAAGGACTTCGAAGCTGTTCAAGCTTTTCAAAATGTGTTTCTGCGGATCCATTCAGACGTGATAATCGAGAATCCTGAACTGGAGGTAGCTTTACATGAGCTCCAGGAGACTCAGCGCAAGGAGAGCGAGCGCGTTCTTGGGTTAATAGCTTCTTCGCTAGGAACTCTAAGTTTCGTTCGCGAAACTTTGCACTAGTTAGCAGTGACGTAAGCTAGCTTGTACTCTTTGCTCTCCACTTTTTATGGGTGATGAGCCGAATTCTCGTCTGTGGACTGTTGCTTCCGGGACCTTTCTAGTCTGCAAGTCGTTATTACTCGATTGCCTGGCTCAGTGAACGAATGTCAGGCAGCTTTTGCCAGCACTTGTCTGACGGGTCTCTACGCGACATTTCGCTCCCAACCTTATGCGCGTCTCGCAACTGCTGCTGCATTTAATAGCACAGTAACTGCGGCCACGTTCTTTAGTGAGTCCCTTTGTGGTTCTGGCCTACGATGTTCAACGCACATTAGGCATTCGGGAATACCTGGTCATTCCCGCTCGACAACAAATTCAAGACTCCCCACCGAGTCCATCCGAGCTCTCTTGGACTGACCTCCGCACTCACCACTTGGTGGATAGCGGCATAAGCGGGGTGGTCACTGGCGGACTGATACGAGGGCTGACTGGTGTGTGGAGGGTTCATCCGTTTTGTCAAGCAAATTGACCGATTTTCAGCTGGGCGGCGTGTTGTTCTACCTGCTGCGCTTACCGTCGGTGCGGTCTCCCTGGTCCTGCAAGGCGCGTACAATGAATTACACGTTCAACGAATCAAATATATCGGGAATGCTTCGAGGCAGCCAACAGTCGTGCCCGTTGTCGTGGAGCCAGACAAGCGGCCACTCAGACAGAGAATGTTGGAAGCAGTGGGAATACGGACGCTGTCGAATGAGGAGATACTCGACAAACTTAAACAGGAGCGCGAGCGACATCTGGCCAGGATAGCTGAATTAGAGGCGGAGTTGAAGACAGAAAAGTAATCTAATCCCAAATTTCTATAATTCCCTTCGAGTCGGAGGTCAAGCCAGCGACAACCGTGTGTTCCTTGACCCGCAAAACCACGTTGACTTTGGCAACTCCAGTTTGCTGCTCGTGGCTTTTTGTGATTCGCAGTCCCTCTTCTTGTCGGGACAGGGTAAACTCCATCAGGGTGCCGAGGAGTGTCGACACGAGTAAGGCTGAAGAGTTTAAAAAAGCCCTGCCAACGAATCAAGTCGCGATTCGTTAATAATTGACACCTACATAGCGACAATGGGACCCTCGGCGACTTTCTCGACGACCTCATCATCAGGATTCAGGCCCTCCCATTTCCTTGACCGTTTCTTTTTTGTTGATTTATCGGCGGGATCTCCTTTATCTCCACCAAAACCTATCCACAATTGACCATCCGCCGTGCCGACAGCCATAGCGCCGGTGGGACTTAACGCGGCAGACATAACGAATGGAGGCGATAAAGAAATGCCCTCGGAAGCTGGTGCAGCTGCTACGACCAATGAATAGACGAAACAAGCATCGGACAGACACGCACTGAGATCGCGTCGAGAAAGGGTCGTTCCCAAGAGAAAATCGAAGTGTAGGATGGCGCTGTCGTAGCCAGCGCTGACCAACTCGCGTGGTCTGTCTGGGATGAAGCGCACAATACCACATATCTTTTGTGCACGATAAGCAGTCTAAAAGTGCATCAGAAAGGCAGAACTTACACTAGAATGCCTCGTTTTCATCCGCTGAACACTGCTGGTCGAGAGATTGACAACTCCGACAGCACCAGAGTCGGTACTGAAGGCCATATGTGATCCGGACACACCCAGAGCTAGCTAGCTAGTTTAATTTGCATTCGCGATGCTAACAAACAACGCACCTCGTTCAAAACATCGTCTTCATCTTCGCCCAGGGTTAGTACGAGAGCAGCGTCTGAGGCATTTTGCACGAGCTTTTGACTGCTCATCGAGAACGCGTAGGCTGCGCGACCACAAGCCAGCCAAGCACTTGTGTCTGAACAAGCGATGGATGATATTTCGTTAGGCAATCCACGGATTGCATGGACGAGTTTCCACGTGGCCGAGTCAAATATTCGCACCGAGCCATCGTCAGAGCCCGCGAAGAGTCGTTCGGACTGGTCGACAGCAAGTGCAGATATTGGACAAGGTGTTTTCAGCTGGTGGTTCATCAGAGAGGGCATCAATCGACTCATCATCAAATCGCAATCAAGGTGTGATTTTTTGAGATTTTTCTCTCTTTGCCTCCATGTCTTCCCTCGACCAGCACAAGAAGCCCGACCTGGAAGACTCTGTGGTGACGGAGACCTTCAACCAGGATGAAATCCAACTGGTGAACAACCTAGAGGGCAGCCTGGGTTAACCCTACGCATCGGTAATGTCTACTTGGTGACAAAACTGGAATGGGCTGCGGGTATCCTTACTACTGTGTTCTACCGTTGGCTGGTTAGAAGGCGGCAGGGTGGACTTCTACTGAATCGGAATCCCTTCTGCCGCTTGCTAGCCAGCCTATTCTCTCCGATAAGCGGTAGAACGCAGTAGTGAGGATTGAGATTATACCGCTCGAACCTGATCAGCGCTCATACCTGCGTAGGGAAGCCCCCAGTGTCACTCTAACCTTTTCAGCTCTTTCGAGAGCGTCCTAGCAGACATAACTGACCTTCTTTCGTAGCAAAAACTTGGATACAAACAGGTATGGATCCCCGAGTGGTAATTTTTGGCTAATAGACCTCTATAGCAACTCCATCGCAGCTGGAACCTTATCGAGAGCTTTGCCGCTAGTTTCTGCGCACTCAACTTCATTGGCGGTGTCAGGTAACACAATCCGAATTGAATCGAGCCCTCTTGACACCTATGCAGGTCCGCATTCTTCCTTGGGCTTCTTGCTGGTGGCCCAGCAGCCCTCTGGTCATCTTATATCATCACCATCGTCTTCATGCTCATCACCGCTGCTGTCCTTGCTGAAATCTGCTCCGCTCTGCCACTTAGTGGGTCCATCTATATTTGGGCTGCGGAAAGTGCCGGGCCGAAATATGCGCGCTTCTTCGGCTTCGTCGTTGCTTGGTGGTCATGTACAGCGTGGATGACCTTTGCAGCGGGTAACTGTCAGGTGCGTTGACCTGTCTGCGACAGTATGAATAAGCCTTATCCCGATGCATAGACGACAGCGAACTATATCGTCTCGCAACTTGCTGTCTGGGAGATCGATTTTCCTGGCGGAGCAACGAGCACAAATGTGAAATGGCGCGCTCTCATTTGGGCCGTATCTGAAGCTTTGCTCGTTGTGGCGGTGGCCATCAATTACCTCCCTCCCCCGTCTTTACTCCGCAATATTCCGTTTCTCAGTCCTTCTTATGATGGTCGACTTTCTGCTCTGCGTCATCTGGCTGCCAATTGGGGTATCCAAAACATATGGCTTCCGGAGCGCCAAAGATGTGTTCACGATGACTTGTGAGTTTCTGATTTAGGTCAAGAGAAAGACACTCATATATGTCAGATAACGGGACCGGAGCTCCAGCTGGGTGGAACTGGATCTTGTCGTTGTATGCCATTACTCTTTTTACTACCTTCCAAGTTTTTATCAACATCTAGCCTCTTCACTGCTGGAACTTTGACCGGTTTTGACGCTTCTGGACATATCGCAGAGGAGACCAAGAATGCCAGCGTTGTTGCAGCTAAAGGCATCTTTACCTCGGCACTTGCGACAGGGATATTTGGCTTTATCACCGCTATCCTATTTCTATTCTGTACCCCAGACCTCGATACGCTTTTTGCATTAGAAGCGCCTCAGCCTTTCGTGCAGATTTATGCGCTGGCTCTGGGGAAAGGACCCAGCATTTTTATGACAATCATAGCTGTTGTGGGCCTTATTCTTGTACGTGGCCCATTGCGGTGGATATTTCCTTGCGTTTAACACGTTCATCCAGAACACCAGCGTGGCTATTGTAGCTGCCTCTCGACTTGTCTTTGCTGTTGCGAGAGACGGCGTTCTTCCTCTATCTCCTTGGATCTCTCGTGTGGACAGTTCACGTCAACCACGAAACGCGGTCACAGTTATTTACATATTCGGGGCTGTCCTTCTCTGCACTATCCTCCCCAGCCAGGTCGCCTTCACCAGTCTCGTCAGTGCGGGTGGAGTACCGACGATCGCAGCATATGGTCTCATTGCGCTGCTTCGCCTGACAATGACGCCTACAGGATTCACCAACTCCCATTACCACCTAGGAAAGCTGGCCAGGCCCTTCTATGCCAGCACTGTGTTGTTCAATGCGCTCGTATTCTCGGTTATGATCTCCCCGTTCTTTTTCCCGGTATCAGGGGAGACCTTCAATTTCGTGCGTGTCCTTTCTGTATGTTTTTGTCAACCTCAACCCTCTGCAGGCTGTCGTGATTTTCGGCGCTGTGACTATCTTTGGGGTAGCTAGCTGGTATTTCATCCCGGAGGACAAGTGGCTGCGCCGTGAATTGGTGCTGCAGCAACAGGCACAGGCTCATGGTATCGAACAAGAAGAGGCTGAATAAAGATGTTGGTGGGCCACGATTCGGGGTATGAACGTTTTTCTACTACTGGGAATTCTGCTATGCACTTTTTCATGTTTTCAACTGCTTCGTCGATACTCGCGTGTACACCTTGAGCAACGTTACCGTCAAGTTGAAGTTGTCTACGAATCATCACTTTGACTCTTGTCTACTTGCATCGAACGACCCAGTGCGGTCTTCAGGCGCTCAAGTTTCTCGTTGCGCGAGCATCTTATACTACAGTAGCTCCTAAGTTGGCGCGAGTGCCATGCACGGTAGATATTCACACTTCGCTAAATTTTAATTCTTGCCTTGTCAAGGAAGGTGAACAAGCTTTCAAATTAGTCCTCTCCCGACCACACAACACTGAAGTTCAAGTGCACTCCGCCAACAGCTACAAAAGGAAATTTTTGCGAGGAACGTTGCACATTCCGAAGACGAAGATCGAAGTCATGGTCATGCGCTTCTCTGGAACAATCTCTGCAAGTTCTCGAACGCCTCCAGCCACAAGCTATTAGTGAACGAGGCAGCTCCCATGACAGAACTCTAAAAATTCGGATCAGAAGCAGCAATCTTTTGAATTATCTACATCTACACGAGATTACATCTAGATTCTAGGCAGATGGACCTTGGGACACACCCAGGTCGCGGAGCTCGCCCTTAGCAAGATCGTAGACCCAGCCATGGATCCATACATCTTTGCCTTTCCTGCTCTTGTTTGCCCAAGCGTTAACAATTGTCGACGCCTTTGCGAGGTTGTTAACTTGCTGCCTGACGTTCTCCTCGACGACAACGGGGAGAGCATCATCTTTGGGTACGCTAGACAGCTTGAGGGAAGCAACGAGCTTGGTAAGGGGAGTGAGCCATTGGTTTAATGGGGCATCGGCGGGGAGCCCAGGGTCGATGACGAGGTTTTCGGCAGTGGCAGAGAAGGCTGGCGAGTGGGCGGCACCAAAACAGGCAGCAGCACCCCCACATTCGGTGTGGCCAACGATGACAACTGGAACGAGGGTTGGGATGGCAGGAAACGGAAAGAATAAGAAATCAGGCACCGTGTTCCACGCCGAGATGGTCAACAGCATATGTTAGTACAGAGAGAACGCTCTCGTCGTCGAGGTGGAATTGACTGGAGCGGAGATAAGCAATGGCAGAGTGGGAGGCATTGGACCCACTTGGCGATATTCCTGTGAACGAAGATTTCGCCCGGCCGACAGGCAGTTACAACACTCTCAGGTACTCGCGAGTCAGCACAACCAATCCAGAGAATCTGGGAAATGAGTAAGAAAGGACGGGAAACGCGTCTATTGAACGACGACGAACCTGTGGTGCTTGCCCTTTGGCAGACTCAGCAAAGAAGCCAGGCTCACGAGCTTCGACGTGTTTAGCCCAGTCCGCGTTGGCAGCAAAGAAGCGGAAGAGGGCTGGGTGGGGCGACATGGGGTGGTGGGAGGGGATGAACAAACCAGATGGGAGTTAAGAGCAAGAGTCGCCCAACTTTAAATAAGTTCTGCCCCATCAGGGACTACCATCAGCCGTTTCGGTTCCCTCAATCGCAAGTCTGTTTAATTGCCTCCGAATATATCCTCTTGCCACATGGAAATTCACGGCGCTGAAGATCAATAAAGTACTTGTTTGTATCCGTCCATGATGCCCGCCAGCACCCAACAATTTCCAGCGACATACACGAGTCCTCTGACCCACACCCCAAAGAATACGTTTCCCCCAAGAAACTCAAGCTTATACGCCTCGCTCAACCATAACGCCTGTGTTCCAACCCAGACTGCGAGATAGGCAACAACTTTGCCACGCGATAGTTGAAGCCGCGGGAGTAGCAACGGGAGCAGAAGCAGGTACCACAAAAAGTACTATGGAAACGTTAATTTCCGACGTTAAATTAATGTTGACGGAGACTGTACCTGCGATGTGCACACTTTATTGAAGATGACAAATACCGTGGTCTGAACGAACCAGGCGAACGGGAGGTCATCTCTTCGCCGTCCGAAAACCAGGCCCGCCCCTAATGCCAGGGACATTTGGGGCACAAAACTGGTTAATGGCGACTGAAGAACACGACTCCAGAATGACACATTGGTCGCAGTAGACTGGCCAAACGCCGGATAGGTCAAGTAGATAAGGTAGAAATAGGGCGAGAAGTTGTGCCGATGGTCAAGCCGGTGCAAGTGGTAGAAGTACGACTCGTAAAGGAAAGGGTATCCCCAGCTAAACTTCTCAGTTAAAATGGAAGTCGAAGAAAACTGTAAAAGCTCACACAGAGTAGCATGCCAGGCCTAGCGCAAAGAAAGTGGATGCGCTGAGGACGGTAAACCGCACTGCTCGCCAGCTTAGCAAACTCGAACCGCCAACGACACCCAAACAAGCTACCCCATAGATTACTGGATATATTTTCCAGTGAACGCTGACACCCAACGCAATGGCGGCAGCATTCCATCTTCCTTTGAGCGCCGAATGTAACGTGAAGAGTACAAATAGAGAGAGAACCGCTTCCGACGACCCCCGCGTCGAAATAGCAAATACAAGCGGGTTGAGTAGATGTAACGCGCTGAACAAAGTGGCAGTCGGTGGTGATGATAGGGGTTGAATGCAGGTAGCCAGAAGATCGTATATTAGCAAGCCGCCAAAGATGTCGCATGTCGCGAACAAGTATTTGCCAAATGAAGGATGAAGCCATTCATTCGGCGTCAATAACAGCGCAAGCAGCGGTGTATACCGGTAAGTCTCTCGGTTATAGGGACTAGTAAGTATATAAGCCTTTGGGAAACACGCAAATGTGGTGGTTCGTACTCGCCCACACCGAGTTTGAATGTTCCTTGTGCATCGTTTCCGCGCAAAAGAAAACGGGCCGCGTCACTAAACACCCGGTAGTCGATGTCGGTATATTTTACGACTGAATCCGAGTTGTCGATCCACTCGCTATAGATAATGAGAGCAACACGAATGAGGACCGCAGGAATCAGGACATGGTGGAAGGAAAGAGTGGGCATCAGATAGATTACGTAAATGACTCTGATATCAAAGAAGTTTCCTCGACTTCCTCCTCTCTCAAATCACCCACAACGGCGCTACGTTGCTCCCCGAGGTACCAATCCGGCATACAAAGTGAGATTAGCACAGGTAATACGCTCACGAAGAAAGCGGCAAGGACCATGGATTTCATGGTGTCGCTGTAAGCTTTTTTCGCACATCAAAACGCGGTCACGAGAAGAAGGCAACGTACCATAAATCACGCCTTCGCGAACAGGATCGCCTAATGGCCGAGCCGCTGCCTCGATGATAGAGCCAAAGAGCGCGTCCCGTTCGGCTTGTGGGAGAGACGGTAGGTAGTGGGCAAGGCGTTCTGGCATCTGTTTACTCCAGATTCCACCCGCTGAGGCAGAGTCAGCGCCATTCGATCGATTCAAATGGGAACCCACCAATCGCACCACCACCGGCCGCTCCAAACTCTGTCACGAGTAGCACAACTGCAGTACACATCGCAACATCACTTGGAGTGACGGATGCTTGGGCGCTGACATGAGTTGCTAACGAAGCAATTCCTCCTCCTACTCCTTGCAATATCTGGGTCGCAATGAGCCCCAAGGTTGATCCACTGGTTCCACGGGCGCGAAGCATGAGAAGAACACCTCTGGAATTCATTGGTCATAAATATCACAATGGAGCAAGTGAGTCGCTTACAGCAGCCGCACAATCAAGCCACTGACAAGGAGAGACTATAGGGCATCAACCACAAGGCGGTAGTAAACATCGGTGTGGTCACCTTATACCGCCGGTAGCGGTGCATGTAGATCCCAGTGAGGAAACTGCATGCAGTCATTGTCAAGCTCTGAATCTGGGTAAAGTAGGTCGCATTGACAAGTTTCCTGTCATGTCTGAGAATAAGTCAATGTTGACAAAAGACACACACCAATCTTTGACGACAATGACGAAAGAATAAAGATATGTGAACGTGAGGTAAAATGCCATCTATTCTCTGTTCAGAGAGAAAGAGAGAAGGGAACAGAACGCCACTCACAAAATCGAGAGCGCCTATCAAAGAGGAACCGACAACACTTCGATTAACAACGAAACGAAATGGGATCACAGGCGACTTCGCATGCTTAAAATCCCACCAAGCAAAGACCGGAATGAATAGTATTCCCAACAGGAACAAGAAGGGTGCCCAGCCACCTTTGATTCCATGAGCCGTATGTTGCGCGATTGAGAGCGGCAGCAGAATTAAAGAGGTCGATAGACCGATAAGGATAAGCCCAATAACATCCAGTTCATCGGCAAGATCGAGCAATCTCTGCGAGAGAGAATTCTTTGCTGGAGCTGCTCGTCTCCGGGTGTCATGCTCGGTGGTATGTAATGTGTAAATGAGAGGCACAAGCCCCAGCGGTATCACAATGATGAACATTCCGTCTGAATATTAATGATTAGCAAATCGCTTCAAGCAAGAAAAAGACGTACACCCCCATCGCCACCCTGCACGTTCGATTATTGCTGCTGATATGTTCGACCCAATGATTCCATTTATTAAGAAGGGGAGTGAGCTGAGGGAGACGAAGAACCCCCGCCATTTGAGAGTAGTAACGTCCGCGATGACGACTTGAGTTAATAGTTGCAGTCCCCTAAAAAGACATGTAGCTCTTGACTTTAGCGTAAGGAAGACGAGCGGACGTGAAACCGCTGCTGCAAGTGAGCAGATGGATTTGGATTTGTACTAATGGCACGCACATTGCATAGACGAGAATTCCCCCAGTCACAGTCTCTATATTCCGTGCGGTGGCGATAGCAGCATAACCTGATTCCGTGTTCATGCTCATTCGATACTGCAGGCTCGAGCTTGTTACCGAGAACATAAAACAACACTGATTCATCGACAGTGGGCGGAGCCGCATGGCAAACACGACGACTCACAAACTAAACAATATGCGGTCCCCCGCGATCCAACGTCGGCAGTCTTTGCAATTACAGGCTTCCCGACCGCGACTGGAAAGAGAAGATGAGCTGCTGATAAATCGACTCGAGTCATGAAAACCCACTGATTATTCCCTGCGCGACTTGTATTGACCCTAATAGACTTGAAACGCGTCAGAGAGTGATTATGTATCCAGAAGAGGCCGTACTTATGATGTCCGAATTCCGAGGTAGCGTATGAGAGGTAAGTGTAAGTTGTTGTGCTGTCGAGTGAATAGATATACGACGCCAGGGCGAGGCTGAAAGTGCTCCAAGTTGAAAATTTTCTGAAGCTCGAGGGCTTTCTGACCGACAGACCTGAATATTAGCGCCCATTTAGTGCGCCGCTGTGTTGAGGTTAAGGAATCGGGGGATCGCAACGCCTCATAGTCGTTGTCTGATAAAGACATGGATCCCATCTGATGCCGCGGCTGTCACAACAAGCCGGATCAAATGGAGACTTACCCTATCTAAAACACCTCAAGCAAAAATAGACCTTCACGACTCTCATGAAGCTTACCATTACACCACTCAAGCCTTCCGGTGCGGCTTTCCGCGCTTTGAGCTCTACGTCTTACCTGGAGAACAGCTATCCCAGGCGACGATGAGATCATGCTTGAGGCAGAATCCTTGTTGGACTCGATAACATCTTGGAAGGCGGGCAAGACATACCACCATACGGTCAAGACCTACTCTCACCCGAAGGGACCCGATGACGGCGCACCCTGGCATGCACGAGTTAGCGTCCATAAGCCCGAGGAAGCCACAATGCTCCAAATGTGGGACAAACTAGGCAAAGACAAGGCGGTCAACGAGAAAGAATTCATCCCCGACATCGCGAAAGTCGCGAAAGTCAAGGAAGTATCTGCCACGCAGACGATATGGACCTTGTATTATACGTTCTCACCGCCCATCATCTCCCCACGGGTCTTCACCGTCGTCCAAATCACCCGTCTATCTGAATCAAGTCCACGTTCAGGGTAAACTCACACGGTCGAAGACTGAAGGGACTTATTTTTGGCACAGTCTAATTGTCTCTATACCCGTCGACCTCTCCGGCGACGAAGAACTCGCGAAGCTTGAGGAGAAAGGAGTTCGAGGTAGATATGTCAGTGTTGAGCGGTTGCTTGAACTTCCGGATGGGACCACTGAGTGGCGAATGGCTACGTCCAGCACGCCTGGAGGATCCATTCCGTCATACTTCGTAGAGGTGATCGCTCCCTCTTCTCCTTTGACCAACCAAAAACTGACTATATAAACCAGAAATCCATGGACTCGAAGATTGCTGAAGTAATTGTACAATGTTTACCTCACTGCGCTGACATTCCACCAGGATGTTCCTCATTTCATGAAGTGGCTCCATAGCCTCCGCAAAGCCCGCAACAGAATGAGACCATTACTGTTGGATAGAGGACATTCATAAGCTAGAACATTGTACACGACTGCATGGGCACGACTTTTTTTCCGATTTGCAACAGATTCTTTCCTTGGCTCGACGTCGTGATCCACGGCTGTGGCAAGGGCATAATTTTGTGTGTGCTATAATTCCGGCTCGACGTCAGTATCATCTTCAGCCTCCCCCCAGTCTATGCAAAGATCAGCCCATCTCCCTCAATGAGCTTTTACTCACCACGGTCACCAACATCGACCTCGCACATGAAGTAGGTAAACTCGTTGAACGGCGACTTGTCTGAAAATGGGAGTCTGACTGTGTGCCCTTGAGGCACAACGTAGATCAGCCATGGGTCCGTCTCATCGGGAAGCTGGTGTTGCTGCAGTATCACGAGCCCAGACTTGTTGATTGAATGCCTCGGCGCAATGGTCATCTGGAACCCGACGAGTCGAGGAGGATCCTCCGAATGAACAAACGCGTCGAACGTAGGGGTGTTTCCTCGTGAGGGTACAAAATAGTCAGACAGGAAGGTCGACTTCAACGTACTCTCCCCAGGCAATAAAGTGACAAGTTGTCGGGGCGTTATCGACCATTCCATCCGATTCTTGTCATCCGGTACCAGTTCTGTCCCATGGACCTGCATCTGAATTAGAGTGACAGTGTTGTTTGGAGAAGGCGGAGGCTGGGTGAACAAGCGATGACACAGCATTTCGAATGCCCAACCTCCGGGAATGCCTGGTTTTCCGTCTGCGGCGAAGGACGTGTACATGGACTGTACAGCGGATACATTTTCACGGACAGCATGATCATGCACTAAGCGCAACATCGTTTTTGAAGACAATCGATGATTCATAAAATCTTGTGCAGCGCTGCAGGGATCACGATAGACTGTGGTAAGGGAATTGAAGGACTCATCCGCTTGATGCATGGAGAGCATCAAAAGCCGTAGGCGTGACGGGTTAACGTTTTTCACCGCCTCTTGGATCGCGGCGATGATCGTGGCTTCGTTATGCTCGCCGGTGCTGAGGGATTTGAGTAGTTGAATATTGGGCGGCACCAACCGGAGCGCAGTGCGGAGGTCCATGCGAGGTTCGGCAACGCTTGGCGGCAGCTGATCTAAGCATGCCTGGAGTCTGGCCAGGATTTTATGGAAGGGGGATGCATGTTAACGTGTGAACTCACTCGTGCGCCGTGGGTGGATTGACCACCAGCATGCCAAAATCACCTCTGGTTGTCAACTGCTTGTAGCGAGAAGGCTGAGGAGATGACACTGCGATGATAAAACACAAATGGACTGTCATGAGTTCAATGGGGTTGATGTTGGAAGAGTCCATGTCGATCAGGAAAGCTACACCCGTTAAGCCCATCACGAACTCGCTGCGATTGTCCTTGACATGGTAAACGCCCGTTGAACAGTAGACCATCAGCTGAGTTTTCCAGTAAATAACTACCGGGAGTTTTAAGGCAAGAGAGACGAGCAGGTAGAGCCATAAGAAGGTCGACTTCCCTATATTCAATGTTTGTGTAGGGTTGACCAGACGAAATGACACACACCAATTCCAGGATTGCCCACGACAACGACGCCAAGATGGTTGCTCTTGATATTTCGTTCCATAGCATGAATATGGCGATTTAGAATGCTTCCGACGGACCAGCCTCTCTGCTCTGGGTCTTATTGTGCATGCATGTCGGAATATTTCCAAAGATGCAAGCCATTGTCCTCACTCCTCACTCCACTCAAAGCCTCGAGAATTGGTCGTATTGGCTGAGAGTGGTTTCCATCGTCTGAGGTTGTACTATTGCGAGTGTCCATATCGGACGCGACGCCAGTGGGAGCAACTCATTGAGGCACGACTCTTCCCAGCATCTTGGAAGCGGCCAGAGACAGCGTTCACTTTCACTGCTTTGCGGCATTTCCACATCCTGTCGCTCACCTCGAAAATCACGCCTTATGACTATGTTCGCTCCCTTTCCAAACTGACTGACAGCGTCTTTCCTCAAGATGTTGAGGTGGGTGTTTCGAGGTCAACCCGGCGTATTCTCATTCTGTTTAGAATCGTCTCCGGGAGTTCCAACGAGCGATGCGCTTCTGGCGATCATTTACCCTGCAAAGACGAACTGGACAAGCATATCCATGGGACCGTTATGTCCCTCATCGCAATCCCCACTCACTCACCATCCGCTGCCCGGCATGTCCGGAAGTCGGCTACAACATGACGAAGGAAGAAATGGATAATATTCCGGAGGACAAGAGGTAATCTCTTGCAACTCAAACTATTTCGACAATTAACCAGTTTCATAGGCACTTAGGCACCAAATTCAACTCACTCGATGGAAACTTCAAGCTCCAACGGAAGAAAAAACCGAAAAAAGAAGACCCCGAAGATATCGCTATAAATGATGGTGACGCCTATTGCGTTGACTCAAAGTTGGTCAAAGCGTACATTGATGCTGCTCGACCACCCGATGATTTCAAGCCCGAGGGCAATTGTAATCACCTTCGAGCCGACCGCTTGCAGGATATTGCGAAACTGAAGACGATGGACGTGACTGGGGTTGTTGCGTGTCAGTGTGCTAGACATGGGCTTTTTGAGCCAGGTGGAATTGTCGATCTAAAGAAGGGCGAAGCGTGGGTAGCTCTCCGGCAAATATGTATGCAGCTGACTTCGGTTTAGATATGTGTATACCGATCTGGCACTACTCAAATCAGTGTCTGAATACAGCAATATTCGCTGGATCGTAGTGACCTACGATATCTGGTGCCAGTACCATATCAATCTTGCACCACGAACACAAGAGATTTTCAAGAAAATGGCCATCATCGTCCAACGCATCACCGGCGCGATTCCGAAAATGCATATCCACAATCATAAAGACCTGTGCGGCATTCTTTGGAATCTGAACTGGTTGGCGAATATGGGTCTGACCGTTGGGGAGCTAATTGAGGCTGTCTGGGCCGAGCTTAATATTATTGCAGCAAGTACGCGGGAAATGAATGCAGGAAATCGGCACGACTCCATTGACGATGCGTGTGTAAGCTGGAACTGGGATAAACTTGTTCATATGGGTATGTTAGGCACATCTTTCAACTCTCTGCTGACAGAAAGCATAGCGGACACCCTGACTCGACTGTACATTACTGCCAACTCCGAACTCCGTCGCTGCCAAACAGCACTTGATGGGATTGTTGCTTCTGTCCCTGAGGAAATCGTAGCAAGTTGGAACAAGATGGACATCTCTCCGCAACTTGATTCCAAAGGCGATCTTGTGTATAGCGTCTTCCAAGTCAATTTTGGGACTGGTCTGTTGGTTTTCTAGTTTCACGACTGCTCTGAATCTGAATATAGATGTACCCACGCAACAAGCTGCCTATGCAAAAATGAAGCAGGAGGAACGGGAACGTGAGAAGTCCCAAGGCGAAGCATTAGCAGAAGCGAAGAGTGATACTGACCTTGTTGCATTGGGATTATGGCACGAAAACCAGCAGTTTGTATTCCCCTCAGTTTGTTCACAGCTCATTAATTTCCTCAGAATCAAAGTGCGTCGCCTGGTCAAGGCCAAGGCTGATGCAGTGGTGCTACGGGTACAGCGAACAAAACTTGCTGAAGATATTCGTGACTATCACGAATTGATGCTCGAGCGTGTTCCATTAGCCAAAACCTTCATTGGCAGTGTTAACTTTGACCAGCCAGAGCATTCACCCCTTTTCATTCCCTCGGACTTCGACATCAACCAGCGCAAGCACTTCGAAATTATGGATCTTGCTCATATCGAGATGGAACTCCGAGTTGGAGCAGCGTACGAGAAGATATTTCTCATTCGTGATTGCATTCGACGCTATAATCTCAATGTCAATTTCAGGAATACAAACATCCAGGGTCAGAATGCGGCAACCCGGCGCACAAAAGTATCTACGAAACCTTGATAACGACACCCAAATCGAAGCGACTGGGTATATGGCTCATCTTCTCGCCCTTCACAAACTCGGATTGCCAAAACATCATCCCGACTTGAAGCCATTGGAACGATCACACTTGTATGGGACTGATGGAAAGCCCCTTGTGCCAGGATCGCGGAAAGCACAGGAGTCATGGATATGGGCAGCAGGTAGGCGGGAAGGCAGCTCAATTCAGGACAGCGCTGCATGGTCACGAGAACGTAGGTAACCAATTGATCAAGACAAGGTTCTAACTTCATATTGTAGTCGATCGAGTCAAATACTTCCAACGTCGGGCTTTTCGAGACCGATGCCTTGAAGAGATTGAGATTATACGTGAAGAATTCACTCGGGTTAGACGGGCCTTCTTGAAAACGGCTGATATCTGGTCCCTTCTCTCAGAATCCCCCGATGTTCCCGAACCTGGTCGACGGGCGTATGCCATCAAGCAGGCCAATCAGTACATGGGATTGGCGGTGCGCTTAGAGAAGACGATGGACCTCATACCAGAGAAGTTACGAGAGGCAGAAATGAAGGAGCAGCGGCAGGTTGAGAAAGAGACGCAAAGACTGGCAGCTCTGATGGCTAAAAAGGCGGCAAAGCAAAAGATCGCACCGGAAGAGGACGAGGAGCTGTGGGAGGCTGATGCATTGCTTAAGACTTGAATATTTACGCTTTGAATCTCATTGATTACTATGTGACATGTGACGTCGCCTCTTTCCCTTGACCCACGCACCGTGCATGTCCGTGTACACCTACTCTGCAGAGGTAAGTCCTCTTCTCTCTAACTTTTACCTGTGATGATTGGAAGCAGCTAATTAGTACACTAGTGGTCTACTATATATATTATCCTCCGCCTTCTGCCGTGCCAAGCACCACCATTCCGACTCTAATTCGTGGTGCATCCTTCAAGTTGTTGCTCCCTCAACTCTCGCCTTCGAACCTTGCCCTCCCTCTCTACTGGCCTTTGGGTGGTCATTCTTCAAGTCCCGAGAAGCCATGCCACCGACGCGCTTGGTTTTCAGGTTTTCATGTTGGTGGACACTTGACATAAGCGTTCATGCTGACGGTGGATCAGAGCGAGAGTTCACAACTTCATGCAGCTTGAATTTCGTCGGTACTGGAGAGCTGCTTCAGGCTGGACTCGGATTCATGGTGATAACTACTTTCATGCCGGAGTTCATGCTGACGGTGGATCAGGCCTCAGGGCAAGACCTCATGCTCATCTTCTCAACTTCATGCTCAGGCTGCACCTTTGCTTGAAGAATTTCATGCAGCTTGAATTTCGTCGGGACTGGAGCGAGAACTGTTTCAGGCTGGACTCGGATTCATGGCGATGACTTTCATGTCGGAGTTACTGGTTTTCATGTTACTACTCGAAGTAGAATCATGCGAATGTGAGTTGCATATTTCATGTTTGTATCCCCTGTGCCTATGCATGCTGCATTATTTCCCAGTGAGACTTCATTCATGTTGCAAACAGGTTCGGTCAATAACTTGTTCATGCTGATGAATTCATGTTGACATTGACAGTCCACGCTCGCAGAAAATTTCATGCCAATGGTTCAGGGTAGGATTCATGTACAGTAGTTAGGTAGCATAGCATGAATGTGGTAGTGTAGCATAAATAGTAATTAACGGCCTTCGTCGCTGAACATTCATGCTGTTAACTGATACGATCGGCATCCCCCTTCCATTCAATCATGGCCAGACTCCAGGCATGCTTGGACGCGGCACTCATGAACATCGAGTTCGAGGGCGAGCCTCGAATGGACCTCCGCACTGCGTTCCGGCTCGTCGGGCCGAATATTCGTCGGCTCGAATACCTCAGCATAGGCAAACATGACGAGGAGCTTGTCATTGGGATGATCAAAACAGTGCTGGACACCCTAGATATGCGGCAGCTAGAGCGTCTACTGCGCTCTCACCATACTGCCGAGGATTCCACCCTGCATTCGCATGTGCTGATCACCACGTATCGCGCGCCTGGTGATGCTGAACAAGAAGCCATGCGACATCGAATATCCTCCAAAACAATCCTCCGTCTCATACATGCTGAGGCTATACAGAAAAACGCCGTTGAGCTGCAACACATGTATACGATTTTTGCGGCCTCCAGCGGTTTAAGCATTCCAAGAGGATGGGCGTTCGAAATCTTGTGTCATCGCTTATTCACCAAGAAACCTGCCTCCAACTACACTTTCACCCTAACACGTATGAAAGTCCACCAGTCTCAACTCATACCAGATCACAATGACCAAACGGACTGGTCTGTTGTAACCCGACAACTTGTTCACTTTTCGACCGGGCAGACAACGCAAGCGACATCTAGTCTCAAATCCTATTTTGTTCCGTCGCAAGGCAATAATCCGACTTTCGATTCATTCCTCCACATGGAGACCCCTCCGCGACTTGTCGGCCTCCAGATGACCATTGCGTCCAAGCATTCCATAAAAAAATCAGGGCTTGATCAATTACGACGGAGACAACTTCCTGGCGAGTCGAACCCGTGGATGATTTATATTATCCCACAAGGTCACTCGATTCAACTCCCTCACTTGAACAAATCCCCGTTCAACCAGTTCACATTCTTTGCATGCGAAGTGGAGGTGGGTAACAATGGTAAGTAACAAGTACTGCGCTTCTTGTTACTATTTGTAGGCAATAGACTGATCGTTGGATAGACTGGGAAGAGGCCGATAATGAGACGGACGAAGACTCAGAGCCCGAAGAGTAGTCAACGCAAGAATTACCAGCTCTTGGTACCCGGTGTTCGACCCTGAAACCACCTCTTTCTTACTGCAGACTTCGGACTTGGCTCGGCTGGCATTTCTGGTTGTGAGGGGAGAGTTTTCGATTGATAATTGTGCACGCCTTTGCTACGAACCAGCGAGAGGATAGGATAATGGAAATGTAGCAAATGCCGCCCTTGGGCAAATGATGTTGGTCAGAACAGTACCCAACAGAATGCGGTTCTGAATGCCGCAGTCAGTGGTGCACAAGCGACTTGATACATTGCCACTATGGTTATTTCCTGACTATCGTCAGCAACGGACAGGCGGCGACCTCACTTGTAAGTCTGCTCAACGCCTTTTTAGTTTTAAAGGTTCAACTGCTGGCCAAGTATGCTACATATACTGGCTAACTACTACGATTCGCTGAACCAAGGACACATTAGAAAAAGGACTATGCCAATTCAAGATACCGTTCCACTGAGAAAGGTTAGCGGATTGTTAGCGACTGTATAGACATAACTACCTTCCCAATTTGTAACGGCCTCGTTCCATAGTTTGACTTCATGTTCCCGTGTACCGCCATAATGTTCCACAAAGACGTCGCCAAGCATCTGAGCCTCCCGAGCAATACTATCAGCTCGCATCATCCGGGCAGTTGCCGCCTCCAAAGAAGTCGGTAACATCCTGACCTGCGCACCGCCGTCAGACAACAACTACCAACAGAATCCCCAGACCGACCTTCCCCGACTTCTTGTCCTCCGGTGTGAAGTGACTGATCGGTGGTGTGTCCAGCTTCAGCTTCTTCTCGATTCCCCGCAGTCCCAACAGAAAAACCGCGCTCAATGCGAAATAGGGGTTCATATCAGCACCAGGCACCCGAATCTCAAGCCGAGTTGCTGCCGGGGGGACAGAGGGAGGAGCAATAATTCGGATGGACGCTGCACGCGAATCGTACCCATATGTGATCGCATTCGGTGCCCAGAACGCTTCTCCACCCACGAGCCGTTTATATCCGTTTATGGTCGGGACGAGCTGATGGGTGCATTAGTGTCTGTAGCGTTCATAGAACAATCAACTCGCGAGTGGCATGACTGCTTGGATAAGCATTCGAAGAAAAAAGATCGAGAGACTGGACTTACCATCTGCGATTCCGTCCAATACCCCAGCAAGGAATGATTCGCCTTCAGCGCTCACGAATCTGGTGTCTTCGTATGCCGCATCACTGCGACCACCCTCGAGCTCCGAGTCGGACACGGCAAACACATTTCGCCCCGATTTGTCGCGTAAGGAGACGTGGATATGGCTGTAGAATTACGTCAGGAAAATGGACCATTACCCGTTCAATCTTACCCACTACAACCCGGAAGCTAATTGCAGTGAGCAAATTGTGCAAAACAAGTGACAACGCACATTTCCCCAAGGCTTGGCCATAAAACTGGGAATAATTCCTCGCTTCATCCCTATACTCTTGGCAAGGTACTTGAAAAGAATCGCGTTGTCGGCCATCCGCAGCGCGGAAGTATAAGCTAGCGCCGTTTCCAAAACTCCAGGTCCAGTTTCCGTATGATGCCCTTCGAGTTGCACATCAAACCGCGCACTCTCGTCAAAGAGATCATGGAAATAGTCGTTGTTGAGCTGTGTGCGGAGAAGAGAGTACCCGTGCACTAGAAGAAATGTTAGATAGGTTGCATTTTTGGGTGGTGCAGACCGACTTCCGGGAGTTAAGGGTGTCAAGTCTGTAAATTTCTTCTCCGCGACACTTTGTGGGGTTTCTACTCGTGTTCAGCTCTCTACCTAGCGGATTTGATGACACAAACCTTGGAAGTTGAAGTACTGCACTAACATGAGACTGGAATCATAGATAACAGTGGGCTTGCCTCATATTCGACGCCTGCATAGCATGACCTATCCAGCGCGATAGCTCGTTCAGTAGTGATTCGCATTAGCCCTCGCGGGTCAACTATCAGAGGCTCTGAACATAATTGTTGATTCTCTCGTTGAGTCACAGTGAAATGGTTCTTCACCTTTGGTGTCTGGATCCAGGAAAGAGACCAAGAAGAAGGGGACATTGTTCTCCCAAGGAATGCGGCGGTATGTAGAAAGATCAATGGAGGCCAAGATGTCTCTGTATCCATTCGCTTTGTTGGATATGAGCAGCTCCCGTGAGTAGACCGAGTCGTGGATGTCCTATGGGAAGTTCAAGGCCGCGGCGAAGGGCAACTCATTTCAGACGCACCCAGCCAAAAATTACACTGCAGAACCCAAACCCGTCCGAGGAAGCCGCACTGAGAAACTTCTCCTTTGACATGAACTTGCCCCGAAGAACGCCATCCACATCGATGCCTGTATAAAAGATAAGCCAGTTTAGATGCAGGCACGAAAGATCTCACCGGCAACTTTCACTTTAATATCGCCTTTCAAAAGCTCTTTAAGTTCAGCGAGCGATTTCGGTGCATGTTGAGTGGGCGTCATGGTTGAGATCGTAGTAAATCGTGACGACAATGATCATGCGTCCATGCGTTACGTACTCGACCAACACCTCTTGCAACTCTTGCTAAGTTGCTTGCTCTGCATGCAGCCAGGTAAGCTATATCGCACCGTCTTCATTTCCTCAATTACAGACCAGATCCGTTGGGCAGGTGGAAACAATCAATACCGTGTTGCAAACCTCGTGCCGCCAGTGAAAGCTGTTTCTTGACTAAGACTATCACCCAAGTCTCAAGGTCAATCGCAGCCCCACACACGGTGTACACATGGCTACACTAGGTGCTATAGAGCGTTTCCTCGGGTGGAATTTCTTGGTTTTGATCCCAAGGCCAAACAACCACGGGTGGCGAAGATGGAATACGGGAGTCTGCTATCGTCCGCACCTAGACCGACATCTATTCACCACTCCCGAACTGTTCCCCATTGCAAAACTCCTTCTATTTCCATCGAATGTCGGTCTCAGCGTCGACGCGGCGAAAAATGCACTGTTTGTTGTTTCAAGGACTGCAAATAGACGCGCCAGTCAAAACGGTGTTGTACGTGTATTGCAGTTTACAATTGGAGTGGACAAGTCTTATATGCATGCAGCAGATCTAAATGTGCCATTGACAGCAAGAAAGTATTGGACACCCAGCGACAGTCGGAGCTTGAACGGTGTCTTCTCGACAGTTAAAATGAGATCTCAATTCGCTGGCGCTCCAAACAGTGGCGGGCAGAGACTTGAGAAGACTCGCCATTGGTTAGCATCGCCGTCACTCAGGCTGGGAGCCTGGTATTTCAAGCAAGCTGTGCCAATGATCGAGGAAGTTGATGATGTTGGTGGTACAGCCTGCTTCGAGTATCGAGTATGAATTTAGCGGCCACGACTCTGTCCTCGATCGTCAATTCCTTGCGCGTGGTGGCGGCAAATAAGTACATACAACAGGTGATGTTTGCGCCTTGAGTCATGAATCCCATACTGTTCGCCTTGTGTATCGGTCTTGACGAGGTTTGGTATATTTTTTTGACTCTGAAGAAATATGACTGAGACCCTATTAGTACGCCCATCCCGACATTAGAAATCTGCAGGGTTGTGAGAAGGATGTCGACTCTCTACAAGACGTTCTTTTCTTGCGCTTCCCGCACGCACAAATTCTTAGCTTGAAGAGACAGGCAGCCACTCGGAAAGGCATCCTCGACTCGTTCACAGCGCACCTCCTGGAAAATGATTGCATCTCAAGGGGTGACCCGATTCTCATCTATTTCGCTGGCTACGGGCAGCGACTCAAAGGAGAGAGCAGAGAAGTAGATGCGCTCATTCCATTTGATTATGCGCCCGACGTTCCACCAATATTCGACGCTACTCTTCATCGACTTCTAAAAATGCTCGTCCAGACCAAAGGTCCTCATGTTGTTAGTTCTCCGTTCCTCTTCAAAGTAATTACTAAATGTTCCCAGACCCTTATTCTGGATTGCTGTTTTTCCCCAGTCTTCGCACTCTCCACCAACGTACGCCGGATCCAAACCCCCTCTTGGTTGTCCCATCTCGTCGACTCGGATCTCCGTCGCGAAGAGAATAATCTGGCTGATTATCATGGATTTTTCAGCGAAGACCAGCCATATGTGGTCATCGCTGCTAGCAATAGGAATAGGCACTGCAAGGAAACTCCAATGGGAGGGTTTTTTACTCAAAATATGGTTTCGATAATGCGGTCCTCTTGGCCGCTAAGCTGTCGAGAACTTACTGTGCTTACTCAACGTTGGGAAACAGGATCTCGCAGCCAGGTTTCGGTCTGCTATGGTCCGCATTTGGACCGACTGTTATGTACCACCCCAAAACTGCTTCCTATTGCGAAACTGCGGGTATTTTCCTCCAACATCGATCTCCATGCCAAGTCAACGGAGGATTCCGTCTTTCTTGTTTCAAGGAGAGGGAATGCAAATGTGGTAGTGTATGCAGCAAGCCAAAGCGAAGCACACATAGAACGCCTTGACCGAGTGACTGCTCAGTACGGTACCCCTCTCATACCGTTCGCATTGGCGAAAGCTGCCCAGGTGCTGAATGGCATCGCACGGTTCAATCACTACCTGAATCTTCGACCGTCCGCTGACCGACATTACTGGCACAGGGTCCAGCGGCGGCTCCTTCGATGGAGGAAATCTGGCTATCCATCGTTGTCTATAGAGGTATATCACTTCAGACCAGAGGATGAAGATGACGACCATGCATGGATCTCCCAAAATATTCTCCATAGTGGCGTCGCCCTTCTGGACCAAGTCCCAAACAACCACGTACTAGGCCTTAAACTCACCAACACCGGTGATCAAGCAATGTATCCTTATGTCCTACACTTCGACACGGGCACTTACGAAATAAATGTAGGCTGCAGTAATTGACGGTTCCCCCGCTGATCCACCACTAGGAATGGTACTCACCGTTTCGAGAAGACGAGGGCATGCCGCCAAATCTGCTGAAGCCAGACGAATCGCTGATCTTCGGACGCTGTCCCGATATGAATGCTTTGGCCTTAGACAATGCCGAGCCCTCGTTTCGCATAGTTCTGGATGAAGACAAAATAGAACGGACAGCAGAGGTGTTCAAGATTATTCTTGCGCAAAAGCCTATTGCTGTAGGCTACATGGCACAAGCTTCACCCATCACAAGCGGAGGGGAAAGATTCGAGAAAGTCGAGGTTCAAGAGGGAATTCCAGGCGTATGGCGAACAGAGACGGTAACACTCGCTGTACCAGCAAACTTCCGAAACGGCGGTCATCTGCATTCAAGCCCGCGCGCGGTACCTTTGGGTCTGTGGAGGAGAATCAAAGAAAAGGTGGCATATGCACTCCGAACCCTGTTTGGAAGCCAAAACCAGTCGAGGCTAGAATAGACGTCCCGGGCAGCCATGAGAAGAGGGTATGCGAAACTTACTAGTAGATTCAATCATGTCATAAGTATGGAATATGCAGACTTAAATTCCTGTACGAGTTTGGGTCTAGTAGCGTTACGGGAGTGCGAACGTGACAAAAAGAAAATTGGCGGCAACGTTTCCACCTTGTTTCCACCCAAATCGCCTTTTTTTAAGCTCCTCCACGTCCGTGGTCCCCAGTCTCGCTCCGTGGTCCCCAGTCTCGCAACTTTCCCACCGAGCAGAAGCTCTCGTTTATGCTCGTTGGGTTCAGCCTCAGCTTATCCGACTAGTCACACCACCCGGACTAACAATTTAAACAGGCGCCATTCCCAGATTTCTTCACGTACAACTCTACCTCCAGACGAGTTGGAGCTGAGTGTCATCTCGTAGCGCTGGTGCAGACGCCGCAGCGACGTCTTATTACTCAAAATCTTCCCGAACGACCATGCGAAGCGTGGTTTGTCATGTGTTACGTACCTCCTCTTGCTTGCGAACTTCTGAAGTCTTAGTCTTAGACTAAGTTACTGTTACTTCATGCAGCCAGGTAAGCAACTATATCGTACTGTCTCCATTTCCTCACTCGCAGAGCAGATCTGTCAGGCAGCTTAAATCAATTAATACCAAGTTGCGAACTCGTGCCGCGAAAGCTGTCTTTTGATGGAGCGTGCCAGTTTAAGCGCTGGAATAGGCAAAGTATAAGGGTACACAGGTTGCCTTGAACCCTGTTAATTATGCCTCCTCAATTGTTTGCCTTGTGCATTGGCCTTGACGAGGTGTGAGGATTATATGTGCTTCTAGAGTCTAACTCTTACTGATCTCATTAGTATGCACATCCCGAAATTGAAAATCTGCAAGGTTGCGTCAAGGACGTCAGTTCCCTTCAAGATGCACTCGAGTTACGCTTTCCCGGCGCTCAAATTCGCAGTCTGAAGAATCAGGAAGCCACTCGGAAGGGCATACTTGATTCCTTCACGGCGCATCTCGTAGAAAATGAAAATATATCGATGGGTGACCCGATTCTTGTATATTTCGCTGGCTATGGGCAACGACTAGAAGGGGAGGAAAGGGAAGTTGATGCGCTCATCCCCTATGACTACGCACCAGACATCCCACCCATATTCGACGCTACCATTCATGGACTTTTGCATGTGCTTGTCCAGACTAAAGGTCTTAATGTCGTCAGTCCTGATGCATATTGTTTTGAAGCTTTTTGCTCATATTTCACAGACGCTTATTTTAGATTGTTGCTTTTCCCCCGTCTTAGCGCTGTCGAATGTACGCCGAATCGTAGATCCCTCGTGGTCGTCCCATCTAGTGGATTTCCGTCGTGAAAACAATCTGGCGGGCTATGGTGGATTCTTCAACGACGATCAAGCATATGTGTCTATTGCTGCCAGCAGCAAGCATAGGCATTGCAACGACTCTGCGGCGGGTGGCTTTTTTACTCAGGATATGGTTTTGGCGATGCGTTCCTCTTGGCCGTTAAGCTGCCGGGAGCTTACCGTGCTCACTCAAAGGTGGGAAACAAGTACCAGAGGCCAGGTTTCCGTCTGCTATGGTCCATATCTGGACCGACTTCTCTATATGCTCCCGGAACTTCATGTGATCGCAAAACTGCGTGTCTTCACGAACGTCGATCTCAGCCCCCATTTACCGGAAAAGTCCGAATCGGATGCATTTTGCCTTGTTTCGAGCAGATGGAACTTGAACACAAATGTGGTAGTACATCCATCGAGACAAAGCACGGCGAACATTCAGCGCCTCGATCGACTGACTGCTCGATACGGCACCCGTTTAGTGTCATTCCCATTGAGGAAAGTTCCACAGGTCCTGAATGGCGTTGCGCGGTTCAACCACTACCTGAATCTTCGCCCATCGTTAACCAAATATTCTTGCGTCGAGCGGCTCTCAGGCTTGCGACGGGGAAAACACAACTCCCAATCATCGTCTGTCGAGGTATACCACTTTAAACCAGATGGCGAGGACGGCGCGTGGATTTCTGATAACATTCTACACGATGGTGTTGTCCATTTGGACAATGTTCCAAATGACCACTTACTAGGACTCAAAATCACTAATATTAGCGACCAGGCCATGTATCCTTACGTCCTACACTTCGATACGGACACATACGAAATAAACGTAAGGTTCCGTCTCAATGGTTGCCCAACTGATTCTTCACCAGGTATTGTACTCCCCATTTCGCGAGGGCGAGGGTTTGCCACCAAAGCTGCTGAAACCACACGAATCGTTGATTTTTGGTCGCTGCCCTAATCCGGATGATCTGGGCTTCGATATTCCCGAGATTCCTTTTGGCATTTTTCTAGATGAGGACAAAACAGAACGAACAGCAGAAATCATCAAGGTGATCCTTGCGCAAAAGCCTATCGCTGTCGGCTATATGGCGCAAGCTTCACCCATGACAAGTGGAGAGGAAAGAGGTGGGAACTTGAACCCCGAGGTCCACGAAGAGATTCCAGGCGTATGGCGAACAGAAACGGTAACTTTCGCCGTGCCAGCAAACTTCCGAAACGGCAACTATGCGCATTCAAGTTCCCGTGCGTTGCCTTTGGGTCTTTGGAGGAGACTGAAGCGCAAGGTGGAAGAACTGCTCAGCATTTTGTCGGAAGGAGCAAAGTAACAGAGATGTAAGACCAAGGCAAAAAAACGGCTTGTAGTGGTAGTATAGCGTATTGTTAATACTTTGTGCCGCCCTCTCACAACACGCGGAGTATGATGGCGTTTGCCGTCAAGCTGAAGGACTACAACCTCGTACTAGTAAATCGCGCGAAAAGCGACGCGTGAAGGTCGGGGCCCAGATGAAGCGCCAGACGCAGAGTCTGTGTCCTAGTCTAAGCCTGGCCTTGCACAGTTTCCATGTGTTCACTTTCGTTCAATGTCGTAGTGACGTACGTCACATGTGACATGTCCAACCCTCACTTCTTCATTTCCCATCGCAGACCAAATCAATGAATACCGCGTTGCAAACTCGTTCCGCCAACGAAAGCTGTTTGTTGACTACATAATATGGAGCAGTGGATGGCGGTTGAAGTGCTGTAATGAACAATATAAGGTTTCCATAAAGGTGCGATGGTGGCCTTCAATTGATTATGCCTCCCAAACTGTTCGCCTTCTGTATTGGAATTGACGAGGTTCACTATAATCTTTTAGGCTCACCTGGTAGTGCTGAGACTATGGTTAGTATACAGATTCTCGGATCAAGAATCTGCAAGGATGCGCAAAAGATGTCTGCTCCCTAGAAGACGCTCTTCTATTGCAGTACCCGGACGCAGAAATTGTCAGCTTGACGAATCAGGCAGCTACTCGAAAAAACATACTCGACTCGCTCAAGGTGCACCTCACTGAGAATACCGATATTTCGCAGGATGACCCGATTCTCGTTTATTTCTCTGGGTACGGAACACGGTTCTCAGAAAGGGAGAGGGATGTGGATGCGCTTGTACCGCATGATTATTCACTGGAGGTGCCACCTATATTCGACTTTACTCTCCATGGACTTTTCGAGGCGCTCGTCCAGACGAAGGGTCCCAATGTCGTCAGTTCTCACTTATGTTTCTTTCAAAAGCTGGTTGTTGAATGCTCTCCAGACAGTTATTCTGGATTGTTGTTTCTCCGCGAAGCTAACACTGTCCATTGTCAACATACGTCGAATCCAAGCCCCCTCTTGGTCGTCCCACCTTGTAGATCTCCGTCGTGAAAATACTCTGGCTGACTACCGCGGATTCTTCGCCGATAGCCCACCATACGTGCTTATCGTTGCCAGCAGTAAACATAAACATTGCGGCGAAACTCAAGAAGGAGGGTTTTTTACTCAGGATATGGTTTCGGCAATGTGGTCCTCTTGGCCATTAAGTTGTCGAGAAGTCAACGTGCTTACCCAGAACTGGGAAACAGGCACCCGAGCTCAAGTCTCTAACTGCTATGGTCCATACCTGGACCGACTCCTCCTTATGCCCCCAAAACTTCTTCCTATCGCAAAACTACGCATATCTTCCCCTGATATCGATCTTGGTGCTACTTCAGCGGAGGATTCCCTATTTCTTGTCTCAAGAAGATGGAACGCGAATATAGTAGTGCATGCCTCGAGCCAAGGCGAAGCAAACATCCAACGCCTTGACCGAGTGACAGCTCGATATGGTACCCGTTTGATCCCATTCGCACTGGCAAAAGCTTCTCAGGTGCTGGATGGCGTCGCACGGTTCAACTACTACCTCAATCTTCGCCCATCCACTGATAAACCTTCCTGGGTGCAGCGGCTCTTTCGATGGAGACAATCCAACTCTTCCCCGTTCTCTATCGAGGCATATCACTTCCGACGAGACGAAGACAACAACGACGAGAACAACGACGCATGGGTCTCTGAAAATATTCTCCATAATGGCGTTGCCTTTCTGGACAACGTTCCAAACAACCATGCCATTGGCCTCAAAATCACCAACACCAGTGACCAGGCCATGTACCCATACGTCGTAGGCTTTGATACAGACACTTATGAAATCAATGTAAGGTGCAGTTTTGAATGGTTGCCCGCCTGATCCATGCCTAGGAACTATACTCACCATTGCGTCAGGATGAGTGTTCGGAACCAAAGCTGTTGAAGCCAAATGAATCGCTGATCTTTGGTCACTGTCCGGCTTCGACTGCCCCAACCTTCTACGTTCCCGAGACTCCTTTCCGTATTACTCTTGACAAAGACAAAGTGGAACGAACGGCCGAGATCTTCAAGATTATCCTCGCACAAAAACCAGTTGTTTTACGCTACATGGAACAAGCTCCGCCCATCACAAGCGCAGAGGAAAGAACCAGGGGGGCCTACGCTCACGAGGAGATTCCAGGCGTATGGCAAACGGACACAATAACATTTGCAGTTCCGGAAAACTTTAGCAATGGCGGTCACCTGCGTTCGAACCTAAACACAAGCTCAAGGTCTTCGGGGCTTTGGAATAGATTTAAAGACTATGTATTTGACATCCTGTTTGGAAAATAGCAGCAGTCTCGTTTACGATACTGGCATGTGGGCAAGTTTCAATTGGAAAGCAACGCGTGAAGGTCTGTGAAGGTCGAGGCACAGATGTTTCGCGCGCGCGCTTTCTGCAAGTTATGGTACCGCAGTTCCCCAGCATGATACATTTATTGTTGTAGACGCTAGAGCAGTGACTGCTGTTTGCTCGAAACAGGAGATAGCTTCTTCAAAAGCTGCAGTGGAGGTCATCAACAAACCTCCAATGCCACGTGATCGAACACGAGGTGCCGGCAACCGCGGTTCTTCTCAGAGTTGCTTCTCTGCTTCCCAATCTCATGTCGCGCCACAGGCCAGTGACGCCAGACCCATACCCGCAACAACAATACGCGTCTGTCCCTCGCTCTCCCCAAAGTCCTAGGAGTGCATATACACAACGGACGGCGCCGTCACGTGCGGGCACAGAGGCCACCAATCGACCAGGGATTATTCATGGGGTTGCGACTGGGAATATCGGAGCGGACTATGGGCCATACTCGGTGCGTTGGTGGAGTTGTCGCTACATGCTTTTTGACTGACTAGTAACCAAAAAGTATGACCCAAGCTTAAATCGAGCAGCGCCTGGAGAGGGAACGCGACTACGCAAGTCCCCTTCTGCTCCTCGACCAAATTTGGCAAGGACGGCGACCGTTAACACAAAGTTTGAACAAAACCTTGATCTTGACGATGCCCTCCACAATCCAGACCCAGTCGCTGATGCACGGCGCGACCGCAAGTTTGACGTGTTTTCCTCTCGAGGATGGATCAACGCAACTGCCCTCGTGGTGCTGTTTGGCGGCATGCTCATGTTGTTTGCGGGCTATCCAATACTCTGGCATTATACCCACCCCCGTTCACATATAACGGGCTTTAATATCGGCGGTATAAACGCCACTGGCCAGGTTCCCCAGCTCTCCAGCTTTCCTCGGATGATAGACCAGGATACCCCACAGTCGGCCTATTCCTATCGCGGAACTGATGGCAAGAAATACAATCTGGTATTTAGGTGCGATGGGCTCTATTCTGCCTCTTCATTTCTCATCGGCGCTTAGCGATGAGTTCAACGTCGAAGGACGGTCATTTTACCCCGGTGACGACCCATATTGGGAAGGTGAGCCGAGGCTTTCTTGTGAAAGTTTGCGCTGCTCTAACTTGGCCCAGCCGTCGATCTACATTACTGGCCCACGGTATGGCATCAATCAACCAACTTTATTGGTACCGACCTCATCCATAGGGAGACCTTGAATGGTATGATCCCAGCGCGATTACAACGAAGGACGGTAAACTGGTCATAACCATGACCGAAGTAAAAAATCACGACCTCAACTTTATGAGTGGTGAGTGTGTTTATATGCAATCAGCCTTCTTGTTGACGCATTTCTAGGAATGCTGCAGTCATGGAACAAAGTCTGTTTCACTACAGGATATGTGGAGATGTCGATTAGTTTGCCTGGTGCTCCCTCACAGCCGGGATTTTGGCCAGGAGCGTGGATGATGGGCAATCTAGGTCGTGCAGGATATGGTGCAACCACAGAGGGAATGTGGCCGTATAGGTATTTGCTGTTCCATCTTCTCTTCGTCTTTCTTACCGACTCCAAAGTTATGACACTTGTGATCTTGGTACATTCCCCAACCAAACGACACATGACGGTCAACCTTCAGCCGTGTTCGACGACAAGTTGAGCTTTCTCCCCGGCCAACGACTCTCAGCGTGCACTTGCCCTGGATCTGACCATCCAGGGCCTTCTACCTCAACAGGACGCGGGGTACCCGAAATCGATATTCTTGAAGCACAAGTCGAGATTGAAGGGACAGCGCCATTCTTCCGAGGCCAAGTTTCTCAAAGCTACCAAATCGCACCGTATGGATTCAACCATCATTTCCGCAACTCAAGCGATGTTACTCCGATCGTGAACCATACAAACAGCAAGTTTAATTCCTACACAGGCAACCAATACCAGGAGTCGGTGTCGGTTGTGTCCTATATCGAGGACCAATTTTATGACGGCAACGCCTATGCGCCGTATGGCCTCGAGTGGTATTCGAACCCGTCAAAACGTTCGAGCGGATATATCAACTGGCTCTCCAATGGCGTGAAGACATGGACGCTGACGCCAGACACGATTGGCCCCAATGACGACTCGCAGGTCTCGGGCCGGTTGATTACCGAAGAGCCGATGGTTTGTTTTCCTCAAAGTTGTGCTCGAATGTAATTGACCCTAGAACAGTATCTGGTCTTGAACCTGGGCATGTCGCCGAGCTTCCAGCAACAAGATTTCAATGCTATGAAGTTCCCTGCTCAAATGCGAATTGGTAAATAGGTATCGATTCTTGACTGAATGTGTTCTTATGCGCGACAGACTATGTTCGTGTCTACCAGCAGAGCGGCATCAAAGACGGAGTGACCTGCAACCCACCGAGCCGTCCAACCTCAGACTACATCAACCGACATATAGCGGCATATTCAAACCCGAATCTAACGACGTTTGCGCAGGCTGGCTACACTTTCCCACGAAACAGCCTATACGATGGATGCTGATGAACATTACTGACTTATGCTGTATCTTAGAGACGCATTCACTTGTACACTTAGCCACATCCACGGACTATGCATTTATGACGCTGTTTGGCCGCGGCCGACTAAGATGATGTCACATTGTGTCACCCCCGCGACTTGACGTTCTCCACGACTGAGCGTCGTGCAGTGGGCGGTCGATGCCGCGTTTACTCGTCCAGATAGCCTCCTACAACACCAACCTCCAAGGCGATGATGGGGTTCCGCAGAGTCTCGTTGATTGGCTCAGCCCGACTCTCCAGGTTAGACTGTGGTTTGCGTTTTAGAGCACAACAGCTCACCCATTCAACAGGTGTCCAATTTCCTCTCGCACCCACAACATCCCGCCGACATAATTGCTGTCGGGTTCCAGGAGCTTCTGCCCCTCCATCTCGGGCGTGAGTCGTTTTCCCCATGCGTCAATCCATTCCTCACCCCTGGCTGGCAGTATCTGGCCTCTCGAAGAAGGTCATACAGAACCGCGACGCCCATATTCAAGGCCAGATTGAGACATTCACAAACGAGAAATACGGGCTAGTGAACAAGGTCGTCAATGGCGGAGTTGCCTTGCTTGTCTATGCCCGCGATGGCGGGGTTGCGCGCTCTGCTTGCGATATCCAAACGACATGGACGGGGACTGGCCCTGGCTATATGGGCAACAAGGGCGCTGTTGCGGTCCGCTTTCGCGTGCCAGGGGACGATGGAGGGGTTGGAGAAACTTTCACGTTCGTTGTTTCGCCTTTTCCCCATGTTCTACGCTGACTATACCTCAAGTTTCATATGTGCCCATCTAACTGCCCACTCCGAGAAACTGCGGCAACGCATCGCTGACTGGCACCACATCGTTGGCACACTCCTCTTTCCGTCGCTGACAGGCGGGGAGTCAACCACTGTTTACCACACGTCCCATCTATTCCTGTTAGGAGACCTCAACTTCCGTGTAGTGCTGCCTCCGGAACATCCTTTAAAGGGCGTGTCAAGTGCGATTGGACAGGCTCTCTCGCAACAAAGTGCTCGAGATGCGTTCAAGGAATACGATCAACTCCTAGTTGAGCGCCGACAGCCCTCGAATAACCTCTTTGTTGGCCTGCGTGAGGGCGAGTTCTGGAAGTTCAAGTGCAGCTACAAGTATCATATCGGCCACGCGGATCGTTACAGGTAAAACAAGTGTCTTTTACTTCGTTGTCAAACTCAAAGCCTGGGCAGCGAGAAGCGGAGTCCGGCCTGGACGGATCGAATACTTTATACTACCTACCTGGACTCGCCAGCGACACCAGACGACTCTGTGATCACGAATGTCCTCTATACCTCGATACCAGGCTACACCACATCAGACCATGTCTGTGCCAAATCACCCATATTCTGTTAATTTGACCCGAGTAATACAGAAACCCATTGTAGCTATGCTCCTCCTTCCGGAGTCCGACGCAGGAAACACATCAGACTCGCCTCCGCTGCTGCGTCTCCCCGCTGACTATGTGCCAACACCTGACCCCCATGCTACACTGAAGCGCTACATCGGCCGAGTACTGGACCGGCTCGTTGGTCGACTCTGGTGGCTGTTGACGCTTCTTGGCGCCGGCTCAACCGTAATGGGCCTCTTCAATTTTGTTCTTGGAGTCAGCGCATGGGGCTGGTGGCGCGCAAAGGCTGGCGATGGCGTTGTTTGATGTGGACTAACTTATTTGGTGTTTATGGTGCTTTAGTGGATCACGGACTTGTTGGAAAAGTAGTTTATTGTATGATTTTGTCTTGTTGTTTTCAAAGTGTACTGTAACACAGCCAACACACACGAATTCGTGAAGAAATCACGTGGTCGCGGCTGCACCTCAATGCCATCTATTATCGCAGATCCTTCTGTACCTAGCTGATTACTATGTTCGACGTATTGTGTTCATAGGTAGTTAGCAGCATCTAAATAAAAAACCATCATGGACTGGGAGCAGAAATCACAACCCGCGGAGCCTGTTGCTTGCCCACGGACTGCGCTGCTAAATCTGCATCAACTAGTGTCGCATCGCGTTCAGGGTGGTCGGGAATGACGGAGGCTCCCTCCTCTGCATCGGTCACGACGACGTGACTGGTCGGCAGGCGGACGAGGCTGACGCAGGTGAAGGAAATAACGATGCTGCCGAGGGAAACGAGGAATATTGCTTTCGGAAACGACGCGACGGTCTTGATGAAGACGAGGCCGTAGATGGACGGGCCGAGGATCTGGGCACTGAGTGCCTGGATAACACTCAGCCCGCCAAACAGCTTGCCTGATTCGTCCCGCCCGCCGTTTTGGCTCTTGTACAGTTCAAGAGCGACGCTCTGCATGCCGGGGGTGAAGCCAGAGCCGAAGGAAGATATGATTGTTGCGCCGGTGAATGAGAGCCCTGTTGAAGCCAATGGCATTGCGGTGTAGGAGATGATGTCAACAGCAAGCGAGGCCTTTGCTAGGCTGAGATCAAAGGAGGGAGAATGGTGGGATCGTTGAGAGGAAATGAGTGGCTGGCTCTCGGGGCTTTGTCGCTGGGGAGAGCCCTTCAGGAACCTGATCAACACTGATGAAGGTATGAAAGTGTAACGAGTTGGAATAGTGAGACGAACGAGGCAAGATAACGGCCATATATATAGCTCTTGTAACCCCGGCAATTGTTAAGAAGTAGCCAAGCTAGAGAGTAGTAATCAGACTCAGGAAGCCACACAGAAACTACGCACGTATTCACTCGTCCATCCAAATTTCTGCATCATGTACTGCACTTTGAAAGTCATAGATCCCTGATTGGGTGAGTGAAACTCTCTTTTTGCAAATACCCTTACCATTATAGAGATTGCGAATGCATATGCGAGCGCCAGGAGACAGAGATTCCAGTCCCATTTGCGACCTTTCAGCGGGACGACACCCGATACAGGCCCCGGAAGGAAAATGAGTATTGGTCTGAGGAAGCCAAAAATCCGCTGGACTCGTGAGAGGAGAGTGGGCTCTTGTTCGTTGCGCAAACGGATAGTTTCACGATGAATCACTTTAGCAGCATTCATGTCGCTTTGCGAGAGCGATTCCGGGAGTAGTAACAAGGCGAGGAGCGCGTAAGCTACGTGGACTGCTGTAGCAAGATAGAAGACGGAAAGTAGATTTCCAGTGGACCTATAATCTGTCAGTGAAAGTACTCGCGTGGGACTATTTGACCATACTTGACGAGGAGACCGCCCAAAGTTGGTCCGATACCCAAACCAGCGAATACAGTTCCCAGGAAGAGAGAGAAAGTTCGTGATCGTTTGGCTGGTTCCACCACGTCTGCGAGATAAGCATGACTGGCAGCACTAGCCGTCGAAAAACCTGATTGATCAGAAATAATAAGCGAAGATGAGCAAGCCTTACCCCCCAAGCAGCCTTCCAGTATTGGGCCCACGAGGAGGAACCAATAGCCCCCGGGGATCCACGTGAAGTTCTTCGTTACGAAAATGAAAAGGCAGTCGTTGAACAGCAGACCCAGGAGGGTAAGTCCAAGGATCTTGGTACGGCCAAAACGATCCGAGAAAGAACCCCACCAGCCAGTCGTGAGGCAACCAAGAACGCCCATCGAGGCGGTGATGGCTGAAATGCGTCACCTTAACGAAGGAAACACGCTCAATGGGTGCCTCACCTGTGCTTAATTTGGCTACGGCGGCTGAGACAACTGGGTCTGCAGTACACTCTTTCACTGGATATTCGTGCGCAGTGGCGATTTCGAAGGAAACAGGTATTTCATTTGCGATGGTTGGAGGTGGGACGGCGGGTGGAACATAACTGGCGACGGCTTCAAAGATTTCTGGCTTGTGAACTGAGCATGCAAGGAGCGTGTAAACCTCAACCTTGGGGGCTAGCGTGGCGCTCATAGCAATCGTCGAGAATGGAGTGGCCACCAAGAGCCTGCTGAGCGTCAGAGGTCGCGGATAAGCCTATCAGAGACGCTCTGACCACCAAGCTGACGGTCGCTTGTACCAGGGAAGCTTTCGTCGTGCAGTAAAATCGTCGGAGACTCCTTGGACATCTGTTTTGGTGGGTCAAAACTGGCGGAGACCCGCCGGAAAAGGCATCCGAACCGTCTACAAGCGTGTCCTCGCGGTTATGCAGTAATTGGTCGAAAACCTCCTCGTCGACTGGGCCATCGGGAAGCATGGCGTCCGCGTAGTTTACTGGGCGAGAACGGGAGCGGGAGCGCGACATGGCTGCGCTGGAAAAACGGGTGGGCGTGTGCCCCGTGCCACCAGATGGAGACTATCTGCATTTTTGATGAGATAATGGGCTTCCTCAAGTTGTGATGCGTGACTAATGACTGATCTCGAAATCCTCAGGATTATGGCAAATACCGACAAAAACTAACTTTAGCTTCGCTTGTCCTTTCCAAACAGGATGTCAAATACATGTAAATCTATTCCAAAGCCCCGGAGACCTTGTGTTTGTGTTTGAACGCAGGTGACCGCCATTCCTAAAGTTTTCCGGAACTGCAAATGTTATTGTGTCCGTTTGCCAAACGCCTGGAATCTCCTCGTGAGCGTAGGCCCCCCTGGTTCTTTCCTCTCCGCTTGTGATGGGCGGAGTTTGTTCCATGTAGCGTAAAACAACTGGTTTTTGTGCGAGGATGATCTTGAAGATCTCGGCCGTTCGTTCCACTTTGTCTTCGTCCAGAATCAGACAGAAGGGAGTCTCGGGAGCGTAGAAGGTTGGGGCAGTCGAAGCCGGACAGCGACCAAAGATCAGCGATTCGTTTGGCTTCAACAGCTTTGGTTCCAAACACTTGTCCTGGCGCAATGGCGAGTACAGTTCCTAGGCATGGATCAGTCGGGTAGCTATCCAAAACTGCACCTTACATTGATTTCATAAGTGTCTGTATCAAAGCCTACGACGTATGGGTACATGGCCTGGTCACTGGTGTTGGTGATTTTGAGGCCAATGACATGGTCGTTTGGAACGTTGTCCAGAAAGGCAACGCCATTATGGAGAATATTTTCAGAGACCCATGCGTCGTTGTTCTCGTCACTGTTGTCTTCGTCTCGTCGGAAGTGATATGCCTCGATAGAGAACGGGGAAGAGTTGGATTTTCTCCATCGAAAGAGCCGCTGCACCCAGGAAGGTTTGTCAGTGGATGGGCGAAGATTGAGGTAGTAGTTGAACCGTGCGACGCCATCCAGCACCTGAGAAGCTTTTGCCAGTGCGAATGGGATCAAACGGGTACCATATCGAGCTGTCACTCGGTCAAGGCGTTGGATGTTTGCTTCGCCTTGGCTCGAGGCATGCACTACTATATTCGCGTTCCATCTTCTTGAGACAAGAAATAGGGAATCCTCCGCTGAAGTAGCACCAAGATCGATATCAGGGGAAGATATGCGTAGTTTTGCGATAGGAAGAAGTTTTGGGGGCATAAGGAGGAGTCGGTCCAGGTATGGACCATAGCAGTTAGAGACTTGAGCTCGGGTGCCTGTTTCCCAGTTCTGGGTAAGCACGTTGACTTCTCGACAACTTAATGGCCAAGAGGACCGCATTGCCGAAACCATATCCTGAGTAAAAAACCCTCCTTCTTGAGTTTCGCCGCAATGTTTATGTTTACTGCTGGCAACGATAAGCACGTATGGTGGGCTATCGGCGAAGAATCCGCGGTAGTCAGCCAGAGTATTTTCACGACGGAGATCTACAAGGTGGGACGACCAAGAGGGGGCTTGGATTCGACGTATGTTGACAATGGACAGTGTTAGCTTCGCGGAGAAACAACAATCCAGAATAACTGTCTGGAGAGCATTCAACAACCAGCTTTTGAAAGAAACATAAGTGAGAACTGACGACATTGGGACCCTTGGTCTGCACGAGGCGAGCTGAAAAGTCCATGGAGAGTAAAGTCGAATATAGGTGGAATCTCCGGTGAATAATCATGCGGTACAAGCGCATCCACATCCCTCTCCGCTTCTTCGAATCGCGTCCCGTACCCAGAGAAATAGACGAGAATCGGGTCATCCCGCGAAATATGAGTATTCTCAGTGAGGTGCACCTTTAGCGAGTCGAGTATGTTTTTTCGAGTGGCTGCCTGATTCGTCAAGCTGATAATCTCTGCGTCCGGGTAGTGCAACAGAAGAACGTCCTGTAGAGAGCTGACATCTTTCGCGCATCCTTGCAGCTTCTTAATTCGAGGATATGTGTACTAAGCAGAGTCTTAGTGCTACTAGCTAGGCCCCAAAATGAGACTGCACCTCGTCAATTCCAATGCACAAGGCGAACAGTTTGCCAGTGGGAGATTCGGGAGGCATGAGTCAAGAGAAAAAAAGTCGCCCGTTTCAAAGTTGACGGTTTTGCTATCGATTAAACCGAGCTGATAGTAAACTTACCCCAAACCTGAACTGGGGACCCGATGTCCGTGAGTGAAAAGTTGCGCTGGAAGACGTGCAATGCCAAAAAAAATGAGGCTTCAAAAGCTTGAGAGGATTCAGAACTCAAGCCAAAGTTAGGACAGCACACCGTGACGCCGCCAGGAGTCTCACGCCATAAGTATAAACGAGCCTTGATAGGCCTTGATCAACACGCCTTAGGGTGGAGGTGACGGAGGTCTTGCACAGGTCGCTCACGGGGATAGGGATAGAATTACCGCAGTGGTCACGGTGTTACGGTACACGGTGAAGGAGGGTGGGAACAATGTTTGTAGCATGCCTATGCCTTCTTCATTTTGTCCAGTTTTCAAGTTGGATACAGTCCAACCGTGACCTGGTCAGTTTCCATTCACTCGCCCAAATACGCCAGACCAGCGAAACGGAGGTTTACTACCTACTAACAGATCACTTTCAAATCGGCGCCTGCCAGTGGCAATTAAACGCCGTCGATACCACACTGGCGTAATTAGAAGTGCAAAAGCCTTGTGTTGCCCGATGATAAATCTACTTTTCAAGCAGGTTCCAACGCCAATCTGCTAGACTGGATGAGCTCACTAGCTACAGGCACCGCAGTGACCGCACGATGTCCGCGTGTTTCCATCACATCGTTTCGGGAGCATGGCGATAACTGCAAATTGAGAGGCCACACTTCAAAAATAACACAACATACCTCGGCGCTGGCGTCTAGGCTGAACATAAAGGTTCGAAACGGAGACAACACGCATATAGCTTGCCCATTCCCTTGCTCTCTGTTCTCCATGCAGGTTCAATATCATCTGCTATTGATTGCCATTGACGAGGCGAGTGTGGAATTGTGACCCCTTTTCAGACACTAACAAGATCACTAGTACCACAACGACAAGGTGTTCCAACCTTTGCGTGGGTGCGTGAAAGATGCACAGCGCTTTGCCGCTTGCATGAAGAAGCTTCTTGGCGGAGAACCCGTTTCAAAAATTCAGCTCTTCAATGACGACGCAACTCGGGCCAATATCCTCGCTGCCTTCTGCGACGACTTGATCGAGAACCGCGACATCAAGTTTGCCGATTTAATTATCATCTTTTACGCTGGCCATGGGGGTACGGCGACTGTTCAGTGCACTGCCGAATCTAGTTCGCTGGAGTTTACGAGGGTTGAAACGCTTTGTCCCGTTGATGATTCTACGAACGGTACCCAAGGAATTCCGGACGTCACGATTATTGCCTTGCTCCAAATGCTCGCTCGCAAGAAAGGCGACAACATTGTGCGTTTTACAATCAGTCCCGAATTAATCCATCGATGTAACGAAGAGCCTAAAGATCTTTGTTTGTGACTCCTGTCACTCTGGGGGGTATCGCGCGTGGAGAGGAGGGTGGAGATAATCGTCGAACTCGCAAAAATGGTCCACAGCTCATCGATCTCAACATTGACGCCTTGATTTTATCTGCGAACAAGGACCAACAGTGGACAGGGCTTGGGTTTCGCGCTGTCACCGATGCCTACATTTTTCTTGCTGCCTGTGGAAAAGACGAAGAGGCGTACGAATACAAACATGCCCAACCAGAGCGTTCCGGCGGCTACTTCACCTCTGCACTGGTTGACAGATTAGGCAGTTTGTTCGACAGCGGACTGCATGCCTCTACGAGTTACTCCAATCTCATTCAGCAACTCGTAATTGGCGGCGACTCGAAGCGTCGCCGCCAGTCGCCAGAGGCTTACGGTCGATATGTCGATCGGCTGCTGTTCACCACACGAACTACCGCCTTCCGATTTCGCTGCGTGAAAGGGACAGACGGCATTGGCAAATTCCAAATTTCCGCAGGCCACGTGCATGGGGTCGTCAAAGGGACATTGATGACAACGGCCCAGGGGTATAAGCTGGAATGCACTGATGTACAGCCGTTATCTGCTCAGGCTGTGGTCAAGGTTGTCGGAAGCTTGCATGAGTTGCCTTCGTGGGTTTGCGTCGAGAAATGGAATGCACCTAATGATTCGGAGCTGCATGTCTATGCTAACTCTGCCGCCAATTTGTCATTAACGGACTCAGAGTACAACCTACTCCCCACAGAGCTCGCCGCCGATGCCGATGTGGTGCTGGAGTGCGACAACCTGGACAGATGGAAGATCACTATGAACAATACTGGGGGCTTGGCCGACGTTTTTGGCACCAACATCCACTATCAGCCCCGAAGACAAACCCTTCAGAAATTCTTCCCTTAGCGATTTCCCTCTCAGGCTGTGCCCGAGGTTAGCTGTCCAAAGTCTCAGAAAGATCGCACATTTCAAGTACCACTTGGGCCTCAAACAGGCCTATCCCAAGCATATAAAAAAATGGTGCACGATGAGTTTGTTCCGGGTGAAGCCAATTGATTACCCTTGGTTGGGTCATGGGCGCTGGGAAACACTGTCAGAAGATCTGTTCAAGGAGCGGAAACATGCGTGGTTCAAAATACCACAAGACGACACATTCGACAATAAAACTTTCGAACTTAAGGTGCATAATACCGGACTCGACCCATGCTACCTGTATCTTTTCGCGTTTGACTTGCGCACATTTGCTATCACGGTGAGTGAATGTTCCTGGTGGTTCAGGCTTTTTTGCTGAATATTGTTCAGTCTTTGCATATGCCCGCAATTGGATCAGACACAGCTTGCATCGGGCCGAAGCAGACCTGGAGCTATATCAAGGAGCACAAGGCCCTGCCGTTCATCTTAACTTCCGATAGTCCTACTGCATCCACTGACATCGACATCTCCGTCACCTACTTCAAGCTGTACGCTTGCTCTGAGAATGTGAATATGCACCATATAGAACAGAAAGGAGTTTCACCCACCGATGAACATGCCAGTGAGCATACAGAAGGGATGGTTAGCAGTCGGAGATATGGACGGTGCCCTGAACAATTGCCAGGATTCTGGGATCAATCCGTGTCGATTGTGACTTATGGTTCAGCAGTAACAGATTCGACTGCGTAGTTTGTTTACCTCCAAGTCTCGTCTTTAGAAATAGCTCTCTAGTTTCGCTTACGGTTTCGGGGACACAATAATTCACTGTATGTATAAGGCAACGATTACCCATGGCCAGTACTAGTTACATGCCGCCGACAAATAAGCTGTCGAATGCCTGCTATTTTCGTTGGAATCTCCCCCACAGACCTGAAGACAACGCGCGCGAGTTTGAATGCAGATGACCGCCGTTTCGGAAGTTTGCTGGTACAGCGAGTGTTACCGTCTCTGTTCGCCATACGCCTGGAATTCCCTCGTGAACCTCGACTTTCTCGAATCTTTCCCCTCCGCTTGTCATGGGTGAAGCTTGCGCCATATAGCCTACAGCAATAGGCTTTTGCGAAAGAATAATCTTGATCACCTCTGCTGTACGTTCTATTTGACCTTCATCCAGAATGATGCGAAATGGGGGCTCAGCACTGTCTAAAGCCAAAGCATTTATGTTAGGACATCGTCCAAAGATCAGCGATTCGTCTGGCTTCAGCAGCTTTGGCGGCATGCCCTCGTCTTCTCGAAACGGCGAGTACAGTTCCTGGTGATGGATCAGCGGGGCAATCGTCAATTACTGCAACTTACATTTATTTCGTAGGTGCCCGTGTCGAAGTGGAGGACATAAGGATACATTGCTTGGTCATTGGTGTTGGTGATTTTGAGAGCGAGTACGTGGTCATTCGGGACTTGGTCCAGAAGGGCAACACCATTATGCAGAATATTTTGGGAGATACATGCGCTATGTTCTTCCTCGTCCTCGTCGTCTGGTCTGAAGTGATACACCTCGATAGCCGATGACGGAGAGTGAGCTCGTTTCCGTGGAAGGAGCCGCTGGACCCAACGCCAGTAATGTTTATCAGTGGACGGGCGGAAATTCAGGTAGTGATTAAACCGCGCGACACCATTTAGCACGAGGGGAGCTTTCGCTAATTCGAACGGTATCAGAGGGGTCCCGTACCGAGCAATTGATCGATCCAAGCGTTGAAGGCTTGCTTCACCTCCGCTTGATGGGTGCACTACCACATTCGAGTTCCATCTCCTTGAAACAAGGAACAACGCGCTCTCTGTTAAGTGGGCGTGGAGATCGATTTTTGAGGAAAACACACGCAGTGTTGCAATACCAAGCAGTTTGGGGGTGGTACAAAACAATCGGTCCAAATGTGGACCATAGCAGACAGAGACTTGACCTCTAGCGCCTGTCTCCCATCTTTGAGTCAGCACGGTGAGTTCTCGACAGCTTAATGGCCAAGAAGACTCCGAGTGCATTGCTGAAATCATATCCTGAGTGAAAACACCTCCTGTTGGCGTGTCGGTGCAATGCCTATCCTTATTGCTCGCAGCGATTAGGACATAGAGTTGGTCGTCGTTGAAAAATCCACGATAATCGGCAATGTTGTTTTCACGATAGAAATCAACGATATGAGAGACCCAAGAGGGTTTTTGGATTCGGCGTACGTTCGACAACATAAGAACCCGCGAGAAACAACAGTCTAGAATGAGAGTCTAGAAGATGTTGAACAATTATCGAGTGAAACATAAAACACTGACAACATTGCGACTCTTGGTCTGAACAAGCACGTTCAAAAGTCCATGAAGGGTGGCGTCGAATATTGGTGGAACGTCTGCTGCGTAATCGTATGGGATGAGCGCATCAACCTCTCTGTCTCCCCCTTCCAACCTCTGCCCGTAGCCGGAGAAATAGATGAGAATCGGGTCACCCATCGAAATATGATCATTTTCGATGAGGTGCGCCTTGAAGGAGTCGAGTATGCCTTTCCGAGTGGCGGCTTGGTTCTTCAAGCTAAGAACTCGCGCATCGGGGAAGCGCATCAACAAAACGTCTTGTAGAGAGCTGACATCCTTCGCGCAACCCCTGGAGAGGATCAATCTCGGGGTGCGCATACTAATA